TCAAGTGCTTCTCATTATCGCTTTTCTTGCTCTCAGTGTTCTCACCATTGGTGTAAGTTCTTTTATCTACAAACCAAAATCTTATCCTTTGTCAAAATCTTACAATGTTAATTTGGTTCTCTTCTCTGGTTTAGCTTTTATCAAAAACCGAACCTAACCTGGAACCCGGTTTACGAGTCTCTCTTAACCGGTTTTAAGTTCCTGACTTGGTAAAATGCTTGCAGGTTGTGTACATCGCAGTGACTGAGTTTCTAGGGAAGAGGGAGAGAGAGAAGTTTGAGAAAGAAGAGGCAGCAAAGAAGTCTAAGAAGAGTGGGAAGAAGAAGGCAACGCGAGCCAGAGCTGGACCGAGAGGTTTCGGTCAAAAGATTGAAGATGACGACATTGATCTTGAATGATTTTTTTCCATTGTTAGAGAGAGACAAGAAAAACCTCATCTTGGTTTTGTAAGACTGCGATTGTCATAACTAAACAAATCTTTCTTGCGTAACAAGCAAGTGAACCAATATAAACAAAGAAAGAAGACGGCAAATTTTCATAAACGAAACAGTTTGATGAAACAAATTACATAGAAAGGGTGGAAAAAAACTCTAAAAACTGGGATTGTCCTAAAAGCATCAACATTCTCTCTTCTACACATTTGGCAATTAACACAGCCATTCTCGTTGTGTGAAGGAAACCCTAAAATCCTTACCATTTCACAACCCAACTTTACACCATTCTCTGCCTTTTCTCACTCACTCATCAGCCTAAGTAGGGATGTTTGGTTCTATGTATAGAAAAACCGTAAGAAACTACACAATTTTACACATTTTTGCAGAGAAAACAAAGCTCTCTTTCACAATTCCCCGCAGATTATTTCCCATTTAGATCTTACCTAATCCTCAAAACGCAATGGCAGATCCATCCTCCCTAGTTAGGCTGTACAACACCTGCGGCCTTACGCCACCTGAGGCTGGTTTAGCGACTGCATACCCATCCTCCTCTCTGCATATAACAAAAAAAAAGTTTCATGCTTTGTAGCAGATAAAGGCTGAAACTTTGGTGGATACATAGAGGGAAGAAACACAAACATACCTCCAGCAGCAACAAGTTTTTCAACACGTGCAACGATATGCTTCCCATAAGTGTACTTCTTCAACGCATTAAGATGCACTTTGATACGAGTAAGGATCAGCTCACGGCGTTGGTCATCACATGTCTCCAGAACTTTCTGCACTACATAGTTTGCAAACTGATCCTTCATCATCGCCTATATACACAAGAAGAAGAAGAAGAAGAAGCATATGAGCTTATTGATATCTTTATTATTCCTGACGATGATATGAACGTATGCGTTTGACTAACCTGAAGAGGCTCGTTTTCATCAGTTGTGCCCAGCATCTCATTCACAAGCAACTCCCGTTCCTCTTGACCTCCAAAAGTCAAACATTTCTCAACAACGTTTGATGCAAACTTTTGTTGACTCATCTGAACAATCTTCCCGGCTAACTCCTTAATGATCACAGTACGCTCATCAGGCTTTCCATGCTCCAGTACATGCTGTCAGCAAAACTTGTATTAGTTTCAGATAACTATATATAACCACTAGCTGCAGAAAAAACCTCAATTCTTTTACAAACCTGAACAACATAGTTTCCATACTGATCTTGAGCCAGCATACTAACAGTGGAGAGGATTTCTTCCATAACCTTACTCTGCGTATCCGGGTCATGGCAGTGCTCCAATACCCTCTGCAATGGGAGATGAAAAAAGGCTATACATAAATAAAACAATAAGGTCAAGAAAGGTTTCATTTTTATTACTAAGAGCAAGAACCTGAATAACACGGCACCCATATGGGTGAGTGGAGAGAGTCACAACTTGACCGAAGAAAGTCGAAATAATGAATTCGATGTTTTCTTCAGGCACACACTCGATGCACTTCTGGACCACATGGTTCCCATTCTGATCGCGTACGCATCGCATCACATGTCCATCAAGTTCTTTCACCATCTTAATCTTCTGGTCTAGATCAACCACCTCAATTGCCTAAAGAGTAACAGAACCATAAGGCAACAAGAAACTGTATCTGTACTGAGAATGAAAGATAGACTTATAGAGAACAGTAACAGGTGAGAAGTAGACTTTACCTTTTGGATGACTCGACAGCCATACATCTGTAAGCTAAGAGGCAACACATTGTTAAAGAGCTTCTCAGCTAATTCTCTCCTTTGCGCCGGGAGTCCATGCTCAAAGAACTGTGGGATGACTATCAAATTTAGAAACTTTTCATGTTAAAATATCTCAACTCCAGAAGAAATAACATCTCGTACCTTCTGAATAACATAGTTTCCAAAAACATCAGTCATCAGGGCAAGGGCTTCCGGCATGATCTCCTCATAGACCATGTTTTTCTCATCAGTTGTTGCTGTCTCGAGCTTCTGCTGAATAAACCGGCTCCCATATTGATCCGCACTGGTCAGGCATTTCAGAACAAGCCCAAAATACGTGTTAGCTTGGGACAAATTGTAGACAAGAATAACGGTAAAAAAATTCAAGAAAATACCTGAACTCTACAACATGACTAGCTATCTCAGAAAGTTCGAATCCTCTTGTCTTGTTACTCTTAAACTCTTCAAGCAGTGAAGATCCAAAGCCTTCATCCAAACTACCATGACTATCCATATAACCCATTCCCGGATAGTTCCTTGTTGCAGAGGGATATCGCATATTAACTTCACCTCGTCTCATAGGGCTACAAGGTGCCATGAGAGGGTTTTGCATGACATGATGAGCCAAAGGGCTACCAGGATATGACATATTAGACCCAAACGTTGGACTCCCATAATAGCTATGGCTGTTAGGGCTCCCGGATTTGTAAGGCACGCAATACTGTGATTTCTGAGCTCCGAGATATGCCCTCTGAAGCTCAAGCATATTCAGATATCCATTATTATTACCCATAAAGCTCCTGTCCATTAGAGGATCATTAAGAAGATCAAGCGAGTCAGCATACTGATGATACATTGGGTCTGCCATATGTGACTGAAGGCCTGCACCTCCTCCCATCATTCGATTACCGTTCCTCCCAAGATTACGTGATTCAGAGAGATTTTGACCAGAAAAACCACCCCCATGAAGTCTGGAGTCCATTCCAGAAAAGCCTAAAGCGGATGCCGCAGAAACATCATCATACATTGGAGAGTAGTTACTATTCCCAAGCTGGCTAGCCATCATAGAAGCTACAGATGGATTTAAAGGGTAATAGTTTGGGTTATCAAGATGCTGGTACGGACCAGGTAGTCCACCTCCACCATTATTATATGCAGGCCCTCTTAATTGTGAGTTCCTGTATGAACCAGTTGCCTTATGTGCATGATCAGATTTGTTTGGGAACCCGTAATGATTGACTTCGTTATGCCCAACTTGCAGTCCAAACATCCTGACATTTTCAAGATCCTGTTCATCTAACCGGTCAGTGCCTGACAGGTTCATGCTAGATAAAGCAGCGGCAAGGTCAGAAGACTCGTTGAGACCAGATGTAACACCGTTGAATGGGCTTTGATTACTTGTGTTCCTCTTATCATTTGAACTTACTCTCCCACTTCCAATGGGAGTAAGGCAGGGACTAGGCACCCTGGCAATGGCATGTGCATCTGGAGTACCGGATCTAGACAACGAAGAACCAAGAACAGCTGCGTAGCTGTAAGAAGAAGGCGCACCAATTGCTTGAGATGCAGATGGAGACAGGTTTTTAGCGGAGTCAACATTTTCATCAAAGGCATTACGACTTGCAGGACGTGAAGGCTGCTGTGCAACGGGATGCCCCATGTCAGCCTGCACAGAAGCGATGCATCAGGTTTTCATAAATGATAATATTCAGGAGAAATATACACAACACATCCATAGTATTATGTAGATCACAGTTTATGCCTATTAACAGTATCACAATAACACAGACATATGCTTGCATAAGTAACTTTTAAAGAAACAATCATCAGACAAGGAAGACATTAACAAAGTATCCAAGCAGAGCAACAAACTAGTTGAATAGCAAATCTCAAGAGGAAGCTGCTTGCATAACATGAAGCCAATAACATTCAATAAAGCAAAAACTAAAAGCCACAGACTTTTAAAGCAAACACCATATAGCGAGAAACATTCAATAAGAAGGAAATCATCAGACAGAATAAACAATAACAAGGTATCTAAGCATTGATGAAGTGTAAATAGTAAGAAGAGGTTTCACCAACCTGAAAGATATCAGCAAAACTCTTCTGCTTGCCTCCAAGACCCAAATCAGGCAAACCAATAAGACCATTAGCATCCCACTCAGAAGAAGAAGCATTAGTTTGCTCAGGCTCGAACTCGTGCTGCTGCTGCTGCTTCATCGGATTCTGTTCAAAACCAGGCGGCATAGAGAACAAAGACCGACTCTCATTCACTTTCCTCCGATCCCCAATACCACCCAACACGGTGCTACTCCCTCTAACCCTCTGAGCAACTCTCATATCCTCTCTAGACATCAATGGAGGAGGCAACCTCGGATTCAGCTTCATATTAGCAAAGTAATAAGACAAGTAAGCTGGATCTTTCCTAAACTCATCATCGTCCAACCCAAACCCATTTCCGTTATTGGCCCCACCAAACTCCATAAAAGGAGCCCCACCTCCACCTCCGCCGCTGAAAATCCCTCCGGCGGCACTCATGGAACCGTCCACAGTCGGCGGAGCAGAGCCGCTTCTGTACAAGTTAAGCTCTCTCTCAAGCTCATCAGCTTCTCCGTGGCGTAGCTGCTGCTCTCCGAGCAAAGCTCCAATCTCCTTCTCGTAATCATCCCCAAAAGACGAATCTTCGTTACCTCTAAGCATCGGCCTTCTTCCTAGCTCCGGCATCATTCTGACCTAACAAATAAAAAGCCCCCCAAATCCTAAAGATCACACCTTTATACCTCTGTATATACAATCAGCAAAATTCTCTATTAGAACTTAACCCAAAGATCAAAACTTTAAGCGCTACTCAAATCCATTTCCCAGTATCTGCCGATGATTGATTATTCATGTTACTGTTGTTGTGTTTTTTTTTTTAGTAGAAAAAGAACCCTAACAACGACAAGATGAGAGAGATAGCGAAATTGAGCTCAATGGGGAAAACGGGTTTTATAGTGTTGACGGAATTATTTCGACGGCGATGCAAGAACCTTAGGGTTTCTTTTGGTATTTTAATTGTGGAAATTAAAAAAGAAGAAAAAAATTTACTGCGAATTATTTATTAGCGTATCTCATTTGCATAAATAAAGGAACGAAAAAAGCTTTTGTATCAATCTTTTTGAAATGATGTAAACTAAAGTAAAATTGTGTCAATTATATGAAATTGATGTCAAACAGCTCAAAATAGCATCATTTGTTATAACTGATGTGATTTAATACTCTTTTTTTTGTAGTGGTTATCGCTCATCTTCGGTCCGGCGGTTTACATCTCCCAACCACCCTCTGGACCTCAGCGATGTGTTTGCCATAGCTTCTCATTTGATGAAGCAGAGGAAGGTGGAAGGGCTGGCTTGAAGCCTACAAGCTGGAGGTGAAGGCTGCGGAGGAAGGACACATGGCGGAGCTGGCTAGAAACAAGGCGGAAGAATTGAGGGCCAGAAAACTTGGTTAATCTCTCAAAATCTTTTTAATGAAGACATATTAGAGAGAAGTTGATTTCGATAAAAGAATATACATAGAAAGAAAGATAAATAGTTTATTGAGATCCAATGAGAAAAAGAAATTGCGTTTTCTCCAATATACATGATTCTTTAGGTTGCTTAAATCCAAATGCAATATTCTGAATTGTACAGTTTTAGCACAAATTATTCTTGGTGATAGACGATCAATGTTCTTGTGAAGGATTTTTGATAGTTACCCATTCTTTGAAGTATACGAAAGTTGAGAATAACAGAAACAGTTTCTTCTAAGCATATATCATAGCTGGAAAATGCATTGTTGTTGAGAAAAATCAGGGTCAGTTTCTCAAATCAATTATTTATGTCAAGCGTCTTTCATTAACATGTTCTATATAATGTTCAGAAAATATTTAATTTGGTAAATTTTGATGATATTAATGTAAAAATTAACATTTTTTTTAATAGAAGATAACACTCGTTTATAACTTTAGTATGCATAAAGAATTGTTCTGGATCACTAAAAGTCATAAAGTTTGTTGTGCCAATGAGGTATTAGGCTTTGTGATGATTGCAAACTACTTTATAAATGTAAGTTTCATTTATCTATTAGATAAAATTATTATTACTCAAATACCAGAAAAACAAGGTTTCCAAACTAATCATCCAAAAAAATAAACAAGTGGGCTTGGGCCTGTAAACAGATCCAATGGCATGATGGTTGGTAAACATGGGTGGAATTGGTAAAACCATCGAATCGAATTCGAAGGTATTCTCAAGCATATAACGAAACAGAAAAACAAAACAACACATAATGACTATTGAGTATTGACTCTAACGAACATGACGTCTACACAAGGTTTTTTACGAATCATTCCCCTTATGCCCAACTACTTATACAGTTATACTTTTATTCGAGATAACATAATAGACTAATACATTGTAGATTTGTAGGTCTAAAGTCTAACAACAAAATATCAAAACCTTAACTCTCCACCCAAACAAAAAAACTACAAATATCATCACTACGAAATTAAGTCGATGATGAATTCATCCACCAAGAAAGTGAAGATCCCATTAGCCAAATCTTCAATTACACACTCTCTCCCATCTCCATTAACGCAACCCCATTTCATTTCTTTCACGTAAACCTCTCTCTTCTCTCTCACTTCCCAACTCATAAACATCTCTTCTTGTCTACCCATCACCCAGTCTTCTACTTTCTTCACCATTAATCTCTCCTCTTTTGCCCCAATATTGTCTTCTTGGAGAAAATCTAACAGTAGATTATCTGCTACGCTAGAAGCTAGTATGTTGTTTGTTTCGCCGATTCTCGATTTCACAAGAGCAAACAAGCAGTTTGCTCGGTTTTCTGATTCGTCCTCTTCGGTTTCTACTGTGTAATATGGGTACTCTTCATGCCGTTCTACATACTTCTCTATGCGTTTCTCCAAGTCTAGTGGCTCAATCTGTACCAACCCATTTAATCTTTTGCTTTTCCTTGCAATATTCTCATATGTATCTGCGAATGTTAACGTATGATAAAGTTATTTACAAATCACAATTTTCTTCTAGTGTATAATAATTATTTGCTTAATATTAACGAATAACATAATGACAAATTAATTTACCATTATTGTGTGAAATAAGATCAGTGATTGCATCGTCTTCATCATCATGATCTTCATCGTCTTCAAAAGGGCATTCTAAGATTGACACTGGACTAAGTTGTTCCTTTTCTTCGTTCACACATTCCTACACAAAATTGCAATTAAAATCAAATCAGGATTCGCATATAATATATCAACAACATTCAAAGAATAACTAAACTAAAAAGTCCAAGAAAAAAATTATACGTATGAATAAATCACAGTGACATTAATAAGTTGACAAAAGTCAACTCATCCCACGACAACATCATATCTATCTATCTGTCTTTGCCACCATTAAATTAAATTTTATGGTATTTTAAAATATTTGTTGTGTAATCAAATCTAAAAGTATATATATAATGACAGATTTCACGAGTACTTAGTAGTAAATTTCACGAACATGGGTGGATATTATAAAACTAATTCTTCATGAATATAAGAATACTTGTATACAACTATTGTAAAATGTGTGAAGATATGCGTATCTAACTAAGAAAATATAAATTCTTATGAAATGTGTACGGAAAATTATATCAGGAGTAAATAATTGCGTACGTGGAGTACTATCAAACAAAAAAATAGTCTCGCGGGATCGTGCGCCGTATAATCCGCATTAGAAGAATCTCAGCCCTCGATTCCTCGCTAATAACATTTAAATCTAAATCCTACACCACACGTGACTCGCACGCGTTCCTCTACAAGTCTCAATACCTGACTTCTTATTTTTTAATATGTTAATAATCAAATGCTTTCACACTCAGTGACAGTTGTAAACTGAAGAAAGAAAACGATCGTTTAACGAACTAACCTTTCTGTTACACAGGCTGTTGCGGTTGACAGATGTTCCGTCACGGTCACGTGCGTTTAAACTCTCAATTCCGTCTTCCACGGCGTCGTTTTCGTTTGACACTACTTCAGATTCCGACGTCGATGCGAACGATGACGAAGAAGAAGACGACTGTACAACCTCCGACGATGATGAGTTCGTGAAAAACCCGCTACCGGAACTCGACGACTCACCGGAGATAAACTCAACCGGCGTGATCGCATCTGGAGAGATTGAGAATGTTGATTCGTCGGGGACGACAGTTGAGATCTGAGAGATCAGATCGAACGGTTCTTCGTCCGGAAAAAACGCGGCGGATCTCCACCATTGGATCTCTCCGTCTCCGTCATCTTCAACGACGGTTACTTCACGGCGAGATAGACTTACCCGTTTTCTCCAGAAGCTTTTGCTTAAAAGCCGTTTAGAGAAGCTTCTAGAGAAAGCGCCGCCTTGTTTCTGATCATCTCCCCTCCGTGTCGTAACGGTGGACGGGAACGGTAAAAGTTTAACGGCGTTAAGAAATGCCGTCGAAGCTTTATGAACGGCGTGACTAATCGCCGTTCCGCAAGTCGTACCTCGGGTTCTTCTTGTGAGACACGGTTTGTGATGATGATGATGGATCAATCCTGACCGTTTGATCTCAGCGTCGATGAGACGGCGAACGGTGGATGATGATGAAGATGAAGGGGTTTGACTTTGACGACGTGGGAATGATTTGAAACCGTTGGATGAACAAGAACTGAGATCATCGAGTAAGTAATCTCTTAGCATCAACGGCTTTAAACGTCTTTTGCTTGTGGAGAGACGTTGATCGGAGGAACACGTGATCGACGCCATTTGGAAATGAAACCGTGACTTTTGGTGAGTTTTTTCTTTTTCAGTGATTGAGTTTGAGAAACAGTTAAAGACTTATAGTGAAGAAGAAGAAGGTTCTATGTGAGGTGTGTGATCTTAAAAACCGAGGTTTTCAGTTTTTTATTATTTTGAATTTGAAGTTACGTTTTTGTTGAATTATTTATTGGTTTAGATTTGAAATCAGAATCTACTAAATAAGGGGATTATTTTTTATTTAATAACCTAATAAGTAAGATCTTAGAAGTTAAGAGCGAGAGAGAGACCAGAAGTTGACCTTGTAATAAAACAGAGGACGAGATTCTTGCGGCTAAAATACAGTTTTTGCCTCTCACGTGTGCATCGTCAATATTTCGAACCTCTACGTCGTTTCCTCACACTGTTTTCTATTAGATTTAGAACATTTTTTTTTGTTTTTAATATACGTATTAGTGTAGTTTACAGATCACTAATAGCAGACTCCAACTATTACATCGAAACTATAAAAATGTTGTGATTTGTTTCATGATCAGTTTTGTATCTAGTGGTTAGGCTGGCGTTGTGGACTAATAATATCGTGGATGTGTTACCAGTTACCACACGAATGTAAACTAATTAAGACTATGTTGTTTTAAGAAAACTATGATTAAAAGTGGAAAAGATATTAGTCTAGACGTGTTGTAGCCTTGTAGATCAAGTGACGAATTTCGACTTGAGAAATTAATTGAGTTTTAGTCATGAACTCCTAGTCTGATAGTGAACCAGACTACTCAATAATACAAAATTTAATTTTTGTTTTTTCTGAAATGTACCTCACATTTATAAATTACTCCTAGTCTATGCCAACGTAATGCTTATCTTTTAAGGACAGTATTTTTTGAATTTTGGCTCGTCAACTATAGTTTCCAATTTGGTTTGAATCAACATATGATCATCATCGTTCTTGTATACAAATCGTTTTCATCAGTATAGATAATTTAGCCCAGCCCAACAACATCTGAATAACACAGCCCAGGACAATAATCTTCGGATTTTTTTATCTTCTTAAAGCTCAACTCAAGTATCATGCAGATTAATTCATCATTAGCCGAATACATGTATACTGTATATTCTTTTTTTTTTTTAGTTATATAGCTCGTCACCTGAAGATTTATTAGGACTAGTCTGATATCTCTAAATCTAGAGTAGATAAGACTTACGAGTTCAATTAGATAGATACATAGGAAATATTTCTCCGGGCTAGCTCTTGAGTTTGATTACTCTAAACGTTTTCTGCTAATGATGGCTACCGTCAAGGAGTCTTTACAGGTTAATAATATTCATTATCTTCCTGATGATTTACTGTTGGACTGCTTAGCCCGCGTTTCGAGATTGTACTATCCGACTCTCTCCTTAGTTTCCAAGAGATTTCGTTCTATCATCGCATCGATTGAGCTTTACCAAACCCGAACGCTCTTAGGACGAACCGAGACTTGTCTCTATCTGTGCATCAATTTTCTTGGTTGTAAGCAACGTTGGTTCACTCTATGCCGAAGACCAACTCAAACCCGTAACCCTAACCCTAAACCACGATGGTTCACTGCATGCTTTAGACCATATAGAATCCAGATGAGTCGCACTCGGAAGGAAGAGAAGAAGCCGAGCGAAAATCTTATGGTCCCAGTATTTACTCGCATTTATTCTACTTCGTATCGGTGTGTTCGTGCGCTAATTGGTTCTAATATCTACAGGATTGGCAAACAACGAGCCGGTAATGGGTTCGGGTCTAGGGTCTTCTTCTTGGACTGTCGTTCTCACACTTGGCACGAAGCTCCAAGCATGCCGATTGCACAAAACTGGCCCCTTGTGAGTGTTCTTGATGGGAAAATATACGTGGTCGAAGACCATAAAGGTCTTGATTCCTCGAATTTGATAGAGTCATTCGATCCAAAAACCCAAAAATGGGCGCATGTGCCAGGCCCTAGTGCGGAAATAGCCGCGGGTTTAGTATTAAGAAGCTTAGCCATGGACGGAAAGCTTTACCTGTTTGGGATTGATAAAACCGTGGCTTACAAGCCCAAGGAGAATAAATGGGATGTTGTAGAATTAGATATGCGTTTGGGTTCGGTTGACAATGAATCTTTTTGCGTGATAGATAACGTGATGTACAGTCGACATATGTCGGAAATGTTCCAATGGTACGACTCCAAGGGAAGATTGTGGAGAGATTTGAAGGGTTTGGAAGAACTTCCTATTTCACCAAATACCCGTGTTAGGCTGGTAAATTATGGTGGAAAAATCGCAGCTTTGTGGGGGAAGCAAGTGCGTTCTGCTGTTGACTCTGACAATATGATGATTTGGTGTGCTGTGATTGCGGTTGAAATACGCAACGAACAAGAGGTTTATGGGAAGATTGAGTGGTGTGATGTTGTGCTTACAGTTCCTAAGTCATGTCGACTGGAATTTCTTGCTGTTAACGTTTGAGGAATGAATGAAAACTTTTGTTTTCAATATGATTTATGGATTTTCCACACTGCTTGGAATATAATGCATATGACGTTGGTCTATTTCTCTCGTTTTTTGTAAGTGCTCTTTTTGGTTTAAGAAGGCTGTGTTAATTCTCTGCTTCACTCTATTTCTCTCTCAAACACAAAACACTACATTTGTTCAGCAGATAAAGTTTATTGATTCAGGAAACACCAGAGTTGGCGAATCCAAGAAATTGAATAGGCTTTGACTCTCCAAATGTACAAACCTCTGGTTATAATGTGTAATTTCCAGATCTCTATTAGCATAATCCAACTTTAAACTATTACATCGAAACTGAAGTGTAAAACAAGTCTAATTTGTTCATAATCATTTTTTTTTTTTTTTTTTTTATCATGTGGTTAGACAGTAAGGATACTAAAGTGGTTTGTTGTGTTATCATCACTCAGACTCGAATATGATAGGAAGTAAATAGTTGATTATAAAAATAATGTATATAAAGAAGAAGCTGTGGTTAAAAATAGGCTTGAACCTTAGCTACGAATGCTCCAATGTTAGGACTATGAGGTAAGATCGTGGAGAGATATGTAAGGTTTGGAAGATCTCCCTAAATTACCAAAATGCTTCAGTTTCTGTTAAATCGGTGAACTACAAAACCACAAAACAATACAAAAACGATCCAAGTATCTTGCAGATCAAGTCAATCTTTGAACCGGTCACTTAAAAAGATTTCCTAATAGTACTAGTACTATAATCTCATATAACTCTAGTTTGATTACGACAAGATAAAATAGTTACAAGTTCAACTAGATTTAGGAAATATTTCTCCACTAGTACAAATATCGTAGTTAATATGAGCTCACGGATATGATTTAATCTCTAAACGTTTCATCTAATGACGAGCGACGAAGAGTCTTCACGGGTTAATATGCCATACCTTCCAGATGATTTACTGTTGAATTGCTTAGCTCGCGTCTCGAGATTGTATTACCCGATTCTCTCCTTAGTCTCCAAGAGATTCCGCTCTCTCATTGCATCGCATGAGCTTTACCAGATCCGAACACTCTTAAGGCGTACCGAGAGTTGTCTTTATGTGTGCTTACGTTTAAGTTCTGGTTCTAAGCAACGTTGGTTCACTCTAAGCCAAAGACCAACTCGAGTACCTAACCCTAACCCTAACCCTAGCTCAGGATGTTTCACTCCATGCTTTAGACTATGCACTCGGATGGAAGATAAGAAGCCGAGCGGCAATCTTCTGGTCTCAGTCCAAGCAACACACAATTCTTCTCCTCTGTTTTGGCAGGCTCGTGCCGCAATTGGCTCTAATATCTACACCATTGGCGAGTCATCTTCTAAGGTCTTCTTCTTGGACTGTCGGTCTAACACTTGGCACGAAGCTCCAAGCATGCAGATTGCCCGAAGATACCCCGTCATAAGGGTTCTTAATGGGAAACTACATGTATTGGAAATCGGGATGGTTCACGATCCCTCGAATTCCATGGAGATTTTCGATCCGAAAACCCAAGTGTGGGAGCATGTGTCGTGCCCTAGAGCAGAGATACTTGGCCAGAGTTCAGGATTCAGAATCTTAGCCAAAGATGGAAAGTTTTACGTGTTTGGGGATAAAAATATGGTTTACAAGCCTGAGGAAAACAAATGGAGTGTGGTACAAGATTTGGATATGCGTTTGAGTTGGGCTCCCTATACTTCTTCATGCGTCATAGAAAACGTAATGTACAGCTCAAAAATGTCTAGAAGGCTTAAATGGTACGACTCCGAGAGAAAACTGTGGAGAGGTTTGAAAGGTTTGGGAAAACTTCCTAAATTACCAAATAGGTACAGTCGTGTTAGGTTGGTAAACTATGGTGGAAAGATCGCAGTTTTGTGGGATAAGAAAGTGCGTGCTATTGGCTCAGACAAGAAGAGGATTTGGTGTGCCGTGATTGCTGTTGAAAGGCGTAGCAACGAGCAGGAGATTTACGGGAAGATTGAGTGGTGTGATGTTGTGCTTACAGTCCCCAAGTCATGTAAATTATTACAAATTCTTGCTGTTACTGTCTGATAAATGAACACATTAGCCATTAATGTCGTTTGGTTTTCAATATGATTCATGTGAACACATTATGCTTATTTTTGGCTTCTTTGAAGTTGTGTTGTTTCTCTCTTTTCTCTGACTTTGTTTTTTTTTCTTGCACAACACATGTGTAAAAACCTGCTTGTTTTTGTTTATAACAAAACGACTTTATGCTTTTCTTGCCCAACACACGATACAAATACACACAATACACTTTATTTCTTGCCCTCATAGTAGCAAGTAGAATAGGCAAATACAATACACATAAACTGGAAACAACTTATTAAAACACTTGCACGAGTATAGCATTTTGTCACATACATGATAATTATTGAAAGCACCAAAAAAACACTTCGAAACTTAGATGTAGCATCTTTGTAGATATGCTGGTTTAGGCGGTTCCTCGTGTAGTGATAGAGCCTTTGGTGCACAAAGTAGAACATGCTTTGGTACATTCTCCATTCACAATTTCACTTTCGTCTAGCCACCGAAACAAAAATATATAAATAGATTTAACATCTTGTCTATTATTCTAACATAAATAAGAACAATAATGAGCTTTGAGAGTTTGTTTTACCAGTGCTTTGGAGAGTGGTTATGGCACCACACACAGATGATACACACCCCAACTTGCAGTATTCATTGACAACATCACCTTAAGTAGGAATAAAATAAAATAAGACGTAGCATAAAAAAAAGAGATTTCCCTCTTGTCACGAATAAAACTAATTTCAAAGAAATCGTGATTTACCAGAGTTGTCTTTTAGAAAGCCCGGAGGGCAATTCCCGTCAATCAATTTGCATCCACTGAGTGATGCACAAGTAGGCCGAGGAATTCCCCCGAGACGACATGTATTATAAACATTTCTAGCATTTGTTGTCGGACAGCAGCTCCTTGCTTCTATTTGAGTTTGCGCCATGACCAGACTCATTATGAGCAAACCTAAAACCACAGTTTTGCTTTCCATCTTTTGACTTATGAGTAGCACGTAGAGGAAAACACTTATAAGCTTGTATCGATGGAATGCTTAATTATGAAACTAGACTTGCTTAAATACTGGTTGTATAACCATTTCTCACCACAAACTCCATTTATTTAATGTTCCCACAAGCTTCGCCGACTACCCTATCCTTAAGCTCATGTGTCACGGGGCTACCATAAACTACTTCACGAGCAATTTGTTTCAAATATTCAAGAAAATTGTTTTTTTTCTGTCTGTTCAATATTATTATTTTCTTTTTGGGAAGATATTGTGTTACTTAGAATGCTAAACGAATTTAGTTGAAGCTTGATATTAAATATTTTTCTCTTATATTCACTATTCACATTTGTTTGGTGCTGGGTTACGTATATTTTTATGTTGGTACGTACCATTACTACAATGCTTAGGATGAAAGCTTATTAGAAGTGGAAAACAGAAGAGGAAAGCTTCTCTAGCACGTAACACCACATGCTCTGTTCATGGAAAGAGAGTGGCTATACTTTTTTTTTTTTTTTTTTTTTTTTTTTTTTTTTTCTGTTTGAACAATGCTTTAAAGCGAATAAAGAGATAGGGAAGAAACGAATAAAGCGAAGCAATTAAAGAGGCTTATTGAATCACAAAACACTAGATTTGGCTTCAAGCAATTAAAGAGGCTTTGACTCGCGTGTAGGATCAAACAAAGACTTTTTTCATCATCAAACGAATTTGCGACTCCCAAAGAGTCTTATTAGTTTACGCATAGTAAGAAAACAAAAACAATAAAAAGCTCAAGACCAATCCAACTATCTTGCACGTCAAGGAAATTAAGGAAATCACATTAAGTTTCCTTTGTAGGTAGGGAAACCAATCTCAAAATCGAAAAGGAAAAAAAGGGTTTTCTAAGTTCTATAAAAGGCTGACACATCCAAAAATTAGAGGGACGATCTCTGGATAGCAAAGCAATGACGTTTCTTGTTTTGTGAGAAAGGTTTTTATTTTATTCGATCTCTGTAGTAAAACAATCGGTATAAAGTAGTTGATATTAGGGCTCACTTCTCTTAGTGTTTTATGCAATGACGCAGGGAAAAAGATCCAAAACATCTTCAGCAGTTTATCTTTCCTATCTTCCAGATGATTTACTGTTGAATTGCTTATCTCGCGTCTCGAGATCGTACTATTCGACTGTCTCCTTAGTCTGCAAAAGATTCCACTCTCTCGTTACATCGCTTGAGCTTCCCAATAATCGAGCGCTCATAGGCCGCAGTTGTCTTTATCTGTGCTTTAGGTTAATCTCTGAACCTGAGCCATGTTGGTTCACTCTATGCCAAAGACCAACTGGAATCCCTAACCCTAAGTCAAGATGGTTGACTCCTTGCTTTATACCTAAAGGAAGCGTGGAGAAAAAGTTAAATATTTCTCATCATGCTTGGTCGACTCGTGCCGTGATTGGTTCAAATATTGACACGAGTGGCGAATGCATAGATGATGATGGGTTCTCGTCTAGGGTCCTCTTCATGGACCGTCGTTCTCACACTTGGCGCCTAGGTCCAAGTATGCGGACTGCCCAAGATTTCCCCCTTGTGAGTGTTCTTGATGGGAAAATTTATGTAGTGGAAGGTTCGAACAATCCTAGTTCCTCGAATTTGATCGAGATTTTTGATCCGAAAACCCAGATATGGAAGCATGTGCCAAGCCCTAGAGCGGAGATTCTCGGACAGAGTTGTACATTAAGAAGCTTAGCCATAGGCGGAAAGCTTTACCTGTTTGGGGATAAATGTATGGTGTACGAGCCGGAGGAAGATAAATGGGATGTGGTTGAAGAATCGGATATGCGCTGGGGTTTGGTTGATTCTGTTTCTTCTTGCGTGATAGATAACGTTATGTACAGTTCTGGAATGTCCAGAAAGCTCCAATGGTACGATTCCGTGGGAAGATTATGGAGAGATTTAAATGGTTTCGGAGGGCTTCCTAAATCACCAAAGCATGGTCGTGGCCGTGTTAGGTTGGTGAATTATGGTGGAAAGATTGCGTTTTTGTGGGAAAAGAAAGTTAATTCTACTGGCTCAGACGAGAAGAAAATTTGGTGTGCTGTGATTGAGGTTGTAAAAGGGAAACGGACAAGAGGTTTATGGGAAGCTTGAGTGGTGTGCTGTTGTTCTTACAGTTCCTAAGTCATGTCGTTTGTTGGATTTTCTTGCTGTTAATGTTTGATGGAATGAACATACATATAATTTTTTTTTTCAAAAGGTGATAATTAATCACATGTAAATTATTCTAGTTAATATAGTTTACAAATATGCTAGGTTGGATTGATCTTGTGACACGACCAGGTAAGGTTGCATTGATTTTCTTACAGTTCAATGATCAAATGTCAACAAAAGAAAGGACTTTAGTAGAAACGGAAATAGGTCCTGTAAACAAAAACACAGTAGCGGTGAGGTGACTCCCGAACCCACCAATTAAGATTACATGACTTTTACTTGTCTAATTTGAAAAGAGAAACATAATCAGTATTTTTCAAGAAATGCTCTCAAAAATAGTTTAAAACGTTCTTCGGGGCATCTATCCAGATGCTTCGAGGAGGACATAGTTCAACCCAGCTCCCCCATTCCTTAGACGGATTGTAACTGCTTTCATCAAACGAATAGGTCACACAACGCTTGCGATTGTAACCAAACCTTGAGAAACAAACATTGTTCCTCATTTGTGGGAGATTCTTTCTCACCTCAGAGTTATAAAAACTGACAAAGAACGTCAAGCTATCAAGAAGCTCAGCATCACTCATCTCCTCCCATTGCAAAGAGACTAGTTTATAGACCACTGGCTTCTCATTTCCGCTTGTAACCATGAGAAAAAGCTCACCATTCCTCTCTGCCAAAAATGCTGCTTTATTATCCTGATTACAATCAAGACCCACATCTTTATAACCATGATAACTCCATGTGCGGGAAGATGGGTGAAAGGAATATAAGTCAGCTCCTCCAGCATTATAGCAATAGAATCGCTCATTGAGATAGACAATCTTGTTATACATAGTAAACAGCTGATTACCAGTAGGGATGTTCTCTGTAGTAATCCACTCAGTTGCTCCAGGATGGGAAGTGCTGATAGTGACATAATATTTCCTAGCAAAGTTTAACGCTATCACAACACAGTTATCCGATGTTGGAGGACCAGAGAATGCAATATCCCGAAAACGCAGCTCAAGCTTAGGCAAGCTTATGAGCTCTCGAGAGAACGGGTTGAAGAAGAACATCTCGTCTTTTCTAGATCTCTGCATAAGTAACCAACCATATCTTGAGTCACGCACAGTGGAGTCGGCTAGCTCTGGCAGTTCCAAAGTGTAGGGCTTCCATTTCAATGGATCACGGAATTGAAAGGAGTTGCCACGTTTAGGAAAACACATAAGCCAAGGATGTTGTTCCACCACACGAACAGCTACACCAGCTTCAAGCCAAGGCTTGCATGCAGTAGATGCTCTGATGTTTTCTTTTAACTCAAGTCGAGACATTATGTCTTCCAAAAGACTTGATGGAAGGTCAGCGAAACTCGGATTCAATGCCTCTTCGCTCCGTGTTTTGAGTCTACAAAAATCAGATACAAAAGTTTGTGAATTCAGTCTCAAAGTGAAAAGCTGTAATATATTTCAACTCCAACGGACACGACAAGAAACACAAAATAACTATTAACCCTACATGTTCCCGATTGTACAAAATCTGTAGATTCCGTAGAAAACTCAAGCTAAAATTATGAAATTCAATTCAGATCCAAACCAGATTCACCCCCGAAAATATTAAAAACGCTTAATCACACGCACTTCTCAATGCTCATATCCAATACAAAATCTGTAGATTCCGTAGAAAATTCAAGCTAAACTATGAAATTTAATTCATATTCAAACGAAATCCACCCTCGAAAATATTAAAAAGGCTCAATCACACATACTTCAATTCTCATATCCAATACAACTGAATATTGTAACACATAAAAACTGCTTGAGAGTAACGAACCTTTTTCGAGCGACGGTGGTTGGAGACGGTGAACTTGACTTCATGGCCGGAGACGGCGGTGGGGTTTGACGAGGCAGCAGTGGTCGCATATCGCCTATATTCACTCTATAGAGAATCTAAAATATTAGGGGTTTGTTGTTGTTTTTCATTTACTTTTAACACTTTGATTTGTTGTTATCCTCTCTGTCCGAATCTTATATAATCAAATGACTAAGATGGGTATAAAACATTTGACTATACAATTTTATTTTGAGGTTTTTTTGTAATATCATATTATAGCTAAACCTTTGAATTTTAATTCAGATTTACTACCGAAAAGACAAAAACTCAATCACAACCCTAAATCGAATTAATAAAACTGAATTTTTAAGGAATATTATTATTTATCAAAACTGCTTAAGAGTAACGAACCTATTACGGGCGACGGTGGTTGATGACGGTGAATGTGACTTCATGGCCGGAGACGGCGGTTGTGTTTGATGGGGCAAGTGAAACGGTGGTCGCATATGGTCTATTCGACACAGAATCTAAACTCTTAGGGTTTTGTTGTGTTTCATTTACTTTCACCACTGAGTTGTGATTCTTCGTTCTCCAACGCTCTCAGATGTCTTTTTGTATATTTATTGTTACAAAGTAGGGTTTGTTGGTCGCACCGCTTCGATTCCTCCTAAATGGTTATAATCTTTTTGGTCAAAAGTCAATCTTTCACCCTTGATTTTTTTTGTTATTTCTTTTTTTCAGAGAAATTAGCCTATATTACCATCAAAAATATTAAAATTACATGCGATGTGGTTAGAGAATTAGAATACATTTCGTATGTAATTAATACAAGTTTTCCCCCTGCATGCAACAAGAAAAGAGACAGAAGTTTAATAACAAAAAAATTCACTCACTTCTATTTACTTCACCACTTTTCTGTTTAACAATTGTCTTTCTTACCAAAAACACTAAGCAAGTTTCTACCTCCACGATTCCGCATTTTAGTAGCTGTAGTTTGACTAATTTCTTCTTATTTAATAAAAATTATTTTATGTTATTTGAATTTATATTGTACTATATTTTACTACTCGGGACTATGTTAAATTATCATTTTTGTACATAGGTTTCACATCCATGCAACCGCGGCTCATACATGATTTTTGTTGTTTTCATCTGAAAAAGGTGGAAACTCATAGTAAGTGAATTGATCTCAGAGTTAGAGATAAATTTATGAGTTGGTTGTCGAATGCTTGAAACTTGTTTTTGAGGTAGGACTTAGGTGTTGTGAAGAATCTCCCACAAGAGTGTTATGTCGTTTGGGTTTTCTTGCTGTTAATGTTTGATGGAATGAACACGCATTAGCCATTAATATCATTTAGAATTCCAGGAAATAAGATTTGTTTGCAAAACAAAAGCAAACAGCTTTTTAGTTTTTACAGGGATGTGTTAGGCAGACAAAAACAGAGCGAAGTCAGAGAAGATAGGAAACAACACAAAGCTCTAAATAAGCCAAACAAAAAAAACACGCACAATGTGTTGTTCATAAGCATCATCATATTAAAAAACCAAAATGACCTTAATGGCTAATCTGTTCATTCCTCAAACATCAACAGCGAGTAATTCAAATAAACCAAATGACTTGAGAACCGTAAGCACAACATCACACCACTCAATCTTCCCATAAACCTCTTGTTCGTCGCTGCGTCTTTCAAGCGCGATCACAGCACACCAAATCAACTTCTCGTCAGAGATAATAGCATTATCACCCTCCCAAAAAACCGCAATCTTTCCACCATAATTCACCAATCTAACACGATCACTACACATTGGCAAACTAGGAAGCTTTTCCAAACCCTTCAAAGCTCTCCACACTATTCCCTCGGAGTTGTACCAATGGAGCGTTTTGCTATATCGTGTACTGTACATTACGTTGCTTATCACGCAAGTAGGATCCCAAGGAATCCAATTAAACCAAGTCGTGGATCCTACGACTTGCCATTTATTTTCCTCGGGCGTGTAAACCATATTATAATCAGTCCCAAACAGGTAAAGCTTTCCGTCGATAGCTAAGCTTTTATAAATGGTGTTTTCGCGGAGCATCTCTGCAGTAGGGTTTGACACACGCTCCCATATTTGAGTTTTCGGATCGAAACACTCGATTAAACTTGAGGAACCAGGCTCGTTACAGTCTTCCGTGACATATATTTTCCCATCAAGAACACTCACGACAGTCCCTAGTGCAGGCCCTAGTGCAGGGATGCTTGGAGGCGCCTTGTGCATACATGGAGCTTCGTGCCAAGTGTGAGATCGACAGTCCAAGTACAAGACCTTAGACGAGGGAAACCCATCATCATCAGTGTATACGCCAATCGCGTAGATGTTAGGACCAGTTGCGGCACCAGTCCAGAACGGAGGAGAATCATTGCGTGTTGGGACAGAGACCATAAGATTTTCTTCCTTCCTAGAAGGATTCTTTGGGACTTTATGCGGTCTAAAGCATGAAGTGAACCATCCTGAGTTAGGGTTAGGGTTAGGGTTTAGGGTTCGAGTTGGCTTTCGGCATAGTGTGAACCAACGTTGGTTAAAAGTCTTAAAACCAGGAGAGCGGATGCACAGATAAAGACAAGTCTCGGTGCGGCCTAAGAGCGTTCGGGTTTGGTAAAGCTCAATCGATGCAGTGAGAGAACGAAATCTCTTGGAAACTAAGGAGAGAGTCGGATAGTACAATCTCGAGACGCGAGCTAGGCAGTTCAACAGTATATCATCAGGAAGATTACTAACCTGTGAAGAGTCTGAAGACTCTTTGCCGTTTGACATTCGCAGAAAACGCTTAAGAGAGTACATCAAACTCGAGAGCTGGAGAAGAATTTCACTGCTTCAAATCTGATGGTTCGTGAATTGGCCTCTCTAATGACGGTTCCATGTTTATCTGGTTTACTCCTTGGTTCGGTTCGGTTCTATTTCAAGTTTTATTGCGTTTGGGCTGTAATAGAAAGTGGGCCTTACACAACGATGAGGATCAATTTCAAGTCTTATTGCGTTTGAGTGTTTGATGAATAAACACATTAGCCATTAATGTAGTTTTGTTTTCAATATGATCATACGATGAAGGATGTTTCTATACTGCTTTAAGAAGAATAATGCATATTACTGTTTAGGCATGTTATAAGTTTGCTTTTGCTTTTGTTCTGCATGCAGACGATGTATTATAATGTATGTACAATGGAATGACTAAACGGCAGATTCGATTGTTTCATCCTAAACGCTATAGTCGATTGAAGCGGAAGATTCGATTGTTTCTGGATATCCTCTTTTCTTTTTTCTATTTGTAATCGCTTTTCAAAAACTGTATGACCATGGTCATAGCTATATGTAATGGTAATTTTAATAATATAAGTTTTTAAGAAAAAAAAAAAAAAAAAGAACGACTAAACGGCTGATTGTTTTATGTAACTTATATAATCCCAACAAGTAATCTTCTTTTCTTCCTCCAAAAAAAGCCTTTCTAGCAGTTTCAAAATGATAGTTGAAATATATTTTTCTTTAATGTGAAATGATAGTAACTTATATCATAAATGACAACCTCATATGGCTCATGAAGTTCGTTCATCAAACAGTACCAGTGATATCTTAGTAACAAAAAAAAAAAAAACAATGAAAAGCTCAAGCAGGTTGTGGAAGCCTCTTAGCCTAGTGGTTGAAGGGATTTAATACTTCTACACCAGGAGGTCTGGGTTTCGAATCCCGGCGGATGCGATTTGCTAATGATTTATGCAGATTATTGAAGAAAAGCTTACAGGAGGTCTACAGAATGGTGCACGTGGAGCCGTCGGCCGGGGAGCCTTTGGAAATGGTAGAATCGTCCGTTGTAAAATTGTCTTGTAACAGTTCTCATATTTGTCTAATAGATTTGTCAATCCAATGTTAAAAAAAAATCAAGGAGATCAATTAGGAGATCACATTTAGATACTCATCCTCCTTTTTGTTTTCATTACTACATATATACGTATTAGTGTAATTTTCAGATCTCACTATTAGCAAATTCAAAATTTCAAATTATAACATCGAGTCATCAAGACTACAAACACAAGTTTAATTTGTTCATAATCAATTTGCATCTAGTGGTGGCATTTTTTGTCGAATGATATCGTCTATGTGTAACACCATTCGAGTTCAAATCAGTAGAAAACATCATGTTGAAAAAGTCTCATTCTTAGAGTCATTTTCATGATAGGAATCTTTGGTTCGTTAATTCTAAGTTTCTAACTACAAATTACACCACAAAAAAACCTTCTGATCACCATTATCATTGTATAGAAAGTTACAAATGTCCTTTAAGGGCCCAGTTTTCTGTTACAGCCCAAACGCAATATAACTTGAAATTAAATCGAACCGAACCAAGGAGTAAACCAGATCATGGAACTTAATCTGCGACTTTTGCTGGGTTTGTGATGATGATCATCGTCATCGTCTCATCGAGCAGCCATTAAAGAGGACGAACAGCGAAGAGATTTCTCCGATTGAGATGCGTAATCTCCCAGATGATCTACTGTTGAATTGCTTAGCTCGCGTCTCGAGATTGCACTACCCGATCCTCACCTTAGTCTCCAAGAGATTCCGCTCTCTCGTCGCATCGATTGAGCTTTACTCCACCCGAACGCTCTTACGCCGCACCGAGAGCTGTCTCTATCTCTGCTTAAGCTTCAGCTCCATATTTCAATTCGAGCCTCCTAAGCCACGTTGGTTCACTCTCTGCCAAAGACCAACTCGAATCCCTAAACCTAGCTCAGGACGGTGCTTCAGAAGAAAGCTCGAGGAGAAGAAGAAGAAGAAGAAGCCAAAGCCAATTGATTACCTGATGGTCTCAGTCCCGACTCACAATTTCTCTCCTCGGTTCGAATGTGTTCATGATTGGTACATAGTTTGATGACGCGGCTTCGTCTAGAGTCTTCTCCATGGATTGCACAGGAATCACACTTGGAACGAAGCGCCAAGCATGCGGATGATCAGAGAGTACCCAATCGCGAGTGTTGTTGATGGGAAAATGTATGTACTGGATGGCTTAGCCGGTCCCGGTTCTTTGGATTCGATCGAGGTTTTCGATCTGAAAACCCGAATGTGGGAGGATTTGCCGAGTCCTAGAGCAGAGATATTCGAGGGGAGTTTGGTATTGAGGAGCTTGGGCATGAATGGGAAGCTTTACGTGTGTGGCACAGGTAAAAGTATGGTGTACGAGCCTAAGGAAGATAAGTGGGATGTGGTGGTGGTGGAAGAGTCGGTGAAGCCTCCGTTTTTCTCTTCTTGCGTTGTTGTGAACAACGTAATGTACAGTCCGATGATGTCGGAGATGATCCATTGGTACGATTCTGTGGGAAGGTCGTGGAGAGTCTTGAAGGGTTTGGAAGAGCTTCCTAAGCTGCCAAAGCGGTGCAGTCGTGTTAAGTTGGTGGATTATGGTGGTAAGATTGCGGTTTTGTGGGTGAAGAAAGTGCGTTCTGCTGTTGGATTTGGCAAGAAGAGGATTTGGTGTGCTGTGATTGCGGTTGAAAGGCGAAGCAGCGACGACGAACAAGAAGAGGTTTATGGGAAGATTGAGTGGTGTCATGTTGTGCTTACAGTTCCCAAATCATGTCATTTGTTGGATTTACTCCCTGTTAAGGTTTGATGAATGAAACACATTTGCCATTATATGATGAAGTAACTGTAATCACTCCCAACAAATATTTTGTTCCTTTTATAAAAAGAAAGATAAATAAAAAAATATAACTTGAAAGGTAAAAGAGTTTCTAAGTAGAAGACAAATGTAAGTCTGATATATATAGAGCTTAAAACATTTCAAATGAGCTCAAGGAACAATGCTTCTTGTTTGCTGCTCAATCCAAGATCGTTAAGCGTTGCCTCACTTTCTCCATCACCAAACGCTTGCCGAGGGTATGGCCTCACCTGTTTCATTCATCACACCAAAACTTAGATCGACCTTAAACCGGCCTCAAACCGAAGGCAAAACCGGTCAACACATATAGTTTTATTGACAAAAGAAGGAGAAGTTTTTTACCAATCTGTAAGTCTTGGGTTTAACCACTCTGGCAATGTCTATGAAGTCGAATAGCACTTGGAGTTTGTCGGATTTAAGGAACCGGCGACCACGTCGAGTTCCATCTGGCATTCGGACTAGAAGGGTGATAGCATTCTCTTCGTCTGCTTGTGGTTCCTTAGGCAAAGATGCTTCTTTTGCAGCTAGTTGCCTCTCTAGCTCCTGCAATTAAAAGTTATAAGCAAAAGGACCGTAATCAGCAACAAGAGAACTGCCTTCACTAAAGTCTTGTGCAAACCGGCCTACATACTAACATTCCTCAGTTTCTGAACCTAGTGCAAACGCAGAATATCAGTTATAATCATTGTATGGTATTAGTTTTAGCTATCCAGCTTTCTGAAACAAAGAAGGGGTTTCAAAGGTGCATGCGGTTTGGCTGAACTTTCTCTATCTACTTGCAGGATTCTCAGTAACAATCCATACTCAAGAACTAAGGAAGACTTGTTTGAATGAGGCCTAAAGAACGAGAGTTACAAGTGAACACAGAAGCAGCACCTGTTCTTCCTCGAGTTTTCTTTGAGCTTCTTCTTCTTTTTTCTTTTCTTCCTCCAGAAAAGCCTGTCTAGCGGTTTCTTCCTCTAACCGACGTACCTCGGCATCTCTAATGGACTGCAGTTCTTTATCTCGGTCAGCTTGCAGGGATGCAAGATATTCATCGTCCTGAATGAGGTAGCAGCACAATAAATTTTACTATCATCACCAATAAACCTCGATAAAGTAAAGGGTTTTACGAAGCAAGCTGGTAATTGCTGACTAACCTGCTGTTCTCGTATCAACCTTTGAGCTGTCAATGAAGGCGAGGGTGGGCGTGGTGGTCCCCACTGCTGAGGAGGTAAGAATGGACGATGATTATATCCAGTTTCAGGAATGCCACCAAACATGGCTGCCTCGAGCATCACAGCTTCATCATGCTCCTCAGACGAAATGCCTCCCCACTTGAGCATACACAAAAAAAAAGTATCAGTAATGGCATGTACTAGCTACTCGGATTCTTAATGGTAAAGTAATACAGTTACGCTAGTCTGGTCTCGATGTGTAAGAAACAAAGTTACAAAACAGATTGTATTGATACCTCAGAAGGAAACCTATTGCCACCATCCGCTGGATTATCTGCTTCAGGACTCCCGCTCCGGGAACGGTCAGCGTCAGGTGGGGCCAGAGGTCCAGACGCTACACGTCTTGGCCTGTGTCTAACAAGAGGTTCCTCATCAACATCATCTGAGTCATCCTCAAATGGTGAGCTAGGTGCTGCCAATCTAGACAATATAAAAGACAATCTGTCAGCCCTCGTTTTTTTGACAAACACCAGTAGATAAACCGCTTGGCAGAAGTTTTTGCTCCAAAGAATCAACAAACCTTCCGTTTAGGGCTTCAGTGACTTCAGGTCCTTGAGCAGCCGTCGTTTCAGAAGCTCCTATTTCTGAGGTTGAGGCCTTAAACCCTTGATTGCGCAAAACTTCTTCCTCCGCTGACTGCATTCGCTTATGTTAAAAGAATTCAAAGGGAAATGGAAGTACAAATAAAAAGAGAGGAGAGACAACAACAGACCTTCAATGACATTGTTACAGCTTTTGCTATGTCATCATCATCTCCCAAGTTAGACGGCCTCTCTACAGGCAAAGGATGAATTGATCCCTATAAAACAGTTTAAAAATATTGCTCAATCGATAAGCCAAGATAAACAAGAAGACAAATCAAAACACAGCCCATTCTCTTAGGATAGCTTACCTCAGCCTCCATTTTTGAGGCCTCAATGGCAGCTCGGATCATCTCTTCTTCTATATCATTGTAATCTTGAACATTATTAGGTGCAGAAGCATCATGTATAACTTCCCTACTTCTTGTTGTTGGTGCAAAAGGAATATCATCATCACTCTCTTCATCTATAATCACCGTCCCTTGTGTAGCTGGAGCCTGAACATGTGCGGTCTCTGTGACATCCTCAATGGTAGGAGCATCCCTAGATCGTTCTGATGGCTCACTGCTATCCTTAACCTCTATAGGTATCAGCCTAACCTCCCTCGGATGGCTAACAAACGAAGGTGGGCGTGGCATAAGAGGATCATTCTCAAATATACTTCTACCAAAGTTTGAATCCAGAAGGGAAAAGGGACTCGTTGATCTAACTGCATTGAGAAGATCTAGAGGAGATTGTGCAACCGGGATCACATCATCTATATCCATTTCATCGTCATGAGGCACATTCACCGGTGCTTCATGTACTCTGCACAAGCATCATCAGAACACACACACAAAAATGATAAATTTGCAGATGATAAAGTATAATCAATAGATGGACAATCATCAGTGAGATGGATGACATACACATTTCGATCTCCCTCACTGAAATATGCATTCACGGCTTGATTAAGATCACCACGATGTTCCTGCAATAATCAAAAGAAGATTGGATACAAAAATCAATTAGCTACATCAAAACAAGCACAAACTAGTCTACAATCACGTCTCAAACTCGACGTAAACTTCTGAAAACATTGGTCAAAATCATTCAGTCTTCAATGAATAAGTACTAACTATGATAAACGCGAGAATTCAGAAGAAATTGTAGAGCAAAAGCAGCAATGTAAGAAGAGAAACCCTTCTAGAAACTCAATCAAACCATCCAAAAACCTAAAATTTCGAAAATCAACTTCGATTACAACCCTAACAATCGGAGATCAAAGTAAAACAGAGAACAAAAAGAGTGGAGAAAAGCTTCCAATAATCAAACGATCAAACATCGAACTTTAACTTAATCGACTCGAGAAACTTCCAAAAATCATCCAAAACCAAAAGAGATACTAAATTCATGAAGAATCACGAAGATAGCGAAAGGAAACATGAATCCAGATGAGTAAACCGAATCACCTCGAGCTTCTGAACGGCGACGGCGTCGGAAGCGCCGGTGATGCTCATGAAAGTATCGATTGCTTCCTGATTCGGCGTCGCCATAAGAGTCGAAGATTGAGAGAATCTGAGAGAAGTTTCGTCTTCGCAACTTACGATTGTTGTGAAAAAAATTTCGTCTTTAGGGAATTGGAGTGAGGAAGGGGAAAAGAAAAGATGTTCTTATTGTTTTTGTTGTGAATTGGATTGGATCGGCGAGACTCGTCGTTTTAAGGTCTTTTTATTTGTTTTCGGTTGATTTTATTTCGTCGATGATAAAAATACTAATTACTCTTTTCTTTTGGGCTTTTTTTCTCTTTTGTTATTTTTATTGGGTCATTTGGAGAAGGACAATTTTTTGGTTTTTTCTCACTTGTTAACACATTTTTAGTCAAGTGTAGATCCTTCTACATCATTACAAAATTTAGGCTTAATATAGGTTACTAGATGATGATCCCCGCACATGTAATTTTTTTGTGAAAAGATGTATTTATAGTGGATGAAATAAGGTAATTATTTGTGATTATTCAGAAGGCTATTAATGGAGTAGGACGAGGAAGTCATCAAGTCACTCTACATCATCCCTTGAAGCAGAACTTTAGACGAGGATATCCTAAGGTTATGTCTTTAAATTCTAAGTTTTGGGGCTTTCTTTTTGATATCTAGTTTGTCTTCATGGTGCAAGTGCATGTGATGTCTATTGTATATAGCAGAAACGATTTAAAAAAAAAAAAAGTATTATTTTATAGTAATTACTAATTTATAAAATATTAATTTAGAGAAAAACTGAAGAAAATAAAATTAAATAAGTTCATATTTTGACTAATGTAATTGTAAGTTGATTAGAGTTGTTATAATTATCAAAAAAATGTTTTAAAATTTATTTTAATATGGAAAGATATATACAATGGAAAAGGGATGGGAAAAAAAGGAAATAAATCTTTTTTTCTGGTTTCTATATGAATTAGATATTTTCATAAGTTGATTTTTTTGTTTTAACTATTAATTAGGGGTACAATAGGATTAACATTAATATAAAGCCTAGTATTTCAAAGTGTAGATACAAATATATGGTTTCACAAACCTACACAATTACTTATACCATAACATTTTTTTATAATTTATATTAAAATGTAATATTACATTTATACCATTGTTTTTGATAATTGTACTATCACTTTTTTTTTATTGTACTACCTTTTTTTGTAATATACATTTTTGTACAGTCAGAGATATGATATCCTTTTATTTGGTAACAGATTATCATTAGATTTTGTACTGCCAATTTAAGCCATAGTCAAATGTTTTCTTAGTTATATCATGTTAGTCATCTGACTATCTGAGAGTCTATGGGAAGAGAATAACGTACGACAAATCGAAGTGTTGAAAGTAAATTAAAAACAACAAAAACCTAAGATTAGATTCTCTTTAGACGTAATGCGGCGACTGATACCCCGTCCAACCCCACCGCCGGCTAAGGCCATGAAGTCATCACTGTCTCCGGCCATAAGGTCACGTTCACCTTCTTCAACCACCGTCTCCGACCAAAGGTTGGTTACTCATCAAGCAGTTTTTACGGTTAATAATATTTAATTAATTGCATTAGATATGAGAAATGTGTGAGATTGAGCGCTTTTTAAAATATTTATCCGGATGAATCTTGTCTGAATCTGAATTGAATTTTAAAATTTTAGCTGGATTTTTATACGAAATGAACAGATGATTATTAAAGAGTTAGGGGTAGATAGTTTCATATGTGTTTCTTGTTGTGTCCGTGCGTTGGAGTTGATATATATCACAGCTTTCGCACTTTGAGATTGAATTTGAGAAAGTCACAAAAATATTTGCCGTAATTTGACCTTCATTTATTGTTTTTTTGTAGATTCAATCCGGCGAATCCGAGTTTCAATGACCTTCCATCAAGTCTTTTGGAAGACATAATGTCTCGACTTGAGTTAAAAGAAAACATCCGAGCATCTACTGCATGCAAGCCTTGGCTTGAAGCTGGTGTATCTGTTCGTGTAGTGGAACAACATCCTTGGCTTATGTGTTTTCCTAAACGTGGCAATTCCTTTGTGCTCCGTGATCCAGTGAAATGGAAGTCGTTCATCACTTTGGACCTGCCAGAGCTAGCTGGCTCGACTGTGCGCTACTCAAAAGATGGCTGGTTGCTTATGCAGAGATCTAGCGAAGACGAAGACGAGATGTTCTTCTTCAACCCGTTTACTCGGGAGCTCAGGAGCTTGCCTAAGTTGAAGCAGGCTTATCGGCATTTTGCATTCTCTTGTGCTCCTACATCGGATCGTTGCGTCGTGTTTGCCTTAGAGCCTAAGAAGGAGGATGTCACTATCAGCACTTGCCATTCTGGAGGAACTGAGTGGACTTCTAACGACTTCGATGAAGAGTTTAGTACGATTAGTAATATCGTCTATCTGAATGAGCGATTCTATTGGTATGAAAGCTGCAAAGAATTAGAAGAAGGCTTATACTCCTTTCACCCATCATCTCGCACATGGGATTATGATCGTGCTTTGTATGGCTGTTTTGATGTGGAAGGTGATGTGTACGAGCAATCAGCTTGTTTGGCAGAGAATAAGGGAAAGCTCTTTCTCATTATGACAAGCAGTTATTTTAAGAAACCGGTGGTCTATAGACAAGGCATGCTCCCGCCGGGCTATTCGGTTTTTTGGTTGGAGATGAGTGAAGCTCGCCTTGATGGCTTTACATTCTTTGCCAGTTCTTATAACTCTGAGGTGAGGAAGAACCTCCCATGGGTGAGGGACAATATCTGTTTCTCAAGGCCTGGTCGCAAGCGCAAGCGTTGTGCTTCCTTCTCCCTCAAGAAAAGAACCTACAGTCCGTCCAAGGAATGGGAGTGGCTTGAACTCTGTCCTGCTGGAAGCATCTGGATCGATCCCCCGAAGAACGTTTCAAAATATCTGTGAGAGCTTTGCTTGAAAATTGACATTTTTCTTCTCTCTTGAACTTTTTTTTTTCCTAAAACCTATTTCCGCTTCTGTTGGACTCTTCTTCTTATTTTGGTTTATACATGGAACTGTTTGTGATTCACCATTGCTGAGGGGATTTTTTTTTGCATTTAAACATCAAAAAGAGAGATAGTTTTTCCAGCTTCTCCCGTCAACACTCGGGCTGTTTCAGGATAAGACATTACTTGAATATCTTAGGAGAGGAGGAGTCTCTATACAAAACCCTAAGACTGTAGATTCTCTGTCCAATAGACTGCGACCACTGTTTCACTTGCTCCATCAAACACAACCTCTGTCTCCGGCCATGAAGTCACATTCACCGTCATCAACCACAGTCGCATTTAAGGAGTTTTTACAAATTATAATATTCGTTAAAAATCAGTTGTTTTTAATTCGATTCGATTTGAGTTTTTGTCTTTTCGGTGGTGCATTAAAAATCCAAAGGTTTAGCTATGATATGATACAAAATAAAGCCACAAAATAAAATTATATAGTTATGTGTTTTTATACCAATCTTAGTCATTTGACTATATGAGATTCGGACAGAGAGGATAACAACAAATCAAAGTGTTAAAAGTAAATGAAAAACAACAACAAATCCCTGATATTTTGAGATCCTCTATAGAGTGAATATAGACGATATGCGACCACCACCGCTGTCTCGGGCCATGAAGTCATTTGATATGTTATAGGGAAAATACCCTTCAACAGCTTTGACAACAATAATGAAAAATTACTGACGCAAGTAACTAATTGCTAACGCATAAATTTGAGTTTACTGCAACCTTACCTGGTCGTGTCAGGATCAATGAAACCACTGATTTCCGCTTGTAATCATGACTTCATGAGTGGTCTACGATCTTTTATTTCTCCGGAATTTTTTGGCTGATTTGTATAGTTATTCTTGTTTTACTAAGATATCCACAAAAATAATAAGATTGCAGGTTCGACTAATTGCATTTCCTGGGTACCACACTGGTTTGAACTTGATAAAATGGGGACACGTGAAACTAGGATTGTTCATCAAGAATGTGTTATTAGTTTTTATGTGTTGATTGATCTAACAATTAGTGGAAATACCGGAGTTAGGTTAACAAGACATGTCTGAATCAATAATCAACCGTGAGAAAGAGAGTCCAAAGCCCTAATAGCTCAAGTTTAATTAATACATGTCTGAATCCGAGTTTCAATCATGTGTTAATCATATATCTCCATATGTTGCTAGTAATAAAAACATAATTATTGACAATTAATTTTAATAATTTTTAGCCAAGAAAAAAAACAACCACCTGACACTACCACAAACTTTAATATTAAAAATAAAAAAATTACTTGTATTATCACTTTTTTGTACTACTATATAGAATAACATTACACATTTACACTTATACTATTGTTTTGGCATTTGTTCTCTCACTTTTTTTATTGTAATAATTCTCGTTTTTTTTTTGTAATATTCATTTTGTACTATCACAAATATAATATCTCTTTATTGCCTACAGATTTACATTATGTACTGCCAAAATTTAGTGATACCAATAAAAAATTCAAAACCATAGTACATTGTTTTGTTTTATAATTTTTATTTATACCGTCTTAGTAATTTGACTATCTGAGATACTACGGGCCGAGGATAACGACAAATTAAAGTGTTAAAAGTAAATGTAAGACAACAACACCTTAATAGACAATATGCGACCACTGTTGCTCCATCAAACACCGCCGCCGTCTCCGGCCATGAAGTCACGTTCAGTCGTTCACCTTCTTCAACCGCCGTCTCCGACAAAAGGTTCGTAATTACTCTTAATTAAGCAGTTTTGACAGTTTATAATATCTAGTTGCATTAGATATGAGAAGTGTGTGAGATTGAGCGCCAAATGAACAGATTTGTTATAAAGAGTTAGGGGTAGATAGTTTCATATGTGTTTCTTGTTGTGTCCGTTGGAGTTGAAATATATTAGAGTATACCCGCTTTTTCACTTTGTGATGCCGAAGATCAAGTAGGAACTGTAACTATCAGTACCAATCTGGAGCAAGTGATTGAATTACTACTGAGGACTTCCCTAGAACTGGTTTGATAGGTGTAGCAAGCTTATCAATGTCAATGATCGATTCTATTGGTTTAAGTGCTTTGTCAAAGCGGGTGCTGCTTGTATATCTTTCACTCATGATACTATTAGACTATTTTCTGAATTCTGAGAGCTTTGCATGAAAAATGATACGTTTATCTTTTCGAATTAGATAAGTAGACGTCATGTAATTGTGATTCTAATTTATGGGGCTCTCTCTTTGAATTCTAATTTTGTCTTCTTGGTCGAAGTGTTGTGATTTTATATAGCGGAATCCCATTTAAAAAAAAACAAAAACTATTATTTTATAATAATTTACTTTATCAAACATTATTTTGGTGTAAGACTGAAAAATAATAATAAAATGAGATATCATTCTATATATTTTATCCATAGTTTCACTAATCTAATCGTAAGTTTATTATTAGAGTTATATATTTATCAAATAATTTTTAAAATTATTTTAATATGAAATGATATAAAAAATCGGAAAAGGGATGGGAAAAAGGAAAGAAATATTTATTTTTTAGATTCTCTATGAATTATAAATATTTATACTAAATTGATTTTTTTTAACTATTAATTAGGTGTACAATAGGATTCACATTAATATAAAGCCTACTTTCCCAAAGTATAGATACAAAGATATGGTTTCACAAACCTATACAATTACTTATACCATAACATTGTTTGTACTATTATTACAAAAAAGTAGTATTACACTTTTACCATTGTTTTGACAATTGTACTATCACTTTTGTATTGTACTACTTTTTTTGTAATATACATTTCTGTACAATGACAGATGTAATATCCTTCCTTTTGATTGGTAACACATTAAAATTACATTTTGGACTACCAAAATCAAAGCCATAGTCAAATGTTTTATTAGTTATACCATCTTAGTCATCTGACTATCTGAGATTCTATGGGAAGAGAATAACGTAAGACAAATCAAAGTGTTGAAAGTAAATGAAAAACAACAAAAATCTAAGATTTTAGATTCTCTTTAGACGCTATTCGACCCCTGTTGCCCCCTCAAACCCCACCGCTATCTCCGGCCATGAAGTCAAAATCGATGTCTCCGACCAAGAAGTCACATTCACCTTCTTCAAGCACCGTCTCCAACAAAAGGTTCTTTACTCTCAAGCAGTTTTTACGGTTAATAATATTTAGTTGCATTAGATGTTAGAAATGTGTGAGATTGAGCGCTTTTTCAAATATTTATTTATCCAGGGTGAATCTGGTCTGAATCTGAATCTGAATCTGAGAATCTGAATTGAATTTCAAAATTTTAGCTGGAATTTTCTTACGAAATGAACAAATTATTTATAAAAGGTTAGGGGTATAGTTTCGTATGTGTTTCTTGTTGTGTCCGTACGTTGGAGTTAAAACATATTACAGCTTTCTCATTACGAGACTGAATTTGAGAAAAGTCACAAATTGTTTGCCCTAATTTGAACTTCATTTATTGTTTTTTTGTAGATCCAAACTCGTGAATCCCAGTTTCGCTGACCTTCCATCAAGTCTCGTGAATCCCAGTTTCGCTGATCTTCCATCATGTCTTTTGGAAGTAATAATGTCTCGACTTGAGTTAAAAGACAACATCAGAGCATCTACTGCATGCAAGCCTTGGCTTGAAGCTGGTGTAGCTGTTCGTGTGGTGGAACAACATCCTTGGCTTATGTGTTTTCCTAAACGTGGCAGTTCCTTTGAGCTCCGTGATCCATTGAAATGGAAGCCGTACACTTTGGAACTGCCAGAGCTAGCTGACTCCACTGTGCGTTACGCAAAAGATGGATGGTTACTTATGGAGAGATCTAACGAAGACGAGGTGTTCTTCTTCAACCCGTTTACTCGGGAGCTCATAAGCTTGCCCAAGTTGAAGCTGGCTTATGGACAGTTTGCATTCTCTTGTGCTCCTGCATCGGATAATTGCGTTGTGGTAGCGTTAGAGTCTAAGAGGGATATTGTCACTATCAGCACTAGCTACCCTGGAGGGACTGGGTGGAATTCTTCGGACTTCCCTACATTCTATAGTTCGATTACTAATATTGTCTATCTGAATGAGCGATTCTATTGCTATGAAGGGTTCAAAGCAGAAGGAGAAGGCTTATATTCCTTTGACCCATTTATCCACACATGGGAGTATCATCCTGCTACTTATGGCTGTTTTGATGTGAGAGGTGATCCCTATGGCTATGAGCAATCAGCTTGTTTGGCAGAGAATAATGGAAAGCTCTTTCTCATATTGACAAGCAGGCATGAGAAGAGACCGGTGGTCTATGATCAAAGAATCTCGGATGGAGGCATGGAGTTTTGGGGGGAGATGAGTGATGCTCGCCTTGATGGCTTTACATTCTTTGCCAGTTTGTATAACTCTGAGGTGAGAAAGAACCTCCCATGGGTGAGGGACAATATCTGTTTCTCAAGGTCTGGTCGCAAGCGCAAGCGTTGTGCTTCCTACTCCTTCAAGGAAAGAAGCTACAATACAGCTAAGGAATGGGAGGACTGGCTTGAACTTTGTCCTGCTGGAAGCATCTGGATCGATCCCCCGAAGAACATTTTAAAATATCTATGAGAGCTTTGCTTGAAGATTGACTTGTTTCTTCTCTCTTGAACTTTTTTTTTTACAAAAACCTATTTCCGCTTCTGTTAGACTCTTCTTCTTCTTTTGCTTATACATGGAACTGTTTGTTATTCTCGATTGCTGAGTGAACATTGTTTTACATTCAAACATTAAAAAGACAGATTGTTTTTCCAGCTTCTCCCGTCAACATACTCGTGCTGTTTCAGGATAAGACATTACTAGAATCACTTATAGGCCTGGTTCGATATCAGATCAACGCATCCAAAAGCCAAGCCATACAACTTCCTAACTCATCTTTACAAACCAGAAAGTATAATATTTAAGATCCTACAAAAAATCAAAGAAACATAACCTTAAAGCTTAGAGAGGGTTTCATTAACTGCAAACGAAAAGAGAAAATCCTACCCATTTCTATTCTTTTAGATGCAACTAAGACAACATAGGTGCAAGACGTTTAAGAAAAAAGAAAACATATGGATAATTAATCATCAAGAAAAACATAAATGAAAGAAAAACAAATCTTTATGTCTGTCACTCTGTGTACAGTGTACATAGGGAATAAAAAAACAAAAACACCATATATTGGTGAAATAATATGTAATTGAAAAAGAAGTCTTTACGTGTTTTACAGAGTTGGTAAATAAACACTTCAACATCTTGCTGTCCTTCGGGCTTTGAAGAACGAGGATGGACTTTTTGTCGAATATGAGGAGCTGAGCCAAACGAAAGTCGCTAACATGGTACAACACAACTGCCACTTCCTCCGAGTGTAGCCACATCCAGGGTTCCATTTGGCATAGCTACAAATTCATTTCTTTGTCTGGATTTCTCCGAGGGTGAATCTGGTTTGAATCTGAATCAACAATCAACCGTGAGAAAGAGTCCAAAGCCCTAATTTCCTATAGCTAGAGTTTAATAAGACATGTCTGAAACCGAGTTTCAATCATGTGTAATCACATCTCCATATGTTGCTAGTAATAAATATATAATTATTGACAAATCAATTTTAAAATATGTTAGCCCAATAAAAAAACACCTAAGACAATCAGTGTATCACAAACTTTAATAATTATTTACCCTAAATGTTTCCGATTGTACAAAATATGTAGATTCCGTAGAAAACTCAATCTAAAATTTTGAAATTTAATTCAAATTCAAACCAGATTCACCCCCGAAAAGATTAAAAACGTTTAATCACACGCACTTCTCAATGCTCATATCCAATACAACTGAATATTATAACTCGTAGAAACTGCTTGAGAGTAACGAACCTTTTATGGGCGACGGTGGTTGAAGACGGTGAACTTGACTTCATGGCCCGAGATGGTGGTGGTGGTCGCATATCGCCTATATTCACTCTACAGAGAATCTAAAATATTAGGGATTTGTTGTTGTTTTTCATTTACTTTTAACACTTTGATTTGTTGTTATCCTCTCTGTCCGAACCTCATATAGTCAAATGACTAAGATGGGTATTAAAACACATAACTGTATAATTTTATTTTGTGGTTTTTTTTGTAATATCATATCATAGCTAAACCTTTGGATTTTTAATTCAGATTCACCACCGAAAAGACAAAAACTCAAATCGAATCGAATTAAAAGCAACTGATTTTTAACGAATATTATAATTTGTAAAAACTCCTTAAATGCGACGGTGGTTGATGACGGTGAATGTGACTTCATGGCCGGAGACAGAGGTTGTGTTTGATGGAGCAAGTGAAACGGTGGTCGCATATAGTCTATTAATTGGACATAGAATCTACAGTCTTAGGGTTTTGTTGTGTTTCATTTACTTTCACCACTTTGTGTAGTGACTCCTCCTCTTCTAAGATATTCTAGTAATCTCTGATCCTGAAACAGCCCGAGTGTTGACGGGATAAGCTAGAAAAACTATCTGTCTTTTTGATGTTTAAATGTAAAAAAAAAAATTCTCTCAGCAATGGTGAATCACAAACAGTTCCATGTATAAACCAAAATAAGAAGAAGAGTCCAACAGAAGCGGAAATAGGTTTTAGGAAAAAAAAAAGTTCAAGAGAGAAGAAAAATGTCAATTTTCAAGCAAAGCTCTCACAGATATTTTGAAACGTTCTTCGGGGGATCGATCCAGATGCTTCCAGCAGGACAGAGTTCAAGCCACTCCCATTCCTTGGACGGACTGTAGGTTCTTTTCTTGAGGGAGAAGGAAGCACAACGCTTGCGCTTGCGACCAGGCCTTGAGAAACAGATATTGTCCCTCACCCATGGGAGGTTCTTCCTCACCTCAGAGTTATAAGAACTGGCAAAGAATGTAAAGCCATCAAGGCGAGCTTCACTCATCTCCAACCAAAAAACCGAATAGCCCGGCGGGAGCATGCCTTGTCTATAGACCACCGGTTTCTTAAAATAACTGCTTGTCATAATGAGAAAGAGCTTTCCCTTATTCTCTGCCAAACAAGCTGATTGCTCGTACACATCACCTTCCACATCAAAACAGCCATACAAAGCACGATCATAATCCCATGTGCGAGATGATGGGTGAAAGGAGTATAAGCCTTCTTCTAATTCTTTGCAGCTTTCATACCAATAGAATCGCTCATTCAGATAGACGATATTACTAATCGTACTAAACTCTTCATCGAAGTCGTTAGAAGTCCACTCAGTTCCTCCAGAATGGCAAGTGCTGATAGTGACATCCTCCTTCTTAGGCTCTAAGGCAAACACGACGCAACGATCCGATGTAGGAGCACAAGAGAATGCAAAATGCCGATAAGCCTGCTTCAACTTAGGCAAGCTCCTGAGCTCCCGAGTAAACGGGTTGAAGAAGAACATCTCGTCTTCGTCTTCGCTAGATCTCTGCATAAGCAACCAGCCATCTTTTGAGTAGCGCACAGTCGAGCCAGCTAGCTCTGGCAGGTCCAAAGTGATGAACGACTTCCATTTCACTGGATCACGGAGCACAAAGGAATTGCCACGTTTAGGAAAACACATAAGCCAAGGATGTTGTTCCACTACACGAACAGATACACCAGCTTCAAGCCAAGGCTTGCATGCAGTAGATGCTCGGATGTTTTCTTTTAACTCAAGTCGAGACATTATGTCTTCCAAAAGACTTGATGGAAGGTCATTGAAACTCGGATTCGCCGGATTGAATCTACAAAAAAACAATAAATGAAGGTCAAATTACGGCAAATATTTTTGTGACTTTCTCAAATTCAATCTCAAAGTGCGAAAGCTGTGATATATATCAACTCCAACGCACGGACACAACAAGAAACACATATGAAACTATCTACCCCTAACTCTTTAATAATCATCTGTTCATTTCGTATAAAAATCCAGCTAAAATTTTAAAATTCAATTCAGATTCAGACAAGATTCATCCGGATAAATATTTTAAAAAGCGCTCAATCTCACACATTTCTCATATCTAATGCAATTAATTAAATATTATTAACCGTAAAAACTGCTTGATGAGTAACCAACCTTTGGTCGGAGACGGTGGTTGAAGAAGGTGAACGTGACCTTATGGCCGGAGACAGTGATGACTTCATGGCCTTAGCCGGCGGTGGGGTTTGGACGGGGTATCAGTCGCCGCATTACGTCTAAAGAGAATCTAATCTTAGGTTTTTGTTGTTTTTAATTTACTTTCAACACTTCGATTTGTCGTACGTTATTCTCTTCCCATAGACTCTCAGATAATCAGATGACTAAGATGATATAACTAACAAAACATTTGACTATGCCTTAGATTGGTAGTACAAAATGTAATGTTAATTTGTTACCAATCAAGAAGATATTATCTCTGACTATACAAAAATGTATATTACAAAAAAAGGTAGTACAATAAAAAAAAGTGATAGTACAATTATCAAAAACAGTGGTATAAATGTAATATTACATTTTAATATATAATACAAAAAAATATTATGGTATAAGTAATTGTGTAGGTTTGTGAAACCATATATTTGTATCTACACTTTTAGAAACTAGGCTTTATATTAATGTTAATCCTATTGTACCCCTAATTAATAGTTAAAACAAAAAAATCAACTTAATATGAAAATATCTAATTCATATAGAAACCAGAAAATAAAGATTTATTTCTTTTGATGATAACAAAAAAACATTTATTTCCTTTTGATGATAACAAAAAAAAAAAGATTTATTTCCTTTTTTCCCATCCCTTTTCCATTTATATATCTTTTCCATATTAAAATATTTTTTTTTAAAAATATTTGATAATTATAATAACTCTAATCAACTTACAATTACATTAGTCAAAATATGAATAAAATATATAAAAAATAACTTATTTAATTTTATTTTCTTCAGTTTTTCTCTAAATTAATATTTTATAAATTAGTAATTACTATAAAATAATACTTTTTTTTTTTTTAAATCGTTTCTGCTATATACAATAGACATCACATGCACTTGCACCATGAAGACAAACTAGATATCAAAAAGAAAGCCCCAAAACTTAGAATTTAAAGACATAACCTTAGGATATCCTCGTCTAAAGTTCTGCTTCAAGGGATGATGTAGAGTGACTTGATGACTTCCTCGTCCTACTCCATTAATAGCCTTCTGAATAATCACAAATAATTACCTTATTTCATCCACTATAAATACATCTTTTCACAAAAAAATTACATGTGCGGGGATCATCATCTAGTAACCTATATTAAGCCTAAATTTTGTAATGATGTAGAAGGATCTACACTTGACTAAAAATGTGTTAACAAGTGAGAAAAAACCAAAAAATTGTCCATTCTCCAAACGACCCAACAAAATAACAAAAGAGAAAAAGCCCAAAAGAGTAATTAGCATTGGTACTATCCTATTTTATTGTAATATATTTTTTTTTCTGTAATATCATATTACTAATATGCATCTTTTTTCGTTCACAAATTTAATATTTTTTATTGCCTACACATGCGCATTTTGGTAATATGTTTTGAGAATGGACATTTTTGTTTTTCAATGCCATAGTAATATGTTTTGTTTTCAGTGCCATAGTAACTACCAAAGATTAGTGTTACCAATCAATGCCATAGTAATATGTTATGTTTTCTTTATATCATAGTTTAGTCATTTGACTATCTGAGATTCTACGGGCAGAGGATAACGACAAATCAAAGTGTTAAAACTTAAAAGTAATAAATGTAAGGCAGCAAAACCCTAATATTTCAGATTCTTAATTCAGTGAGCAACTGAGCATAGACAATATGCGACCACTGTAGCTCCATCAAACACCACCGCCGTTTCCGGACATGAAGTCAGGTTCACCGTCTTCAACCACCGTCTCCGGTAAAAGGTTCGTTACTCTTACGAATTATAATATTAAGTTGTATTGGATATGAGAATTGAGAAGCGTGTGATTGAGCGTTTTAAAGTTTTTTGGGGGTTGAATCTGAAATGAAATTTAATATTTTAGCTTGACTTTTCAACAAAATCACAAGATTTAATTTGGATAATCGTATGGGTTGAAATATATTTACAGCTTTTCACATTGAGACTGAATTTGAGCAAGTCACAAAATTTTGCCCTAATTTGAACTTCGTTTATTTATTTTTTTGTTCTTGTAGATCCAAACTCGTGAATCTGAGTATTGCAGATCTTCCATCAAGCCTTTTGGAAGTAATAATGTCTCTGCTTGTGTTTAAAGATAACATACGTGCATCTGTTGCATGCAAGTCATGGCTTGAAGCGGCATTATCAGTTCGTGTAGTGGAAAAACATCCATGGCTTTTGTGTTTTCAAACGTATGACTCAAACTTGTTTGAACTCCGTGATCCATTGCAATGGAAGCCCTACACTTTGGAACTGCCAGAGATAGCTGACTCCACTGTGCGTTACTCAAGAGATGGTTGGTTACTTATGCAGAGATATTCTAGCGAAGACGAGATGTTCTTCTTCAACCCGTTTACTCGGGAGCTCATAACCTTGCCTAAGTTTGAGCTGGCTTTTCGGCAGATTTCATTCTCTTTTGCTCCTACATCGGATAGTTGCGTTGTGGTAGCGTTAAGTTTCTCGAATGATCATGTCACTATCAGCAGTTGCCATCCTGGAGCGGCTGAGTGGATTTCTAACGACTTCCCTACAAAAGATCAAATGTTTACGAATCTTGTCTATCTCAATGAGCGATTCTATTGCATTAATTGCTATAACAGAACAGGAGACGGCTTATATTCCTTTCACCCATCTTCCCGCACGTGGAATTGTCATGCTACTCAATATAGCTATCTTGATCCTCTTGATCATCGTACGTTACGTGGATGTGAGAAGTTTTGGTACCAGAGCGTAGTTTGTTTGGCTGAGAAGGAAGGAGAGCTCTTTCTCATGACTACAAGCCATATTGGGAGGAAACCATTGGTCTATAAACTAGTCTCGTTGCGATGGGAGGAGATGAGTACTGAAACTGAGCTTGATGGCTTGACAATCTTTGCCAGTTCTTATAACTCTGAGGGGAGAAAGAGTCCTCCATCGATGAGGAACAATGTGTATTTCTCAAGGTTTGGTTACAATCGCAAGCATTGTCTCTCTCGTTTGGTGAAAGGAGGTACAATAATCCAGCTATTCAAGGGCGAGAGTGGCTTGAACTTTGTCCTCATGGAAGCATCTGGATCGATCCCCCGAAGAACGTTTTAGAATATCTGTGAGAGCTTTGCTTGAAGATTGACATGTTTCTTCTCTCTTGATTTCTTTTTTTTGCAAAAACTATTTCCGCTTCTGTTTCTTCTCTTTTAGTTTACATGCATGGAACTGTTTGTAATTCTCCCTCTGCTGAGAGAGCATTGTTTACATTCAAACATTCATCATAAATACAGATAATTTTATCAACTTCTGGCGTCAACGCACTATACAAACCATAAAGAATCATATTTAAGATCCTACAGAAAATCAAAGAAAAAGAACCTGAAAGCTTAGAGAGGGTTTCATTGCAAACAAAGGAGAAAATCCTCTCCCCATTATTATTCTTTAAGATGCAACTAAGATAACATCACAACAAGCCATTACATTAATTTTCCCATGATTCTTCCTAACTCTTCTATATACCAAAATAATCATTTCGGAAACCCATGCATTTATGATCCTAGAGAATATCAAAGAAACATAACCTCAATGCCCTGATCCTACTCATGTCTTCAATTTTGATATGATTAGCAAACACAGCCCAAATATTTGTATAAGGAAAGCATTGCTCTCCCTTAGACCGTTCGCAGCTCGGCTTCTTAGAAAGCTAAAACATAGGTAATTTTTTAGTTATCCTCAGATTTCATTAGAACACTTATATATGCTACACCTAGTGATTTCAAAAATAGTAAGTAAATGTGAATGATACTGCATGTTATCTGGATTACGAAACGTAAATCCATCCAACCAAGTGAATTCACCTTTAAGTAAGTGTTTGGGTGAAAGACAGACTTCTATATTTTATTTCAAGACTTTTCGTAAGGCGCTACTAAAAATTAGGGTTTTTGATCAATTAAAAATATATAGTAAACATTCCATGTTATATAAAAAAAAATCTTTATTCCACCAACAAAAAAAAAAAAAAAAAAAAAATCTTGAAACAAAACCTCTAACTCGACCAAAACCTTTTACTTGTTGGCAGAGAAGAAAGAAGAGCTCTGTCATGTTTACAAAAACAAGAAGCCAATGGTCTCAATTTCTTAGAGCACAAGTCAAAAAAAAAAAAAAAATCCACAACATAGAATTTGATAAAAGTGTAAAGGTAAATCTCATTTATATGGATAAACTTGTAAAAATAACAATTGCAAGAAATAGATGAAAAAAAAATAAGCGACCAACTAGATCAAATTAAAGATATATAATACTGTATTGATTATTCGATTCCTGGTTCTTTCTGGTTGCAACTGTTTCTCCACCGCTTCATCGCTTTTCGGAGCCACCGCTACATCGGGAAACCTCCGGACAATCACCTCAATATCCACTCTTACCCTTTCAACCTCAGGTGAATCAGACAACGCCTCAAGTTTCTTCAAATCCAAGATATCCAAAGTTAACGTATGAACGATATCTCTGTAGGCAGGGACTTGGATCATATCGAGAATCTGACACACGGTGTCTTGTATCTGATCCCTATCGCCACCGATGAGCCAGTCTTTATCGAACTCGCGAGTCTGATGAACGGTTCGTTCTTCTAAGTAGCCGAAATCAAGATCGTCGTCTCCGTCTGAATCTGGTTCAGGGACTCTCGTGTAAAGCACTTCAAAATCGAACAGAAATTTAGGGTTTCTACGGAGATTCTTGTCGTAATCGTCGGCCGTGTGTTGGTTGTCTCTGTAGATTGGCTCGAAGGTTATGAAGGTTTCCGGTTCATCGTCGGGATACAAAGTTGACATCGTGTCGTGTTCTTCTTCAACGGCGTACAAACTCGAATCCATGATTATTTGTTGTTTGAAATTCGTTTGTTTAGAGAGAGACTTGAGGAAGAGAATAATGAGTTTAGATGTTGTGTGGATGTTATGATCATATATTTATATTAGATCAGATGTTAATTTCCTTTTTTGTGTTTACGCGTTTTCCTTTTCTTATTTGAATAACTAGATTTCCTTTTTTCATCGAAGTAACTTGTTGTCACGATACAACGACTATATTTTACAATCTACGTGATTATGTAACTTGAAGCTCAAGTCACATATATGCATTATTATCAGTTTGTTTTTTTAACTCTCTAGCCTCCTATCTCTCCTCCGTCTATCCACGTGGACATCACGTGGCAAGACGACGATCCCGTGCTTGCCTCCTCGTCTACGCTGCTTCTGCTTGCTATCTTTATGGACTCTGTGAAGTTGGTTGTAATAGTGAGACGACTCGTTGTGGTGATCACGTCCAAGCATCTTTTGCAAAGCGTCGTCTTCTTGCCCACCACCATGACTATGATGGTGTCTGTGTTGTTGTCTCTGGTGTGCTCTGCGATGTTGATTATGCGTTTTGACACCATGACGTAGTTGGTGATGGTGAGGATGACGATGATGATGGTGGCGGTTTTCGGCGTTTTCTCTGGCGTGGAATAATCTGTGATGGTCTGAGTCAAAATGATCGTCGTACCAATCGTAGAACGGATCAAAGAGTCCTTTTTGGTGCAAGAGCCAGAGTAGGACGCAAGCTGTTGGGAAGAGAGCGAGGAGGAGACCGAACATAACCAACCAGCTCAAGCAAACGTATTGAACGTGGCAGCTGAAGTCGAAGAAACTCGAGCACTTGTTTCTGCACAGATTGATTCATTGTCAAGTTATCATCATTCTCAAAGGAAGGTCAAGAGAAAGGAGCTAGTAGAAGTGTGTAATAACCTGCAAGTGTCTCCGGTGATGAAATCGACAAAACCATTCACGAGTTTCGTCCACATGAACCTAATCGATTCAAAGAAACCTTTAGGACGAGTCTCTGGGATTTGAAACGGATTTGTAACCTGCAGGTTTGAAGATACTAATGAGTGTAAACGAAAGGTTTAAAGATACAGATACTGATGTCACTCAATGATCGACATCCTGTTGACATTATTCATGAATCGACTGAAACAGTAAAAGAACCTGAGTTCCATTGTCGAGTATCGTAGCTGTCGTGCTGAATTGACACTCGGCTCTGTCTACTTCACTAAACTGAGAATCCTTTAGTATAGCTACACACAGAGAAAACAGAGCAATTTTTTTCAAAAGTATCAGGAATTTGCAAGAGAACTGAGTTTAGTACTTGTTATAGCATAGTAAAATCACCTGTGCATACATATTTCGCAGCCTGATCTTTCGTCGGATAAAGCTTAAAAGATTGAGTTGTAACCGCATTTGGTTTTATAATAAGGAATTGCTCCTGAAACAGTATCATTTTTCTTAACAAAGCTTCTTCTTAGAAGATTAACTGAGAGTTAGTTAGTTAGTTACCTCAACGAAAGCCACGCCTTTGGAGCAATCAAACTGCAAAGGAGGAAACAAGAAGCGATTAAAATATCGAGAAAACTTTCAGATAAGGTCTTAAGAGTATATTACCGTTAAGCTATAAGATGCTTCTACTTCACCCGTATTCTTGATAGTGACTGCAGCAACTCCAAATTGTGTAAGTGCTTCGAATGTCGGTATAGCGATGTTTATGATCTTACCAGGGCTCCTGCAGCAACCACAGAAAAAAAGTTACATACTTTACTTTATATGATTATAAGAGTTTTTCAAAGACTTTTTTCACCTCTGGAAAACGTATTCAATATCATCAGCTCTTAGCTCAATCATAAGGTTAGTGTTGAGTGTTTCCGTGACTCCAATGGAGAACGAGTGAGGCCCTGCGTTCTGAATAATCATGCAAAACGGAAAAAAAAATCTGATAAGCAGCCAAACAAACAAAATCTTTCATGTTCTACTGATCTAAGAAACATAACTGGTTGTTGGTTGATCCTCTCATATCGTCCTTCAAGTCCATACATAGGAACTTGGTGTCGGTCGAGTCGATTAATATCTGCCTGAAAATAGAAATGTTATCGGTGAAAAGACAATGACGCAGTAACTTTAAAAGTATGTATTACTAACCTCGCGGAAGTTCCATAGTTGATTATGCAAGCAACTCCAATAAGGTGAACCGCAGAAGTTTGGTTGGGTGTTGAAAGCTTCATAGCCAACACCGATTTTATTGCATTCTAGGCCGTCTAATGTAAATCTCACTCTCTCAAGAAGCATCCACATTGAGTAGTTTCTACCTAAACTCCCTGGTTGTCCCTCTGCAGCTGCCTGGAAAAAACTCATTAAGCATCATCACAGAGTGGAAGAAGTTTTAAAAGATGTCAATTTCTTTTACCTCTCTTGGGATTGCAAGATAGAAGTCCTCAAAAGAAGGAATACTTGTGTAACCACCAAAATCTCCTATGAGATTAACCTTGAGGAAATTGTCATTTGCAGTAGCTGTCCTGTTTTCAGGACCAATGATCACTTCCTGCGGTTCAAGAAAAGGAATCGTAAGGCTGAATAACTTGGAGCAAAGCTAGTAAAAAGAGGGATTAGTGAAGTAAACATACTGAGACTCTAGTCCCTGTCTTCAACTCCACCCGGATGCTAAATCCTAGAGTCCGTTGTCCAATGCTGAAAATATGGAACCTAGAGGAGACAGATCAAGAAACCATGTTAGTCCAAATTCAAGAATTCAAGAAGAGATAGTGTGCAAAATCATGTTTGTCCAAATCCACAGAAGAATAAATTATATTTTGCATCTTGAAGGTAAGATGAGATGATGAAAATCAATGTAAAGATTCGTACCAGTCGCCTGGAAAACGAAGGCAATGCGCAGTGTTTGCCTTCCCTTTAAACATCTTCTCAACTAAGCAAAGTCAAGTGACAAAGAAACAATGAGAGTCCTAATCTTCTTCAAACATATAAAGAGAGGGAATGTTTAATTTAAACCAAAGAAACACATACAAATATCTCCACACGATGAAGGCATTCTTCGCTGCGGTCCACATGGACAACATGTTGGCTGAGTCTGCTCCAAAACGTTACCTTTCTCATCTCGCAACCTGTAAGATCAATCAGTAGAATTCTATTCAAGAAACAAGTGGATTTCTTTCCAATGCTATTTAATATATCAGTAACAAAAACTGCTAAAACAAGAAAGAAATACAGTGAAACAGATCACAGAAAGAAGAGATTTAAGAAATGATTGCCTCTCGCATATTTGAACAATATCTGGTCCAGCATCAGGCTCACACTTTCGAGTCGTGACATAGTACTCTTGAGGTTTATAAGGCACATCCTGCAATTGTTAAAACACCTTTCAAATTAATCAAAACTCTAACCTAATTCATGATAATCAACACTATATCAAACCCGTTTCGTACCCTAACGTAAGTAAGATCATAGAGAGCATATGCTGCTGATTTATTCACTGTAATCACCGGAGGGATCCGTACGGTCTGCATATTGGTACTCGAATTATCTTCAACCTCGACGATTTCCGCTACAATCGAAGCCTCTCCTCCGCTCTTACTCCGTCACCAAAACCAACACGAAATTGATGAACATAGATTTGTTTAGAAGCGCAAAAGATGAATGTAAACTTTTTTGGGGGAAATTTGCTTACTGATCCACTGGGTACAGCGAGATTCAAGACGATCTTAGTCGAGCAATTGAGATTCCCTGAATCGGATGTCTTCTCGCAACTTTGGAGCTTTGATTTCGACAGAATCTGAGTCCCGCCGACTTCGCTGATCACGCCGAGGAGAATTCCGGCGATTACACAAGCAGTAACCGTCGCGTGCTTCATTGTAACACGATGGTGAAGAGATTTGAGGACGACGATTTGTCTCATGAGGAAGAGAACAAATGAAAATGGTGGTTTTATTTTGAAGACTCCAACGGTTGCTTTGGCTTTCTAATTGGTGTTAAGACTTAACCGGCAATTACAATCGAACCGAAATAAACCAACGCAAGTAAACCGTCTTGAAAATTTCTCTTCATTCATCATTTGTTTTGAGCTACAGATGAATCATTTTGGCTCTAGAGATGATAATACAGACTGAAGCAGATGGATCCATCCCTGAATCGATCATCTTCTCAACCAAATCCTCAGCTTCTTTCAATTTCCTTTCTTTACAAAGAACTTCAATCAAATAACCAAAGCTAGCAACATTTGGAGCCAACTTCTTCTCTTCCATCTCCCTCAACAACCTCAACGCTCTAAAAGCACTACCTTCCTTGCAATACCCAAGAATCATCGTATTGTAAATAACCTCGTTCGGCTCCAACTTCTTCTCAACCATCGACCTAAATACCCTCGACGCTTCACTCATCTGACCTTTGATGCAAAACCCATGAATCAACACACTATAAGTACGAACATCAGGTACTAACCCTAAACTCTCCATTGATGTACGAAGCTGAATCGCTCTCTCCATGTTATCAGAACGAGCAAACGTGTCGATGAGAATCGTGTACGTCACTTTCGACGGTTTGATCCCTCTCTCTTCCATCTCCTTAACAATCTTAGCTGCTCCTGAAGTATCTCCCTTTTTACAAAACCCAGAAACTAGAATGTTATACGTGACGAGAGACGGAGACATACCTCTCGACTTCAAATCTCTGCATAAACTCAACGCTTTCCCCAATTTTCCCACTTTACAAAACCCATCAATCAAAGTGTTGTAAGTGATCAAATTCGGGTTGATTCCGTCACTCTTCATCTGATCAATCACCTTATCAGCATCACTCGGTTTCATCTCTCTACATAACCCACCGATTAGAGTGTTGTAAGTAACAATGTTGCACGAAACTCCTCTCTCACGCATTTCGTCGAACACTTTGAATGCGTCTTTTGTTCTTCCGTCTCTGCAGAGCTGATTCATCACACAGTTGTAAGTATAGAGATTCGGGAAAACTCCATCTTCCTGCATTTTCTCGTACAGCGCAAACCCTTGTTTCTTCATCCCGTTTTTGAAGAACCCGTTGATCAAAACAGTGTAAGTACGCTCGTTAGCGACTAATCCAAGCTTCTCCATTTCGGAAAATAAAGCTTTCGCCTTTTCGATCTCGCCTCTCTTGCAACACCCGTCGATCAGAGTAGTGTAGATGACGACGTTTGGAGAAAACCCATTCTCTCTTAATTCGACGAGAAGGTGAAAGCTTTTCTCGATTTCTCCAGATTCGCAACAGGATTTGATCGCGATCCCGAAGCTGTACGGATCTAAATCAACTCTGCTCTTGTTCTCGTTGAAGAAAACCCAGAATTCGTTGAAAGAGCACGACCCAGCAACGAAAGTTAAGAGATTGTTGAAGCAATTCGATCCGGGAGCAAAACCCTTATCGACCATTTGGTTGAAGTAAGTGATCGCGGAGTCTAGGGATTGAGATTGAACATACGTATTGATGATTACCTCGTATAATCGGAACCTGGTTTTCGAACTCTCTGATTCTGTTAAATGCTGTAACAGAGAGGAAGAAGTGAAGAATTGGGAATGGATTTTTCCAGAGATAGCTTGAAGCAGAAGAGACTGACCGTGAGAGAATAAGTTTCCCGAGAGAAGGAGTCGAAGAAGAATTGAGAAGGATTCGTGTGTGTGTTGAAATCCATGAAACTTCGACGAATTCGTGATAGAGAATGCTTTAAGTGGAGGAACTTTGACCAAGTTCGCTAACAAAACGAGAATTTTCTGGGGTTTTTCCGCCATAGTCGATCGACACGTTTAAACACGAAAACATTCAGGCGCCTTGAGAGAAGAAGACGATGCCAAATCTGAGCTTAATTAAGCACAATCAGTGAACGTTAAACATTAAAATCCTCGTTTTTAACTATTGCTTTTTTCACAAGAAAAGCCCATATTTTAAGGGGCTAAATATATCTTAAGACCCATGTTTCTGTAAAAAGGGGCCGTTGATCCATTTGATTGCATTTTTTTTCTCTCTCTGAATAACAAACAGAAAAAAAAGAAAATTACGAAAAATTAAATCCAAACCAATAGTACAAACCAACAAATCCAATCGTATAATGAAACACGTTTTTCTATAGTATCCACTAGAGATTGACCCGCACCCTGCACGGGGAAATGGTTTCAGAATTTGTATTTTTTAATTAAAAATGTATATTTATCTATTTCAAAATTTTATGTGACAGATTTTTTTACCTTGTTAAGGTTTTTATCTTCGTTTATATCGTAGAAATTAAACATTTTAAAAATTATAAACAAATTAAAACATTGATCATAGATATAGATTAAATATATTAGACTATAGATTAAATATGCTAGACTTCAACCAGATACATAAAACTCAAATGAATGTATCATATAAAATATTAAAAATAAAAATTTACATTTAGATACCTACTCTTCTACTTACATGGTTGCATATCATCTATTTTTTATAATATATTTTTACACCTACAGACAATAACACATTGGGAATTTTAATAGTTTTAGTGATTATTTTGTTTTTAAAAATTCAAATCATAGCATATATAGAAAAAGTTTTAGATTTTCTTTATTAGATTTTTTGTATTATGTCAATTTTTTATTTTATAAACTAAAGTTAAACAAAGATGAAAGGAGATATAGAATGATTTTAAAAAATATAATGATAGCATTAGATTGAATCTCATATATTTCCTTATTTACTAATTTTCGTAATTGCCAATTAAGGAAAGAGAATGGCGATTTTTTTATTAATAATTTCATACTAGATCTTCACCCGTGCTTGAGAAGCACGGAATGTTATAGTTATTGAAGATTTTTGTTTTATTGAGTTATACAATTATTCATTATTAATTTTAACTTGGGATTAAATTAATTATTGAATCAATAATAAGAAAGAAATGATAAATTAAGTGGTAAATATTTGGGTTGCACTAATTCTTTTCAGGTATGAGCCTAAAACGGATAAACCCATTTCGCGTGGTTTCTATCTATAAAATAAGTGGGTCTTTGTCAGATCCAGTCCGTTTGTTTAATATCTTGCGCAAAACAAAAAGTCACGCAACATGAGTGAATGAGAGTAATCAAATCCCAAATCGATTTGATATCTAGGTGTCATTGAGAATAGTTTTACCTCTGTCTTTGCACAAAATTTTAAATTTTGCAGAAAATCTTAAATATCAATAAAATAAAACATGTTTCCACCTGTAACCGTAAATTTTCTCCACTTAAAAACGGAAAACATGTTATGACCCGTAAAATTTTCTCCATTTTAGAATGAAAAACATGTTCTTCACCCGTAACCATAAATTTCAGCATAGTTGTATGTTTTGTACATATGTAATAAACAATTTTGTTTTTCTATAATCCTTAATAAACAATAATTTTTTCATCAAATAATTTAATATGTAGTTCTGTACAATTAAAAAGAAAAAAAATTGTAATAAATTGATAGTAGTAAATCTCTTTGACTACTTAAAATAATATCTTCTCAATTTGATATCATATCAAACAAAAATTTATGTAAATCCAATCTTCTTCTTTATTATCATTTGTAAATTTGTCCATTAAACATGTTAAAGTCAAGATTATAAACTTTCATTGATCAAATTCATTCTTTATTTTTGTCTCTCCGAAAAGAGATCTGGAACTAAACAAATATTGGTTCTTACCCGTAATGTTACTAATCTTTTAGTTTGTGAATATTAAATTTTTAAAACTGAATGTTGTTTTAATGTTTTTTGATTAAAGAGAACTAAACAGTCTCCATCAACATTATATTTTGGTGTTAGTGTAGAGCTCATTTTAGAAAAAGAAAATTTGGCGATTTGGGTCAAGAAAACAATATTGTTGTTAATTTGTAGATTCAATCTTCTTATTTTCTCTTTATTTGTAAATTTGTTCATGAGATTAGAAGAAACATTATATTTAAATTTCATAATTGATTTTTTTTGTACAAAATGATTTAAAATTCGCTTTGTAGTCTAGAGCAAAGATTATTGATTTAATGGGAGCCCATTTGTTAATTTGTGACCGGCGCCCAATTGTGGTTTTTGGGATACTACTGGTTTCGATATTTGTTCTTGTTTTTTAATTTTAATTTTTTTTTCAGCCAACAACGACATAACTTTGTCGGTGACTTTCCCAATTCCCCCTAATCAGAACGGAAACTCTGTGTGATATTCCATCTCATTGTCGATTCTTACCAAGATCACTCTCTTCCGATCAAGGTTTTTTCAATTGCTTGTCTAAATCACCTGAATTCCAAATGATTCCCGATGAGCAGTCAAAAATCATACAATTGAAAGCCTCCGTCGATCTCTTTCATGTTTGAGCAACAGGCGGCTCTCAGTTTCTTCTCCGTCGGAGGTACCTTATGTTGCCAAGGACCTCGGCAATAGAGTCATGATTCGTCTGGGTTTCGCACCATGTAGCGCAACCTCTGATTCTTCTCATGGAGCGAAAGGTATGTTATAAATTTGATTCTATGCATTGATTTATTTATTCACCTAGTTAAGATGGTTTAGGTTGTTGGTGTGTGTTTTTCTCTCACTGTTGTAGTTTTTAGTTAGCTATTTATGTGCTCGTAATGTGATTGATGCTTTGAAAATAAAAAACCATTTTCTTTGTCTTTTCTGAAAATGATTTTCTGTGTTTGTTTGTGTGATAGATTCTTGTTATCGAAGAGTGGATCTATTGTTGGATGTTAAGACTCTTGGTGACAGAAAACTGTGAAAGCTTAAAATTGCCAACTGCTACTCTTGACAAAAGAAACCTATGACATTTAATAGTAGCTTTATTAAATTTTCCAGTATCGAAAGAATATTTTGCAAACATTTGACATTTTATTTAGTCAATAAAAGTACCTCATCGAAAGAAACATTTGAGATCATGTGTTTGATCATCAGCTTGCTTGCATTCCTCAAAAAGTTGGTCTGCATAATCTTCACATAGATAACCATTTAGTCCTTGATCCCTCCAGATTTATCAGTCAATAATTTATGGCAACCTAAAACTCTTTGTTTAAGGGTGTTGATATGATGCAGCTCTAGTGATTGCATATAAACCAACTCTCATCAAGTTCAAGAAATGTATGCATAATATCTCAATTAATCCATACTGAATCTTTCATATTTGATAGAAAATTGAAATGGTTCCTACTTTATCAAACTTATAAAGGTTTCAAATATTTCTAGAACCAAAGAATTCTTGATTGCAGAGAAACCTACTTTGTTGTTACTACTTTAGAGGTCATTCAATCTGAGGTGTTTGGGTATCGTTATCGTCGTCCAGAGAATTCTTGAAGTGATATACTGAAGCCATTATTGTTTCTTTCCAGTAAGACTTTATTCTTCCATGCTCTGAAATTTTGTAAATCATAGCTAATGTCACAAATTGACTCCAGTATAACAATTTTGGAGGTCAAAGGCGTGCTACTTGATATGGGACAGAGCTTCTCCAGCATACTCCCTAATGATTGAACATCAAAACATTAGTTACTAAAATCGAGCTTACCATAAAAGCTAAAGTAAAAATATGAGGATTAACTTAGATCAATACCGAAGACATCAAACATCAAGATTAGAACAATCTCTTAACTTCCGCTTCTCTTTTCTCTTTGTACTTGGACAGTTATGATGTCTGACATCTGACAAAAGCATAGTTCCAATTAAGTTGTTGAGAATTTGTAATTTACACCATCGCCAAGTCGTGATTTCAAACTTAAATAGGCGAGTTTGATTTTTTTTTTTGCTGCTTACGCTATTTCAGTGATCTTGATGTGTTTAAGTGTTTCATTTATAATAGTGATTTCCTTGGGTCCGAACTAAGCAATTCTTCAAATTTCTGTATTTTTTTCTTTGTTACTTAATACTTGGCTATGTCTTAAATCTTGATGTTTGATGTCTTCGGTATTGATCTTGATGATGCTTATGGAGAGAAATTGTCTGACAATTCCTATTATAATAGTACTGATCTCGATGTGTTTTAAGTGTTTCGTTTTTAATAGTACTGATTTTCTCATATGTTCTTTTGCTAAACTTTTTTTGGTCTGAAAATTTCTCGATATCTTAGTACTTAGTAGGATGAATATTCTCTCTTAGTTCATTATCATTAATCATGAGTCATTATGCAGTCTTCGTTTGTTTCTCTTTGCCTTTGCCAAGTGTTACTTTCTTATTGTGAACTTTGAAATCAGACAACGGTATCTTGTTAACATGGTGAGTTGGTCTGTATTGTCTCTATGCCCACTCGCCAACAGGAAGTTTCCTTTCAAAACAGGTAAGGTATGTTTTGTTACATGAATGATGAAGCATATATTTTCACAGCCTACAAAACATACTTGATTCTTATATTAGAAATTGTAAGCATATATTAACCCACAAATGATGACGTTTACTTACCTCTCTTCTGCTAGGATCAGCTCCAATGTTGTACCTGACCCACACTTGTATTTCTTCCAAGAATGAAGACAATTAACTTGGATTCTCAACATTAAGGTATGTGAAATGAGAAGGAGTAGCATCTAATAAATATTAGTATATTTTAGTATTCACGGGTCAATGGTGATTAAAAATTTGCAAACCTTGCTTCGTGACAATCATGTCAACTCAATTCATATAGTAAAGCTTCATATTTTCTTCAGCTACTCATCAGATTCTAGTCACAATCAAACAAAAAACAAAAACACATTGTTAGTTGTTAGTTTGGAACACACAATAACCATCTTTAACAGAATATAGTTTATAAAGAGATTTAGCATGTATTCCTTTAGATTCTTATAACCTAATCTTACATTTTTGTCTGTCAGAATCATCTCCAATGTATGTCCAGCCTCTGCCGTGTATTGCTTCCAAACATGAAGAAGCTTGACTTGGATTTGGATTCTGTATTGCTTCCAAAGATGAAGAAGCTTAACTTGGATTCGTCCACCTGAAAAGAAAGGCATCAAGGTATGTTAAACAAAAATGAGCCGCCATTAAAATTTATTCAAAGATAGTTTTATGCCCTGCTTGGTTTTTTTTTTGTAGGCTCTAAAGGGAGGTCTATTTATACTAAAACGATTAGGTTAAAGATTTGATTTGATGAAAGCTTAAACTTGGTAGTTTCCTATAACTATTCCGAAATTAAGAGTATCTAATCATATCTCTTTGAACATAAGAATTAATGGCACGAATTTGTAAATTAAGTTGAGATTTTCCGTGAAAGACTCTAAAATTTGAATTTTTCAATTAATGGCACATATTTGATTTTCTAGCCAAAAATATGAATGGCAACGTTTGTAATTAGTCTAGTAAACTAATCTTTATTCTATAAATAACATGAGAAAAGCTCCCTAATGATGACACATCAGCATGTCATTCTTGTTAATAACATATCAATTAAAGGTTATTAAGTGTTTACTCTTTTAATATATTAGGGATATTTAATTAAGTAAGAATGGATAAAAACGTAAATGCATCGGATTCGACACACATCATAATTAATTAGTATAAGAATGGATAAAAACGTAAATAACTGAAGAGGAGACTCTAGGGACTATCGAAACAGTCTCCCCGATTATTTTTTTTTCAATTTCCTCACGTTATCGTTCTCTCTCTCTCTCTCTCTCTCTCTCTCACCTTCTTGAAAAAATTCGGACGTCCAAAAACTCCAAATCATTTTGGGGCAAATTGTTATCCCTTTGTATGGCATTAATCGATCGGAGAATCAGTATCGTCGAGAAGCTATAGACACGTCAGCGACGACGATGAACAGGACGGAGCCAGATTCGGCGTCTCTGTCTTCTCTCGTCGGTAGAGCGAATTCCGACGGAATCATCGACACAACGCCGTTTCTTCCTTCCGGCATTTCGAGAACTGCGAGCGTCGGTGAAAACAATGGGATTCAGCGATCCGCTAGACGACAAGGTCTTAGAGAGGCGGCGAGGTTTCTGCGTCACGCCGGGAGCCGGAGGATGATGCGTGAGCCGTCGATGCTGGTGAGAGAAACCGCTGCTGAGCAATTGGAGGAGAGGCAAAGCGATTGGGCGTATTCGAAGCCTGTGGTGTTCCTCGACATTCTGTGGAATCTGGCTTTTGTGGCGATCGCTGCTGCGGTTCTAATTCTCAGCCGCGAAGAGCGGCCGAATGTGCCGTTAAGAGTTTGGGTGGTAGGTTACGGTATCCAATGCGGCTTACATATGGCGTGCGTGTGCGTTGAGTATAGGCGGAGGAGGTGGCGGCGTGGGAGAGGCACGCGCCACCGATCATCATCAGCTTCTTCTTCTTCGTCGGATGATGGTGGTCTGGGGTTTACGACTTCGTCGCAGCAGTACGTTTCGTTAGCGCAATTGGAGGATAGAGGAAATACTAGGTATTGATTTTCGCTTTTACAAGTATTTTTGGTTGATAATGGATTACATTTGTGGTTTGTGTAAATCTGAAATCAGAGTTTCTAATTATGAATTGGGAGAAGCTGGAGATGAATTGGGTCACTGTTTATACATTTCAATGTGGAATCTCAGTTTTTAGGTTGATGTTAGTTGATGCTTATTGTATCTGTGAATCTATGCAGCTTTTTTATGTGCCTTTTCCACGGTTATGTCAGAAGATATAAATGATAGTCTTGGGGAACGAAATTGATAAACAAAGAAACCTCACCGAAACTCTTTTATAAAGAAAATTTGAAGTTTGATTCTATTGTTAAGCTTTCTTTTGGTGAAAATTGAAATCAGCTTATGATTTGGAACTTGGTTGCGATTGATCTTGTGGCAGAGTCTGTTTCGATCCTTTTTGATATTCTCATATGGCAATTGTTGATTATCAATGTTGATGGTCTCAGTAATCCCGCGAAGCATCTTGAATCAGCCAACACAATGTTCTCATTCGTCTGGTGGATAATCGGATTCTACTGGATATCTGCGGGAGGCCAAACACTATCTAGTGACTCTCCTCAGCTCTATTGGTATGTTTTCTTGCTAGTTTTCGTTTGTTTTTTGAGATTGCATCTTTGTAGACATTTAATGAATTTGTACGCTGGTGTTTGAAAACTTGCAGGCTGTGTATCATTTTTCTCGGCTTCGATGTTTTCTTTGTGGTTTTCTGCGTTGCACTGGCTTGTGTTATCGGCCTTGCTGTTTGCTGCTGTCTTCCATGTATAATTGCAATCTTATATGCTGTTGCCGACGAGGAGGGAGCATCGAAAAAGGACATAGAACAAATGCCAAAATTCAGATATAGAAAGATTGGCAACGATGAGAAGCTCCCAGACGAAATACGAGGAGCAAGTAATAGAGGAATAATGACGGAGTGTGGAACAGATTCACCTATTGAACGTTCACTTTCTCCAGAAGATGCGGTACTCTACCATTTCCTTACCTTATTTAGTTCTATATTTGTCAAACATTTTCAAAAGTGGTGTGTAGATTGATTATGCTTTGCTTTCTTGTGATTCTACAGGAATGCTGCATTTGTCTCTGTGAATATGAAGATGGAGTTGAACTAAGAGAACTCCCTTGTAACCACCATTTTCACTGCGCTTGCATCGACAAATGGCTTCACATAAACTCTCGTTGCCCGCTCTGCAAGTTTAACATCTTGAAGAACGCAAACGAAGTATAGGGATCTTTTGTGGTTCCAGGATCAGACTGAACAAAATTTCAGACCAGAAGTTTCAGGTAAATGTAAGGAAACTCTGGTGCGTGTTTTAGTGTTGTGTAGTTAGAGTTCTAGATCAATGTATTGCGTCGTGTGATTTATATTTGCGACTAGTGAGAAAATGCGTATTCAACTATTCATCCTTGGAGCTGCTTTTTTTCTTGTTGTGGAACGTGTAAACACAGCTTTGTGTATATTGATCATTAATAAAAAATCAAAATTTCATATCAGAAAGCAGAAACGACGACTTAACATTGTTTCATCCATCCAACGAAACGACGCCGTTTCGTCAACCACGAACGAGGTCGTTTCTTCTGAACACTTTAAACGAGGTCGTTTCGGAACACTTAAACGAGGTCGTTTCTTGAGCATACTAATTTAGCGAATTAGTAAGCGATGCTGATAAGCAGAAAACAACGTCGACATCGGTTAGTTTCGTCGTTATGTTGTAATTTGAAATTTTCAAAAATTGATGGACTTGCCAAAAAGAAAAGAAAAATAGAAAAGTCAGATTGGTCATAATATGAAAAGAATCTTGGTAAGGTCGAATTGGTCTTTTCTCTTCTGATCATCACTCGTGCGTGCTTTTCCGCGCTTCCCCCAAAAACCGAAGCTCCTCTTTCTTTCTTTCACCTCCTTCTCCTTCTTCCATGAGAGGAGTCAAGGAAGTACGCTGAAGAAGCCTCTCACCAGCTCCCTTTCAAACATTTACGTTATAATTCCAGCGGCGATTTTCCGTTTCCTGACTTGAACGGGATTCGTTTGGAGAGGGCGAATATGGATTCTCTATTGCAGCGTTACCGGAACGATCGCCGCAAGCTCCTGGAGTTTCTTATGTCGTCGGGTTTGGTAAAGGAGCTTCGTTCCCCTTCTGGTTCCTCTACTCCTCTTTCTCCGGCTGATTTAGATGCTCTCAGCGCCGATTATGTCTTGGATTGCGTAAAATCCGGTGGGTTTTACAATTCCCAGAAATTTTGAAATTAACGTACAGCTAATTTTTTCGCTGTGGCAATAATCCATTCTTAGTTAGCGTCTGTTTCTGAGTTGCAAAATTGGTTACATGAGCTCAGCTTTTCTTTTCCCATCTTCTTAGTGAAATGAATTCTTTGAATTTGTGGATTGTTTTCGTCCGATTTGTTGATTTCTTCGAGGACTATATGTTCTACACAGTTGGTTTATTGGGGAAAGTTGGCTCTCTGCTTATTGAATTTCTTCATTTTGTTTATACGAATGCAGGTGGTGTAGTTGATGTATTCAAAGCCACGGAGAAATACAATTTTGAATCCTCATACCCTGTAACGGTGAGGAAATGTTTCTACCTTGCTCCGGTGTTTGCTGGTGTCTTTAAATGCGTAATTAAGCTAAGAAAATTCGCATTTGTAGATTTACAAATTGCAGTGCTGTGACGATTTCTCATATGCCTTAGAACCCTGTTGATATTAAACACCAATGACTTTCTTGATAATAACTTGTGAAAGTGATTAGTTTTGATGATTTGAATTTGCAGATACACTCACAGTCTAGAGATTCCTATTTTCTTGTATCGAGTCCAGATGCAGCAGGTTCTCCTCCTCGCCGTATGCCTCCCCAACCAGTTAACATGGAAAATTCCAGTAACAATAGCTCAGATTTGTCATGCCATATTGATTCTTCTAATACTCCAACTAGAGACAACTATATATTTAAGGAAGAAACACCTGACATTAAACCCATGAAACCTGTCAAAATCATTCCTCTTGGCTTGCCTCCCTTGAGAACAGGTACTTAATTAGGCAATTTCATTTTATGAACTTTCTGTCTTGGAGTACTAGTTGTTTCCTTGTGAATCTTGATTAATTTAGTTTCTATCTTTCGAGTGAACTGATTCATGATGTTAGGAATTTTGAAGGGTTATCGGATGATGATTTGCGAGAAGCAGCTTACGAGTTAATGATTGCATCTATGTTGCTTTCGAGGTACTCAGCTCTTTTTGTTTTTATCCCTTCATACATGTGTATTCTGTGTGGTTCCTATTGCTTATGCACATTCTTATGGGCTTTTCATAAACAGTGTTGATGCGTATCCTACTCAGAGAAGAAAGATAGAAAAAGGCTCAAAGCTTTTGTCAAGTTTGAAGAGAAAGGACAAACCACAGCTACAGCCTCAGGTCTCTAATGCACATTCAGAGGTCATCAACATGATCCGTATCCAGATGCAGGCAAGCTATAAAATCATTATCTAAGGCACCAGTAGTTATCTTACGTAGTATGAGAGGAGAGAGGTCTTCTGTTTATACAGTTAACAAGCATTTTGTTAATAACCGAGACAATTAGCAGTTCCATATATCAGTTTACTTCAGTTGGATTATATGTATTACTGTGCAGCATATTTTTAACCACTGTTTGGTACTGCTTTAATAGATTTCATCAAAGATGGATACCTGCATACGGAGAAATCTGGTACAGTTGGCTCAATTGAAGACAGGTGAACAAATTGATCTTCCACAGCTAGCATTGGGGCTTTTGGTTGGAATATTCAAATCAGATTTTCCTAATGAAAAACTCTACCTGAAATGGAAGACTAGACAGGTGCTCATGAACTACAGTTTTGTTTTTTTCTTGTTGTCCTTATGCAACTCCTTGAACAATTTCATGGATTTCTGGGTTTGATATAATCTCACGTAAGTCTGGATGTCATCTAGTGCTTTGCTACGATTCCTTTTTCTTCTTGCTCTCCTTGGAAATTGCATCGACAGATACTCTATTTATAAGCATGAATGATACGAAGTTGGGAATGGGATTGATTGGCACATAGGCATATCTTTTGTAGCACAGCTTTAGATAAAATGTAACGTGCTTTGATAGGCATATGCAGCTCTTGTGGTTTTGCTTGCCTTGCAAATTGATCTTATTTCTGCATCATCCTGTTGCTCTGCTCACGTAAATATGGATATTCAGAATATGTGAAAGATAGCGAAAGTATGCTTGTTTCAGCCATTGAATTAAGTGCCTTTTTCCATGTAGGCTAATCTACTAGAAGAAGCCCTCTGTTTCTCACCTGGTCTGGAGAAAAATGAACGAGCAACTATGAGAAAATGCCTTGCAACGATTAGAGACTCAAAGGTGCGTACTATATTTGTGATCTGGATGTTTCATAGCCAGCAAGTTCGCATCTAGTGAAATATAACTGACTTCTCTTTCTTGAATCTAAAACTGTTTTTGGCTGGCATAGGATTGGGATGTTGTAATGTCCTCTTCGCTGCGGATTGATGTTCTGTCGTCTATAAGGCACGTGTCTTTGAAGTTGTCATCACTACCAGGCCGATGTGGTATCGAAGAAGAAACTTATTATTGGACTGCTATCTATCATTTGAACATTAGACTCTATGAGAAATTATTGTTTGGCGTGTTTGATATTCTTGAAGAGGGTCAACTCATAGAGGTAGAGTTCCTTAGTCCTTGGTACTGTTCTTATCATCTGTCTCATGCATATATGTCCCTGACTTCAAATACATATCAGGATGCCTCATCAATGCTTTTCCATATGAAATCAATTTGGTCGACATTGGGCATAACTGAGAATCTACATAATGCAGTATATGGATGGGTTCTTTTTCAACAGGTATATCTTTCTCAATTTGTTCCACTTATTCGTCAGACGTCTGCCTTATCTAATTGATCACTCTCTGCACAAAGTTGGCTTGTTAGCGCTCTATGTAACTTTGAACACAATAACGTATCACCTACAGGGTTGATCTGTTTATCTTAGAATCAAAGATATAAACACACACACACTACACGCATATAAATAAACAGGTTGAGGGAACCTAACATTTAGGACACCTAAACTAGCAGTTAGATTAACCAGGCTTAAACTCTACGCCTTGCAGCTAGTACAATGCCAGGTTGACTTTTACTATATGCTGCTTGATTCTTGCATTGATAATTTATCCAAGACAAGAGTTTACGGTAGTCACCACATGTTTTCTTTTTCTGCGAAGTTTGTGTGCACAGGTGAACCTTCTCTTCTAGGGAGCGCAATTCAGGAGTTGGAGAAAGTTACTTTCACTGAAAAGAGCAATCGGAAGGAAGATCTATATTTAAGTCATATAGTATGTTCAAGGCAAACCATTGGAACTGACATACACTTAGGTCTCGTGAAGGCAATTTTCGCTTCAGTTAGTGCTTGGTGTGAAGATCAACTTCAGGACTACCATCTACACTTTGGTAAGGTCAGTTTTCGATCTGTGATAATAGATTTACATAATGTTTTGTGATTCTTTTCAAAGTTTTCTGGCCAATTATTCTTATATGTATCTCTGGTTAGCATGCATGCCATATATACTGTTCTTTTTTTTCCTGGTAATCAATATCATTGGATTTTCGCTACTTCCTAACTGCTTAAACGAAATACTTGTTTTCATCTCTGTTGTAAATTTATCATGTCGAATATGTTTTTGCAAATTTCCATGGCATAAAAAAACATTGATTTTTATAAAGCTTCTCAATATTCCATGTCTTCTCAGAAACTTCGTGATTTTGGAATGCTTGTTAGCTTGGCATCAACAGTTGGACTTCCTCCATCTGACTGTACCAGAACTGAGGTTGGCGTTTCTGATATTGACTACTACATCCATTACCATTTTTCAAGAAACTTTTCTGCTGCCTTTTTCCATTTTGTGACTGTATATTTGACATCTATTCTGTTGAAGTTACCCGAACGACCATCATTAATAGATATCAAATTTTCTTCCAGCTTATCACGCTAGATACCTTGAGTGATGAAGTTGGTGATAAGATACAATCCTATGTTCAGAACTCTATCAAAGGGGCATGTGCCAGGGTGAGCTTTCATCTTGGTCATCTTATATTGCTAATGTTGTATAAGACACTTCTTTTATCGCTCAACAATATGATGTAAACATATACTTGTTGATAATCTTATCCTCTCAGGCTGCACATTTTGCATATGTGAAATCTCATGGTGAACGCACGCATGCTCTAGCTCTGCTTGCAAATGAACTGAGTGTCATCGCAAAGGCAGAGATCAATGAGTTTGCTCCAGTTTTGTCCAAATGGTTACCCGAATGTATGATGATCTCGGCCATGCTGCTGCATCGGTTTTATGGAGAAAGACTGGTTTGTCCCTGAGCATTGTTCTGTACTTGAGATGATATAGTTTGTCACTGGTATCTCTGTACTAATGATTGATCTTTTGTTCTACTGGAGCAGATGCCTTTCCTCGAAGGAGTTTCATCCCTCTCTGGTGAAGTTAGAAAAGTAGTTCCTGCTGCTTATATGTTAGAGGAAGCCTTAATGCAACTGTATAATTGTCATAGCAAATCCAAGTTGCACAAACCTTACCTCCACAAGTTGAAGAATTACGAGGTCATTGGATAAACATAGTTTCTTATGAATTGAGTTTCAGAACACATTTGTATCACTCCTAAATTTTATGGTTCCTCTATCATGTCAAATACGTCATATAAGAAAATATTCATATTTGTTTGTGTGCAGATAGAAAAGGTTGTCAAACCAGTAATGCTGGATTGGCTTATCTCTCAACATGATCATATCTTGCAATGGACTAGGCGAGCCTTTGAAATCGAGGTTATATATTCTTGGCAAAATATTTACATGTTGATTGCTGTTTACAGTAGGTAGGCATTAAAGTTCGGCCATAATGAAAGTTGTTTTGATGGATCACTTTAAACCTCATCTGCTCAATATTGAGAAATCTTGGAGGAAACAAAAAGTTGCTTTGCATCGTATATAGTTTTTAAAGTCATATTATATACTGATTAAATGAAAGATCTTTGAAGTCAGAAAGATGTAACATATACTGACCTTCCATCACTTTTCTCAACCAAACATATCCAAAGTATAATGTAGGAAACTTTATTTTCCAAAAGAGGGAACCATAGTTTTATTTATACTTTTCTATAAGCAGGAGTGGGAGCCTGTATCAGTTCATCAGAGACATGCTTCATCAATCGTTGAAATATTCAGGATCATCGAAGAGGTATATCTACATACTTTCATGCCATCATTTATGCGGAATAGTGTGCAAACTGTAACAGCAGGCTCAGACATATAAGACGAGTGCAAAACTCGAGAACATTTTTCTTCGCTTTGAGTTGCCTCTGGAATTACATGTTGGCTTTGTTTTACTTCTTGCTTTACTTCTAGTATTATTCTCTCCACCTTTTTTTTAATATTGTACACAATTTATATACCGTCTTACCTTCTCATCTCACTAACTTTGCAGACTGTGTCTCAGCTATTTGGTTTACATCTACCTGTTGATATCACACATCTCCAAGCTCTTCTCTCATTAATTTACCATAGCTTGGATACTTATCTTCAGAGAATTTTCGATCAACTAGGTATTGACCAACTCAACTCTTCTTACATTTGTTACTGAGTCTCGTTCCTGCACTACCATACGGAAAATATTACTATATTTTTTTATAAATTATGCCAGGATCCAGTTAAACATGCTTGATCAGGGCTTATATGTTTCTGGTAGATTACTTGCAACATGTAGACTTTTTGATGTTGTGTTTCTTTGTGTGGAGCTTGCTTGAAATTAACATTTTATTATATAAAAAATTTCTTGACCAAATCCAAAGGTGAAACAAAAACAGTTTCAAAACTTGTTTTAATAAAGCGAGTCTTGGTAATCATACTGTGATGTATTGACCATAAGCCTATATCTGCAGTTGACAAGAAGCTTCTGTACCCGTCACCTCCTCCTCTAACTCGGTTCACAGATGCTATTATGCCAGCAATGAAGAGGAAGTCGCTCGAGTTTACTGAGCCAGATAATATTATGGTTAAGAAGTTGGATGAATTAACAATACCGAAACTCTGCATAAGATTGAATACACTCTGCGTAAGTGTGTCCTTCCAAGCTTATGCCTTCGTTATTTATTTCTGGAAACTAAACAATAGCATTGATTTTGTGGATCAGTATATCCAGAAACAAATCAGTGCAACAGAAGATGGCATAAGGAAATCTTTGGCAGTTGTCCGATCCTCTCTTGAAAAGAGATCAAGTAAGCTCACTTATTTGGGACTATACATTTTACTCTTCATTTTTAGTGGTTGTCGTTTGTTGAAATGTCAACTGGCGTATCTTGTTTCAGAAACTGAGATTGATGAAGTTGACGAGAATTCAATGACGCATGGTGAAGCTGTTGATGAACTCTTTGCTACCACCTATGACAGCCTCAGGGAGACCAATGCCAATTGCATAACCAAAACCCGTGACCTAATTGGTAAGCTAATACAAAGTCTCTTCTTCATCTGCAGCACTTTGAATTTGAGAGAAACTGTCCAAAATGAACGAATTCTCTCAACCTTAAGCGTTAGAAATCAAAATTTTCTTGATTAAGTGATCTATTTATCGAAATATAAGATGCATTAGCATTTTCATACTGTTTGCAAACGTACATAACAAGATTTGCTATCGTCTGTCTTCGTCAGACATACTCGTGAATAAGCTATACTTATTTATCATGTTGCAGCTATGTTTTCAAATGTAGATATTCCTCTTACATTGTTATCACCTTATGAATGAGTGAGAATGTTTAATGGATTGTGTTACTTTAATATTTTTGCTTTACAGATGACAAACAACTCTGTATAGCTCTGTTTTCAGTGTTTAACTATTTATTGTCGCTTTTCAACAGGGGCAAGAGTGATATTCTGGGATCTGAGAGATATGTTCCTAGTACAGTTATACAATGGCACAGTCGAAGGCGCCCGCTTAGAAAGATTACTCCCTCACATTGATTCTGTAAGCAAAATTCATCTCTTTCCTCTGATTCAGCCCTTTCTACTAAGCATGAACTTACACTGAGAAATGCAATGCACAGGTCCTTGATAAAGTATGCAGTTTGAGTTATGAGGACTCGCGAGATATGGTGGTTTTAAGCATCTGCCGATCGGCTTTGGTAACACTTCTTTTCCCTTTTGCATATGTAAACGAAGTTAACTAACTTCAACTTCTTTTATGATCTTCAACATTATATGCTTCTCTCACTCACACAGGAAGCTTATGTTCGAGTACTACTTGATGGAGGGCCAACACGTGCATTTTCAGATTCAGACATCACTCTGATGGAAGAAGATCTCAGTATTTTGAAGGTGCGTAGTTTATGATCCTATTTTGAAATTCCTATTTTCGAGCTTCATTGTATACTCTCAGCATACCGAAGTGAGAAACTATGTTCTGCAATCTTGCCTATGAGAAGCGGTCTCGATCCATGAATATGGAAGTTCCGGTTTGTTCATTACTAACCTCTGCCATGCATTCTCGCAGGAGTTCTTCATCGCTGATGGAGAAGGACTTCCTCGTTCACTTGTTGAGCAAGAAGCAAAACAGGCGAAAGAGATCCTCGACTTGTACTCCCTTGAGGTAAAATACATTTCGCTCACTCGCAAAGTTAGTTACCTTTTGAGAACAACCTGAGACGCTTACTTCTCTGTGGCAGAGCGAAATGCTAATTCAGATGCTGATGACTGCGAGCGAGCTAATCAACATGGGAGTGAGCTCAGAGCAACGGCGCTTGGAGGATGCACAAACTCTAGTCAGAGTTCTTTGCCACAAGAAAGACCGTAACGCCTCCAAGTTCTTAAAGCGCCAGTACGAGCTTCCTATGTCATCAGGTAAAACACATGAAACTATCTTTGAACTAAGAAATAATAAATTTCATCATTTGATCATTACAAGTCAAGGCGCTACAATTGTTTCAAGAACGTAAAGATCTTAGTTGTCAACATTGCTACAACACTAGGTAAAACCCATTGCTTTTCTGCTGCTATTTTTTTTTGCAGAGTATGAAGACGTGACTTCGAATCTGCCTGCTTTATCTGAAATCGTGAGAAGCACATCCACGCGCTGGAGCACGACGAGCCAGAATAGTTTCAGCTCCATCAAGAAGAAGATTCAAGAAGCTACTTCCGAGATCCGGAACAACTCAGGATGGTAGTAGAATGATCTGTTGTTTTAGTATAAATGAATCTTGTTCTGCTGACTTGTGAAACATTTCAGAAGCTTTTGTTCTAATGACCAAACATTGCTCCAATTCTCCGCTCCGGTCCAGCTCAATGGCTCTTGCCTTTTTCAATGGAGGCTGCAGATACTACAAATCCATTTCATTTTCCGAGTTCGAGCCATGCCCCGTCGTGGTTACCGGAGTTATTGTCCTCCTCCATCGGCTCCGACTTAACATCAGAGCCCTCTCGGTTACTCGCTTCTCGTCTCTCATCATCTTCTTCCTCCCCAGCACCCAACTCTTCGTCTCTTCTAGCTCGCTTCACCCCTATAGAAACCCCAAACAACCTCGGAGTCAAATCCTCGTCCAGCTTCAAACCAATCCCTGTTTCTATTCTAGAAGCCATGGCAATGGCTTCTTCAGTCATCTCTTGTCTCTCCGGTAAAAGATCCAACGGTTTCCCTTCCGGTAACAAACTCGCACACTCCGCTTGACCGGACGTGAAATTCGCCATGAGCGTGTAGATGTTCGCATACAATCCTTTAAGCTTTGTCAGCTCTTGACTCAACTGTACATTCTCTTTCCTCAACCGCTCGTTCTCCTCGATCAGCTCCGGCGTAGTGGTGCAGCTCGTCGTCCTCTGAAGAACAACACCAACGGCTCCTCCACTAGTAGTCATAGCAGCTGCAGCCGCTGGTGACGAGTTAGACGAAATCACCTGCTCGTCTCCGGAGTTCGACGGAGAGACAGCGTGTGCTACAGCCGGAACCGCTGCAACTGTAACAGCTGAAGCCGCTACCGCCGCCGCTGCAGCTGCGGCTGCGGCGGCCATTGCCGGCTGAGAGATTTTCCGGCGTTGAATGTCCCGAAGCAGAATCTTTTCACCTCGCCGAAAACAGTCGTTAGAAAACTCCCAACGATCCGGAACTACTTTTCGAAATCCCTAAACCGTATTAAACCAAAAAGAGTCAGTACTAAATCGAAATTGAAATTAATTTCAAACTATAAATCAAAACGCAGAAAGACAAAACTCACGTAAGTGTTGAGCTGACGAACAAAACTGGAGAAATTGTTGTGTTTGAAGTATTTCGGAAGAAGATCTCTAGCGAACTCGGCTGGTCTCCACACGATGAATGTTGAACCATCTTCGTTCCATGAAATCAAATCGTCGTAAACCGGATCATCCACTAGCTGGTAAGTTTTGGTTAAAAACGGCGTCGGAATTGACCTCTGCGAATCTCCTCCTCCACCACCACCTCCGCCTCCACCACCACCCCCTCCTCCACATCCACTGCTTCCGCCACTATTCCCGGCGCTACAACCACCTCCTCCGCCGCCAACACCGGCTATCGTCGGAGTTTCTCCGGTTTGTTCCCCCGGCATGAGTTTCAGATCGACACACACCTCAAAATCTGAACTTTCTGTAACCCAATACCCCAAATAAAGATTCGACTGGGGAAAAATGCGTCGCCGGCGAGAACAAATGATTGACTTACCAATGGAAAGAAACTATTTTTATCTGTTGTTGATTGAAGAAACTTCGAATCATGAGATCCGTAAATACAGAAACTAAACACAGAACAGAGAAGGTATGTCTTTTGCTTTCCTCACAGACATTAAACCAAATCCAAAAACACTCATGGAAAAATTTCTCTTTCCTAACGCAATCTTTTTCACCTTTTCTCTACCAACCAACAAAGAGATTGCAACAATCCAGAAAGAAAGAGCCCGTGATTAACACACGTTTTGACCTCAAAGCTACAGAGAGAGAGAGAAAGAGAGAGATTGTGATTTGAGTTATGTCTTGTGAAGTTCTAGAATGTTCTGGCAAAAGGCAAAGACGGATTGATAAGAAAGAGAAAATGGAGAGAGGAGAGAGAGAGATGAGAGACAGATCGGGAAGTTCCAGAAGGAAATAAAAATGGAATTTTTTTTAAAAAAGAAGAAAAAATGGGATCGAGAAAGAAAAGGGTAGAATAGGAATAAAAAGTGAGGGGTCCACAAGAAGGAAAGAGTAAAGGAATGTGCGAGAAGAGCGTATGTGGTGGCGTCCTCTTTTTCCAGAAGTTTCTTCTTTCTTCTTCACTTCCCTTTATGACCCTCTCTGCTCTTATTTTTTCACGCAACGTTACTCACTGCTCTCTATATATTGTGATAAGTGATAACATATTCTAATTAATGCAAGTGGAATAAGTTTCTAGACTTCGAATTTATTATTTGTGTGTTGACTCTTTCTTGTTTTTTGTTATGTTACATTATGACATGTAGACCAAACTTTTCGTGATGGAAAGCGAAAATAGAAAACTATACATATACTTACCAAAGATAATTAGTATGCAAAGTATTAAATGTTTTTGATGACTTGTAAGTGTGAGAGAATCAATACAAGTTTTCATCTACTTTGTTCAAAGTCAAAAGTTTGAATTGTATACTTAACATGTACTTAAATTTACTTTCCTGAAACATATGCGAATAAAATAGAACAAGATTATGTTGTTGACTAACAAAGTTTCCTTATAACCATCACCACCAAATATTAACTCTTTTTTTTTTTTTTTTTTTTGGAACCTTTTTGTCTAGTGTTTTTAAATCCGGACCGACCCGGTCATCGAACCGGGTTCAACCATGAACCGGAAGCATCTTCGGGTTGGGTTACTACTAAAACCCATAGATAGTTAGATCGGTTAAAAAATCGGATTCGACCAACAAAAAATCAAAAACCGGTGACCCATTGAACCGTATTGAACCCGGTTTTCTAATTAAACAATAAATTTTCTATTTTATTTGATAATTTTAACTTTTTCAGAATGTTTTGTTAAAGAATATTTTCAAATATTATGAATTTTAAATAATTTATTTGATATTTAAAATTTATATATATTTCTATACTGTTTAAATATTATAGATATATTCATATATAAAATTTATAAAATTATATATATTATTTTTTAAAATCATCGAACCAGGTCGAACCCGGTCGAACCATATTAACTCATGACCCAAAACATTTCTGGTTCGATCACCGGTCCAGTTTTAAAAACATTGCTTTTGTCTAACTTCTTATGGCCGAAAATGTATTATTTTTACGTTTGTGGTGGAATTAGAAAGTAGGAAAAATAGTCTATCTTCTAGCCAAAATATATTACTTCTTAGTTAGAGTGTTTGAACCGACCTGTTGTTGCCGTCTTATTCGAAGTAAAATCCATTTGATATTGCGTTTTATTTGAATTCAATCCATTGTTGAATTGACACGTGCAATTGCAAGTGAGCTCCAAATATATTGCATATAATTGTCGAATCATATATATAGTTTACAAAAAATGCATAAACGTAAAAATTATCATTTACTAAAGAAAAATCATAAACGTCCTTTCAATTTGTACTTCTTGATCCGGCTCATCAAAAGTGTCATTATTGCAGGGTCCTCATATGATGTGAACGAATGTCTGATCCAATATAAGCACAGGTTCTAATAGGATTTGATGGCTGCATTTTCTAAGGTCGCTAATTATAGATTGTTTAATAATATGCATGTTTACTTGGTTCACAAACTGATCACCTGATCGACATGCCACTTTATCCATAATGTTCAATAATATGTTTACTTGGTTCACAAACTCATAATTTGTTGATCAGTAACTATTTTAATGAAAGCTTCCCACTATCTTGCAGCACTTGTATCATCCTTTCAAAGAAATATCGGTTTTTCTTACATATTAAAGAACCCTTTTACCAAATTACTGATAATTTTGCCAAATATACTACGAGGAAGACAAATTAACACTTGATTAATTAAGTTTGTTTAATACACATGGTCATCCCTTATTTACGGATTAAACAAGTCTTTACAAGATTAATAATGTGTATAAGGAACTCCTCACAAGACTTACCACATAAATCTTTTGCAAAGCTTATACCCGGACAAGAGGGTAGAGAGTGTCAAAACCAAAAAAGCAGAGAAGGACATTGAAACTGAAACTATGGAGTTATTTCTCAGTGTTATAATCCCATCCTCGTTTATATGTTGGATCCACGCAATTGCCACGGAAGAAGATGATACTAGTAGATAACATATAACCTGATAATTAAGGTTGTACAAAATAAAAAATCAGCTCAACTCTTTTAAATGGTTTACTATTGTCTATTAAATATATATGATATGTAATACTATTATATAAGCATCGAACTAATTAAATCATAACGTACACAAACCTGATCAAGAATGAAGCTGATGTAATCGGAGAGAGGCTCAGAGATTAAAACTCCTTTGTGAGTAATATCACAAACTCCTTTGAATGTTTGCAGAGATGTATACACGAATCCTGTCACCGCTACACCAAAACAATACCTACATATATTTTCTTTTATTACAACATTTTCAATACTTCTTTGTATAAATATACAAATTAGATATGAAACAAAGTCATCTAATCTTTCCTTCCACAATTCTCAACATTTTCAACAGTTTTACTTTACTGCATGTTTAAAAAAGAACGTGATATTATGTAAAATAAAATAATATGAGACAAACAACATGATATTAAAAAATACATAAGAAAAATTCATGAAATTCATAAAACTATTATTGTGCGATGAATTAACCACCATATTTACAACAAGACCATCCACAGATTTTTCAAATTTTGTTTTGACTAATTAATTAAGGTATAGTCATGCTTCCAAATTTTTTATATTTCACTTCTTATATTTAATGTTGTAAAGTATGTCATGCATATTTAAGATAATATTTGAAACTGTCTAATATAGCCTTTTTGTTATTACTTTTACGAGTACGTATAAGGTATTGCATGTGAATAACAATTAACAAACTCTAGACACTTGCAAGGAAATATTTGATTTTCTGAAGTCTTAAAAAATATAATTAAGTATTAAAAAAACTTAAAAGAGGATAAGGTTCTTACAATAGTTCAGGATATGAAGCGAAACTCGAGGAGCTCTGTGTCCGATGATGTCTCAGTGAAGGCCGATTAACATTCACTGCCAGCGAAAGAGCAGAGACAAAACAGAGAACCAAAGTTATAAACCGGAGCACCAAACCGGGAACATGAACCGACTCTCGCCGTGAGCTGAATCCTGACGGCGTTACGGAATATGCAAACAAAGACGGCGTCGGAACTGCTGGCGTTTGATGAGAGATTGGCGATGCCGTCACTGAACCCTCCGACGATGGTCCGTAGGTGATCACCACTACGTGATCTTTATGTTCTTTCATCAGTTTTTCAAGTGTCACACAAATAATTAAAGTGAGATCGATTTCTATTCATAGCAAAAAAAATATATATATAGAAGAAGACTGATTTCTAGACATCGGGTTGGTTGATTCTGAAGTAAAATATTTAAATGAAGTTTCAGCGAAACTGTTGTACCCTTTTTTCTTTGATAAAATATTATAATATGAATGGTTGTAACTTGTATGACCAATATTTCTGAATATTTTATCAAAAAAAAAAAAAATATGTCTGAATATTTATATTTTAGTTGACTTCATTCCTCTTGCAAAATAAAGTCTATTAGGGTTTAACCTTAATTACTTGTAAAACACATTTTTCCGTTATAGAACAAATTTATTTGTTTTTGTAACAGTAAAGAGATCATAAATCTGAGCAAAAGAAAATATTTAATAATTTTATCCATCATTTATTTTTATACTATATCATCTTCGGATTTACATTACTCGTTGAGAATTCTTTGTAAAAATTGCTTCAACGGTGGAATTGAAGCCGCTCTCTGGCATCTGTCCTCTTTGGTACATTTTCTCTTTGGCATCACAGGACATGGGACTTTGGAAGATCTTGGATCACAACCTTTATGTGATTTCCTTAGGGGTGAATAATCAATATATCTTTTTTCCGAATCGATACCACTAATAAATGTGCACACTACAACCAAAAATATCACAAACATAAACTTATTTGTTCTCATCATTATTTCACTACTTTTGGATTTTTCTTCTGTTTGTTTTTAAAGGGTTTTCAATTTTTCTTGTCGAAAGATTGGAAAATCAAGTTCTTATATATAGTGGAAGAGAGAAGTTTTAATTCCACTAGCTTTAATTTAGAATTCCATTATGGTTTTTGGTTGAGTTACCAGTTCAGTTTTCTTTGTTTTGTTTTTAATAAAACACACCAAATTTTGCCGTTTTGTGATTTAATTAAGGCAGTTTCTTTCTCAAATTATACGTTCAATTTGAATTTATTTTGATTCCTTTCAGTTTAGTTTAATTTGATCTTCGTAATGTCTTTTTTTTTTGTCATTATCTCAGTTATAAATATAATTTAAAAGGTATCCATGTACAATAAATAAAAAAGGCTCCTTTTTTTGGGAAAAATGCTAAAATTATCTTCAACTTTCAAATTTAGGTCAAAAGAAACACTGATATTCTCATAAACGAACAAAGTTTATAATTATATGCATTAACTTTTGCTAACTTAATTGTTGACTAAATCGTTTTTCGAAAAACTATATATGAAAATCCTTTAACAAAAACAAAAAAAGGGTTGAGGAAATTATTAAGCCTAATGAATTCAAAAAAAACTGGGTTGAGCGTATTCAATCTTGTGCAGAGTTTGGCCTTCCTGAAATGTTTAAACAAAGTCTTCTATATGTGGATTGAGACCATAGTTGGACTGAACATACAAAACGTGTTGCCAATACAGAGACTGACAGGCCTGTAAGATTGCGAGGCAAGTCACTAAATTTTTTGTTTTACGTCTCGCGAGTGAGAAGTGGTTTGATATTCTATTGTAACTTGTGTTTTCCCTGACTTACTGAACCCTCCAACGATGGTCCGCAGGTGATCACCAGATTCACCACTACGTGATCTTTATATTCTTTCATCAATTTTTGGAGTGCCACAACTAATTGAAGTTTCAACGAAACTAATATACCCTTTTTTATAAAATATTATAATATGAATGGCTGTAACTTGTCTGACCAATATTTCTGAATATTAATACTTTAGTTGACTTCATTTCTCTTGCAAAATAAAGTTAATTAGGAATAAATATTTTATGTAAACTATGGGTATAGATATCACATACCCGATAGACCCGGACCCAATCAAACCCGACCTGAATCCGATCCAATCATTCAAAGTCCCATACCTAATCTCAATTTATTGATGATGCAATTGTATTTTAGATTCCATAGTTTTCACAAAGACCAAAATTTTTGTATGTGTGGCAGAGTTATAAATATATTCACAAATCATTTGTCACCAAAAGATGATATACTTGTCTTTTAGTTTTCACTACCTCCCAAGTAATTGTTATTATATTTTTTTTTTCAAAAAATGCATTGAAAAGAAGAAAATTAATGTATAAAATACTTTTTTTTATATAGTTTGCTTCTAAACTATTTTCATATTATATACTCTCAATTTTTTTTTAAATATGAATTTTCTCAGATTTCAATACATTTTTTATTAAGTAATACTAAGTAATTATAATTTTGAAGAAAAATAACTGAGATTATTGAATTGCGACTGGTTAATTTTTTTTAGAATTTGTTAATCAGAGATAATACATTTAGAGCCTAATTGTTAATATAGTTTCTTAATATATGTCAAAATTCTTAGAGAGTATATTTGTCTTATTTTTTGTAGAGTTTGTTTTTAAACATTATTCACATTGAGTCATTGCATTTTATAACATCAAATTTCAATATTTTGAAAATAAGCTACTAAATTACATAGAAACCTTTTGTTTTGGTTTAAATGTTAAGTTTTAAACCACATTTTTGATTCTGGACAAAAGTTATAAAAAATACAGGAAAACTGAGATTACAAACAAAGCAAATTACAACTGGAAATAGAGACAGAAAAAAGTCAACATGATAGACACAATTCATAGTTAACACAAAGATTTTTGAAGAAAAACACCTATTCCAAACCTTTAAACTCAAAATTTGTGCTTTTTGCCGAAGATTTTAAAATCTTAAATATGTCATTAAATCTCAGAGTTAGTAATGTCTACAGTTTCTGGAAAGAGTAACACAAAAACAATATCATTTCAAGACACTACTATACATTGGCAGCAAGCCTCTTTGCACCTAGATAATTCTCCTGTTCGCAGGAGAGTTTACAATTACATAAGAAACTTAACTCTTGCATGAGAAACCGAATGTTTGAAAATGTGATTTTAAAGACCTATTAACCACACCGAATGTTTCAAACTTAGCTCTTGCAATTATATGGAGACCCATTACCCACACCCTAATTTTAGAAGAAACATAACCAAATTGTCAATCCATTGGAGATTGATGAGTTTTACCTGATCAACAGTCTCGTGAAATTTTATTAAAAGTAATTTTTCAAAAAAATAATCTTTTATATATCATGATTTCTGAGAATAAATTAAGAAGGACGTGTCTTGCTTGATTAGACCTTTTCGGATTACAGAACCACTTTGATTAATAATGTACGGTGTTAACATTATGCCAAATCTTAAATTTTATTGATGTAATTTAACTATAAGTACTTTTATATATTTTTTCAAATATTATTATTATTATTATTATACTAATGAAATTGTTTGTATAGTGATTTTAATTATGAAACTACAAAAAATAATGATTTGAATATGTTAATATATTGCAACTTTTATAGAATATGAATTTAAAATTACAATAAAATGATTAATGCTTTATTTTAATTTGTTTGTTTGTTTCAGATTTGAGAACTATAATAAAATAATTTTATGCTTTTTTATTTTTTCTACAATCTTGTTCTTGACATGTGTTTCAAACTTTGTAAGCTTTGTAGCATTTTTTCTTATTTTATGACTTCAGAAGTTTGAACTAAAGATGAATAACTGACATAAAATACTTCAATAACTAAACAACGGTCAAGGAACCCCCGCGCTCTCCCCCGCACATTCCACCTCTCCGGCGTCTCAGCCCAACGTCGACCTTATCCCAACTTCCTCTCCCTTTATTTCCTCCTTTTAAGCCCTTCTCCTTCCCAAGCCGACTCCTCCGATCATCCTTTCCAGAAAGAAGAGAACCCCATATTAGTTCAACTTAATTAACAGTTTATGATCTCTTATCTTGCCATATGAGAAAAACAAATCTACACATGCAAATACATCTTATTCACTACCAAATATATACATATATGTATACTATGTACTCGGTTCATGCATTGCTAAGGCATGTGATGGATTGGAGTTTAAACTTGCAGAAATTAGTTCAAAATCAATACAATCGAGTCTAACATTTGCTAGTACCATAATTTATTTCAGCAAGATATACTCACGCAATAACCTTGATAAACCCGAAATGGTTCCTAACTAATTGTTTGATATACCACTATGAGGCCTAGCACACAAAAACAAAAACGTTTCACCACTACATGGGAGTGATTTTCTTATGGCATACATAGTTCGTAATGGTACATAGCAGTCGTTTCTAGATTTAAGAGGAATAATCAGAGGGACCCCGACAAAACAATTTTCATCACCAAAAGGAAGACAACTTACTAATCCAGGGAGAAATTAAAGTAGCCAGAGTGTTCTATATATAGGGGAGTTTAAAAGAAGAACCTCTCTCTTTACAGAAGCATAATAAAATGTTGGAAAGACTGAAAATGCAGGGAAAAGCATCTAGAGAGAATAAGGATACCATTATTGTATATCCTCTGCATTTTCCAAGATGGACAGCGAAATGGAGAAATCTCACCGTGCTGTGCATCTCTGCAGGCCGAGGAAGTCGGTTGATATAAGGGACCCATGGAGAGTTCTGATTCAGAAACAATCAGAGAGTCAAGTTGTAACCAAAACAGTCGCATCAGAGGGAGACTTATTTTAAGATGACATTAAAACTAAAGATGTTGACGTGAGCTTACTTGAACCTTTTTCATCTCGATCATAAGAAGAGCAGCAAGCTTTCCAATGTTTCCAACTTCATCGGAAAAGCTTTCAAAGCACATACTGTATAGGAATGATAAAAACTGCGTTACAGGTTCTATCTTACCTGACGAAGAGTCTCACAGAAGCCCATGAATGTTATGTGGTCACCATCATTGTCGGTTTTCAGAAAGGCAAAAGCATCTTCAGCTGTTAGTGAAGCTCGCCTCAGTAAATACTGCAAAAGCAAAATGCTCAAATGTTAGAGAAGATGTAACATCACTTTAAACAGTGAAATGCCCCCAAGATATTGAGGAGCGTCTTACCCTGAACATGCCAAACACTGCCTCACTCCAACTTGTTTTCAGAAGCTTTCTATACCGGTTTGGATTAAGAAGCCATATGAAATCAACAGCGCATATGTTACCACGATGATTCCGGTGGCTCACCCACTTAAAAAAAAAAACAAAAGATAAAAACAGCAATTTTCAGAATCACAAAAAGCTACAGTATACCCAAAAGTATTCTCCATATGAAGAAATACAGTGACCTTGTGAGCATCTGAATCTGTGTACCGATGAGCAGTGTCGTACGACGACACAAACTCCTGTGACCACAGAAACTTGTAGACATGTCCTCTCTTTCTCCCGTTCCAATCTCTGCCACAACAGCACAAACAGAGGACTTTTGAGTAAATCTCATCAGATGTAACTCATGAAAAAGGTAGTTGTTAGTTACCCGCAAAGTATAATAGGCATGGGACTGAGATTGACTTCTTTCTGATACGATTCTACATACTGAAGAATCTTATATACCTGTGAAAAACAAAATCTTGTTTAGAGAAAGATGCAAAATCATTCATCACAATGGCACTGGAGTTGGTATAAAAGATTGAATTCTTTACCTGCTGCAATCGTACTATGGACAGTGTTGAGTCATGAGGGAAGAGCAAATGAGTGTTGACGATCAAGACTTGTTGATGAGCATCGTACTGAGAGTAAGGAGGAACTAATTCTACGTGAAGCAACTGCGCGACTCTGTCACCACAATCGTTGAAAAGCAAATCTCTCAAGTTCAAAACTCTGAAATAGTCCTTGTGAACAGCCGTAAGCAGACCTATTTTACCAATGAAAATGTCATTTTTCTCATCATCTGAAAACATCAAGCCAAGAAGATTCACAAAGATGAAGCTTTTACCATCGCCACGATTGTTGGTACGGCCAAGCTTGTAACTGAGATAACCAATTCGACTTTGTCAAATCTATAAAAAAATGGAAGAGGAAATTCGTCGAACAACCTGCAAACATATGATTGAAGACCTCTCGTACAATAACCAATCGAGGATTCTGTGATTCCTTCCAAGCCAATACGCTCGATTATCGCTTTCGAAGACTTTGATCCTGCATTCATCCTTATAACCAAAAACCCAGAGAAACAGCAAAATGAGATAAAGCGTTGATGAGAATTGAGAAGAAGAACTTTTTGAGAGAGGCGTTTGTAGATCAAGGAATCTAGGGTATTATTAAACACAAGACATTGATCTGTGCTATCAAAGCCAGTAAATCCAAGGGGAATTGAAGAGGCGTTTGAAGAGGCGTTGAAATATTTCTACCGTTTGAGGAAAAAAATCAGAGAGAGGAAAATCAGATAAGGCGCCACGTGTCCATCTCTCCGATGATGACGTGTCAGATATAGACAACTTTTATAGTTATAGTATATGATATTTCCTGAACTAGTTTTACAGTATCAAAAAGAATTTTATATATTTTTAACTATGAACATTAAGAATTCAAACCGAAAGATATCTATGTAAGTTAGTAAATTATTAATTTATCAATAAAGTAATAAAATTTTGAAGTCCAAACAATATTAATTTATTGAAGTTTTAATGTAAACGATGATTGTTTATTTTCTTTCAGATAAATATAAAGGTTGATTGTTCAACCTCAAAAATATAAATTGTTCACAATTTTTTTATATATTTCTCTAACAGTAAAGAGATCGTAAATCTGTGCAAAATCAAATATTTAAGAACTTTATCCATCACTTTATTTTTTATTTTTACTATAAATAATCTTCGGATTTACATTATTCGTTCAGAACTTTTTGTAAAAATTGCTTCAACGGAGGCTGGTACTGAAGCCACCTGATGTGCGCCACTTAATCTCTTGCATCTATTTTCGATTGTACATGGTCTTTTGACTCTTTTCATAGGACATCGGGCGTATCTTGGATCATCACCTAATTTAACATTACATCACAAAAAGAATATGTTTATCAGCCGATTTTAATAAAAAATTAATGAACCTATTCATGTAGTTTAAGTGCTTTTATCCAGACGAACCCTGAGTTGAGAATCAAGTGTTTCCATTAAGTAGTCGACGAATGTTTGATCATTGTACTTCCATGAATCGCTGTAGACAGGCATCAAGTAGTTGTTGATGAAGTCATTGCTGCCTAAAGCGACGACGTATCTAGCTTGTTGGAAGAATTTGTCTGCTTCCTTTTTCCCTATCTTCGCTACTACTAAATCTTGTGTCCCTTGGAATAACTCTATTTGCTTCCACAGCGAAAATCTTTGGATCTTCACAAATACAAACCCCAAATACAATCATTTCTTTGAATCTTATCCATTTATTTTATGAAAATAAAAACAATTATTTCAAAGACTTACGAAATAACCACCAGTTTCATTCAAGATTCCACCACCTCCTGAAGCATAGTTCACTCCACTCTCAAGTATTACATCTTCATTCATTGATGGATCCAAAAAGGCTACTGGTCTTGGTAACCCAATTTTATCACCTTAAAAAATTAAATAAAAACTATATATTATAAGTTTGTACAGAAAATAACTCACATGATGATATAACATGATCATTGGTTAGTTAATGAATGATCATACACATGACTTACCTATAATGTCTGAAACAGTACGACCGTTTGTGAACCTTCCATTAGGCAGACCATTGCCAAAATCAATACCGTAAAAAGGCAAATTCGCCTGCGCTAAACTCCTCGGTAGATTCCTATTATTGCCAACATCAGACAAAGAATCCCCAAATATAAACTGGACGATCTTGCAATCATAGCCATTGATAGCATCGAGTCCAAGAACGATGAACAACACGAATATAACGGAGATTTGCTTCATGTCGAAGAAGAAATGGAAATGTGTGTTGATTGAAAACGATTTGTTTTTTGGAGGTTTTTCAAAGGGTTTTAAAGAGGTGAAAATATAAGACTTTGAGTAAGAAAAGTGGAGAAGTAATGTGAGAATAAAAGGGTGAAGGTAGATTTTGAGTTGATGAACCAACTGATTTTGTTTTTTTTTAATTATTTATGTGTTGATTCAAACCTACTTTCAACTACTCTTTCCTCGTGTTGGTGTCGTAAGTTGTAACCGTTTCTTTGTCCGTAAACTTGAAATTTTGTTTTCTTTAGGGAATTGTTAAATTTTTATGTTTTCCTTGGGTTAAATAATTGCAAGTTTGGGTTTATGAACTCGTTTATAGGGTAAAACTATAAATGAGTTTTGCCTTGATACGGAATATGTCCTAGTATTATAAAATAAGCTAAAACTCTTCATCAAATTCATACGATTTCTCTTTTTGTAAAAATTGCTTCAACGGAGGCTGGTACTGAAGCCACCTGATGTGCGCCACTTAATCTCTTGCATCTATTTTCGATTGTACATGGTCTTTTGACTCTTTTCATAGGACATCGGGCGTATCTTGGATCACAGTCTTTATGTGAATAATCAATATATTCTTTATGTGATTTCCATAGGGGTGAAAAATCGGTATATCTTATTGGTAATTTCTTTGAATATCTTATTTCTGAATCGATGCCACTAATAAACGCGCACACTACAACCAAAAATGTCACAAACATAAACTTATTCGTTCTCATCATGACTTCACTACTTTGGATATTTCTTATGATTTTTTTTGTTTGGTTAAAGGGTTTTCAAATTTTCTTGTCCAAAGATTAGTAAATCAAGTTCTTATATATAGCGGAAGAGATAAGTTTTATTTCCACTAGGTTTAATTAAGAAACGTCCATTATGATATTTGATTGAGTTACCAGTTCAGTTTTTTCTTTTTCTTTTAAGTATTTAATAAAACAGAACAAATTGTGCGGTTACATAATTTATTTTAAGCAGTTTCTTTTTCAAAATATACATTCAGTTTGAATTTATTTTGACCAGTCTATGTTCTTTTTGGTTTGGTATAATTTGATCTTGATTTGTGTGTTTTTTTGTCGTCATTTCGGTTATAATTTAGAAGGAATATATGTACAGTAATAATTAAATAAATTCCTCTTTTTGGGAAAAATGCTAAAATTATCTGCAACTTTCAAATTTAGGTCAAACAAAACACTAATATTCTCATAATATAATCCCACACCCTAATCTAGAAGGAATACTTTGGCGTAACCAATAATGTATTCAAGCCGCCCCTAACTGTCAATCATATTATATTTGCAAAATGATGACAGCAAATTAACATTCATTGTATAGATAACTCAAAAATTCAGTAACTAAACAATTAATAAAAATAAAAAGATCCCCGTACGCAACCCTTTACGTCTGTATAGAATCCATAATAAATATTAGCAAAAGAGCACACAGAAGTAGCAAGAAATAAAAATGGCAGGCATCTCACTTTCTACGTTCATATTCTCCATCCTTTTCCTCATTTCCACCGTAATGGCCGCCACATTCGACATCCTCAACCAGTGCAGCTACACCGTATGGGCAGCTGCTAGTCCCGGAGGTGGCCGGCGTCTAAACTCTGGCCAGTCATGGACGCTAAATGTCCCGGCCGGCACATCAATGGCACGGATTTGGGGTCGGACCAACTGTAACTTTGACTCTTCGGGCCGTGGTCGATGTGAAACCGGTGACTGTACGGGCGGACTTCAATGTACCGGTTGGGGCCAGCCACCAAACACGTTGGCTGAGTATGCGTTGAACCAATTCAATAACTTAGACTTCTACGACATCTCACTTGTCGATGGATTTAACATTCCTATGGAGTTTAGGTACGATTATCACCATATTTAATCTGCTCATAAATAATTTTGACCGAAAACAATTTGCGCGGACCATAAAAAAAATCTCAAATTTGAAACTCAATCTAAACGTACCCACTTTAGGTTCAGTTTTAGTTACTTATTGTTTAATTCCAACAATTGGATAATAAATGTGTAAGAGAATAAAACCAAGATTTTTTTTAAAAAAAGCTATAAAGATTTATCCAAAAAAGGCTATAAAGAAAACAAATAAACGGAAAAAGGTAAAGAAAAAGTAAATTATGCCTGCCGTTTCGTTTTCAATAGTGCTTGTTGCTATTTTGATCTTGTAGGCAACAGCCAGAAAAATCGCAAAAACACAAACATTCTTTCATGAATCGTTTGTTTTTGTTCCTTCATATATATATTCTTTGGTCGTTTGATAACATTTAAAGCAAAAAAATCCCCTTTGCTGATAGAGAAGAATGTTAATTTAACCCAAAAAAGTAGAACATTAACAATCGAAAGTCTATAACGTATTAACGTAAATGTTTTGAATCGATAATTAATGATTTTTGTTTTATTTGTATTGGTCTCCAGCACAACCAGCTCGAATTGCAAGCGGATACTATGTACCGCGGACATAAACGGACAGTGTCCAAACGTGTTAAAAGCGCCGGGCGGTTGTAACAACCCATGCACGGTTTTTAAGACGAACCAGTACTGTTGTACGAACGGACAAGGATCATGTACCGACACAGAATATTCAAGGTTCTTCAAACAAAGGTGTCGCGACGCCTACAGCTATCCACAAGACGACCCGACGAGCACTTTCACTTGCACTAACACTAACTACAGGGTGGTGTTTTGTCCAAGAGCTACCGTGCCATACCAGCTCCCGATCCAGATGGTCACCGAGGAGCATTAATTAAGAGACGAGTCTCTAGTCTCTACTTTGTTTGTGTGTGTATGAGTGTGCGATCGTATCTACGTTACTATCACACTTGATGGACAATAATGAAGGCAATAATAATTACGTTGGTCGACCAACGTACTAGACTTCCATCTAATAATAATTAAGCTCGTTAATTATGTGTGCTCTCTTTTCCGTGTCGTGACTATAATGCGGTTATTGAATATATGGATTAATACATTATACATAGATCTTTACTCAATTCAACGTTTGATTGCGTGCCAAAACCCATGTAAACTAGTTTAGTGAAATAAATTATATTGGCTTCGTCATCGTTGTAGATTTGTAGACTTTTAGACTTCGTTGCGTTTAACTTTTTGACGATATCTAAATAATCATTCAAGGCATAAAAGCATATAATATACAGTTTTGTTCTGTGTAAACTGCTTCCATCTAGTGTTTAACCAATTGTTTCTAGAAAATATAAACTTTGTACATTAATAGAAAAAAGGTGCTAATTAAAGATTTCCAATATGATATAGATAGAACCGTTCGTCATAGTTTTGTGAAATATTGTATGGTTATTGGTTATGGTTATTCGTAATAGTTTTCGCTTTCCAAATTATTTTTATGATTATTTGCATAGAAACATGAAAATGAAAATAATGTTTAAACAAAAAAAGTAATCTATGAAACTTATTTGAAAATACTATGAGATTTGTAAAGTCATTTAATTTGGTTGCCTCTGGTTGCTTTTCCTTATTTCTTTTTTTTTGGTAAAAATGTCTTTTCCTTATTTCTATTAAGTCTTTGTCTTTCTGAAGTCAAATTGTCTTGTCTCGTGAGGTGCATGCGAACCTTCCTTTGCTACACTGTTGATTAAGTCTTTATCCAAAAAAAGTCACTGTCTCTCGAGACCTTTCTTTGCTACAGCCTACACTGTTGATTAAGTCTTTGTCGATCTGTTTGGTCATGACTCAGCACATCCAAAGAACGAGAATCTTTTCCTAAATGTTGATTTTATTTTAAGCTAGATATCAATTATTATATTTAGTGTAAAACAGAACATAATGAAATTAAAATTCAACAGCATTTCTTAAACTTTGCCTTTTTAACTTGAATATCTTACTAATGGAACAAAGGGAGTAACGTTCTGAAATTCAAAATAATATTGTTTTCTTTCCACTTGTTTGAATCAGACAAAAGCTAAGAAAAAAACAAGTTTATGGTCAACCTGATAAGTCAACAAAAAGAAAAACGAAAAAGATCACAAAATGGTTTATGTACGTACACGAGTCATTTGAATACAGAGTAAATACAACCAAGTTATGTAGATTTAGTGGGATCAGTTTGACCTGCCTCTTATGTAAGTGGATCAGTACCCCTGTTACCTCTATATAAGACCATACTAAGTATTAACAAGAAATCACAACAAACAAAATGGCAAACATCTCAGTCTCTCTTTTCATTTTCTCCATCCTTCTAGTTATTTCCACTGCGACGGCCGCCACGTTCCAGATCCTGAACCAATGTGGTTACACCGTTTGGGCAGCAGCCAGCCCCGGAGGTGGCCGGCGTCTAGACTCCGGTCAGTCGTGGACACTAAATGTCGCCGCTGGCACAAAGATGGCACGTATTTGGGGTCGGACCAACTGTAACTTTGACTCTTCGGGCCGTGGCCGATGTGAAACCGGTGATTGCACTGGTGGACTTCAATGCACCGGTTGGGGCCAGCCACCGAACACGCTGGCCGAGTACGCCTTGAACCAATTCAACAACTTAGACTTCTACGACATCTCACTTGTCGATGGATTTAATATCCCTATGGAGTTTAGGTAAGAATATTACCATAATTGTTTCATATTTTTATCTAGTTGCTTTCTTTAGTGGACTATATATCTATAACGTAAATGTTTGGAATCGATAATTAATTATTTTTGTTTTAATTTGTTTGTTTGCATTGGTCTCCAGCGCAACCGGCTCGAACTGCAAGCGGATACTATGCACCGCAGACATAAACGGACAGTGCCCGAACCAGTTGAGAGCGCCGGGAGGTTGCAACAACCCGTGCACGGTGTTCAAGACGAACCAGTATTGTTGTACGAACGGACAGGGATCATGTGGCCCCACTGATTTCTCAAGATTCTTCAAACAGAGGTGTCCCGACGCCTACAGCTATCCACAGGACGACCCGACCAGCACTTTCACTTGCACTAACACTAACTACAGGGTGGTGTTTTGTCCAAGGGCCTAGGCCTTCTGAAAATCAGTGTGTATTGGTATGCACGTACTTGTCACAGTCTGTGTGTGTGATAAGTCTGTACGTAGGCATACACGTACGTATATTATCTTATTTACGGGACTATCAACGTGTAATGGGTAATAATGAAGGGCAATAATTATCACGTTGTTAAGAGAATAAAAAATAAATAATAATACCCATTATTTGAGTAATAATCATAAGAAATAATAATTACTTTCGTCGATAAGTTGGAGAATTTTTTTTCATGGAAGAATATTCAAGACTTTCTTTGTTAGTTAGAATAAAAATCAACAGGAAAAAAAAGTGTTGTGTACTTGTGTCAGTGTGAGCTAGTTATGGATTATGAAAATATAAGGAGAGAAAATGATACGTTTATAAATTTTTAGAGATTCTTTATTTTCTTTGCTATGTAGCTGATCTCATTAATTACGCGTGCTCTGTTTCTTGTCTTGACACAGTGATAGTTTGTGTGGATGATATTAAGAGTGGAACTGAATCGTACTAATATCCACGAAAATATACAAGGAAACACAAAACTAATAATAGATCAGTACTACTTTTCAAAGTTGTTGTTGAACAGATTAACTAGTAATAGCTAGATCCTTAGTCAATAAATTAAATGTCTAATTGCGAGTGAAAAATCATGTAGGCTAACTAATCTGTATTAGAAACTCGTTTAGTGAAACTAAATATTTTTGGGAGATTTGTGAATATACCCCCAAAAGAGAGAACTATTGTCCCCTTACACTTTTTTTGAAATTTATCAAATCTGGACTCTAATACCCTTACATATGCTAGAAATATGATATAAATATATTTAAAAGTTTTAAAAAATTAAATAAATTAAGTAAAATGATTCTAAGGTTTAGAGAATATTTTCACAATTTGTTTTTGAAATTTGAACCTCAGAAAAATAAATAAAATTTGCATCTACCAAATTCATTATTCAAAGTAGAATTTGTCTTCTACTAGAGACTCTCACATCTATCCCTCGTAGAACATAAAATCTACCAACTGTTCAGCCATCTACCATCGTAGAATTTGCTTTCTACTAAATACTCTATACTCTACGAGTTGGTAGAGTTGTAGAACATTTGTTCTACGTTGTATACGGTTTTCTACCGTTGGTAGAACCTATATTCTAACCTACACATTGTTTTCTACCATCTCTAGAATCTATATTCTATCATAAACAATTTCTTCCACTATTTGGAGAATTCGTGTTCTACACAAAATACTATCTTCTACTATTTGTAGACTTTGTGTTCTCCTGAAAACAATGTCTTCTACTGTTTGTAGAAACTATAATCTACATTAAACACATTTTTCTACGAAATGATAGAATTCAACTTCTACGAGAATCTAAAAAATATAGTAAAAATGGTAACTAAATATTAGAAAATATCTTCAAAAACTATATTTCCTTAATCTACTTTGCCAGAAGAAAAAAAAGAATTATCATCACGTTCTTCTTCTTCTTTTTTGCTTTTTCTTATCATTTATATAATTTTCTTTTAGATTATTTGTTTTAATCTATTTTTCTCAGGTTATTCTGTTGCATATCTATATAACATATGGAGACTGAGTGCAATCAAATGGTGGAATTTCGTTGTTGGTGAGGCAAAAGGAACTAGATTACTTGCTTTGAAATATATTTTTCTTTTCTTAAATAATTAATTATTTATTTGTTTATTACACTAATCATTTAATTTCATTTATTAATTATTTATTTATTTGAAAAAATCATGAAAACGTAATTTGAGGGTTAAAATTGGATTTAAAATTTAATTAAGGGTAAGTGGACAAGATTTGGCAAAAAAAGAGTAGATGGACAACTCTTCTCTTTTTCTGGAGTATTTTGCCAAATTTCCCAATATTTTTGGCATCCCCATTTTCAAACACTTCTAGACTATTAGAAACTTAGTTGGGTTGAACTTTTTAGATTGGTGTTCAATAACTTCTTCTTTTTCTTTTTCTTTTTTTTTTTTTTTTTTGACAACAAAACCCATATATTTCTAGGATGAAACTAGCTGATTAGCTTGGAAGGCTAACCATCTCAGAACCATAGAGCTTACATAGGAAAAATTCAAACCTTGTGCTCATGCTTCTCTATAGAGGCAATTGGCACGGACATTCCGCAAACATGGGATAAAAGACACATAAAATTTGTTAAAAGATGAGGTAATCAAGTACAATTCATCTAACTACTTCTGTTTCATGTTGTAAATACAATGATTTACTAAGTTAGAATCCTGATCCGTCTCTTGACAAAACTTAAATAAAAAAAAATCATAATCCGCCGTCCTTAGTAATTTTTTTGGGCTAATATACAAGGGATTCTGTCGTCTTTAGACAAAAAAAAACAGAGGAAAAACAGAGTTTGACTGAAACGAAATTCAGATTAACTGCTGACTATATTACACGTGATATTGTCTCACTGAATGCTGATTTTATATCTTAATATAAATATACAAAGGTCTAAAATGGAGGGTTTCACTTGTTGGCTAATTGCATTTGCCTCAAACTCAAAAGCTGCCACGTCCACATTTACTGTTTGTTAAGCTGCAAGAAATCAATAACATAAAACATGATTTGTTGAGTGAAACATAATGTTGCAGATGCATTTTAATCACCAGATCAATGTAAATATTACTCCTGAGATCAACCTTTTTCGCTACTTGCACCATGAGAATATATGTTTGGTTTCATCACTGCTCTCTTCTTCGAATTCATAAAAGCCTAGAGTTTGGTCGCAACGATCAGCTGCATATGTTCCATAGATTGTTCAAAACAGAGATTTTATCATGATTGTTCGAGTTTCTCTAATGTATTTTGTTGTTAAAGAAGCAAAACTCATGATGTACAATATTGATACATTTGGAGCGGAAACATTATCTAATATCTATGTTGTGGGGAATTTACTACTCTGATTGAATTAACAATTTAACATATGGGTATAAAAAAAGTTCTTGAATCTTGAGTATAATTGCATTTGGATCAAAAGCAACAACTAACTCTCCTCGTTATGTGGTTTCGTAAGATGTACGAAATCATTAACATTTTGAATAAAAGATGGCTGATGTTAAGAAACATAATTTATTTACTGTATATAAAAGCCACATACGTTATGAAAATGTTGATGGTGAAATAGCAACAGATAACTCGTTAAAAAAAAAAAAAGCTTTTCAAAATTCAAATTCCTTTATCTCATCATTTCGCCAATTCTTAATGCCATACGGCCAGAACCTACAATATGGCCTCTCTTTGCAGACTCTACAATTGTTTAAGTTTAATGAACATCCTAAAAATATGACTTGCTTCTGAGTGGCGGCTTGTTCAAGATTGCCAATAGTAACCATCTCAAGATTGCGAATATGATCCCATTCCGACTCTCTGCAATGTGAAAGATTGAGGATCGCAAGGTTCTTAAGGCCTCTGATTAATAACAAAACTCCTAGATGGCTGATGGAGGAACATCGCAGACTCAACCTCTTGATGTTCTTGAGGTAACGCACGATGTTCTCAGCAGTGTTTTTTTCGAAATCACCCATATATTTCAAGTTGATGAGGTTACTGCAGTTCTCTCCCACTTCTTGAAACCCTAGTTTCCCGGTTAAACTGGAATCATTAGCGATGATCAGTGTTTCAAGATTCTTCCATTGACTGAATGCAAACTGGTATGAATTCTTGGTTTGGAAGCTCCAGCGCGGTAAAACAAGTTTCTCTATGTTTGGCATCCTAAGAAGACAAAAGAAAGTATGAGACACACACACAAATCTGTTTTTATGGTTCTGTTTCTAAAGATTAGATTTACCTCTCAGCAGCGAACATGAGATCCTCCTCTTCTATATAGGCATCATAGTCAAAGAACAAATTCTTTGGGGTACTTCGGCTCAACTTGGTTATATTCGTGAGATTTCTGCGTGTTTCATGAATGTCAAAAAACTTGATGATCTTATTCAGAAAATTCCTAAGGCTTAGGCTTTCTCCGTCTACTTGTCGGAACTTGGCTAGATCAACAGTGTTCCATAATGTTTTGTCGTGAGAGGCAAGGAACCAAGTGATGCAGACGCGTGAAGCTCCCATAGTAAGGTCCCTTACATCGAGCTTATAGAAGATAATGACAAGTATGTCTCTGTGTAGATTTGCCCATTTTGAAACTTGTCTTGAGCTGTCGTCTGCCTTATCCATCACGTTTCAACTACACACAACCAAATGAGAAAAAGGTTTAAAACAATTTATAGGTTGATAAATTCCGGAATTTAAATAAGAGTTCAAAGAAAAAAAAATTGAAGAAAACAATGGAAACATGATTGACTTCATTTAGAGTTTCCAACTGTGGAATTTCCAGACAAAGAGTTTTGATTTTTAATGCAAACAATTCAATCGTTTCAATACTTATAATCCTGATAACAAACACAAAGTCTCAACAACTTACAACAGACTGATAACTCTCTTGGGCAAGCTGTAACACCTTCCAACAAGATAATCAAGTTCTTTTGTCTGGCTCAAGACTTCAATGCAGTTTCTTTTTTTTTTTTGATAAAACACACTTGCAGTTTCTCTCGACAGCAAGTTCCTTCTGATTCTTAGTGACGAACTTGGTTTCCAAGAAGTCATATGATATAGACTCGAGATTCTTCAACGGCAAGGTTAGATACATTTTTTTTCTGTAAATAGAAAAACTTTTATAAATGATAAATACTATACTAAATTTTTCCCTTTTATTCTAAGAAAACTTTATTTTATCTAGATTTTCCATTTTCTATGGATTTCCATTTATTTATTTTTTGCTAAATATTTAATTTAAGTTCTTTAGATTTTCTTAATAATTGTTTTTTTTTTCTTTTTTTTTTTGAATATTTCTCTTGTTATAACTTATAAGTAAATTTTTTGAAGAAACCATAATATAAAAAAAAAAAAATCTTATTTCACATCTAAAGCAGTACCAGTACAAGATATGTAATATGTAGAGATTAACACACTAGTACTACAACTACAGGAGGGGAAAAACCCCACTTAAATCACATATCCCTTATATATTAAAAGAGAAGACATTTATAAAAATCCTCTTTGTTTTCAACTTAATTTCAAGTATGTCATGCTGAGGTGTCGCAATTTGCCACACTCTCAGAATATTCTAAAAATAACCTCTCTTTATTAGGCAAGTGCTGAAATATTTATTATTAATTTAATCAGAAAAATAATTATTAATTAAAATTATTTTTTTCTATTTCCTTATCTGGTAGTGACGAAAATTATAAATAAATTTAAAAGTATTTATTAGTCAATCAATCAGTAAAATATGGAAAGTTTTATTCAATTGTATTATATTAATTGTTTAAAAATTAATTTATTATCTTATCATTTTTTTAACTTTACTTTTTCAAAAATAAATTATATCATTACATCAAAATATTTCATAAAACAAAATTAGTTTTTTCTGCATATGCTATGATTTGAAAATTTTAAAATGAAGCAAATCTCTAAAATTGTTAAAAGTCTCATATCGATTATATTTTGGGATGATAGTTCAAAAACCTATTATAAAAAAGATCCAAATAATGATCAACCATAGTAAAAAAACTGATTTATTAGGTTTCCAAACTTTATTTTTTTTAATTTGATTTAATTTTGTTCTTTAATTGAACTAAATAAATAAATCATAATAAAATCTAATAACTTAATATATAAGTTAAACTATTTTAGTTATTTAAAATTGATCAAAAATATTAAATATATATGCCATATAAAACTATTTCAAACTTATTAAAAGATATATATGTGGATTCAACTGTGTCACTTAATATTTCGTCATGTTCCAATCGAGGCTAAAAAAATATACATCACTCAAAATTTCTAATGTAAACTGACATATTTTTTATTGTCTAACACCCTATTTTTCTAGAATGATACTTATGTAAAAAGATATCTAAAAATAAAACTAAATCAAGAAAATATCACCCCGTGCAGGGCGCGGGTCCAACCCTAGTATAAGATATTTATAAATTCTTGAAAATTTATAGAATAAGAAAAACATTAATGAAGAACAGAAAAAAAATAAAGAGTTGGAGTCTGCTTCGACTGTCAAGAGATAATTAAGCATTCGATTGAATTGTTTGTATTAGTTTTCTCTCTCCTCTTGAAAATGATATGTTGATGTTTAATCCGAAGAAACCAATGGTGTGGTGGACCGAGTAGCGAAGAAACCTACTTATTTTATGAATTATGTTCCCAAGCTTTTGTCGTTAGTGCCAAATTGGGTATCTCAATAGATGGAGGTTGATAATCATAAGATGTAATAATATCAATTGGTTGAATGAAAAATAGCTATTGTTTGAAAAAAAAAAAATTAGTCTACGTTTTTTGTGTATGGGCGCCGCTTTGGTAATCTCAGTTAGGTCTGGGCATTTTACCCGGACCCGAAAGACCCGAACCGAACCCGACCCGAAAAAGATGGAACCGAACCGAACCGGAACCAAGACAAATACCCGATGGGTCCAAAAAATTTATACCCGAAAAACCGAACCCGAACCCGAACCGAACCGAGAACCGAATGGGTACCCGAAATATCCAAAATATAATTATATATCCAAAATATTAGTTATTTTTTAGACTTATAATAGCTTATAATACTAAAAATAACTAAAATTACAATTATAAATCTAATATAATAGTTATATTTAGAACAAAATAACCAAAATATTCGAAAAGTCCAAAAATATTTAGTAGAAGATGGATTATAACAAGATTTTATCGGTTATTTTGTAGGATTTTAGATATTCGGTTAAAAAAACCGATAAAAACCGACCCGAATCAGAACCGAATGAGATCCCAATAAGAACCAAAATTTGTATAAACCCGAACGGGTCCATAAAATTTAGCCCCGAACCGACCCGAACCCGACAGGAACCGAACCGAAACCGAACCGAAATTTTCCTAAACCCGAACGGGTCTAAAATTTAGCAACCCGAAAAGACCCGAACCCGAATAGAACCGACCCGAACCCGAACCGAAACCCGAACGCCCAGGCCTAATCTCAGTAGTGTGACTTGTAATGCAAGTCTAACGTATCTTTATCTTCCATTTTGTTTTGCCATCGTAATATCGAGTTTATTCACGTTTGTAAATATATAAAACTAATAAGCCCAGTGGGACTAAATTTAGTGTTGACGTTCTGTAAGATTGACGAGACTTCAAGTAAACCACAAAAGAAACAAAAGAAGGAAAGAAACAAAAAAGGGGGAATTGTGATTATACACAGAAAAAAGGGAGGGTTTGGTAGAGAAATGATCCGATGCAATTGACGGAAGTTGTATATAAATTAAACCCATGGTACTATTTATGGTTCAATATTGTATTTGGGTAACAGATTGTCTGTTGTATTTCTTGGATTGTTGAGTAATTCACTGTTAGGAGTTAATTTGATCAAATAGAAGCAAACCGAGGTGGTGAATAATTTTGGGATTATTAAGAATCTCATTGGTATCATATACGTAGCATGTGTTAGTTCTCGATTTTTGATCTTCCTGCATCCTCTAATTCTAAATTCTAGAAGATGCATCCTTAATGAGGATAACGGCAGATTAACTTTTATCCCTTTTCTCATCGTTATATGCGGTTTCTTATGATGCACGGAATCATTTAACCTTTTGAGCAAAAGAAGGCTGATGTATGAAACATGATTTATTTACTGTTTAGTAATAAGAGCCACATATGTTATGAAAATGTTGATAGTGAAACAGAAACAGATCATTTGTTTTTCAGAATTCAAGTTCTTTTATCTCATCATTTCGCCATATTTTAGAGCCATACGACCAGAACATACAAAACTTTGGCTGAGCTTTGCAGACCCTACAATTGTCTTTTGGACACAATAAAAGTATGACATAATTCTGAATAGCGGCTTGTTTAAGATTGCCAATAGTGATTTCCTCCTGATTGGGAATACGTTCCCCGCCCAACTCTTTGCAATGTGAAAAATTGAGGATCCTAAGGTTTTTGAGGCCTGTGATAAGCAATAAAACTTCATCATTTCTGACAAAAGAGCATTGCAAACTCAACCTTCTAAGGCTCTGGAGGTAAGACACGATTAGCTTCGCAGTATTTTTTCTCAAATCACCAAAATATTTGAGGTTGGTGAGGTTATTACAGTTCATTCCAACTTCTTGAAACACAAAATTTCCGGTGAGATTGTCATGAGCGATGATCAGCGTTTTAAGATTCCTCCATTGACTAAACGCAAACTGGTATGACTTCTTGCTTTGAAAGCACCAGCGCGGTAAAACAAGCTTCTCTATGTTTGGCATCCTAATTAAGAAACAAAAGAAGTATATGAGATACACACACACACACACAAATCTGTTTTTTATGATTCAATTTGTAAAGATGTGATTTACCTCTCAGCAACGAACACGAGATCATCCTCTTGTATATAGGCATCTAAGTTAAAGAACAAATTCTTCGGGGCACCCTGGCTCAACTTGGTGATATACCTGAGATTTTGGCGTGTTTCATTAATGTCAAAAAACTTGATGATCTTTTTCATAATTATCCTGAGGCTTAGGCCTTCTTCTACTTGTTGGACCTTGGCGAGGTCTAGGGTGTTCCAGAGAGTTTTGTTGTGAGAAGCAAGGAACCAAGAGATGCAGACGCGTGAAGCTCCCATAGCAATGTCCCTAACATCGAGCTTATGGAATATCATGGCAAGTATGTCTCTATGCAGATCCGCCCATTTTGAAACATTTCTTGAGCTAGCTGCCTTATCCATCACGTTTCAACTACATATATGCAACCAAATGAGAGAAAAAAAAGTTGAAAACATTTTAGACAGATAAATCCATGAATTCACATAAGAGAACAAGAGAAAAAGAGGAAGAAAACATTTAAACAAAAAAAAAGTGATTTCATTTAGAGTTTCCATGTGAAATTCCCTCCCAGCGCTACTATAAGAAAATTTTGATTTGACTGAAAAAGAATTTATAATCGGATTAGTTACTTAGTCTAATAATCCTGATAACTGACACTAATCTCAACAATTTACAACAGATTGATCAATCTGTAACACCTTGCAGGCATAACATGATCCACAAATTTCTTTTTGTTGTCCTAAGACGTCAACTTCTTCATTTTTATTCCAAGGAGACAAAAGACAAAAAGAGTATTCTTTTTAGGGTAAAATTCTTACATTTGCAGATTCTCCCGACACAAGTTCCTTTTGATTCTCAGGCTATTTAGTGGAAGCCATATATATGATATGTACATTTTTGCTGTAAATAGGCTTGAGTTCCTTCGACCGCAAGGTTATGTATATTTTTGCTGTAAATAGAAAAAAAAAATTATCAAAGAAAATAAATAAAAGGGTTACTACATTAGCTTTTCCCTTTAATTATTTAGAAATATTTATTTTATTTGGATTTTCCAATTTTTGTAGATTTCAATTGATTTATTAGCTATAGATATTTGGATTAAACAATATAATTTTCTTTTAATAATTGATTTTTGAGATATTCCGATTGAATTTTGTATTTATTCTTATTTTGTTAACAGTTTGGTTAACATTTTGGAGTGATTGGGGAGAAAATTATGGTAGGCAATCCTCTGTTTTCGCTTGCTTTTTTATTTCTCCTTTTTCTTGGGTTGACTTCTTCGTCAATCAATATATTTAATGTTCCCGGTTAATACCCTCTTTTAAAATTGAAGTTTTAGATCATCTTCTAGAAATCTTACAAGAAGAATGGAATACTAAACATTATTCTTCATAGATTTTTATTGGCATATACTGATAGTCAGTTACAAGCACTTGCACTAAATTGGGATAAAGAAGATGGCAAGAACCGTCATGGTTATAACCACTAGAAAGGAAACTTGTATTGCTTCTGCCTCTGCTTTTAGTAAGTAAATGTCCTCTTTTTCTGTATCATATCTACATATCACATTATAGCAATATGATAACTTATTGTCATTTATATTATGTTTCGCTTATGTTTTACCTATGTTATACTTATTTTTGTCAAAAAAAAATTCTTTCAATTGGAGAAAGATGGATACTTCAAATCTGTGAATATCAAACAGCTTAACATCCTCTTCGAGCCAAGTCACCTGGATCCTGATCAGTTCTGTTTTTGTTTCTTTCATCTCCGAACGTGGCCCATACTGTTGTTCTTCACGGAACCATTGTTATGGCTGTTAACTTGTTATGATTGGAATCTGAACCAGTTGTTCTCATACTTCTTGGCCTAACAAACTATCAGACAAACCGCAATTGGAAAATACAAGAAACCCCGAGAAATTCATTCACATCCGAGCTAAAGATTTTTTATTTTGACGAAAACTCAGTTGATCACTGACCTTAAATCGACTTGGCTCGCAGATTTCGTACCCAAAACGTATTTGGGCCGAAAAATAGTGATTGGTTGAAAAAAGAAACATTATTTGGTTATCTCAATAATGACTTGTAATGCAAGTATGTAATATAAAGAATGACGATAGAGTTCGATCTTCCAAGGGAAAAAGCCCGAACTAGGGAAAGCCCGGGTTTGTATTATTTAAAGAATGATATTAGGATATAGTCTATTTTCTTATTAGATAATTTCCTCTTTGTAAAGGTTTTCCTATTTAAATTAGGCTTAGGTTTGAGCTGTATAAATAATCGGCCTTAAGGTCCTATCGGATATTTGGATTCACGTCAATATTCAGACATTCAGAACCTGTCAAATGACGACAGAGTTCGATCTTCCAAGGGATTTGATGGAGCAGGAGATTCTGCCTAGAGTTCCCATAGCATCTCTTAGAGCAGTGAGATCTACTTGTAAAGAGTGGGAGGCTTCATCCAAAAATCAGATTCTTGGTAAAGCAGCAGGAGCAACAAAGCCGCTTCTAAGGTTCATGATGATTGATTATCAGGTTTGTTCCTTGAAGTTCGATCTCCATGATGCAATGCGGGATAACGAAACGTTTCAACTAAATATAAACCAAGAAAATTAAGTTGATCATATAGAGATATCTCAAGTCATTCACTGCGATGGCTTATTGTTATGCGTCGTCAAAGACAACAAAGGGCTTGTGGTATGGAACCCTTATCTAGGTCAAATAAAGTGGATCCACCCAAGAGAAAAGTTCGAGAGTCGTGACGTGTATGCTCTCGGATACGACAAGAACCGTAACCACAAAATCCTGAGGATTTTCTTTGAAGATTATAGGGTTTTTGGGTACGAAGTCTACGATTTTAGCCTTGGTTCATGGAAGGATGTCTATGTCACCCACGAAGACCGGGATATATGGTTCCATCAACCAAGCGCCTCTCTAAAGGGAAACACTTATTTTTTAGTAGAAGAGAAAGGAACAAAACTTGTAAACGAATATGCACGAGAGAAAGGGAACAAAAATTTGGACGAGTATCTACTGTGTTTTGATTTTACAGCAGAGGAATTTGGGTCGCGTCTGCCTCTGCCTTACGATGAACATAATGTATCTCTATCTTGTGTGGGAGATGAGAAGCTCGCTGTGTTACATCAAACTTGGGGTAAAAGTAATGTTATAGAGATTTGGGTTACGGATAAGACTGATCCCAGTGCGGTGTCATGGAGCAAGTTTTTGAAACTGTTGGACAGTGGTATCGAGGTTGACATCTATGGTGGAAGCTTTTTCATTGACGAGGAGAAGAAAGTTGCTGTAATTTTCGACATAGACGAACCTGAACCGAACCAGACCTGTCGCTACAAAACAGTTCGCACCATTACACAAGATGGAGCCTTCACATCTGATAATATGGGAGAAGCCCTTAATATCGGGACACCTGACGATGAGAAATATTGTTTCCCACTTGTGTGCCCTTCATATGTTCCAAGCTTAGTGCAACTGTAAATCAAGTGGAAACTGGAAAGAGAGTTATTTTTGTTATTGATGATTGATGACTACTCTTGACTTTCTTCTTTGTGATTTGATAATGTTAGATTAATGATCCGTTCGTACAATACTCGCATTGTGCTAATGTTCTGTGACTTTGAGGTAAGTAAATTGCAGGATTTTGATCACTAGATCTATGATATTACATAGATGACACTAGAAAGCGGGTTTAAGTAGAGTAGGAAAGAAAATAATCCCCAGATACACTCAAACAACTCAGACACAGCTTATATTACAGTATTGGTAACAACACAATACTGTGAGCTTTTTATTTTGACTAATAGACGTATCTTAGTTGTTGGCTTAAGCAGTAACTCCCAACAGTTTCTTCAGGTCCTTCTGCAATCGCCAATTAACAAGAAACAACAGTTAGAGCTTAGAACAAACTTTTGGGTCTCTTAAATCAAACCTAAGAGTGTTGGTTATGTGTGAGAGATTTACCTCAATGCTTAGAGGAGAAGTAGTCGGGGCGTAACGGTCAACGACATTTCCATCTTTGTCAATCAAGAACTTGGCGAAGTTCCACTTGATTCCGTCTCCAAAGATCCTCCTTTGCTTGATTTCAGATACTTGTAGATTGGTGCAGCTGTGTCACCATTCACATCAACCTGCATTACATAGTTAGCATGTAAGATATATAGGGTTCATAATTTCAATGAACCTTAATCACCTTAATGTGACATGCAAAATTTATATGCATGTCACTTCACTTAAATCTCATGATCTTTAAACAACTATATTAATCACATAATAGAACTATGAAGAGTTTTAGTAATACCTCCATTCATTGTGAGAGAAGCTTTCTTGAATGATTCTTTAGAAGTAGAGCTTTCTTGAACAATTCCTTCTTGACTTGAAATGGAGAAACTCTTGATCTTTGATAGGATTTTAAGGTTTCTGTCCTCTTGCCTATAAACTTCTTTAGGTGTTGTGTTTTCTTATATGTTTTTGGGATGGAGCAAAGACACCTATTTATAGGTGAGGAGAGGACCTTATTCCTCATTAGGGTTCTTCTTGATTCAATCTCAACCATCCATCAAAGTAGGATTGAATCCATTTAGTGACAAGTGTATGAATATGTGTCATGCCATTAATCTTTTATATGACAAGTGTGACACAAACTTGGAGATCAAGACTAAGGGAGATGTATTCTTAATCCATAAATAACATCTCCAAACTTTGTCTCCAAGCTATTCTCCTAAGCATGACAAGTGGTTTAACACTTGTCACTTTATGTTCATAACACTTGTCCTTTAATTCATGAGAAACTAAACTCCTTAAAACCAAACTTAATTGGTTACCAACCAAAAGAAAAGCATTTACTATAAAGACCACATTCTTGAGAGATGAAATATATTAGTTGCAAATATATTTCTTACATAGCAAACCTATAAATCAACTCCAGGAAGAGAACTAACAATCGAGAAAAAAATAACAAGAAGATAGACCACTATATTAGCCAAGAACAAGAAACAGCCAACTTCTTGAAATATACCGCTAAATTTAGCCAAGAACAAGAAAAAGTTGTATTTGGGCCGAAAAATAGTAAATGTTTGAAAAAATAAACATTATTTGGTTATCTCAATAATGACTTGTAATGCAAGTATGTAATATAACGAACCAGGAAAGCCCACGCTCGTATTATTTAAAGAATGATATTAGAATATAGTCTATTTTCTTATCTAGATAATTTCCTCTTTGTAAAGGTTTTCCTATTTAGATTAGGCTTAGGTTTTTCGCATAGAGCTTTATAAATAATCGACCTTAAGGTCCTATTGGATTCATGTCAATATTCAGACGTTCATAACTTCTCAAATGACGACAGAGTTCGATCTTCCAAGGGATTTGATGGAGAAGGAGATTCTGCCTAGGGTTCCCATAACATCTCTGAGAGCAGTGCGATCTACTTGCAAAGACCGGGAGGCATCATCCAAAAATCAGATTCTTGGTAAAGCAGCAGGAGCAACAAAGCAGCTTCTAGGGTTCATGATGATTGATTATAAGGTTTGTTCCTTGAAGTTCGATCTCCATGATGCAATGCGGGACAACGAAGAGTTGGTTATAATTATAAACCAAGAAAATTTAGTTGATCATGTAGAGATATCTCAAATCATTCACTGCGATGGCTTATTGTTATGCGTCATCAAAGACAACAAAGGGCTTGTGGTATGGAACCCTTATCTAGGTCAAATAAAGTGTATCCAACCAAGAGAAAAGTTCGACAGTTTTGACGTGTATGCTCTCGGATACGACAACAACCGCAACCACAAAATCCTGAGGATTATCTTTGATCACTATTATAGGGTTCTCGGGTACGAAATCTACGATTTTAGCTTTGGTTCATGGAAAGACGTTGTCTATGTCACCCACGACTGGGATATATGGTTCCACCAACCAGGCGCGTCTCTGAAGGGAAATACTTATTTTTTTGTTCAAGAGAGAGGAACAAAAGATCTAAACACATATGCACAAGATAAAAGAAAAAAAAATTTAGAGGAGTATTTACTGTGTTTTGATTTTACAACAGAGAAGTTTGGGCCGCGTCTGCCTCTGCCTCACGATAAAGATAATGTATCTCTATCTTGTGTGGGAGATGAGGAGCTCGCTGTGTTATGTCAAACTTGGGGTACAAGTCATGTTATAGAGATTTGGGTGACGGACAAGATTGATCCCAATGCGGTGTCATGGAGAAATTATTTGGAACTGTTGGACAGTGGTATCCAGGTTGACATCTATGGTGGAAGCTTTTTCATTGACGAGGAGAACAAAGCTGCTGTAATTTTCGACATAGGCGAACCTGAACCGAACCAGACCTGTCGCTACAGAACAGTTCGCATCATTACACAAGATGGATTGTTCGCATCTGGGAATATGGGAGAAGCCCCAAATTTCGGGACACCTCACGAATCTGGATATGTTGATGAGAAATATTGTTTCCCTCTTGTGTGCTCTTCATATGTTCCAAGCTTAGTGCAACTTTAAATCAAGTGGACAGAAAGTAATTATTATTATTGATGAGTTATGTGCGGTTTCTTAGGATACACGAAATCTTTTAACATTTTGATCAAAAGAAGTTTGATGTACGAAACATGGTTTATTTATTGTTTAGTATTAAGATCCAAAATTGTTACGAAAAAGCTTTTCAAATATTTCAGAACTCAAGTTGTTTTATCTCATCATTTCGCCAATTCTTAGAGCCATACGACCAGAACATAAACGAATAGGATCGAGATTTGCAGACCCTGCAATCGTTTTCTGAACATTCTAAAATTATGACATGCTTCTGAGTGGCGGCTTGTTTAAGATTGCCAATAGTTAGTGTCCCAGCATTTGTAATACCATGATCCCAGTCGACCTCTTTGCAATGTGAAAGATTAACGATCGCAAGTTTTTGAAGGCCTGTGATTAGCAATAAAACTCCACCGTTGCTGACAAAAGAGCATCACAGACTCAACCTCTTGATGCTCTTGAGGTTACGCACGATTTGTGTAGCAGTGTTTTTTCTCAAATCACCAAAATATTTCAAGTTGGTGAGGTTACTACAGTTCTTGCCAATATCTTGAAACTCAAATTTTCCGGTGAGATTGTCATGAGCGATGATCAGCGTTTTAAGATTCTTCCATTGACTAAACGCAAACTGGAATGAATTCTTGGTTTGAAAGCACCAGCGTGGTAAAACAAGTTTCTCTATGTTTGGCATCCTAATTAAGAAACAAAAGAAGTATATGAGAGACATATACAAATCTGTGTTTTATGATTCAGTTTTTAAATATGAGATTTACCTCTCAGCAGCGAGCATGAGATCTTCCTCTTGTATATAGGAATCTAAGTTAAAGAACAAATTCTTCGGGGCACTGCAGCTCAACTTGGTGATATACTTGAGATTTCTGTGTGTTTCATTAATGTCAAACAACTTGTCTTTTTTTTCCTCAGTTCCTTTTATTCTTTTACTTAATTTCCTTGAGTTAAGTTTACCACTTGCTCTATTACAATTGCTTTACTTTCGGTTTTGTAAGATTCCATACCATTCGTCTCTAGTTTTCTTCCCATGATTCTTAGAAATTGCAGGATTTTGATATTTAGATCTATGATATTACATAGATGATACTAAAAAGCGGGTTTAAGTAGTAGGAAACAAAATAATCCCCAGATACACTCAACAACTCAGACACATCTTACATAGCAGTATTGGTAAGAACACAATACTATAAGCTTTTATTTTTGACTAATAACGTCTCTTAGTTGTGGTTTAAGCAGTAACTCCCAACAGTTTCTTCAGGTCCTTCTGCAATCGCCAATTAACAAGAAACAACAATCAGAACAGAACAAACTTTTGGGTTTCTAAAAATCAAAACCTAAAAGTATTGATTGCCTGTGAGACATTTACAGTACCTCAATGCTAAGAGGAGAAGTAGTTGGCGCGTAACGGTCAACGACATTTCCATCTTTGTCAATCAAGAACTTGGCGAAGTTCCACTTGATTCCGTCTCCAAAGATCCCTCCTTTGCTTGATTTCAGATACTTGTAGATTGGAGCAGCTGTGTCACCATTCACATCAACCTGCATTACATAGTTTGCAAAACTATAAATCAAGTCCAAGAACAAGAAATAGACAACTAAATTAGCCAAGAACAAGAAATAGCCAACTTCTTGAAATAGACGCCAAGAACAAGAAAAGTTGTTACCTTGTCGAAGATTGGGTACTCAGCCTTGAATTTGGTACAAGCAAACTCAACAATCTCTTCGTTTGTACCAGGTTCTTGACTCCCAAACTGGTTACACGGGAATGCAAGGATCTCAAATCCTGAAAATTTCATTAACAAAACACAATTGTCATCATCTACATGGTTCATTGATTAACTCTATAGTGAAATTGAAAACAAACCATACCATGATCTTTGTACTTCGAATACAGCTGCGCAAGCTCAGTGTAGTTCGAATTGGTCAAGCCACTGTATGAAGAAGAAAGCAAAAACACGATTCAAACTAAAACGTTCGGAGATTACAAAAATAGTAAACTGTGTTACTGAGTGAGAAAAATTACCACTGAGAAGCAACGTTCACGATCAAGAGAACTTTCCCCTTGTAAGTGCTTAGATCAACATCTTTTCCCTTTGCATCCTGCAAAATCACAAATCGAATAACAAACACTTTTCAAATTCTGGCTCAGTTGGATCTCAAATCCCAGAATTAAACAGAAATCCGAATCTCTGAAATACAAATCAGGAAATCAGACCTAATCAATCTATACATAAATTCCATGGCGATTCTCAATAATCAAATCGGAGAGAGGAAATCGAACCTTGACGGTGAAATCGTAGATGGATTTGGGCTCGGAAGTAGCCGCCATCGAAGGTTCCGACTTGGAAAGTTTAGCTCCCGTTGTGGATAATGGAAGAGAACGAATCCGATGAGGATTGAAAGGTAATTTCGCGGAACTGGATTTGGATGAGAACAGAGAAAGCGATGAAGATAATGGTGATGAAAATCGAACCAGGTGATTGGTTCTTATATAGAGCAGCCGAAACGAGGATCTCAACATTTGCTATTAACAGATTCTTTTTTCACACATAAAAAAAATTTAGATATTTATTTTTGGAGAGAGTCGAAATCCCAATTTTGTTACTCAGGTTCTTTCTCCGTGTTCAGTGTGGTTGGATACTGGGAAATCCACGTGTGCGCTATTGAAGAACGACACGTATGAGACTTCGTCGGGTCTCTCGGTGTTGCTCACGTCATCTGATGCGTTTATTGTGCGGCGTAATGTGAACGCTAACGATATTTCGGATCTTTTTTAAAGGTCCTTTGGGAATATTAATTGTCCACATTGGGCCTAAAGTTTGCATATTTATCATAAATATCGCATTTTAAATCTTTTTTGTTTTCTTGTAAAAAATTTGTTTCACAATTTCGAGGCTGGTGGAATCTAGAAGTTCACAGGAAATACAAAATTCTCAATCTTTATAAACTTAAAAAGAGAGACGTTCGACGATTTTTGCATTCTAGTTTAGAACAAATTGGGAACCTTGGAAGTTGGACCAATCGATGCTCTTTTTCATTCATAGCTAATTAGCTATTGTGGAAAAAGAATCACGCTTTTGAATACCATACCATAGACACATAAAAACGGCTATATGATCAACCCAGAAAAAAAACAAGTTGTTACATTACATAATACATTTCCATAAGTGATAATATTGATCTCTTCAAAAGGCTTCAACTATATTGGGAGTGAGTGTAAGTAGTAAGGATTAAAAGAGTAAAAGGAACTATGGTTTTGTAGAAAAATGATATTTCAACAAAAAAAAATTCGTTGTTTTCTACGGCTTTGTAAATTTAACTCGAATAATTAGAAGTTCATATTATTTTTCGTATACTTTAACACAATTTAATCAAAATTAACATCCGACAGTAATATAAAATACATCCAACCAAATTAAAGCATACTGTCCGTTCGAGCGGGTAACCGGCGGAAGAAGTTAACCGGAACAGAAGGAAGCCGGTGACGGAACCTCGGATGCCTCATCATGAAGAAACCTGCCAACGCCACAACGATCTGAATCGGAGTTATGAAGAAAACTATAGCCGCAAGAAAGCAGAATATAACAAATATAGCCGTTGCACGTGGATCTCTCCAGCTTAAAAGTGCTTGAAAACGCTCTCCTTGCGTTGCAAGATCTCCAATCACGGTCTGAATCCTCCCGGCCACGCTTCTTAGCCGGTCATACCTTAACCGCACCATGTCAGGGTTTCTAGTGGTTGGGAATGTGTCAAACTCTTCATCAAGCTCGTCTGCTTGGACCGCTTCTGCTTGAGATATTTTCGTATTCATGTGCGGTGGGTAACGCGGTCTAAACCGGTAGTTCCAGAGTCCGATCAGAAACATGTAGAGAAACATCGTCGGGAGGATCAATTCCGGGAGACAAACAAGCATCAGAAACAGAACATGAACGAGAACGGTCGTGATCGGGTTTCGCCACGAGCAAATATCGGAGATCCATTTCCCAACCGCGATAGCGCCGGAGAAAACATTCATCATCCGGAAGAAATTAGCTTTGCTCTTACGCATACTCCACAAATGCGAATCTGTGTCCGACATAAACTCAATGATCTCCTTCCGCAGTGGAGGCTCCGCTCTTCCTAGCCTTGCAGCCACTATGTTGACCGCTTGGTGTCGGAGCATGTCCTGCTGCATAACCGAAAACGGCCTTACGTAATGCATTTTCGGCAACAGCGGTTTTGAGTATTGATAAAGCATGTTTGCGAACGAGATGCATGTGAACCTCACGGCCATATGTAGCTCGCCCATTTTCTTCACCCCGGTAGGGTGAAGAACAAGCAACGGATATGAATGTGTGTAGATACGTCCGGTCTCTAAAGTAGATAACCTAATACGGATCTTCCCAATCTTCACATCTCTGTTTCCTTTTTCTCCTAGCTGTCCGTTATCGAAGACACCAACGGTTAAAACTGTCGCTGGATCGAATACTTCCCATGTATACTGCTCGTTATACTTGGGACACAAGTTATCTACCATTGTCCTTGTTCTTACCCATTTTTGGCCGTATTTAGCAACACAGAACGTATCAGAAGTTCCTCTGCCTTCTCTTGATTTCATCGGGTGGAGTCCAACAGCGTTCAAGATCCCGAGCTCGAGAACTCCGATCGGTTGTCTCCATAGTGGTCTCGCAGATGGGCGGAGATCGCTGCTGTAGTGAGTCGACTCATCCAAAACGTGGTATCCTCCTTCAAGACAAACACGTAGATGAATCCTCATTGAGAATTTTTCTCTCTTGAGCTGATCCACATCTACAACAACCGGTCTCTCTAGATTATACCTATCAAAACACATTTCAACAAAATCATATAAATCGAAACCTCTTGTTTATATTTTTAGTCTTATCTAATAATTAGAAACGTTACCAGCGAGAGTGTATCATATGGTCATCAGCACGCTTCTCTACGGTGTTCAAAGGAATGTAAGTACGGCCAAGAATCTCGTCCTTTCCCGGAGCAACACGGTCCTCGACGGTGAAAACCAAGTGGTCTTCGAACGGCTCTGCTACAACAAACAAAAAGTCTTCGTTCCATACCGCACCAAGGGTTCGAGCTTGGCATGGTCTTGTCTTCATGACTTGGTTTCCTAGCTGCGCTTTGACATAAACATCCGGGAACCTATGTTTGTCGGTCGTAACCAAGTCTTGCGCTTCGACCACATTCACACGCACGTACCATAGACGTGGAGCATGATAGACCTAATACATAATCAATCAATTACACAAATAATCAATATTTGCTTCAATAAAACCGGCGTAAAATGATATTTATTTTGTTGCATTTTCAAATTATTGGTCAAGAAAAATTTATTTACAAAAGAGGAAGAAGAAAAAATAAGATTTTCACTGAAGTCTATGACTTGACAAGGAAGAAACTGGTAAAACAGAGAAAACAGAGCGTAAAATGATATTTTGTCTTCAACTAATAATTTAAACACAAGCCTTTTAACAAAAAAAAATAGCATCTATAATTTTTAACATTTTTATTTTGCATGTTATATTTGCCTTAACATGCAAAAACATATCAACGGAAGATGAAAACACTAAAACGTAAACAGGACAAAAAAAATACATTTTGTGGTCATTGTATATACCTTTGAACGTAGAACCGCTGAGATAGCTGCATTGCTATCAACAGGCATTGCAGCATCAGAATGCCAAGCATCAGAGAAAGCTTCATCAGCTTGTGTACCGATCCAAACAGCGAGCATTAACTCACCTTTGATCTTCTCTCCTTTCTTGTCCTCTAATCTATACCATTGTGGAGCAAGAGGACTGTCCGGAGGCACACGAAGAGGGACATCGTTAATGTCAAACCTAACAAATCCGACATAATTGTCTTTCAAAAGATCTTTGTCCTTAACCACCACTTCCAACACCGAGGCTTGCATTCTCTCTTTTGCGAATGCAAACACTTGGTTCCATTCTGGATGCTGTCTCTTCTCAAAATGTCTTGTGATTCCTTTGTAGTTCCCTATTCTTACCTACAAAACCAAAATGTTATAAGGAAAACAATTCTTGATTTTGAAACAAATGTTTTTTTAAGACATTAATTAGTAACTTTACCTCCACGAAAGGATCAACACTTCCTGTTATATCCATTGTATGAAGCCCACGAGCTTTGACAACGCGGACGTAGAGGAAATACATTCTCTCGACAAGATCATAAGTACTCGTAGCGGTTTTGTCTTTGTGGATAACACGCCCACCAACGACTCTTCCACCACCGAGATTCGGGCTTGTTTCCTTAAGTGCAAAATCCGCAGGCTGAGCTGAAGCAATAGAATGCGCATGGACTAGCTTTGAAGGCGGTGCTGGTTCAGGTCTCATCTCGTCTGCCTGATGCTTTGGTACGTAATGCTGATGATGCTCGTTGTGATGATCCGGTCCACCGGCGGAGGAAGAAGAATGATTAGGTCCTTGTGGATGTTGTTGTTGATGTTCTTGACCATTGTTTGGGAGGTTGTAAAACACATGTCGTCTGTCTGATCTATGTTCTGCCTTCATTGCTGAAACTGAGACACAAAAATCAAATCCAAGAATATCAATCGACGCCGTCTTAGCTCAGTGGTAGAGCGCGTGACTTTTAATCCCGTGGCCGTGGGTTCGATCCCCACAGACGGCGACTTTCTCTTAGTAAATTTTAGTTTTTATTAGTAAATTAAATCAGTTTTATCCAAAACTGAGCCAAAAGAACCTAATTTTTGCACCAGAGCTAGAAAAAAATTGGGTTATGAATTCTCTAAAACAAAAATATTGAACCAAAGATTTCACCCTAAGAAACAAAGTATGTTGAACATATATATACCTGCCGGATCTAGGCTATCTGGATGATTACTTGAAGCGGAAGAGGATTTTAAAGATGCTTCGTCGGTTATGTAAACTTTCAAACCAAGCTCACCTCTCACGCGAGAGAAGATCCCACGTCTCTCCATGGGAAAGTGAAGAACAACAGCATCAGAATGAGGAACAAAAGAGGTCCCTGAGAGAGATACCTTGCCAAGGAAGGAACGTCCATTAGTATATCTGTTGTGGCTATAAGCTTGTGCTTCAAGAGTGAGATAGTGGAGACGAGATGGATCTGAGATGTTGAAGAAGAAACTCTCGTTCCAAACCGGGTTTAGGTCTCGATCTTTGATCGTAGTTCGGTGCTTCTGACCATCGAAGTATAGCTCGACGAAAGCGTTTGAGGTTCCTTGACCGTCTTTTGGGAAGAGATTGTGTGCTCCGATCACGTCTACTCCGAGTTTTAGATTGCTCATCATCATGATCTTCGATCTTGTTTTGTTGGATTTTATGAAAACTTTAAAACGATTGTTGTTCTGTTAAAGAATCACATTGATATGAATACAGAGACTTACAGTAGAATCAAGCTCTCACAAATTATGCTTTGATCAAAGGGTCCTCAAATTATATACAAATTATATATTACATTTTAATATTATTTGCACATGCATTCATTAGTATATGTATAGGTTGTGGAGAAACTTTAAATTCTTATGGGAAGACCAACTTAGATTTCAAGTAAGGGTGGACAGTGTTTCTTGGGATTTTCTTAAATGTTTTTGCATCTAGAAGAAAACCAGAAACCGACTTTTACTGTAGAAACCGATTTTCTTACACAATAATGCAAATTTCTGTAATAAATTAATATGATATGGTCTACCTTAGCATGTATTGACAAGAGTAATAAATATGACATGGTGTACCTCACTGAACATGAAACTAAAAAATGTAAAAAGAACCAAAAAAAACCTATAGAAACAACCTTTGTACAAGTTATAAATTGGAATATATCAAAAGGTCAACTCTGTGCCCTCTTTTCTTGGTTGGGTGAGATGAATTGAAGGGGACAAATATAAATCAAGATAGAAAGCCATATAAATGCAGAGGCGTATACAAGAGTCCATGCATTCATACATATACATTTCCTTCTATTTATTTAAAACTGATAATTAACTTGATCCATTGTTTAAGGTAAAGATCCTTAAAAAACGCAGTTGTCACATGAGTTTGTTTGACTTTTATGAACTGAGCCCATAGCAAGATCTAAAATTCCGCCAATAGTACTACCTAAGTACCTAGGTTTCCGCGATTGTATAAAATGCGTGTATATATATACATACATACATGTTATTAACTTATACTACTACATAATACATGCATGTGTGCACGATATTATTCATTTGGAGGCCTAGTATTTTGTCGAAATGAATGATTTAACCATCAAACTTAGTTTGACAAAAAAAAAAAGTCATCAAACTTAGTATTGATTAGCGAAACTAACTAACCCCTAAATCTTAATTAAACCTGTGAGAAAAAAGTGGATTAAAGGATTGTAATATCAGATCGAATTTTAAGCAGCAAATAATTGTCAGGTAGATAGGACTCGGAGGATTAATTAGGTTTTCTCGGTAAGTTGACCAAAAAAAAGGTTTTCTCGGTAAATCAAACGGAGAGGGGGGAAACTATCTTGTTCATGTTCATGTTCCTATATACTCTCAGATACAAGTAGGACTAAGATGGATCCCGATTCCGTGGAGAGGAAGCTTCGTTCTCGAAATTATCTACTTATACAATCTAGTCTTTCTTCAGGTAGGTTACGCTTGTACGTCAAGAACTCACGAGAATGGAGCTGCATGTCCACTTATGTGTTTCACGATAAGCAAAACATAACGTACACCACTCGATCATTTTTATTTATTTTTTTCTATCCCTTTTTTCATAATATTTTGTCGAAATATGAAATGAAGCTTTTACCTAAGGTTTCTCTAACCATAATATATACAAGAATACTGGATCGTCATAATTTTCTTTTGCTTTAAGTATCGTTTTGTGAACTAAGATTTCAGAGCAAAATGAGTGTATTTCCTGGATTTGGTGGCTGGATCAATCAGAACATTCAACAGCCTCTTAAGGTCATTTTATCATTTTTCATCAGTCAAATCATCATAAACTACTATATCGCTTAATAATACAAACTAGACCATGATGATTCTTTTTGTTCATCTAGGCCGAGTCAAAGAGACCTGAGAATGTCAAATCTAATTCAGATACAAATAATCACGAACCATGGTATGAGGATCCTGATCAGGACCCTGAGATGAAGGTAATATCAATTCAGCATGAAAATATAAAATAAAACACGATTACCGGTTAATTATCGAAATTAGCTTAATTACGCTGATTCTGTTTATTGCCATAGGCCGAGGCCAAGAAACATGGAGATGTAAAATCTAGGACATTGTATGCGGTAGATCCTAAATATTTTGACTTAGCTGAGTTGAAGAGGCAAGGAAAAGTTTGGACGAATGCAAAGAAAAAGCATCCATGGAAGGATGCTCCTGCTAAAGTGAAGGTAAATACTAAATCCCAAATACTAATAGACTATTTTTTTGCCTTTTATATATAGGAATTGCTACAATTAAGAATAAAAAAACGATGTTAAAACATAAAACTGTTTTACATTTTTGATGTTTGAAGGTGAAAACAAAAAACGGTCTTTGCCATTTGAACATAGAATTCACATTGGGATTATATCCTTCAGGAGCCTATGAGATGCTCACTAATCCAAGAGACATTAACTTCTTCCGTCCATGGGACGACAATGACTTTGATCGCCATCGTCTGGTTTGTTTTTCTTTTCATATACATGGTTGAAGTTTAGTATTAACTAATAACTACACCAAAAAATTGAGTGTGTTTTATTTTTCATATGAAGGAAAACAAATCAACAAAGGTTTTGAAGAAGGATGGACCGAGACAGATCACAAAGGTGGAGAAAATTTTGAGATGGAAGCTCCTTGGTTTGTCTGGAACTATCCCTATACATCTAATCATCGATGAAAACCATCAAAATCTTACGGTAAAACACTTATTTTTTATATTTCTCTCACAAGAATCAATTGTCTTTTTGTTCAGTTCTTGGTGAACTATACTTTTGGTTTTTGATATTTTTGTTAGGCAAAATATAAGAAAGTGAAAATGATGTACATGAAAGTGTTGGAGGGTAGTTGGAAAGTAGAGCCACTATACATAGATTCAGAACGCTTGTGCAAGCAAACTGAACCAAAGAATGTAAGAGAATACAGAAAATGTAGCGGCGGACAAGGAAGGATTGCATCGAAGGTGACAATGGAGGAGATCTTTAAGCCTTCTTTTCCTCTTAATATTCCACCGGTTTCTTGGATCATCCGTGGGATCATAATTAAAACCACCAAGATTTTGCTCGAAGATCTTAGAGATTTTATTAACGTCCGGTTTGTTTAAGTTTGGGTTAATGAGACATGCATGATTTTCTGTTGAAGACCAAGTCTTTGTTATGAAATATTAGAGATAGTGGTCTTGCTAAGTGTTATAAATTACATTTCTAATCTTGATTCTCAGCTAGTCTCATTTCCATTTGTTCTCACTTGCTTTCTAGAGGATTAAACGTAAGTTACATAATAGACTAAAAAACTACACGAAATAAAACATGTGACAGTTTTATTTTTATATACAGACAATGCACGCCGTTTTTCGTCAAATAAAACAGCGCAACGTTATTCAATCTAGGTCCATAACATCGTGCTGTCTTTTTCCAGAAAGACGTCTATGTTCTTCTCTCTCGAATCTACAATTCCCAATTCTAAAGAGGTTTAAACCCTAATCTGTAAAATCAGGTACTTGTTTTTGCTCAAATCTCTTAGACTTTTTGGGGGTTTAGGAATCTTCTATGTATTGTATAACACAACTTTCACAAATCTTGTTTTCTGATGGTTATGGTTTATAATCGTAAAACTAAGCATAAAGTTAACAAATTTGAAGTAATCTTGGACGAATTAGGATATATTGTTTCTGATTAAGCAAGAAATTGATATGTGGGATAATAAAGTTAGCTCCTTTGAATGTTTTTCCTTTTAGAAATGGAAGCAAATAGACAGAAATACGCTGCTGATATAACTTCCATTAAGGAAGCTCATGAGCGTATTAAGCCTTACATTCACAAAACTCCTGTGCTAACCTCTGAAACGTTGAATTCAATCTCCGGTAAAAGCTTGTTCTTCAAATGTGAGTGCTTTCAGAAAGGGTGAGTGAGTCTACTTACTCACTAATTGCTTCCTCATCAGTCAATGTTCATAACTTTTCTTTGACCTGTTTATCTGTGAATTCAAGTGGAGCTTTCAAGTTCCGTGGGGCTTGCAATGCTGTTTTGTCCCTTGACGCTGAGCAAGCAGCTAAAGGAGTTGTAACACACAGCAGGTTTTTGTTCTTGAAAATCTTGATGATATGCTCTGCTATTGTTATTCACTTGATAGTTGAATTTTGATTCTCTACCAGTGGAAACCATGCTGCTGCGTTGTCTTTAGCTGCAAATATTCAGGGGATCCCTGCGTTTATCGTTGTACCTAAAGGTGCTCCAAAGTGCAAAGTTGATAATGTGATCCGTTATGGTGGTGAGGTTATATGGAGCGAGTCAACAATGTCTTCCAGAGAGGAAGTAGCTTCAAAAGTTCTGCAGGAGACAGGTTCTGTTCTCATCCATCCATATAACGATGGACGCATTATAAGGTCTCTGCCCTTTCTTGATAAACAAAATGCCTTAAAACGTGTTATGACTCTGTCTCATATATTTTGAAATGTTTTGGTTATGATTTCTTTGGAAAAGTGGTCAGGGTACAATTGCATTGGAACTGTTAGAGCAAGTCCAAGATATTGATGCTATAATTGTGCCGATAAGTGGAGGTGGTTTGATCTCTGGTGTGGCTATTGCTGCTAAATCTATTAAGCCTAGCATCAAGATTATAGCAGCTGAACCTAAAGGAGCTGATGATGCAGCTCAGTCTAAGGTTGCTGGTAAAATCATCACTTTACCTGTGACTAATACCATAGCGGATGGTCTTAGAGCTTCTCTAGGGGATTTAACATGGTAATGCTAATTCTTACTTGTATAAAAATCATGTCTTTGTGTATCATTTCATCTGAAAGCATATATTTTTCTTTTACTGTCAGGCCGGTAGTGAGAGATTTGGTAGATGATGTGGTAATTGTGGAAGATGGGGAAATTGTTGAAGCCATGAGGATGTGCTATGAGATAATGAAAGTCTCTGTGGAACCAAGTGGTGCCATTGGCTTAGCAGCGGTTTTATCAAACAGTTTCCGGAGCAATCCTTGTTGGAAAGATTGCAAAAACATTGGGATTGTACTCTCAGGAGGTAATGTTGATTTGGGTTGTCTATGGGATTCGCTTAGGGGATCTCAGAGTAATTAAACATGTTGGTTATTGCATTCGTCTCACTTTCTTGTCTGAAAGTTTGAACAAAAGGATTCACTTTCTTGCTAGTAAGGGCCTGGCCTTGCTATAGATTTAAAGAGAAAGCCTAAGTGTGAACACAACTGCCAGGCAAAAACAACATTATTTATCTTAAAACAAATGTAGCAATTTCATTAGCAAACATCCAAAAGTTTAAGCCAAAAAACCAAAAAAAGGGAAGATACGAAACCCCTCTTACACGTTACATAAGCTTGGACTGATTCACATCCTCTACATAGTCTTGAAAGGTGTGAACCCTAAGATATTGAAACTTTTCAAGCCCACGGATTTCAGTTCTAGTCAGTGTTCACTGTCGATTGTAGAAGTAAACACAGAAAGGGTCTGATAGAAAGTAAGGTGCAAACACAATCTCACCGGTACCAGTCATTCCAACAATGTATAATTCTTCATTACTCTTACACAGAGGACGAAGTTGGTAAATGCGATTTGACCATTTATGTTTCTTGGCATCTTCTAGAAACAAAAACTCAAGAGTTCTCCATGTAGACCTAACCGCAGCTAATTTACCCTTGTAGTTGGTCAAAGTAGGATTAAAAGATAACGTCCACATGTGTGCATCTATGTCGATAAAGCTCGATATCTCAGACCTAACATCAAAGCAAACAATCATAGACGCAGATGAATTCTCACTGATACTAGCAAGGTAATACAAAACACCGTTGATGCATATCTCTTTGCCCAAAGGATAATGAGGTTTGCGATTCTTGATATTTCTCCATATATGTTGTCCATTCCCTAATGTCATAACTCGATGCTCTTGTGGTAGATGGAATATGTTAACAACATAACAAGTTATGGACAAGACCTTGAACTGTTTTTCCATTGGATCAAACCCAATAAAACCGTTTGTCTTGGCAAGCTTCTTTGTTTTCACTTGCGGTAAAGTGACAGACTTTCCCGTGCTGGGATGACAAATCACCCCCACGGATTGTGTCTTCCTCTGCTCTTGACGATAGACCAATCCATTTAAATGGTGAAATTCTTTTGAGGAGCCATCCGTAGGGAAATAGAGTTGATGATCGACGAGAACAAGAGATGATGATGTCTTATTATTAGGGTTTGGAGCCTGAAGTGATGAGGAGAAGAACAACTTTCCATCAACTTGGATAGCGAAGAGAAGCCGTGGACAAGTCAAAGACTTGGTCAGGAACGACTCAATGAAATTCTGGACGACCAGAATTTCGATACGCAGCGAAACCTAGCTACAGACTTTGATGGACATCTCAAGGATATGTCGATTAGAAGATCAGCTGGGATTTCGTCTGTGTGTTCTGAAACGTTCTTCTTGAGCTTTTTCATGGCGGATTAGCTACGTTAAAACCCTATATTGCTATGGACGAACGAAAACATACTGCTTAAGGTGAAACAAACCTTAAAAAAAAAAAAAAAAAAAAAGGAAAACACAACTAGGTTAGAAAAGGTTAAGTGTTAACAAATAACTTGCGGTTCAAGAAAAACGATTCTCTATCACAAGAAAAGGATATTGCCCTCGGGAGAATCTGCAAATTAACCCTAAAGTGGTCGTCAGATCATCCGAGAAAAGCTTGGAAGTGTTTAGTTTATCACAAGTAAACAAAATTATCATTGTAGTTGTAACGTGATGAAGAAGGCAGACAGCTGGAGAGAAGATTCAGATTGGGAAACTCTGCACAGAGACATACTTGCCGTTATCTTCGCTAAGCTTGACGTAATGGATCTCACCAATGGAGCTTCACGCCTCTGCAGCTCTTGGTTCCTTGCCTCTCACAACAGAACTCTGTGGAACACCATCGACCTCGGCAAGCTCGGAAAAGTAAAAAAAGGCCGAAGCCTTAGGAGTATTATGAATAAGATCAGAACTTTCTTATTTAACGTTAATGAAGAACGCACGAGTCTCACGTATATTACAAAGTTTAGCCACACAGCACCAAAGAATTTGTTCTTCACCTCCAGTTCCTGGACAGAAGACGGAGATGTTTTGTTCGCAGCTGAGAGGTGAATCTCATTCTCATCTTATAAACAGAGTTGTTCGTAGTTGTTCTCAAACTTTCTTCTTTCTTTTGTTTTCTTAGGTTGCCAAACATAGAGAAGCTTGCTTTACCGCGACGGCTATTGGAGAGCGACAAGTCATTACAGCTTGCGTTCGGTAAATGGAAGAATCTCAAAACACTGATCATCGCTCATAATCGATACCCTTTAACCAAGGCATTCGAGTTTCAAGTTTTGGGAGAAAACTGTAGTAACCTCACCAACTTGAAATATTTGGGTTGTTTGGATGAACACATTGCTGAGCAAATGGCGCGTTACCTCCAGAGCATCAAGAGGTTGAGTCTGCAATGCTCTGTAGTCACCACTGATGAAGTTTTATTGCTAATCACAAACCTTCGAAACCTCGCGGTCCTTAATCTGTCACATTGCTACGGCTTGGATCAAGAATCTGACATGGTACTTGTTTACAATCTTGTACAAGCTGCCTCTAAGCTTGACAAATTTATCACATGTTCTCAAGGTTGCACGTCCTGCCAAGAAATTTGCAGCCGTTCCTGGGTTAATAAGCACTGGCGAAATGATGAGATAAAGGAATTTGAATTCTGAAGTTTTTATTAGCTTTGTTTATGTTTTTGAAGAAATTATATACCTTATTATATTTCATGACCAACATTTTTTTTACTAAACATGTGTGCCTTTTTCGTCTTAGTGACTTTTTCTCATTACATATGATTAGTTGGCGAGTTCTAATTAACAATGGTTTGAAGCGCGGGTTATTTGCGATAGTTTTCTATTTAGTTTTATTGATTTGAATTATGATGGTTTTGTATTAACTTTCATGTTTTTTGTTTATATTTTGAGTTAACCCAATCACTAACATTAAAAATATGAACAATTTGTCTTTTATTTTATTTTATTAGGATGTTAACACTCCCACTTTATCTCGAGTTTTCTATTTCTAAAATTTTAGCATGTTATAAATATTATGTTTGTTTACTTCTGTTAGACTATAAACATGCATATGCATTGGACTCAACGTTAAAATTTGTAAGCATAATGTAAAATAGCATTTGGACCCGAAATAAGATGAAAAAAATAATATATATACTTTTTTACATATCTACTTTGTTGTGGTAGCATATGAGCCTCATAACCATTGATTATTTTCTATTATGTTAGTTTTGTAAATATTAATTATATTTTGAGACAAACATATCACAATCCTTAAAATTTTCATGTTTTTCACTGCAATTAAATTTACATATAAAAACTCGACTTCTATTTTTTTTAAATAAACTCTAACTCTAATTTCTCATTGGCTTTTTATTATCTTAATTAATTTATATTCAACTTTTTAACTTGTAAACACATTATAACATTTTGAAATAGGATAAATTCTTTTAATAAAAAGGTAAATATATACCATTTCAAGTTACATATATTTTTACTTATATTCAAACTTTTTGATAAATTTTAACATCAAGTTATCACATATTTTATATTAATTAAGTAATTTAGTTGTGTATTTTTCTTAGTTTTATTTATATTTAAAATATAAATATATGCAAAGAAATATGAAAAGTCATGTATTAAATATCTTAAAAACAATTTAATGAATTTTTGTGCTGATGTGGACACTCTATATGGAGAGAGCAACTCCTTAATTATACATAAGATTTTCATCTTCTGGATTTAATATAATAAAGCACATAGCCAATATATATTACAATAAAAAAAAAAACATGTTCTTCAAATGAAAGATAAAAAAAGAACTATTATAGAAACTAAGGATTAAAGCCCCGCGCAAGCGCGGGTTGTTCGCGATAATTTTTCTGCTTGATTTTATTTATATTCATTGATTTGAAATTTTGAATTATGATGGTTATATGTTAACTTTCATGTTTTGGTTATATTTTGAGTTAACCCAACAATTAACACTAACACCTTTCTTCATCTCGAGTTTTCTATTTCTAAAATTTAATATGCATTTGACTCAACGTTAAAATTTGTAAACATGATGTAGAATCGCAATTGCACTCAAAATATGATGAAAAAGAAAAACATGTATAAGTTCTTACATATATGCTTTATTGTGGTAGCATGTGAGAATTGATTATTTTCTATTATGTTAGTTTTGTAGATATAAATTGTATTTTTGAAACAAACATATCACCATTCTTAAAATTTTCATGCTTTTCGTTGCAATGAAATTTAAATAATAACTCGACTTCTATTTTTTAATAAAACAAACTCTAACTCTAATTTTTTATTAGCTTTTTACTATGTTAAATAATTTATAATGTACCTTTTTTACTTGTAAGCACATTATAACATTTTTAAATAGGATAAATCCTTTGAATTAAAACTTAACTATATACTATTTCAAGTTAAATATTTCTTTATTTCATCTCCATTTTATATTACAACTTTCTTTTAACTTTTAACATCAAGATATCACATACTTTATATTAATCAATTAAATTGTTTGTGTATTTTTCTTAGTTTTGTTTATGTGTAAAATAGGAATATATATAAATAAATATTAATACACATATATTAAATATCTTAAATACAATTAATGATTTTTTTGCTGATGTGGATGGCCTAGGAGGAGAGAGCAACTCTCCTATTATATATAAGATATAAAAACTTGTCACACCTAACAAAAACAGCATGTTGAAAGCAAAATCATCACTCAGATTCATCAAGCAGAAGTAGTTGCAAAATAAAATGATTCATATGATTCGACAGGCACATCAACACACTCAACATTACCCCAAACCTCACGTCCATTGCAACTTGATTCTAACGAAATCTTGGCATACCATAACCAAATTTTGTTTTTCCGTTTGATATCATAATTATCCCACATACCTATAACTTTCTTACCAATGTTATCAATTAGAAACAGTACTGTCTTCTCATAAAGAACATCCTTATTTATCTGAATTTGATGGTGAATTAGGCCTGGGCGTTCGGGTTTCGGTTCGGATTCAGATCGGTTCTATTCGCGTTCGGGAATTTTCGGGTTGCTAAATTTTAGATCCGTACGGGTTTAGGGAAATTTCGGTTCGGTTTTGGTTTTGGTTCATGTCGGGTTCGGGGCTAAGTTTTATAGACCCGGTCGGGTTTGTGCAAATTTTGGTTCTTGTTCGGGTCTAATTCGGTTCTGATTCAGGTCAGTTTTTATCCGTGTTTTTTTTTAACCAAATATCCAAAAACCTACAAAATAACCGAAAAACTTGTATTTATTCCATCTTCTACTAAATGTTTTCGGATGTTTCGAATATTTTGGTTATTTTTTTTAAATATAACTATTATATTAGATTTTTAATTGTAATTTTAGTTATTTATGATTATTATAAGTCTAAAAATAACTAATATTTTGGGTATATATAATTATATTTTATATATTTTGGGTACCAATTCGGCTCTCAGTTTGGATCCGATTCGGGTTCAATTTTTTGGGTATAAGAGTTTTGGACCCATCGGGTATTCGTCTCGATTCTGGTTCGGTTCAGTTCCATCTATTTCGGGTCGGGTTCGGTTCGGGTCTTCGGGTCCGGGTAAAAATGCCCAGGGTTTAGTGAAAGTGAATGATGACCTTCACTTTCATTTTTTTTTCAACTAATTTTATTAAATGCATTTACTAGTAATAGACTTAGATTATTTACTAATACGATATTTTCTGAACGAGTTTTACAGTATTGACAATAATTTGTTTCTAATTTTTTTTATGAATACTAAGAATTCAAACCAAAAATATCTATATAAATTGACAATTTATTAATTTATCAACTGTGTAATAAAATTTGGAAAAATTATTAATTAACTGAATATTTACTGTAAAGGACAATTGTTTTTTTCTTTATGAAAATATAAAAGTTTATTGTTTAACATTTCGAAATGAATTGTAAATCATAATTTTACGTAAAACAACATTTCTATATTTTATGTAACAGTAAAGAGATCATAATATGAGAAAAATAAAATTAAGAATTTTATCCATTGCTTTATTTATTTATTATAATAACTCATCTTTGAATTTACATTACTCGTTGAGAACTTTTTGTAAAAATTGCTTCAACGGAGGTATTGAACCAATTTGATTTGTATCTCTTGTGCATCTATCTTTTGGTGTACATTTTCGAGGTTTTGGTTTTGGAGGTTGAATTCTTCTGCATCTATTTTCGGGTGTACATTCTTGAGATTTTGGAGGTGCATGTCGTCTTAGGGGTGAATAATCAATATATCTTTTTTCCTAATTGATGCCACTAATAAATGCGCACACTGCAACCAAAAATATCACAAACATAAACTTATTTGTTCTCATCATGATTTCCTTACTTTGGATTTTCTTGGGTAATCAGCCAAGAAAAACACAGAAGAAATTTTGAAAATATTGGAAATATCACAAACATAAACTTATATATATATATATATATATATATATATATAGTGGAAGAGATAAGTTTTATTTCCACTAGCATTTAGAAGTCCATTATGATATTTGGATGAGTACCAGTTCGGTTTTTTTTAACTTTAATTTTATTTAATAAAACACAACAAATTCTGCGGTTACATGATTTATTTTATTGGGATTCTTTGAAAAATATCTCATTTATGTTTAAAATTTTGAAAAATACCTTAGATTTTGTTCTGTTTTGAAAAATATACTTTCTGGATATAAAAAGTCTATTTGACCAGAATTAAACAAAGGATTAATAAATTATTACAAATTAAAAATGAAATTCATAAATAATAGAATTAATAAGATTTTTTTTCCTTTTTCCAGATAAATACAGTATATGTTAAATTGAAACACATTTTAATATATTTTCACCTTCATATAAACAACTTAATCTCACACATTGCAACCAAATGAATTTTATATAGATTTGAAAATTACATATATTTAAACTTTATAAATTATTAAAAATTTAAAAGTAGAGAAATATATCTTTCATTTTTAATGTTTATCTTGAGATAAATTTAAATATTTTTGAAACTTTTTATAAACAACCTTATATTTTTATTGAATTTTTTATAACAAAAAACTAAACAGATAATTAGGGTGGTTTAGTATTTTAAAATGAAAAAAAAATTATTAAATCTTAATATTTAATATTTCTTATTAGAATTTTTTTTATTAAATTAGTTGAAAACTTCAAATTAGGATAATTAAGTCATTTTACATATAAAAAGTGTATTTTTTCAAAACCAAAAAAAGGTATGGGTAGTTTTCAAATTAAAAACTCAACAAACATTATATTTCCAAAATTTCTCTTATTTTAAGCTGTTTCTTTTTCAAGATATACGTTTGAATTTGAATTTATTTTGACCAGACTATGTTTGTTTAGTTTGGTTTAATGGCATCTCCAATGTCTTACCTTTATTTTTCTCCAAAATGAAGTAATCTCAAAATAGAGGTTGTTTTCGCTTTAATGTATCGCCTCATTTTTTTATTTAAAAAGAATATTCTAAACTATAGGTTTTATAATTCTATAGATTTAAAATTTTTGTCTTATTTTTAAAATCTATATCAATTGATTCTAAAATCTCTCTAATATCTCATGTATTATGTTTTTAATAATTTATTCATAGAATTACATTGGAATTCATTCTAAATGACTCACTTAACAAAGATTTTAAAACTCATTTAGTTGAATAACACAAGATTTTAAAACTAGATTTGAAATCTTGATTGAATAACACTTGATTTGAAACTCTATTACTAATAGATTACAAATTAGATATCATATAATTTGGATTTTAAAACCGGATTTGAAATCCTTATTGAATAACACTGGATTGTAATTCAAGTTCACTTCATATAAAAATTGCACCTTTCGGACTTCAACAGGGAACTCGATTGCTGTCGTACAACTTTCCATGTACCATCTTTCAACTCGTAAGTGTACTCCTTTTCATCTATATTTACGTAGAGCTTTCCTTGAGACACATTAACTATATTGTAATCATAACCTCCATGTAAAAGATTGCGTAACTCGGCTTCATCAGCGCCAGGACCCGGAAAGGCTGTCCAAGACTGAGACGTCATGTCAAACACCTCAATCCAACTGGCAGAGTACTCGTCAATATCGCAACCTCCCATCACATATATTTTCTCATTGCGGAATCGCGCACATGCATCCTCCCGAGCGACGGTCATGTTAGGGCCGTTACGCCAAGTATGACTCCGACAATCAAAGATTTGAACAGAGGAAGACGGCTCTTCCCAGGGTCCACCACTTATGTAGATTTCCGAACCAATCGAAAAGTTGGACTGACATGTTGTATGATGAGAATGGGAAGAAGAGAAAGGTGTCGGCACAACCGAGTTTCCACTTGGATCCTTTGGAAACCTAATCTCCCCTCTGTGTTCGGTTAGGGTTTGATTAGGTTTCGTGAAAAGACTAAACCAGCTTGGACATGGGGAGCTGCGAAAGTTTAAGCAAACATAGGCGCATGTTTCTTTGGCTCCGATTTGAGATCGAGTCTTATAGAATTGCATAGATGATAAGAGAGAGTGGAATCTTTTTGAGACGAGACAAAGCGACGGATAATTCCATCTCGAGACACGTGCAAGAATTATCTCTGTGAAGAAAACGATAATGGTGGCCGACATATTGTTTTCTGCTTTGGTTCCACTCCTACGGTGATCATGTCCGAAATTGCTGTAGAGGCTGTGGAGAAAAAAAATGTTATTATAAATTTAGGGCTAAACACGATTAGGTCTTTAGGCAAATTATCGCAGACCAATATTGCAGATCTTATTTTAGCAAAAAAAAAACATATTTGTATCTCACTTAGACCGTGAGTTTTATATATGGTCTTTACACATTGTTTATATATGATATTACACAGAGATTTCCAAATCCACCACATTATCCATATGGGAAGGGAAGCAAATATTTGTCTCTCAATTAGACCGTGACTTTTGTATGAAAAGCAAACAAACTAGTCATAAATTGATCAATGTTGATCATCACAAAAGTCGTCCGTAGAATCTAGAGGTTGCCAAATAACTTGAGACATACGCCAAATCATTTTTTTAGACAGGACATGTGAAGAGAGTATGATTGATAACAACATCTTTGACATGTACTATCCATCAAAATACCTCGTGAACTTAATCTAGCGGCTATTCCAAGAGATCGTGATAAAGTACGCCAAAGAAAGTGTTTCAAATTGGATATAATATGGAATTTCAAGATTTGGTTTTTATGCCCTAGATTTCCATGGGGAGCATTTAGAGCATTCAAAGAAAACGGGCATGATTAGAGGCATAATCATAGTTGATAGTTGTCAAATTAAAGCTCCTAATAAGATGAGTTCTTGAGTGTCTTTTGTGACTAGTGGTTTCCTCCTACACTACAATGCAAACCCATTTTTCGAGCCATTCATACAACATTAAACTCTAAAAAGTTGAAAACGAAAAGTATATGTGTGAGTTTACAATTATAATTTTTTTAACCTGTTCCAATTATACACAGAAACTATAACATTTTGCAAATGTGAAGTAAACAAAGAGGAGTGATCCAAATCCACAAAGAAACTGTACAACATTACAGAGAAGATCACTTCCAAATCATCAGAAGAAATCATCAACCGCCACAGCAGAAGAAGGCAGCTCACGCTCATCTTCCCTCTCCATCTCCAACTCCGGTTCGAACTCCGTCAATTCCACAGCCGCAAGCTTCTTCAAATCAATAACCGACAGCTCGTCAAGCCTCCTCACCACCAGATCAGCCGCACCGAGCTCGTAAATCGGGTGCTTACTAGCCACAGCCACACACTTCATCCTCCCATCATGAGCCGCCTCTATCGTCTGGTTAGAGTTGCCAAACACAATGCAACGCTCCGGTATGAAATCAAGAAGCTGCGCCGCGTAAACGAACATCTCCGGATCCGGTTTACCTCTGTGAACATCCTCCGACGCAACGATCACACTGAAGAACTTCCTGATCCCTATCGACCCAACCGCGTTCTCCAGCGTTTCACGAGGACGCGTCGACACCAACGCCATGGGAATCTTGTTGTTCATCAACACGTTCACAAACTCCTGAGACCCGTCTCTGAGTCTGTACACACCTCCGTGTAAACCCTTAAAGATCTCTTCTTTCCTTGACGCCATTCTCCTAACTTGACCAGGGTCTCTCGACCAACACAGAACCTCCGAGATCGCTTGCTCGTTCTTCATCCCTTCGACGCGACGGAGGATAAACGCCGGAGGAGGAGACTTCCCTTCTTCCTGAGCTAAAGTCAGCCATGACTGGTTCTCGAGGTCTGGACTGTCTTCGATCAACACTCCTTCCCACTCGAATATCGCACCTAACCAGCCACAACCCATCCGTTCCTGCCGGAGCAGAGGATTGTGCAGTGAAGGCTTATCGGCTTTGTTCTCCGGCGGCCATAAACCGGGTTTGTTATCCGAACCGGAGTCGAGGTAGTTCCAAGTTTTCGGTAACCGCTCGTCTCTCTTCTTCTTGTACGCAGGCATCTCTTTCGTCAGCTCCATAGCAAGAGCTTTGATCGGAGACACAGAGGTTACTCGGCTCTTGTTCACACTCAGCATCAGATCGGAGAGAACACCTTTCGCATTGAAATCTACCTTCACTGGAAATCGAACTATCGATTTCTGCGTTTTCGATTCGTTCTTGATCGAAATCCTCACCGTCAAAGGTCGGTGACCCACCAAAGACACAGCACCAATTGCATCCGCCATGATTACAGAATCAATAAACCCCAAATCCGAGTAGCTTCCGAAACAATTCGTCTAATCCAATCCCAAATCACTAACAATCCCTAATTCAATTCCAAAATCTATTGACGAAACTGTGAGAAAGCTGAAAGAGACCTCAATTGAGACGAAATTCAAGAACCCAACAGCTTTCCCAGTGCTAGAACCTCGAACCCTAATCGATCGATCAGTTCCCCGGAGAATTCAAAAGAGAAAAGAGAAGCTTTACAAGTAAAAAAATCTCTAAAACTTAGAAATTTACGCGACCCGGATGACGGAACTTGAAGATCGATCTATGTACAGATGAAACCCAGATCGAATCGACGAGTACAGAGAAGGAGACAGAGAGAGGGAATTTTCGATTGAAACCTGGAAATGGAAACAACCGATTGTTGAAAAACTCAAAGGTGAAAGTTTTCCTGAAATGGGTTTAATTTGTGATTCTCTTAATTTCGAGCTATTTTCTTGTATTATATTTTTTTCCGTTTCCTGATTTTAATTTTTTTTTTTGTGTGGATTGTAATAATTTGCACAGAAAACCTTGAACCAGATATTTCTCGTTTTTTTATCTTACGGTGAATAAACATCCACGTGTCGAATATCGGAGGCGTCTACGAAAAAGATTATTCTACGTTGAAATAAAGAGGAGATTTCTGTTTTGCCACGTCTCTAAAAGTCACGTGTCTATTTCGTAAAACACGTTTCAGCTGCGTAGGCAGAAATAGTGCGATTTAGGCCCATAGTTCTGGTTTGTGGCCCTTTTTGCCTCCTAAAAATCTTCCAATACGTTCACAAATCACAAGCTCACTAGTCACTAGTAAAAACTTTTTTCTACCGTATGAATTTTAGTATGATAATTTTTTTTCCAGTTTTTAGCCTAATATCTCACTATAAACATAAATCATCTACTTTGTTAGAAAGTCACAACAATCATAAATCAATCGAGCATATATTATTTATTTTTTTTGTTCGAAAAACTCGAGCATATATTATTCATCTGCGATTTTAAACGACCAATATGTAATTTTTTTGCTATTTTGATCTCACTGAAAATACATTTCTCTTTGTTAAGATCTGACCAACACTTCCATCCTTAACAATTTGTTGATATTGTTTGTAAGATAAAATATGTTTTGGTAAAAAAATATATATATATATATATATGTTTCATAAATAAATTGACATCAAAATTATACGTTACGTCGTTACCTGACCTCAATATATTTATGTCTCGGATAAAAATATATTTTTAGATATATACATGCATCCAACTATCATAAATATGTTGAAACTTACATCGCATGAGATTTTCTATGTGGTATGAAGGGAAAAACTACATTTTGAAGGATCAATTGTTCTCCATCAAACTAGTTCCACCTTGTTTTGAGAGGTCCATCGCTCATAGGCTCATAGCTCATCTGTTCCCAACATCTCTTTTGAAATTCTGTTTCATATGTGTTTCATACCTTCATTTCTAAATTGATATGGTTTCCTGGTTATATTAGTTCAATCGACTAGTTTTTACCAACAGAACTAGTAATGTTTATGAAATTTTATGAACATTTAAACAATTTCTAATTTGTAATTCAAGCATTCGCCACTGACTCCACCTCACTAAAAATGTATGTAACTGAGGAAGAACCTAAACTGCTCTCTCTTATTTGAGGAGCCAACAAATTATCAATAACGTAACATAACAAACAATAACGTTAGTACAAACAATTTAAGCTATATACGTACCATAGTCCTTTAATTAAATTTTAATTTGGAAACAAAAAAGTCTTTTATTTATTTTAATGAACATGGTAGTTCACTGATTAATCTTTTATTTTTACTTTGACCATTTAAGTGTCCTTTTTTTGGTCAATACAAAGTGTCCTTTTTGACAATAGATTACTTACCTAAACGAAAAAGCTGACCATTTTTTTGGAAACAAATTTGTTTCTGCACTGATTCATTTAATTTAGATATTATCTAATAAAAATAAATAAAATAAATATAGAGATGTTCAATTTTGATTCAATATAACTTTTATTTATTACTTTGACCAAAAAATAAATCGCATTTATATTAATGAGTAACCTAAAGGTGGAAAATAAAATTAAAAAAAATTATTAAACCAAAAAATAAATCTCGTCTATATTAATGAATTACCTAAAGGTGGAAAAATAAATTATAGATAAAATTATTACTTTGACCAAAACTAAATCTCAATTATATTACCTAAAGGTGGAAAAATAAATTAAAATTAAATAATTATTACTTTAACCAGATAATAAATCTCATTTATATTAATGAGTTACCTAAAGGTGGAAAAATTAAATTTAAAATTATAAAAAAAAATAATGTATGTGTCAAAATATGGATCCAACTCCTAATAAGTTCAATAATTTTGTCATAAAAATTATTACTTTGACCAAGAAATAAATCTCATTTATATTAATGAGTTACCTAAAGGTGGAAAATTAAATTCAAAATTAAAACAAAATAATGTATGTGTCAAAATATGGATCCAACTCCTAATAAGTTCAATAATTTTGTCATAAAAATTATTACTTTGACCAAGAAATAAATCTCAGTTATATTAATTAGTTACCTAAAGGTGGAAAATTAAATTTAAAATGAAAAAAAATAATGTATGTGTCAAAATATGGATCCAACTCCTAATAAGTTCAATAATTTTTTTCGTAATAATAATAGATTGTTTCTAATGATTTATTAATTAAAGAATATATATTTTTGGGTATTTAATCTAAGATAGTGTTTAAAATACCGTTAAAGTAACGGAATAAGTTCGCGGTAAAATGAGGAAAATAAATAATATTTAAATTTTCAAAAAATGTAAAATTATTATGTAATTATATATCTTTTGGGAAAAACGTAAGATACACAAAAACGTAAGATACACACGTAAGATACATAAATAATTTATCAACTCAAAAGCTATAGATTATAAAAGAACAAAATAAATATATTTGTAAAAGTTGTCAAACAAACGAATAACTAACTTTATGCGCGCGTAAAGTAAAATAGTTAGTTAGTATTATGTTGGCGCGAAAGAAACGGTAAATTAAATATCTAATAATCACTTGTAAAATTAAAGAAACAAAAAAAAGCAAGAATATAACTTCCATAGATTTTTTTGTTGGTCCATCAAGTTCCCTACCTCTATATATATGGTGAGTTAAAGAGGTGGTGAGATAAAAAAAAATTCATCAATGGTGAAAAAGAAGGTTGGTGAAAATTATAAAGAAGACCGATTGCTCTAGAGGCTAGACCGCTAGAGAGAGAGCATAAAAAGGTTTAGTTTCTTCTTATTAATTAAACGTTTATTGTCTGATTCTTCGCACAGGGAAAAATGGTGGTGTCTCGGCGATACGCTCAAGTGTCGAGTGACGACGAAGACGATGTACCGGCGACGAGGTCTAAGGGGCCGAACTCGAGGAGCCCTGAGGAAATCGAAGGGAAACGAAGGAAGCGTAAGAAGGTGAAGCTGTACGAAGATGTTGAAGACGATGCGGAAGAGAGGGAAGCGGAGAGGAAGAGAAAGAGAAAGGAGAAAAAGGAGGAGGAGGAGGAGGAAGAGGAAATGCCTCCGGCGGAAGAAGAAGAAGAAGAGGAAGAAGCGGAGAAGCCTGATGACGCGAATCCGATTGGGGAACCGGTTAAGGTTTCGGGTAAAGGCAAAGGGAGGAGAACGCATTACGAGCAATTCGAGTACGATAACAACAGATATGAACTGGTAAGTTGATTTTCTTAGTCTCTTGAGATTGTGCGTTTGGATTGATGGATTTTGATGCATTGTGATTGATTGATCTTCTGCAATTTTGGGTTCTGAGTGCTGTGATCAAATTGAGCTTGCGGGTTTTGTTTTCATGTTCTGATCCAATTTTGTAGATTTGGAATTGAGATTTATCAGATTTAGGGATCTGTAGAATGTTTGGTTGACAGTTTTTCCTAATTGAGTTTGCAATTGCACCTTGTTCTATTGCTTGATGTTGTTACATCGTTGTGGACACTGAGATCTAGGGTTTTGAAGAGCTTTGATTCATGTGTAGCATTAATTGCTCATCTGTAGAATGTGTCAACGCTCTTCTAACGTCTCCATTCTCTTTGTGCATTGGTAGACAAACTTTGTTTTTCAATTGCAGTTTTTGGGTTTACTTGGTTTCATGGCTAGTGTTTATGAAGGATCTAAGATGATGTATTGGGAATTATCAATAGATGATCTGTTTATCATGTTTGATACTGCTAGGGAAGCTTACTTTATGGTAATTGAACTGCAACAATTGTTGAATATGGTCTTATGCTGTCATGGTTGTGCAGAGGAATGTTTCTCTCTTGTTTTTGGAGTTTAGATTTCTTGTGGGGTTTGACCATCTTATGAAGATTATCGTGAATGCACAATGCTTAGAGATTTTGGAATTGTTGTTTAATGTCATGCTTAAATGTTCAGATTCATAAACATGTTGGTATTGATTTGTTCCTCTAGCGTCTGGTTGATTCAATGCTTGAGACTTTAGAGACCATTTGCTTATAGTCTCTCTTTCACTCCCTTTTTCAGGAGGATCCGGTGCTGTTGGTTCCTGAGGACAAAAGTCAGAAGCCATATGTTGCGATCATTAAGGTACTGGTTTGCTAATTTTTGTATATGCTTACGAGTTCTTGTTGTATCATCCACTTCAAGAGAAAGACTTGTTTCTTTTGGCAGGATATCACCCAAACGAAAGATGGAAGCATGATGATTTTGGGGCAGTGGTTCTATCGTCCTGAAGAAGCAGAGAAGAAGGGTGGTGGAAACTGGCAGTCAAGTGATACACGAGAACTGTTCTACAGTTTCCACCGTGATGAAGTGCCGGCTGAATCTGTGATGCACAGATGCGTGGTGTATTTTGTCCCAGCCCATAAGCAGCTTCCGAAGCGCCAAAACCACCCTGGGTTTATCGTGCGGAAGGTGTATGACACTGTGGAAAAGAAGCTGTGGAAGCTGACTGATAAGGACTATGAAGACTCCAAACAACATGAGATCGACCTTCTCGTCGAAAAGACCATGTCGCGTTTGGGGGATCTTCCTGATCTTGAACTTGATGAAGTTCCCGTTGCTGATCTAGAGAATCTGATGAGGTCTAAGAGATCTTTTCGGAAAGGGAACATAGCCCCTGTTGATGTCAGAAAGGAGGAAGACGCCTCTCTGAAAGCTGAGACCCCTGGAAGCGGTGCTGGTATCTCGCCAGAGATTTACTCCATCTTAGAGAAGTTTGGTTCACTGACAGGTGATGCTCATCGTGACAAGTGTCTGGGGAAGCTTCTGGAAGCAGTCCAGCACATATGCTATACGGGTGAGAACAAACAAGCTGGTGATGAAGCAAAGGTGGGCTCAGCTGGATCTCATCTTCAACAGGCTGAAAATGGATCTCCATTTAAGGTCTTAACTAAACGTTTCTATCCTTTTTGAATACACTCTAAATATTCTCCCTTTATCATTATTTTATCCCACCGAAATCGATCGAGTTACATTATTAGTTGCTGCTGTTTATACAGGATGTAACTTTCATCTGGCCAGAAGCTGCTGTTAATCCAGTGTGTGCCCTTGAGCAGGCTTCACATGCTTCTCTCGCATCGGACTATCACAAATACAATCAGAAGATGAGGACACTGGTTTTCAATCTCAAGGTTTTCATTACTTCTTTTCCTTATCTTGTGCTTTAGATTCTCCGACCATACATGATCGTTTGTGCATGTATTCTCCTAATTCACGACAGTTGTTGATCTATGAGTTTGATGTGACATTCTGATAGTACATGGTAAAAATTTGCTTGTTTATGTTAGAGAGACTCTGTGAAGATTGCTCAGTTTGCTGTGAACATCACTTTAGCGTTGCGTCTAAGTATGTAACATCAGTTTCATTTTCTTTTGTCTGCAGAACACTGCACTGCTCGCTAGACGTCTGCTGAATGGCGAGTTAAAGCCTGCAAAGATTCTGAACATGTCACCCACTGAGTTAAAGGTGAAGAAACTTGTTATCTTACATAGTTGCAGACAGATTCACTAAACATTTTAAAACGACTAAAGAGTTGGTTTTTTTCTCTCTCTGGGATTCAGGAGGGTCTAACTGCTGAGGAAACAGAGAAGAAGGAGCCTGATGATGCAGAGCAAATGCAGGTTTGTAAAAATTTCTGACAATCTCAAGTCTTATTCTAGTTTGTTGGATTTCAATTCGGGAATGTCTTTTGACCATGTCATGTGTTGGTTCCGGATGTAGATGACTGATGCAAGATGCTCGAGATGCAGTCAAATCAAAGTTGGCCTGAGGGATATCATCCAAGCCGGACATGGCGATCGCTATCAGGTTCTTATTATTTCCCACATCACACACCATATGTAAGTCAGAGACAGTAATAATAATAATACTCACATTCTCGTTTTGTTTCTGGATTTAGCTGGAGTGTATTGCCTGTGGACATTCCTGGTACGCGTCAAGGGATGAGGTATCAACTCTGACCATAGACGCAGTGAAACCTGCACAAGGCACAGAGACTGAGGATGCTGAGAAGAATCTGACCAGTCCTCGTGAAGCTGAGAAGAAACCAACAGAGGAAGCCGTGAAGACGGCCAATGACTCAAATGCTGACAACAATGCTGAAGCCACCAAGAAAGGTGAGTAAAAGAAGCATTTTGGGGTTTGATTCGGACTGGGTTTCGTTTTAACATCTGATTAACCGTATATAGTTTTTTGTTTTTGTGGCATTAAAACTAAGACTTTTGGTTATCGGTATGTAAACAGTTTCGAACCTTTATTTTCATTTCATGTACTAATTTTATGGGTATTTTCTCTTTGTTTTATCAATAATTATCTTTTTTACATTTGTTGATAATCTGTCTCTTTCCTCATACGCACAAAGCCTTTGCATTCATTTTCTTGATTTTAGCAAATGCCCATTTCCAAAGTTTCTACCTTTCGACAATTTGTCTGCCATTATCTCATCTTGTAAGGTGGAAATTACACAGCCATAATCGATGAATATGTATTGTGTGTCTAAAAACGCGATGATGATGAGGATGCCGATGAACTTTTGTGTGCGTTTCTGAATTGAGTTTATATTGCAATGAAGAGGTTCCCTAAATCATGAGAACAAGATGGAGTGTTGTTCAAGAAACGAGGTTTTTCTTGTTCAAAGCTTTCAGTACATACATTAAATCTAGTTAGGCTTCTCGGGTTCTGTCTCCTAAGTCATCTACGAGTTTCTGCCCAACAAAAGCCTCCATTTGGTTCCTGTTTGATCTGTGAAGTGCATTCATTGTTTTTCTTAGATGATATATCTCTTAGGGTGTACTTAGGCTTTTTGTCTAGACGGCGAAGAAAGAATTCGTCTAGATTTGAATCAGTTTCTTTTAATTTGTCGATTGTTTCTTCCCCTTTTATAGTACATTGGTAAGAAACGAAATTAAAAAAAAAAAAAAGTACACGAAGGAATATTTTTTTTTTTGGGTGGTAATCATGTTAAGATTTCATACCATTTTAAAAGAATGAAGGGGAATATTCTTGTTTGACTATAAGACAAGATTGGTTTAGGGCAAACGTGAAAAAAAACTCACAGCCCTAATTTCTACTTTGAGATCGATCCTCAGAAAAGAAACAGTGACGATGTCTGATCTTCTGGCGGATTTAGTAGAGGAAATACTCTCTAGGGTTCCGGCGAAATCTTTGAGTAGATTTCGATCGACTTGCAAAAGATTCAATGAGGAGCACTTTTGTAAAGCTCCAAAGCAGTCTTATATTCTCATTATGAAAGAATATAGGCTTTGGTCAATGAGCGTCGATCTCAACATTGTTCCTCCATCTATTGGTTTAGAGGTCTACTTGACCTACCTGATTCCCATTCTAAGTAAAAAATGGTTACATAATTGGCTCTAAGTTTGCTCTAGGATACCAACATAACAAAACTTGCCGTAGCTAAAAAATCTTGAGGTCTTGGAGTTCTTGGAACTTCGGAAAGGATCCAGTTGTTGAGTCTGAAATCTATGAGTTTTTCTCTAACTCATGGAGGGTTCCTCAAGTCGACGATCCTAAGTTCTTCATGCAGACACAAGGGGTGTCTTTGAATGGAAATGCATATTGGATTGCTAGAGAAGCTTTTCCTCATAAGACTTTGTTCTTTGTTTTGATTAAGGAGAGATATAAACGTTTGTATCATCCGTTGTGGAGTAGATCTAGTAAGAAGGCTCTTTCAGTTGTCGGAGAAGAACAACTCTCAGTGTTCATATCAGAACATCAATAACGCTCGGTGTTCAATCAAAGTATCAAACATGGAGATGTGGGTGACCAATAAAATTGATACAGAAGCAGCCACCACCGCAGCGTTGTCGTGGAGCAAATGCTTTAAAGCGGGGAAAATGCTTGTACAGTGGTGAAAATGTCGTGGCAGCGAGTTTGTTAATCGACCAGGAGAAGAAAGTGGCCTTGTGTTGTAATTTAAGTAGTGAGACCAGCAAGAACATGGTATACACTATTGGAGAGGACGATTGATACCACTCAAAGATCCCTTATATAGATTACGAGTAAAGCTAAAGCCATTAAGACAATGCAATTATGCAAAGCAATCTTTGTTTTGACTTTTGATAATATAAGTGGAATATTCAGTTGAGTTCCTCATAGTCAGTACTCAAATAATTTTGTATACTGTATATAGGTTGTTGTTTCCGTTTACATTTCCATGGATTGACTTATGTTGGGATTTGACTTTTTCGATAATTTGTGTTCAGAGAGGAGATAACTTGGGATCAAAGCTTCAGTGACTAGGGTTTATAACAAATATTACAACAGCCTTTTTTAGTCTAGAAGAGTAAAAAATCATATCCATCATCATCTTCCCTGAAATAATTCTTGTTTTATTAATTAGCATTTAGCAACAGCTTCCAATATTCCCACCTGAAACATGAGCAAAGTTAATCCATTCTAGATGACACATCATCATCTAATTAATTTAGCCAAGTGACACAAAAGCATCAGACCTAATTAATATGACTCATATAAATCTCTCTAAGGCCGATGTATTAAACAAAATGATTTTAAAGATTTTAGGTGATTTTGAATGATTTTGTCAAAACCCCTGTTATTCGATTGATTTCTAATCCAAATCCAATATTATTGAATATGAAGTTTTTTCTAAAATTATTCAAATCATTTATAATAAGACATATAAACATATATATCAGAATCCCAAATTAGATTCAAAAATTCCTACATCACACATTTCCCGACCGGACTCAATGGGATGGTTCTTCACGCGGACAGGGAAATATACGGTAAAATCAGGATATGTTTTGGCACAAAAATCTTGGGAGGACAGTACCCCCCCCTGTTTTTGGGCCGGACACAAGGAGCCTTCTGGCACAGGTCTGGAAGGTGAAATGTACTCAAAAACTACAACATTTCTTTTGGCAATCTCTGACGGGTTGTATAGCGGTAAGGGATAGGCTCAAAAGTCGGGGAATTCGAATAGACCCCCAATGTATGCGATGTGGAATAGCGCCAGAAATAGTGAATCACACATTGTTTGAATGCCCTCCTGCACTTCAAGTCTGGGCATTATCGCCAATTCCAACGGTCCCTTCCCAGTTCCCAACGGGAAGTATTTTTGGAAATCTGGCTCACCTTTTTTGGGAGCTGCCACAAGATGACATGATGGAGATTTTTCCTTGGCTAGTCTGGTATATTTGGAAATCCCACAATGATAAGGTGTTAAGCAACATAGATTGGGACCCTTATGATATTATTACGAAAGCGACAGGGGAGGCATTGACTTGGAAAAAAGCCCAAGAAAAACAAGAGATGGGAAGCCCAAGGTTAGAACCCTCTGTGGAGATTGTTACTTCGGGTGACCGTTGCCAAGTGGACGGGGCATGGAAGGAAACAGACTGCAGGGCCGGACTGGGCTGGTTTTATTTTAATACGGAAACGAGGAGCAAGCTTATGGGCACACGTAACCTGAGACGAGGTATATCATCACTTCAGACCGAATTAGAGGCTCTCATTTGGGTTATGCAGTGTATGTTAAGGCACAACAAACTAACGATAGTATTTGAGACGGATTGTTCCGATTTGATGAAGATGGTGTCTACGCCAGAGGAGTGGCCGGCTTTTGCTATCCTACTTGAAGAGATTGACAGATGCAAGACGAGGTTTTCCTCTTTCACCATCGTCCACATACCCCGGGCAAACAACACGAAGGCAGACAAGCTAGCACGTAGTGCTCGAGCTCTACCTACTGATGTGTATTATGTTAACTCTGTTTCACCAACTTGGATCTCCGAGTTGCTTTAGATAGAGTCGCTGTCGACACAAAAAAAAAAAAAAAAAAAAAAAATTAGATTCAAAAAATTAAATTAAAACTCTAAAATTTTAAATCTTGAAAGGACCACAAGAATTATGCTCAAATCGATGGAAAAAAAAAGTTGCAAAAAGTACCTTATGAATGCCCAAATCGATGGAGTAAAAAGGTAGGCAGAGTGAGCAAGCCGTAATTTTGATATTTTCTTTCTCAGTGGTTAAATAAACAGAAATCAATTATGTTACACAAACCAGTTTGATTTCCGGCTAGATACTTTCACAAACATTACATTGATTTAGCTGCTTGATTATGAGGGTTTGAATCAAGAGCGCGAATCATGGAAATCGCTTAGCTTTGATGAAGACAGGAGCGAAAATGGATTCTGAGATGCAGAAGATCATCAGCTCTATGGAGAAAAGCAGAGAAATGTTGGCTCAATCTCTTCTATCAGACTTAGCTCAGATTTCGAAAGCAATCGAAAAGTCATCACTAATTCTGATGAGGCCTATTCCGGGAGAAGAAGAAGAAGCTCCAAAAGATGACACCGCAGCAGAGTCTTCTCCTCTTGCATCAGCTTCTTCAAATGCACAATTGTGACAAGATTTGACCTGGAATCTATGATTTTGGATAAAGTCACGAGTGTAGGAAACATCTTCATGAGATCGATTGGTGACAAACCGAAATGGTTAATGGCTGTTGGAAACATTCTGGTGTCTACTGAACATCAGCTCAACTACTATCTAGTACATTCCAAAGTGCCCAGAAAATGCCCAACAGCTTCCTATCATGCCTTCAGCTTTGGTATTGTTGGGTTCTTGACATGGTTTTGATATGGAGGCAATGTTTTGATTGCAGAAGAAAAAACTAATTTGATAACGTGTAAAATTGTTCAACTAATATTCCTCATCAACAATCACCGTTGTCATTGATACAGCTGACACACATGCTCAAATAAAAAAAATTCATTATAAACAAATTAATGATATCTAAAATTGGAACAGTTAATATTTGAAAATTAATCGTTTCATAAATAAATTACTTATGCAAAAATCAAGACAAGAAGGAAAAAAACAACACAAATCCAAGATAGTCAGTGACAGTCTATGAAAATATTTGATAAGAATCCATGATACATTTGTTAAATCCTTTTAACTTTGTAAAATCTATTTACTTTTAAAATCAACAAACAAATTATTGCACAAGCTCATAAAGGATGTCTCTAGATAACATTTTAGGAAAAGACAAAAGATGCTGCCCATTTATTTTCGATTATGTTCCAATTCCAAGTCTGGTTCACATCCAAAAAAGGTAAAGGCAAAAGAAAAGAACGAAGAAAGTCAATAAGACAAAGAAAAAAAGGAGGTGATTTCGTTTTTGTTTTTGTATCTTACGCTATGATTCTTTTCTTGTTTACGTGTTGTAAAATTTGATTACATACTTTAACAGATTCATTGAAGTCTTAGTATCAAGAAAACATTATTCTTCAACGAGGAACAAAATCTGTAATTGATGCATCGATCGTAGAACCACCGGGGTCTAGTTCAGGCCTGCTCGGGGGACAAAATCCTGGTGCTCCAGGCACGGGTAACGTGGTTGTGATACTAGTGAGCATCACCATGATTGCAGGTAACAGTGAACGGTCAGCAGGATTTTCTTGAACACATAAAAGTGCGATATGGATGCATCTAATAGCCTCGTTACTATCATAACTCTCTTCTATCGTAGGATCCACGAGTTCTAGTGGTGATCCGTTTCTCCAAAGTCTCCAAGCATAGAATGATTAATGAATAACCTTTTAACCATATACACAAATGTAACTTGAAAGAATATCATATACTCACATGTGTGACCAAATTGCTAGAAGAATCATCAATGTGGTAGGAACTGCTAATCTTTTAGCCACTTATAATTTCCAGAATCAATATTCCAAAGCTATAGACGTCAGATTTCATGGATAAATGACCATGCATGGCATACTCTGGAGACATGTAACCACTGCAACATAAAATAGAAGATTTCTTAGACTACAAGCAACCACCAAAACAGAGTTTTTATAGCCGGACTATGTAAATAAAAAGTTTTACTATGTTCCAACGATTCTTCTTGTGTTGGCATGAGATTGCTTAACTCCAAAAATCCTTTCCATTCCAAAATCGGCGATCTTGGGATTCATGTCGCCATCTAAGGGAATGTTACTCGCTTTGAGATCACGGTGTATGATTGTAAGTCTTTCAATCTTGATGAAGATATAGAAGTCCTCGAGCTCTGATATTGTTGTAAGCAAAATCGAATTTGGAAGAAACATAAAATAGGGTTTTTTTGGGGTTTATGAAGAACCGGTTAAGTAAATAACCGGCTTTGGTTATATACAACCAAATTTTCTCTAGGTTTTTCAATAAGCTACTTAGTTAACAAACAAAATGAAACGATGCGTTTTTGGTCTAAGATCGACACACTGAAACTAAGCATTTTGTTGATCTAATTTGTGTGATTCGGACTTGTTTGGGGAAGAAGAAAGACAATTTCAAGAACCCTAATCTCCGGAGAAAAGGGGCGGCGATGATGCGGGGTGGATCCATGTTTGGTAAGGTATCTCGAACCGAACCGATAGTGGATCTTCGTATCTTTTATCTTGACTAGCCGATTGTTGATCTGAATTCCGAGTAAAACCTATATTTTGCAGTATTGTCGAAAAGGGATATCATCTGGATCTCGACACTACTCCTCCTCGAGTAAAAACAGCACAGGTGGATGCTCGCATTTTCTTCTTAGGATAAAACGATTCTTCTCATTTTGTTTGACAATTTGTTTTCTTCTCTTTTTGGTGTCTCTAGTTCGCCAAGTCGAGGAGGCGCCTAAGCCAAGATTCGGATTGGGATTTATGATTGTATATGGCTTCGAGACTGCTGCATTCAAAGCCTTTCTTGTGTGGGCTGGATACAGAGTAGGTAATGTGTACATCTATGCGAGTGGATAGAGATTTTCAAACTAGATTCCCCCACTTAATTCTGTGCTTTCTTCTTATTCTTCAGCTCTTGTTGACTCCCCATACGATCCAGAAAAGTTTGCTTCCGACATGGAGGTAATAGAAAAACAAAGACTTTTTTTCTCTTTTTTTTTTTCTTTCTGTTTTTGTTTGATGAATGGATGGTGTTTCAACTCATGTTTCAGGCCTTGGCGGAAAACAGACTTTTGGATGAAAAATGGAAAGTGCTCGAGAAGAAACATCCTTTGACTGGTACGAGGATGGAACATTCCAACTGAGTTTGCGTTGGCTTTTTTTTTTTTTTTTTTTTTTTTTTTTTAATGTATAAACTAGTTGTCTGATCGATCCTTGTATTGTATTAATGAATCCCTTGCTGTTATAAACTGAATCTGGAGAACATGACCAGGCATGAATCAGTTTTCACCGTCTAGTGGTGATTATTTATTTATCTACTCAAGCTTTTGTACATTTCTTGGTCGAGTATTCAAAATATTGCGTGAATACGGTTTTATTAATCTTGAATCATAGTGTGATGATTTCGATAGTCTCTTCACCGCTATTGTATTGATCCAACTTCATGCAGACTAGTAAGCAAAGCAGACAGATAAAAGAGAGCTTCTATACCCTGTAAACTTCACCATCATGTTCTTCCTAAACATCCAGTCTTTGTCCAAGAGTAAACACTTGTGTACTGTTTTGTCTTTGCTTCAAAGAACACAGACTAAAAAATCAGCAAGTATTTGACATTTAGTCAAAAAAAATTACTTCCTTGAAATTCAACGATCCAAGACAAACTTTAATTCTGAATGTCAAGATGGAATTTCCTTTTTTCCCTGTGGTCAGAAATTGATAGCTAGCAAGAGTAGTAAAGCTAAAGCCACTAAGACAATGCAAAGCAATCTTAGTTTTGAAAATTCAGTTGAGCTCTCCACAGTCAGTAGTCAAGTTGTGTATAGGTTGTTGTTTCAGTTTTTCCATTTCCATGGATTCTTTTGACTTGTTCTATAATTTGTGTTGAGAGATAACTTGGATTCAAATCTTATATAATAAGATAAATAACAATACATGGTGATACTATAAAAGAGTGAGTAACAAATCATATCCATCATCATTTTATTAGTTAGCATCAGCTTCCAGCATCCCCACCTGAAACATGAGAAATTCATTCAGCCAAATAACACAAAAGCATTAATATGACTCATATAACTAAATCAAAATAGTCTACCTCTCTGGCTCTGGCTTCATAAAGTTGAAGCTTGGTTTCGTACTCGCTCGTCGATGCATCCACCAATTTTCGGCACTCCCTCTCCTTTACCATCCCACCAGTCCAGTCGCCGTACAACCATCCAGCCGAAACTGCTGCGCAAGAAGATTTCCATTTGTACTCGACCTGAAACCACCACACTCTGCACACCCTTTGCAAGAATCGCATTCCAGCCCCATGTTCCATCTAATCTCTCCTCTCTCCTCGGCGGCTTCCTTCGTCTTCTCTCTTCTACTAGGGGATTCGATATTCTGAAAACAGTTTTATTTATTTTTACGCAAAACACCCCCCAACAAAAGGTATTATTACAATTAAAACCCTGGATTTTTAATTCAACCCTGTCAAAACTCAAAACGGATCACCAAAACGTTTCGTTTTGATACTTTAGTATGAAACGCTACCGTTATTTTTACACTCTTTAAAATTTGTAATTTGTAATTTATGCGTCAACAATATGATTTCCCGGTTTAGAGAGGCTTTCACAACGTTGAAGAGCTGATCTTACCTTATTGCTTGAAGTATTAGTACTGAGAAAATGTTCAAAACGTGTTTCTTACTTTTACAATGTGTGTATATATGTCAATGATGATATATACTTGTTCAAATGTCTCATGAGCCATAAAGTGGAGACAGATTGATTGGAACTTGGAAAGGACTTTGTATATTAGATAAAAAAAAGAGTAGTAGAGCTAAAGCCATGTAGACAGTGCATATTAGATTCATGGAAGTCATAATAGTATCAATAAAACATTATTCTTCAACGAGGAACTAAATCACCAGGAATAGACCTGCTTGTGGATTGGGTTGAGCTTAAGCCATCAGGGTCTAGTTCATCACGCCTGCTCTGGAAGTAAAATCCGGGCGCTCGAGGCACGTGTAAGGTGGTTGTGCTACTACTAGTGAGCATCAGGATGATCGCTGGCAACAATGGACGGTCTACAGGATTTTGCTGAACACATAAAAGTGCGATATGTATGCATGCATGCAATCTATTAGCCTCACTGTTTTGATAACTCTCTCCTATTGTAGGATCCACAAGTTCTAATCGTGACCCATTTCTCCAAAGCCTCCAAGCCTAAAAATGATTAGTCAGTTAATTTAATAACTTTCGGCTTAATCATATATACACAAATGTAACTTGAAAGATCATATATACATATACTCACATGTGTGACCAACTTGCTAGAAGAATCATCCATGTTGAAGAAGCTGCTATTCTTTTTGCCACTTATAATCTCAAGAATCATTACTCCAAAGCTATATACATCAGATTTCATGGAGAAATGACCTCGCATTGCATATTCTGGAGACATGTAACCACTGCAACGTAAAAGAAAAGCTTTCTTAGACTACAAGCAACCACCAAAACAGAGTATTTTAGTCAGTTTTAAGGTATAATGTTTTACTATGAAGATATAGAAGTCCTCGAGCTATTCCTCTGATATTGTTGTACGCAAAATCGAACTTGAAAGAAACATAAAATAGGGTTATTTGGGGTTTATGAAGAACCGGTTAAGTAACTAACCGGCTTTGGTTATATACAACCAATATTTCTCTAGCTTTATCAATAAATAAACATCGCAACATGCATTGACACAAAGATTAACGAAGCATCAAAAATCAACGAAAGAAAATAACATCATATTCACCGGGGATGTAACTTTGTGATCGATCCATCATCAATAGAGCAAGGAACCGGTTTGCCAAACGAATGCGAGCCCGAAGCTTCTAAATCTTGGTCACGGCTACTTTGGAAGAAAAATCCAGGTGCACGAGGCACTTGTAGTGTGATTGTGCTACTAGTGAGCAGCAAGATGATTGTAGACATCGTAGGACGATCTTCAGGATCTTCTTGAACACATAAAAGTGCGATATGAATGCATCTTGTAGCTTCATCGGTCTGATAGTTTTCCCCAAAAGTTGGATCTAAAAGTTCTAAAGCAGAGCCTTTTCTCCATAGTCTCCATGCCTAAGCAATTTAATTTATATGGTTTCATCAATAAACAAAGCATAAATTTTTACCATTAGTGGTAATTAAGAGAAACAAAAATAGTACTAACATGTGTGACTAAATTGCCAGCTGATCCATTTGTTTGATAGAAGCTACTATTCATTTTTCCACTTATGATCTCAAGAACCAAGACTCCGAAGCTGTACACATCAGATTTCATGGAGAAATGACCTCGCATTGCATACTCTGGAGACATGTAACCACTGCGACATAAAGAAAAGATATCTTAGACTACAAGCAACCAATCCAAAAACTTACTATGTTCCAACGATTCTTCTTGTGTTGGCTTGAGACTGATCAACTCCGAAAATCCTTGCCATTCCAAAATCTGCTATCTTGGGTTTCATGTCTACATCTAAGAGGATGTTACTAGCTTTAAGATCACGGTGTATGATTGTAAGCCGTGAATCTTGATGCAGATATAGAAGTCCTCGAGCTATTCCTCCCATAATGTTGTACCGTCTTGTCCAGTCTAGCTCACCTTGTTTCGCAGGGTCTGTACATTGTTATATTTATAATTCATTAGCTACAAATAAAGACAAATCAGAAGTAATAACTATTACTTGATCTTAATCATACCAAACAGGAAATAGTCGAGGCTCTTGTTAGGTACAAACTCGTAGACGAGTATCTTTTCTTCTCCTTCCAAACAAAAGCCAAGAACCCTAACAAGATTCCTATGTTGAAGCTTTGTCACAAGAACAGCCTCGTTCTTGAACTCTTCCGCGCCTTGTTCCGATGTTTTCGACAGTCTCTTCACCGCTACTTCAGTTCCACATAAAAGCCTTCCCTGCAAAAGTAACATGAATCAAACTCTGTTTTTTTAGCAAACCAGACAGATAAATGAGCTTACACACCTTGTAAACTACACCAAATCCACCTCGCCCGATCATGTTACTGTCCGAGAACTTATCCGTTGCAGCTTCAATCGTCATGAAACTGAATTGCCTTGATCGTGTTATTGTGATTTCATCACCAGCTGCACAAAGAAAGTGAAAACACAAAGTTAGGCAAATTTACTCATAACAGCTGCAATAAAAAGCATGAAAGAAACCAACCAAACCTTGAATCTCAATCGTTTTGTATGATTTCTTTCTCCTGAAAACCCTAAATCCTACAACAAGCAGCGCCAAAACAACAACGGTTGGGACAACAATTGCCACAACAGTCCCTTTCGAAATTGATTTCCCGTCTGCATAAGCCACAAACCATTGCAAACGAGTGATTCACTTTCATGTTTCAACATATTCTTGTTACAACAAAACATGAGAAAGAGATTACCTTTCCCGGTTTTATTTGCACGGTCGCTTACCGGCGGCTGAGGTGGTAGAGGCGGTGGTGGAAGTGTAACATTGTCAAAAGCTCCAACAAAAGGATACAAATCCCACCGGAAAAAGCAACTCGGTCTTACAACCGCACCACCTCGTTTACCACGGCAACACGACAGATAATCACCAACGCATCTCCTGAGACAAAACTCACAACTCCCAGAAGAAACATCAGGTGTACATTGCATCATCGCGTACATATTTTGGAAACGTGTCAGCGAAGCAACCTCAGCTGCAAAGTTCTTTTGTCCAAATGATGATGATGGTGATGAAGCAGCAGCTATTGTACGGATCATTAACTCTTCGTATACTCTATCAATCACTGTCATATTAGCGTATGTATCTACAATATCTTTGTGGAATGGAATCGTAGCAGACGGTTCCATAAGGAGTGATCCAGAGAATGGAATGTTGGAATAACGAACCATACAAACATCTGGCCATGCATAAGCTCCTGTTCCGTTAGGGCAGCCCCGTAATAAGCCGTCTGAAGTGCTTCTGATGCAGTCTGAACAGTTCTCTGGTTCGGCTCCTGGGATACACATGGCAATGACGAAGACTCTGTCGGGATCTTGACCTATCGAGGAGTTGAAGAAACCGTTGTGAGATGTGACATCAGAAGCAAGAGAAGAGAGGACTCGACGACGGTTTAAGTCGTAAGTAGAGTTTGGTTTAAGGAATCCATTGTAGCAGTTTTGTGCAGAAACAGAATCTAAGGTTATGAGAAAAGAGCAGAAGATTGGTAAGAATAAAGTCTTGAGCTTCATTCTCTCAAAGATCTTGAACCAGAATGCTTTGTGATTTAGATTTTTTACAAGTTAATAAGGTTAACTTCACATGGAATTATTCTTTTCACATTGATTAACCGTAGAAAATATGAGAATTTGACAGATTCGCTGACTTTTTACAAACCCCTTAGAAACAGCTGGTCAAAGAAGACGACAAGGAGATTGACTCGCAAGTCAATGATAATGATCAATAGCTTCACCAATAACATGGACCACACGGTTGACAAAAAAAAAAAAAAAAAAAAAAAAAAAACATGGACCACACATTCTCGATCGCATTAAGAACAGAAAGTAAACGATGTTGATGAACATCAAGCTTCTGAAATGATCTGAAGATCCCCTGCTATTGTACTCTGTTCTTCGTTAAGATAGGCAGAAAATCACAAAAAAAAAAAAAATGGAAAATTCTGTGAAAAAAGAGAGTAAAACCCAAAACCCTCACATAATCTTGAAAGGAGCACAAACCGTAATTTTGGTTTTTTATTTCAGCGGTTTAGTAAACAGAAACCGGTTATATCGTACAAACCAGTTTGATTTCCGTTTAGATGCTCTTTCACAATCATCCAATAAACCGGTAAAAGAGTTTGCTTGTGTTATAGTTGTAACTTGTAACACACGATGAACAAACTATCAAGAAATGTTAGAGAAACTAAAGAAACACCAACTAGTCTACCTGTTTAGATTTAACATATACAAAGAACTGAAGTTAACCATCATCTTCAACGAGGAACTATCAACGAATCATTTGTAGAAACAGGGACAGATGTGATTCGTAGGTAGACACATCTCCAATCTTTCATATACCGGTGACTGAGGCACAGGTAAAGTGATCTTGTGCAGAAACAGAATTCAAGGTTACGAGGAAAACACAGAAGATTGGTAAAAATGAAGTCTTGAGCTTCATTCTCTCAAAGATCAGAACCAGAGTGCTTTGTGATTTAGATTTGTTAGGAGCTAGACGGTTAAAATTCATATAATTATGTGAAAAAATTTCTGCAGATTATTAAGATGAGAAATGGACTGATTCATTGACTTTTGCCAACCCCTAAGAAACGCTGGTCAAAGAAGACGGCCAAGGAGCAAATGATAGTGACCAAATTTAATAGAGTCACACCAACACTATATGGTCTATGGACCCCACACTCTGGATCGCATCAAGAACAGATAGAAAACCAAAACCCTAACCCTGATTCTTAATCTCAAAATCCAAAACCCTAACAAGAAAGAAACGGAACCGTAACTTTGTTTTTCTAGTTCAGTGGTTTAGTAAATAAAAACCGGTTTTATTACACAAACCAATTTAATTTCCGGTTAGATACCTTCCCTCAGCTAATTGCATTACATTGGCTAGATGCTTTCACAACGTTGATTTCCGGTTAAAATAAAACAAACCGATTTGATTTCTCGGTTAGAGGCTTTTATAACGTTGAAGCTGATCTTACCTTATTGCTTGAAGCCTTGAAGTATTATTACTGAGGAAAGAAAGATTCAAAACGTGTTTCTTATTTTGACAATGTGTGTGTATATGCCAATGATTTGTTTAAATGTCTCACTAAGTCATAAAGTGGAGACGATTAATATTTGGAAAGGACTTTTTTTTTTGGTACGAATATTTGCAAATTAGATTCATGGAGTATCAATAATACATTAATACTTCAACGAGGGACTAAATCTGTAATTGATACGTCAATGATAGCACCAGGAATAGACCTGCTTGTGGATTGGGTTGAGTTTAAGCCATCAGGGTCTAGTTCACGCCTGCTCTGGAAGTAAAATCCGGGCGCTCGAGGCATGGCTAAGGCGGTTGTGATACTAGTGAGCATCAAGATGATCGCTGGTAACAATGGACGGTCCTCAGGATTTTTCTGAACACATAAAAGTGCGATATGTATGCATCTAGTAGCCTCATTGTTTTCATAACTCTCTCCTATCGCAGGAGCCACAAGTTCTAGAGGCGACCCGTTTCTCCAAACCCTCCAAGCCTAAAATGATTGATCATTTAATTAAATAACTTTTTTCTTAATCATATAACACAAATGTAACTTGAAAGATCATATATACATATACTCACATGTGTGACCAAATTGTTAGTAGAATCATCATCCATGTTGCAGAAGCTGCTATTCTTTTTGCCACTTATAATCTCAAGAATCATAACTCCAAAGCTATAAACATCAGATTTCATGGAGAAATGACCTCGCATTGCATATTCTGGAGACATGTAACCACTGCAACATAAAAGAAAAGCTTTCTTAGACTACAAGCAACCCACCAAAACAGAGTATTTTTAGTCAGACTGTATAAGATAAGAAGTGTTACTATGTTCCAACGATTCTTCTTGTGTTGGCATGAGACTGATCAACTCCAAAAATCCTTGCCATGCCAAAATCTGCGATCTTGGGGTTCATGTCTGCGTCTAAGAGAATGTTACTCGCTTTGAGATCACGGTGTATGATTGTAAGCTGTGAATCATGATGAAGATACAGAATCCCTCTAGCGATTCCTCTGATAATGTTGTACCGTCTTGTCCAGTCTAGTTCCCGTTGCTTCGCAGGGTCTGTACATTGCATACAAATTTAATACCATTAATTAGCTACAAATAAGGAAACTTGCAAGAACTTAATCAATCTCTCAGCATACCGAACAAGAAATAGTCGGTTGAGTGTGTATTATAAACAAACTCTTCGCAGGGTCTGTACATTGCATGTTACTCTCGGCAAACTTATCAGTTGCAGCTTCAATCGTCTTAAAATCAAATTGTAGTGAACTTGTTGTTGCTGCACAAAGAAAGTGAAAACACAAAGTTAGGCAAATTAACTCATAACAGCTGCAATACAAAGCATGAAAGGAAACAACCAACCTTGAATCTCAGTCGTTCTGAATGGGTTCTTTCTCCAGCAAACCGCAAATCCTACAACAAGCAGTGCCAAAAGAAAGATGGTAGGGAGAACAATTGCCACAACAGTTGATTTCCTGTCTGCATAAGACACAGACCATTGCAAATGAGTGATTCAGGCTCATGTTTCAACAGATTCTTGTTACAACAAAACATAAGAAAGAGATTACCTTTCCTTGTTTTATTTGCCGGAGGAGTCAAAGGAAGCGGTGGCCATGTAACATTATCAAAAGCTCCAGCATAAGCATACAAATCCCACCGGAAAAAGCAACTCGGTCTTATAACCGCACCACCTCGTTTACTTCGGCAACACGACACGTACTCACCAACGGTTCTCTTGAGACAAAACTCACAATCCCCTGAAGAGACATCAGGCGTACACTGCATCATCGCGTACATAGTTTGGAAACTTGGCAACGAAGCAACCTCAGCTGCAAAGTACTTTTGTCCAGATGGTAATGAAGCTGCAGATATTGTACGGAGCATTAACTCTTCAAATACTCTATCAAACACTGTCATATTAACAACGATATCTTCAATGATGGTAAGTTGTCGAGACGGTTCCATAAGGAGTGATCCAGAGAAAGAACCGTTGGAATAACGAACCATACAACATTCTGGCCATGTGTAAGCTTCTGTCTGGTTAGGACAGCACTGTAATAAGCCTTCTGATGCGCCTTTGATGCAGTCTGAACAAGCGTCTGGTTTGGTTCCTGGGATACACATGGCAATGATGAAGATTCTGTTGGGATCTTGACCGGTGAAGGAGTTGAAGAAACCGCTGTGAGATGGGACATTTGAAGCAAGAGAAGATAGGATCCGACGACGGTTTATGTCGTAAGTGGAGTTTGGTTTAAAGAATCCATTGAAGCAGATTTCTTGTGCAGAAACAGAATCTAAGGTTATGAGGAAAGAGCAGAAGATTGGTAAAAATGAAGCCTTGAGCTTCATTTTCTCTCAAGATCAGAAACAGAGAGTTGTTGTGTTTAGATTTGTTAGAAGTTAGAAGGTTAACTTCAAATACTAGGTAAAAATTTCTTTTCACATTAATCAACCATAGAGAAGATGAGAAATTGACAGATTCGCTGACTTCTTCCAAACCCTTAAAAACGCTGGTCAAAGAAGACGACAAGGAGATAGACTCGGAAGTAAATGATAATGATCAAAAATTATCAGTAGCTTCACCAATATAACATGGACCACACATTCTGTATCGCACTGGGAACAGATAGAAAATGATGGTTGATGATAATTAAGCTACTTAATGGTGTTAATAGCTGCAAAAGAGTGGACAAAATAAACCTTAAAGTCAAAATTTCAAGAACATTCGTCTTCTTCAATACATACAATTATACAAATATTTACATTAGAATCCCAATGAACCATCTGTAATTTCTGTTAGTGTTAAGTTTTACAGTGTTACTGAAATACATTGAAACTCTCAGATATGAAGTAATCCTCATCTTCAACGAGGAACCAAGTCATCTATCAATGAATCATTGACAGAAACCGTAACAGATTTTATGGGAGGCAAACCCATCTCAAATCCCTCATACGCCGGTGATTGAGGCACCGGTAAAGTGATGGAGTTACATGTGAGCATCAAGATGATAGTTGATAACGATGGACGCTGTTCTGGCTCATTTTGAACACATAACAGCGCCATGTGAATGCATCTGATAACTTCGTTACTCTTGTAGTTCTTCCCAAGTTCCGTATCAACAAGCTCTAATGGTGACCCGTTTCTCCAGTGCTTCCACGCCTACCACAATGTTCAATCAATTAACCGTTAAAAACCATGGACATTATTGAAAGTTAAAACTATTTTTAAGTTTTTATGCTCACATGTGTGACCAAACTCTTTCCAGAATCATCAGTTTCATGGAAATTGCTGTTTCTTTTTCCGCTTATAATCTCAAGAACCAAGACACCAAAACTGTAGACATCAGACTTCGTGGAGAATTGCCCATGCATCATATACTCTGGAGAAATGTAGCCACTAGATAGATACAAAAGAAAGAGAGCATTTTGAGTATACCAGTTCAAAAAGTTTTTGAAAGTGTCATCAAAACTTCAAATAGATTCATAAGCAATGAAGGAGGAAAAGAGTACTCACTGAGTTCCAACGACTCTCCTAGTATCAGCTCGAGACTGATCCATCTCCAAAATCCTTGCCATTCCAAAATCTGCGACTTTAGGTTTCATTTCAGCATCTAAGAGGATGTTACTAGCTTTAAGGTCACGGTGTATGATCTTGAGAGGCGAATCATGATGAAGATATAGAATTCCTTTGGCAGTCCCAACAATAATCTCGTACCGTTTGGCCCAATCCAGTTGGCCTTGCTTTGTAGGTTCTGTACAAGTCATTAGGCATGATATTTAAAAAACCTCAAAGTTTCAAGAATGGCTAAATAATATAATCATTATGTGGAACATACCAAACAAGAAATGGTCGAGGCTTTTGTTTGGAACAAACTCGTAGACAAGTATCTTCTCTTCTCCTTCCATACAAAACCCAAGAACTGTAACCAAATTTCTATGTTGGAGCTTTGCCACAAGCCTAGTCTCGTTCTTGAACTCTTGTCCACCTTGTGCTGATTCTTTTGATAGCCTCTTCACGGCAATTTCTGACCTGTCTTGAAGCACACCCTACAAATAAGATAAAGATACACATAAATAAGTTCAGGCCACCTATATGCTTCAAGAGTAATAAAAAAACCTGGAAGTAGAAATAAGTTTTACCTTGAAAACTTCACCAAATCCACCTTTACCGAGCATATTGCTATTCGAAAATGTACATGTTGCTGCTTCAATTGTCTTAAGATCGTACTGCAGCGAACTTTTAGTTGAATTTTCCTCAGCTGCTTCAGTTATCCACCAGCGCATTTTACAAGTCATATCGAATAAACATAGGTTAGATAATAAGAAGTTGCAAATAGTTAACAGTTGAACTAAGTAAAGTATTACCACTACAAAATCCCTTGACCCGGAATCATGCTGTGTTCATTGTGTTTAAAGAAACAGAAAATGGCGAGAAAAACACAAATCAACTCACCTGGAGGAAAAGTTTTTCTCCTTCTGCACATAAGTAGTGCTATTGTAGCAGTCAGGACAGAGATGACAACTCCAAAGGGAATAACAAACGCCATGATTTTTCTTGCTGTGATATTCTTATTGCACTCTGGGCATACAAGAATCAAAGAAAGGAAAAATACATCATAAAGTGATTGAAAATGTGTCAAATCTTTGGCCAGCACTATCAGAATGATACCTTTGGTCAAGTTTTTAGAATCATAGTTTTTTTCAGTTGGTGGAATTACCTGGCTGGGTCAAATTGAAAGCTCCGATGAAGGGATTCAGATCCCACCGGAAAAAGCAGCTCGGATATGCAATAATGCCTCCTTTCGTGCCACGTAAATCTGGTACTGCATCATAACTACCAACACACTCTTGCAGACAGTCGCTGCAGTTCCCAGGAGATAGATCTGGAGTGCACTGCATCAATGCGTATAAAGTCTGGTGATTTTCCAATATTGGCTCAGAAGTTGAGTAGTAGTCGCGGTTAGAAAGAGATCCGGTCTTGCTCCGGGCTTTCTCTATCATATCTCTCATTGAGTCCTTCCATTTTTCCTCAGACGCATTCAAATATGACTTGATGTTCATACTACTGTGCTCTGAGTAAAGCGGGTGCTTCTCTACGCTTCCAAAAAATGAAACGTTAGAATAACGTGCAAAACATATCGTCTTGTGAGGTGCCCATGTAAATGCTTTAATTTGGTTAGGACAATTGTATTTTAACTGCTCAACCGCAACCCCAATACATTCAGAGCAAACCGCTGGTTCGCTCCCATCGATGCACATTGCCATAACGTGTACTTGGTTGGAACCTTGGCCGATTGAATCACTGTAGAAGCTTCCTTTAACCTGCACCTTGGAAGGAAGAGATGAGAGGATTTTGTTAAGGTTAACACCATATTCACTATCGTCTCCAAAATCCCCAGTGTCAAAGCATTGTTGTGAAGAAACAACACCAATTATGCTTATGAGGACAAACAAGAAGATCAATGAGAAAATCTTCTTGGCTTTTCTCATGTTCCTACAAATGTTTTTTCTGGGCTAGTATATGCATATTCCTACACTTGATAACAGTTTAATAGCAATTGATTTCTCTCTGCAAGTTGCCAAATTTAAATGTCAATGGCATTATAAAAGCTGAGTCAAAAGCTCAGACAAAATCAGAGAGCCAATCATAGCAAAGAGCTGATGTGTTTTTTATGTTTATAAAATAAATGTTGAAGTTTCATCAAACTCAAACATGTTCATGATGTGAGAAGCACACAGAGCCCCCACAGTGTTTGTTGAATAAATCTCCTAAACTTAACATAACAAAGCATAGTGATTGAGAGGGAGAGGATCATATAGCATTGGTTTCTTTAATAAAGAAAGTCTGCAACTTTAAGTCAAAGCTGATGATTCAATCTAGCCAACACCTTTACAATTATAATACTTTGATATCTTCAATAGCATTCTTATATAAAAGATTTACCAAACTGAGCAATCTAAAGAACCAAAAATAATAATACTTGGACTTGGACACCCTCTTTTTAAACGTCTTTATATTACTTTCTCAGCACATACGTCATACGGTAATAGAAAAAACTTTTTTACCTGATGAATTGACATTGTTGACAAAATCATTCAACTTGAAATAAGGAAACAATTTTCATCTGGTGGCATTCACTTTTCAAACCCAATCTACAAAAGATAAACTCTGGATCCTAGTGGCACCAAAACTAGGCGCAGATCCTAAGCAGAGAATGTGTAAAGGAAAAGTGGACTAGACCGAGTAAAGACTAAAGATTCACCTGCTGATTCCAAATCTGGAAGTACACGACCAGAAAATTTGGGATGGTCGAGTCACTGGTACAATGGACACCATTTGCAATTCCAGTGTAAAGGCATCAGTCTGATGAGGACGACTCTGTAATAATAACTCATCCATCAGAAGCAACGATCTGAGAACTCTTCGATTTAGCTCCTCGGATAAAAATCCCAATTTTATTAACCAGACCTTGACCAATCGAACCACTGTATGTAGAAGCCATCATGAGCCTTGACATTAGAAGCAGCAGAAGAGCGGTCAAAGACACGATTTCGTCTCATCTGTGTAACATTTGATCAATAAAAATCCCGAATTCACGAACAGATTAATTAGATGGATCATGAAACGGGGAGTGAAATTAGAAAGCGAAACCCTAATAAGTAGCCAAATTCTAAACTGAACAGCGCGAAAGGAGAAGAAAAAGCAAATGAGTTTGGTTTTGGGGTTTAAAACAGAACCGGTTTAGCCAATAACCGGCTTTGATTCTAGACTACAGTACAAACCAAGTCTCTCTGGTTTCATCAACATGCATACAGCTCTGGATCATTTGAGACCATTGACCGCAAGTAGAAGAAGTGCAAAGCTGAAACACGGGAGCGAGGGAAGGGAAACGTTTATTGGGAATTTTCAATTTACACAAAACCGGTTTAACAAAGAACCGGTTTTGGTTAAAAGCAATCAGTTCATTTGGTAAATTGGTAACTTCTGACCATATTCCTCTGATTTAATACAAGAGTCAGCTGTAGTTGAAAAACCAAAACAAACTACATATTTAGGTCTAACTCAAATCAAATAAAAAACATCAGTCTCCTAATGGTAACCGATGCAATCATGGTTAGAACAAAGGAACAAAGGAACAAAGGAACTTAAAGACCTGATCAGCTTCTACTCTGAAAAAAAACCCCTGGTTTCACGAGGCTCTGGCAGAGTCATTGAGCTATTAGTAAGCATCAATATGATTGTAGACATTGTCGGACGATCTGCAGGATCTTCTTGAACACACAAAAGCCCTATGTGAATGCATCGAGTAACGTCATCCCTTTGATAGTTATCCCCAAAAGTTGGATCCAACAGTCGTAACGATGAATAATTTCTCCATAGTCTCCAAGCCTAACATTAATGAATATATGATTTAAATCATTAGATCATATATGTAGTCCATACCATAAAATTTGAAAACCAAGATCGAAACACTAACATGTATGACTAAACTGTCAACAGATCCATCTGTTTCGTTGCATATAATATTCGTCCTGCCACTTATGATCTCAAGAAGCAAGACTCCAAAGCTATAAACATCAGATTTCTTGGAGATTTGACCGTGCATGACATACTCAGGAGCCATGTAACCGCTAAACAAGACACACATGATGACTTAAATATAATCAAAAGGTTTCATTCAAGTTATAAAGTTGTACGTAGTTCTCAACACTTACAAGGTTCCAGCTATCCTCCTAGTATCGGCTCGGGTTTGTTCATTCCCAAAAATCCTTGCCATGCCAAAATCTGCGATCTTCGGCTTCATACCCTCGTCTAAGAGGATGTTGCTTGCTTTGAGATCACGGTGTATGATTGTAACCCTTGAATCGTGATGAAGATATAGCATCCCTCGAGCGATCCCTCCTATGATATCGTACCGTTTACTCCAGTTAAGCTGACCTTGCTTCACTGGGTCTGCACATAGTCATTCCTTACAAACAATCCAGGTCTCACTATGAAAATAAGTGTGCTTGTAAGTATAATTAACAGACCGAAGAGGAAACAGTCGAGGCTTTTGTTGGGCAGAAACTCATAGACAAGTATCTGCTCTTCTCCTTCCAGACAAAACCCAAGAATCCTAACAAGATTATTATGCTGAAGCTTTGCCAGAACAAGAACCTCGTTCTTGAACTCTTTCAAGCCTTGTACAGAATTATTTCTTGATAGCCTCTTCACCGCAATTTCAGTTCCATTTGGAAATGTACCCTATGATATGTATATATATGTATGACTTCATCACTGTTATTATGATGGTCGAGAAAAATATTAAAAAATTCAAAAAGGTGGAGAGTATCTCATACCTTGTAAACTACACCAAATCCACCACGGCCAATTTTGTTCTTGGGCGAAAAGTTATCTGTTGCGTCATCGAGTGTCTTAAAATCAAACTGCAGTATATGTGTACCTTCGATATCATCATCATCATCATCAACAAAACCTGCAACAATAGACGTATTATTATGTAGGAAGTCCGTTTGTGTGACTAGCTTAAAAAAATGACTCACTTTTGAATTTTGTTATTTTGTTTGATTTTCTTTTCCTCCAGAAAACAAGTCCTAGAGCAAGCAGTGCCACTATGATGGCTGCTGATAAGACAATCGCAATGACAGTTCCTCTAGAGATTCTTGTGACTTCTGCATAAGTCACGTTTATGGTTTGATTAGATTAAATGAGATTCACAAGTCCTATCAAAAACATAGCAGTGGATAAGGCAACCTTTGTTTGTAGAACTGGGCAGATCACTTGGGGGAGGCATGCTTTGAGGAGGTGGGGGCGGTTTCATGTGATCGAAAGCCTCGAGGAACGGAGAAGTATCAGCTATGGAATAGCAAACCGGTCGCCTAACGGCACTTCCTTTTTTCGTAATGCAGCAGCCCTGCTGCAGGCGCACATTCTCGACAAGACATTTCTCGCAGTCCGCAGAAGATATCCCAGGAATACACAGCATGAACGCATATATGTTAAGGAAACCTGTCAAAGGCATCATATCGACCGCGTAATGCGTGCCTCCTGCAAGTGGCCCAGGAGTTGTAGAGGAAGCCGCGGCTATCGTACGCTTCATCAGATCTTCCCATTTGATGTTATACTCTGTCACGTTCCCAGGGGTGTCTCCACTGTACGACTCTGCAGCCGTCGGCTCAAGATCAATCTCGTTGAAAAACAAAGTGTTGGAGTAACGGACGAAACAGAGCGTCCTGTTGCCGCCTCTCCAGTCCCATGAGTCGGTCTGGTTCGGACAGCGCTGTGATAAACCGACAGACGCTCGTTGGATACAATCGGAACAGACCTTTGGATCGGTACTTGGGATACAGAGGCCTAAAGCATAGATCTTTCCAGGGCCTTCTTCCCCAATCGAGACGTTGTAGAATCCGTCTTGAGAGCTGACGTCGGAAGCAAGAGTTGAGAGAACGAGATGGCGGTTTGTATCGTATGTACTGTTTGGTTCGAATGACATTGTGTCATCGCATGTTTGTGAAGAGACTAAGCCGAAGCTAAGGGCCAGGGCAAAACAGAGGATTGAGAAGAGACTGTTTAGAGACATTTTTAAGAGAGAGAAGACAGAGATGCAATGCTTTTGTTTATAAGGGAAGTGTGTAAACTTTATAATAACAATACTTTGATACCTTCAATAGCTGTCTTATTACGTTCTCAACTCAACTAGCTTAAACACAAATACATTTTTCAAAATGATGTAGACATGAATAAAATAAACAAATATCATCAGTTGACAATGGCCCATTTCCAAACCCGCAAGTGACAAATTCTATAAACAATAAATGGACACTAAGCATAAGACAATAATATTCGACGAAATGTTGAACTAGAATCCGAGGAGACTGAGTACGGATTAAAAGATATTTACCTGAATCGCAGACAACGAACAGGTTAAACCCTAACTTCCATGAAACGCAAATGAGTTTGGTCTGGGATTAAAAACAGAACCGGTTTAATCAATAACCGATTAACCGGCTTTAATTCTATACAAAGTACAAACCAAATCTCTCTGGTTTCATCAATAAATCTATACAGCTCTGTATCAGTTTGAAACCATTGGCCGCAAGTAGAAGAAGCGCAAAGCTGAAACACGGGAACGAGGGAAGGGAAACGTTTATTGGGAATTTTCAATTTACAAAACACCGGTTTAGCAAAGAACCGGTTTCGGTTAAAAGCAATCAGTTCATTTGGTAAATTGGTAACTTCTGACCAAATTCCTCTGATTTTTTACAAGAGTCAACTGTAGTTGAAAAAACAAAACAAACTACATATTTAGGTCTAACTCAAATCAAATAACAAACATCAAACCGAACTGCCAAACAACTTCAAGAACCAAGATCAGCTTCTACTCTGAAATCAAAAACCTGGTTTGACGAGGCTCTGGCAGAGTCATTGTGCTATTAGTAAGCATCAAGATGATTGTAGTCAATGGCGGACGATATGCAGGATCTTCTTGAACACACAAAAGACCGATGTGAATGCATCGAGTAACGTCATCGCTTTGGTAGTTCTCCCCAAAAGTTGAATCCAACAGTTCTAAAGGTGAACGTTTTCTCCATAGTCTCCAAGCCTAACATTAATACAAAATTTGAATCATTAGATCATAAATGTAGTCCATTCCACAAAATTTGAAAACCAAGATCGAAATACTAACATGTGTGACTAAACTGTCAACAGATTCATCTGTTTCGTTGACTCCAATATTCATCTTCCCACTTATGATCTCAAGAAGCAAGACTCCAAAGCTATAAACATCAGATTTCATGGAGATTCGACCGTGCATGACATACTCAGGAGCCATGTAACCGCTAAACAAAACCCACATCGTAAATTAAATATAATCAAAAGGTTTCATCAGACTTCAAGTTATAAATCTGTACGTAGTTCTCCACACTTACAAGGTTCCAGCTATCTTGCTAGTATTGGCTCGGGTTTGTTCATTCCCAAAAATTCTTGCCATGCCAAAATCTGCGATTTTCGGCTTCATACCCTCGTCTAGAAGGATGTTGCTTGCTTTGAGATCACGGTGTATGATTGTAACCCTTGATTCGTGATGAAGATATAGCATCCCTCGAGTGATCCCTCCTATGATATCGTACCGTTTACTCCAGTTAAGCTGACCTTGCTTCACTGGGTCTGCACATATATATATATATATATTAGTCAATTCCTTACAAACAATTCTTGTAAGTTGTAACTATAATTAACAGACCGAAGAGGAAACAGTCGAGGCTTTTGTTGGGCAGAAACTCATAGACAAGTATCTGCTCTTCTCCTTCCAGACAAAACCCAAGAATCCTTACAAGATTTGTATGCTGAAGACCTGCCAGGACAGTAACCTCGTTCTTGAACTCTGTTAAGCCTTGTCCTGAATTTACTGATAGCCTCTTCACCGCAATTCTAGTTCCATTTGATAATGTACCCTATGATATATATACATATATATGGCTTTATCACTGTTATGATGATGGTCGAGAGAAAAAAACAATTCAAAAAGGTGGAGAGAGCTCATACCTTGTACACTACACCAAAACCACCACGACCAATTTTGTTCTTGGGCGAAAAGTTATCTGTTGCGGCATTGAGTGTTTTAAAATCAAACTGCATTATATGTGTGTTTGTGATATCATCATCAACAAAACCTGCAACAAAGGTGTGGTGTTATTACGTAGGAAGTGCGTATGTGTGTGTTTGTGTGACTAGCTTAAAAATGACTCACTTTTGAATTTTGTTATTTTGTTTGATTTTCTTTTCCTCCACAAAACAAGTCCTAGAGCAAGCAGTGCCACGATTATGGCTGCTGATAAGACAATCGCGATGACAGTTCCTCTTGAGATTGTTTTCACATCTGCATAAGTAAAAAAGGAAGTCACGTTTATGGTTTGATTAGATTAAATCAAAAATTTAGGAGTGGATAAGGCAAGAGATATAACACCTTTCTTTGTCGAACCGGGCAGATCATCTGGGGAAGGCATGGTTTGAGGGGCTTGAGGAGGAGGGGACGGTCTTATGTGATCGAAAGCACTGAAGAACGGAGAAATATCAGACCTGGAAAAGCAGGCCGGGCGCCTAACGGCACCTCCTCTGTTCTTGCTGCAGCATTCCTGCTGCGCACGGACATTTTCGAGAAGACATTTTTGACAGTCCCCAGAAGACATCCCAGGAATACACTGCATCAGCGCGTGCATATTAATGAAACCTGTCAAAGGGATTACATCTGCAGCATAATGCATTCGTGAAGAGGAAGCCGCGGCAATCATACGCGTCATCAAATCTTCCCATTTGCTGTTAAACTCTGTAACGTTCCCAGGGATGTCTCCAGTATAATACTCTGCAGAGTAGGGCTCAAGATCAATCTTATTGAAAAACGAGCTGTTTGAGTAACGGACAAGACATAGAGTCTTCTGGGGGCTCCAGTCGTATGAGTCGGTCTGGTTCGGACAGTTTTGTGATAAATACTCGGACGAGCCTTGGATACAGTCCGAACAGGTCTGTGGTTCAGCCCCTGGGATGCACATCCCTAAGGCATAGATCCTTCCAGGGCCTTCACCAACCGAGACGTTGTAGAAGCCGCCTTGAGAACTGACGTTGGAAGCAAGAGTTGAGAGAATGAGACGACGGTTGGTATCGTAGGTATCGTTTGGGGTGAAGAACGATGAGTCCCCACATGTTGCTGCAGACACGTGGTCGAGGCTAAAGGCCAGGAACACAAAACAAAAGATTGGCATGAGATTGTTTAGAGACATTTTTAAGAGGGAGATATGAAGTTGGAACATATGGATGCAATGTTTTAGTTTATAAGGGTAGTGTGTAAACTTTAGCCTAGCTGATGAATCAATTTGGCCAGTAGCTTTATAATAACAAAACGTTGATACCTTCAATACATATATAGGCTTTGTTTTTAACATTCTTAACCATATTGTACAAGTTAAAGCACCAAAACAATAATACTCTGATACCTTCAATTGCTGTCTTATTACTTTCTCAACTCAACTAGGTGATCAAAAATACATTTTAGACACGACGTAGACATGTAATTTCGACATGAATAAAAGAAACTATATCAACAGTTGACAATGGCCATTTCCAAACTCGCAAGTAACAAATTCTATAAGCAGTAAATGGACACTTAGCATAAACAAAACCGAGACAATGATATTCAACGAAATGTTAAACTAGAATCCGAAGAGACTGAGTAAGGATCAAAAGATAATGACCTGAATCAGAAATGTTTCCAATCCCATGGCAAGAGAAAACCCAAGGATGGTCGAATTGATTGTGTTATTTCTGTGCTTCAAGACGATTATGGACAAACTGTAAAGGAATCTGTCGAATTATGACAACTTTTCTTCGCCACCCGATCAGGAGCGTGAACAGTCGAAGCATCGTAGCGAAAACAGAGAGAAAAACGCCGCGATTTAGGATCCATGGAAACTAGTTGGATCAAACATAGTCACAGACAACGAACAGGTGAAACCCTAACTTCCATGAATCGAGAAATTTCGTAAAATTTCTTTGATCTGAAAAACAAAAATGAGAGAGGAAAGCGAAAAACCAAATTTGCCGAATCGTAAACTGAATTAGAGCGAAAACGCAAAATCGAATTTTGAAGAATACTAAAATTGGTTTTGTTTGGGGTTTATGAAGAACCGGTTTAGTAAATAACCGGCTTTGGTTATATACAACCAACATTTCTCAGCGCATTGACACAAAGAACTAACGAAACATCAAAAATCAATGAAAGAAAACAACATCATATTCACCGAGGATGTAAATACGCATCATCAATAGAACAAGGAACCGGTTTGCTAAACAAATGCGAGCCCTCAGCTTCTGAATCTTGGTCACGGCTACTTTGGAAGAAAAATCCAGGCGCACGAGGAACTTGTAACGTGACTGTGCTACTAGTGAGCAGCAAGATGATTGTAGACATCGTAGGACGATCTTCAGGATCTTCTTGAACACATAAAAGCGCGATGTGGATGCATCTTGTAGCTTCATCGCTCTGATAAATCTCTCCAAAAGTCGGATCTAAAAGTTCTAAAGCAGAGCCTTTTCTCCATAGTCTCCAAGCCTAACATTTAATTTATATGGTTTCATCAAATAAACATAGCATAATCTTTTATCATTAATGGTAATTAAGAGAAAGAAGTATAGTACTAACATGTGTGACTAAATTGCCAGCAGATCCATTTGATTGATAGAAGCTACTATTCATCTTGCCACTTATGATCTCAAGAACCAAGACTCCGAAGCTGTACACATCAGATTTCATGGAGATTTGACCATGCATTGCATACTCTGGAGCCATGTAACCGCTGGAGATATGAAAAAAAAAAGTCAAATTGAGACTCAAGTTTACGATCAAAATGTTTCATAAGAGTGACAAACACCTACAAGGTTCCAGCTATCTTGCTAGTATTGGCTCGAGTTTGCTCCATTCCGAAAATCCTTGCCATGCCAAAATCCGCTATTTTAGGGATCATGTCGTCATCTAGAAGAATGTTGCTCGCTTTGAGGTCACGGTGTATGATTGTGAGTCTTGAGTCTTGGTGAAGATAGAGAATCCCTCTAGCAATCCCTCCAATGATTGTGAGTCTTGAGTCTTTGTAGGCTCTGCGCATTCGATACAATAATTAACAAAAGTAATATAGGTTTCCAGTAAGAAAAGTAAGGACTAGTAAACAAACCAAAGAGGAAATAATCAAGACTCTTGTTGGGAACAAACTCGTAGACAAGTATCTGTTCACTTCCTTCCACGCAAAACCCTAGAAGCCTAACAAGATTCCTATGTTGAAGCCTTGCCACAAGAACAACCTCGTTCTTAAACTCTTTTGTGCCTTGTCCTGAACTTCTTGATAGTCTCTTCACCGCTACTTCAGTACCATTGGGTAACGTTCCCTACAAGTATTCACATGAATAGCATCTTTTACTTCTCTGTTTCTACAACAAATCAATCACTCATAATAGATATAATAAAGCTCATATATACCTTGTAAACTTCACCAAATCCACCTTCACCAACTTTGTTGTTCCCTGAAAATTTATCAGTTGCAGCTTCAATTGTCTTGAAATCTGTTAAGTTTCCTCGGCATCCAACCTAAAACCAATTGGCAATAGGTGGAGTGGCCTCAGTCCCTTATATATCGCTTAAGGTCCCTTCCCACTTCCGATGTGGGACTTAGCTTGCACACTCTCTAGAGATTAAGGCCTTTCTGGCCCATTAACCTCTACATATCTCAATACCCTCCCTCGAGATAATGGTCCTTTTAACCATTAATCTCGCAGACCATCAAATCCTAGGGTCGGGGGGTCGGGCCCTTTCTGGGCCGGGTCGAGAGAGTGTGCGGGTCAAGCTCTGATACCATGTTAAGTTTCCTCGGCATCCAACCTAAAACCAATTGGCAATAGGTGGAGTGGCCTCAGTCCCTTATATATCGCTTAAGGTCCCTTCCCACTTCCGATGTGGGACTTAGCTTGCACACTCTCTAGAGATTAAGGCCTTTCTGGCCCATTAACCTCTACATATCTCAATAAAATTGCAACGATTGTTGACTTGTAATATCATCATTACCTGCAACAATAACATGTATGGTGTTAGTGTTTATGAGAGAATGTTCATGTAAACTTTGTTTTTAAATGAAAAAAAATAAATGTAGAAGCAGCTCACTTTCAAGCTTTAGGGTTTTGTATGATTGTCTTCTCTTCAATAAAACTAAGCCTAGAGCTAATGGCATCACAAATACAACTCCGGAAACAACAATCGCCACAATGATTCCTGTAGAAATCGTTTTGCCATCAGCAGGAGGCGGCGCTGTGGGTTGAGATTCTTGATCAGGGACTTGAGAGCTTTGAGGAGGAGGAGAAGAAGATTCTACGTTATCGAAAGCATCAAGAAACGGATAAGGATCAAACCGGAAAAAGCAAACGGGTCTCCTAATGGTACCACCTTGATTCCCACCGCAACAACCTTGGTAACTACGAACATTTGCTTGAAGACAAGCGACACAATCCACTGAAGAGAGCCCCGGAAGACACTGCATGAGCGCGTAGATTCTCTGAAAACCGGACAAAGGAGCTATATCTGCTGCATAATGTCTGCCTGCAAGCGACCCGGAGGATGAGGAGGAAGCTCATGATATCATACGCTCCATGAGACCTTCCCATGATCTCTTATACTCTGCTGCATCTCCAGTGACATCTATATCGTAAAACTCTTGTTGTGTTGGCTCTAAACCGATTTGAGTGAAAAACGAGTGGTTTGAGTAACGGACGAAACAGAGCGTATTGGCGGCTCTCCAGTCCCATGAGTCGGTCTGGTTCGGACAGTTTTTTAGTAAACCGTCGGATGCTGGTTGGATACACTCCGAACAGACCTTTGGATCAGTCCCTGGGATACAGAGACCTAAAACATAGATTCTTTCAGTTCCTTCACCAAGAGAGACATTGTAGAAGCCGTCTCGAGAGCTGACGTTGGAAGCAAGAGTTGAGAGAAGGAGACGACGGTTTATGTCGTAAGTACTGTTTGGTCTGAAAAACAGTGAATCTCCTCCACAGCTTGGTTCTGCAGACACGTAGCCGAAGCTAAGTGCGAGGACAAAACAGAGGATTGGCGAAAGATAGTTTAGAGACATTTTAAGAGATTTACTTTGTTGCAGATCTTGCAAGTTGAATCTAAATAAGAAAACAAATTTTAAATTTACAGTAACATTTGGGGAACGTTGATTTCGTCAAAAGTACATGCGTGTTTAGAATTTTCGTCAAGTAGTTGAGTTGAGTCAAGCCGGTAAATATTTTTTTGAGTATTTTGTAAACGCGTTTAATATTTGATGAAAGTGGAGACACGTAAACATTGACCAAATCCAGAAACTTCTGATAGTAGAATATAGCTTTATTGCCACACAAGTCAGCTCGATTTCTTAGAAGTTTATTTATCAAAAAAAGAATATGAATTTATTTACGTAACTGAGAAACTTGTAACAACGCCCTCATCAGATACAAACTCAATTTGAATCTTCAACTTCTTTAAACGTAGGATTTGAAACCTCGAGTTGCTTGTGGCACAAGGAATGTACCAAACAGTTTTTTGGGTTTAAATAAACAGTTTAGTACTACGATAGTACGATGATTACTGTATACTTTAGCGAGTATTGATTGTAAATCTACACTATACTAATAAAAATAGTTCTTTGATTTCGTTGCATTCATTATTATAAAGAAAAATATAAAACGCTTAAATCATCAATAGTTAAGAAGATAATGGGTTTCTCTATAAACAACAACATCGGTAAGGAACATAAGCATTAGGACCAACATAAACACAATCTCCAGTTTTATACTCTCTTCTAACACAATCATCGTTGCATTCTAAATACGCTTCGTATGTCTCATTACACAAGATCGGACTGCAATACGGCCAATCACGGATACTACGTTTGACTATTTGGCTCTCTGCACCAACACAAACTCACATAATTTTTTTTTTCAATTCTACATGTTTAGTAATATATTGATCATAGCTAACTGAGAAAAAACAACTAATGTGAAATTTTAAACATACCGGAGGCTGCAATGTTGTGGTTAGACAATGAAACTACTAGGATTAGTACGAGAGAAAAAGTCACCAAAGTCTTGGTAATAGCCATAGTAAGTTTTTCTTGTATGTTAAATGTTTATAGCGACAAGAATGTTTTATATTCTCTGATCGTAGAGAAAGACTCTTATTATTTATTTAACCCTTGGTCAAATTTCTTAATCTGCTATATTTACAAACATTTGGGCACATTTATTTGTATGCTTGAATTTATTGATAGTCCATTTGGTGAATATTCATGGGAATATATTGAAGTGTGGTGAATTTGGTCAAAGACTATTGCAGCTTTGTCTAAATTAAGTATTCTTTAAAACCTCAAATTTTAAATCTTGATTTCGAATCAGTTCAACTGAAACATATACGTTGTTGTATTCTTTAACCAGATGAGGGAGAATATCCGCAGATATGTCACGTCAAATGTTGCAAAGACATCTGATTAATTTTTGGAGTGAATTTGGTGTAGAGCAATGATTTTAATTAGGTAGAAAACAATTCATATCAATTTTGTGGGGATGGAATTGTGTGAGAGGGAATAAATGAGAGAGTTAATGTATGTAATTAAATCAATTTATTTATCATCTCTTTGTTTTTCTGGTTTTTTATTTTCTTCATACTTCTCAAATCAACATATCCTTCAATCAAAGTTTCTACTGAATCATACAATTTCGATCAAATTCGACTCAGATCCATTCATGAAGAGATTAGTCATCCTTAACTGCTAAAACATTAAAAACTACTCCCTTTATCCCACTATATAAGCTGTATATAAGCTGTTTAAGGTAAAACACAAAAACTAAGAAATTTATTTTTTAAAAGTAAATTATTACTTAATATATAAATAAAATATAACTCAACCAATCATGAAAAAAGACTACAAAATATAATTGGACACATAACATTTAATAAAGTAAAAAGTGCATTGGTTTTAGAAAACAGTTTATAATTTGGGACAAATTTTTTTCCAAATCAGCTTATAATATTGGATAGAGGAAGTAATATTCATGGTTGTTGGACAGAGGGAGTAATATTCATGGTTGGAGAGAGACAGCTTGCATAATAGCATGTGTAAGAACTAAGAATTAATGCATGTATGCGCGTGAAGGTTAATATGGGGCAAAAGTGTGGCTAAATACGAATCTTTATACGACAACTGCCTACTTTCAAAATTAACCCAATATTTAACTGGGTGTGACTGTAGTGATGGTTCATCAACATCAGTATTTGAGAAAACCAGATTTAGAGATAAATAGGAAGTTCGAGGGATAAAAAAGGTACCGCAATTTTGTTTAAAATAGATTGTTCATTTTTTTTTCTCTCTTTCTGATATGTTAGAATAATGATCTTTTAGTATTTATCTATCATCAGAAAAAACATATTAAAAAAGAGTGTATCAGAAATTCTTTTAAAAATATAAGAAATATTTGCTCATGTTTTGCTAAATTATATCTAAAATAACGCTAAATATTTGTTCGTCTTTTGCTAAATTATGTCTAATATCTAAATATTGTTAGTAGTTTTTTCCCCTGGATGATTCCGGCACAGCTAATAGGAGATTATTGCATTCTGGTTGTAACTTGAAAATAAATAAACTTCAGGGAAATTTTTTTTAAGAAAAAAAACTTCCGCAGAATTTAGATCATATCCTTGTAATAATATGATGAATATATGAAGAATAAAACCGATAGATACGAAATACGATGAATATGTGTAAGGAATTGAGAAACTTGTAGTGCTATAACAACCATGACATGGTTAATTCGCGAAATCTTCAACTTCTGTAAACATAGGATTTGAAAGCACGAGTTGCTTGTGATACAAGGAAAACTTGTGCTAAACTACATACAAAATTCAATAGCAAAAATTTCAACGAGGGGTGACTGTTGTGATTGATTCCTTGTCTATAGAACAAGGAATAGACTTGCTGCTGGACTGGCCTGGCTCTGATCCATAGGTTAAAGGGTCTAAATTGGGTCTATTTTTTATGAAAAATCCAGGTGGTCGAGGGACAGGTAGGATTATGGAGCTATTGGTAAGCATTTGAAAGATTGTAGACATGGCTGGACGATCGGCAGGAGTTTCTTGAACACATAATAGTCCAATGTGGATGCATCTAATGACTTCATCCTTCTCACAGCTTTCTCCAATAGCGGGGTCGATGAGATCTAAGGGTGAATCATCTTTCCACAGCTTCCAAACCTACCAAGAAACTCAACTAGAATTCAAAAGCCTAGTCACAATAAAAATGAAGTAAGATTTGGATTTGATGTTTACTCACATGTGTAACTAAATTTCCACCAGAATCATCATCCTTCTGAGAAAAGGTGCTATTCTTTTTGCCACAAACAATCTCTAGAATCAACACTCCAAAGCTATAGACATCAGATTTGGTAGAGAATTGGCCATGAGTCACATACTCTGGAGACATGTAACCGCTGCACATATATTCACGAGACATTGTTTAATTTTGATCATAAACAACAAGGGTTGTCTCATCAAACTGAGTAAGGAGAATAGTAGAATACTAACAAGGTTCCAACCACTCTTCTTGTCATGTCTTCAGTTTGGTCCACTCTAAAATTCCTAGCCATTCCGAAATCCGATATTTTAGGGTTCATATCAGAATCTAGAAGAATGTTACTTGCTTTGATGTCACGGTGTATAATTGTTAGCCTTGAGTCTTGATGAAGATAGAGAATCCCTCGCGTAATCCCTCCTATGATGTTGTACCGTGCATTCCAATCTAGCTGACTCTTCTTTGTTGGATCTGCATTAGACTAAAGAGTTTACGAAAAACAAAATTCAAGAGGGAACATAAGCTAAACCTAGTGTTATATTGTTTATTACCAAAGAGGAAATAATCAAGGCTCTTGTTTGGAACAAACTCGTAGACAAGTATTTGTTCATCTCCTTCCACGCAAAACCCAAGAAGCCTAACAAGATTCTTGTGTTGAAGCTTGGCCACAAGAATAACCTCATTCTTAAATTCTTTTGTGCCTTGTCCTGAATTTCTTGATAGCCGTTTCACCGCAATTTCTGTTTCATTTGGTAACATTCCCTACAAATCATGCATATGATCAATAGCATACTAGCTCTCAACTTTCTTGAAAAATGAAGCAGGCATAGATATAGAGGTCGTACATATATACCTTGTAAACTTCACCAAATCCCCCTTGACCTAGCTTGTTATCCCTTGAAAAATTATCTGTTGCAGCTTCAACCGTCGTAAAATCAAATTGTAGAGACTGTGGACTTGTCATGTCATCATCAGCTGCAAGAACAGATTTGTGGTTACACTTATACATTCCAAAAAGAAAGCCACAAGAAAGTGGTAAAAATACTAAAATAGTAACTCACTTTGAGGTCTTAATGTTTTGTATGAAAGTCTTCTCTTCCAAAGAACTAATCCTAAAGCGAGCAGCACCACGAATACAACCACAGAAACAACAATGGCAACGATAGCTCCCGCAGAAATTGTTTTCCCATCTGAAGATTCTGGAGGAGTTAACGATGGCGTGTGACCAAAGGCACCAAGAAATTCAGAACCATCCCACCGGAAAAAGCAGACCGGCTTGCGAACGCTTCCTCCTATAAACCCATTGCAACAACTCTGGTACACACGCACATTTTCTCGAAGACAAGTTTGACATTCCTCAGGTGATATCCCCGGAATACACTGCATCAACACGTATATAAAACTGTCATTACCTACCCGAGGAGATACATCGGCTAGGTATCGATTTTGACCGACTCGGCTGATCATAGAGCTCATGAATGCGTCCCATATATTGGTATAAGCCGTAAGATTCCCCTCAAATGTTCCACTATTGATATCTCCAATTGTCACCGTCGGCTCTAGGTCGTTCCGGCTAAAGAAGGAGCTGTTGGCGTAACGGATTAAACAGAGCGTCTTGTGGGATCTCCAGTCGTATGCATCGGTCTGGTTCAGACAGTTTTGTAATAAACCGATAGATCCGAGTTGGATGCAGTCGGAACAGACCTTTGGATCTGCCCCTGGGAGACAGAGACCTAAGGCGAATGTTCTTTCAGGGACTTCACCAACCGAACCGGTGTAGTAGCCGTCTCGAGAACCGACATTGGAAGGAAGAGTTGAGAGGATGAGACGACGGTTTGTATCGTAAGTACTGTTGGGTCTGAAGAACGTTGAGTTCACGCATTTTTGTGCAGACACGTGGACGAAGCTAGCGGCGAGGACAAAACAGAGGATTATAAGGAGATTTTTCAGACTCATTTTATTTGGATCTTTGTTGCAGATGGTAAAATTTGATCCTAAATAAGAAACAAAAGAAGTTCGATTTTACTGTAACATCTAGGAACGTTGATTTCGTCAAAACTCAAAAGCATTGCTGGCTATATTTTTCGTCGAGTAGTGGTTGAGTCAAGCACTCAAACATATTCAAGTCAGATGTTTTAGAGTACTTTATACTATACGCTTTAAATATATGATGAATTGAAAGTAAACGAACGTTAACATCGAATGGAACAAATCTAGACACTTCGAATATAGTATTGTTTACCAATTAAAATTAAAAACTCAACTTTCTAAATCTTTAAGTTAAAAACAAAATAAACAAAATGTTGCGTGTACTACAAGACAAAAACAAATAACACTCTAGAAATCACTACTCACTCCAAATTAGAGCACAAACAGATTTGTTGTGATTTTGAGCGAGTAAAACAAAAGAAAAGAGAAATTGAGGTAATATATCTTATTAGGTTTCTTATTAACTGGTGTGTTAAAGTATTACAAACTCTAGTGAAATTTTTATATATATATCTCAAGAAAACCTGATAAATCTAGGTCTACAGTACCACCGAAATAACATTCTGGGAACATTGATTTACTCAAAAACTGGAATTTCATTTTTTTTTTTTTTGGTTTAATTTTCGTATTTAAAAGTCAAGCATTATGACCACACAAGTCAAATCAGTCTTTGAAATTCCTAATAAATAAAAGTTGGGATATGACTTTAACAACCAAATTGAGAAACTGGTAATAATACTCACCACATACAAAAATATAGTGAATTTTCAACTTCTTAACGCATAGAATTTGAAAACTGGAGTCGCTTGTGCAACAAGGAAAATGTACAGACTGGTGCTAAACTACATACAGAAGTCAAAATCAAGAATTTTAACGAGGGGTGACTATTGTTATTGATTCCTTGTCTACAGAACAAGGAATAGACTTGGTGCTTGATTGTCCCTGCTCGGATCCGAAGGTTAAAGGGTTTTGATTGGGTCTATTCCTGAAGAAAAATCCAGGTGGTTGAGGTACAGGTAGAATAATGGAGCTATTGGTAAGCATTTGAAAGATTGTAGACATCTCTGGACGATCTGCAGGAGTTTCTTGAACACATAATAGTCCGATATGGATGCATCTAATGACTTCATCCTTCTCATAGCTTTCGCCGATCACGGGGTCGATGAGTTCTAAGGGTGAATCATTGTTCCAAAGCCTCCATACCTGCCAAGAAATTAACTCATATGTATCAGAATTCAAAAACTTTATCACAATTAAAATGGAGTAAGATTATTTGAGATCTTGGTTTAATTTTTGCTCACATGTGTAACCAAATTGCCACCAGAATCGTCCATTTGGTAGAAGCTACTATTCTTCTTGCCACAAACAATCTCTAAAATCAGTACTCCAAAGCTGTAGACATCAGATTTAGTGGAAAATTGGCCATGCGTCACATACTCTGGAGGCATGTAGCCACTGAAAATATACACTCGAAAATGTTTAACAATGATCATCAAGGATACAAGGATCATTAAACTAGATAAGGAAAATAGTAGAAAATACTTACAATGTTCCAACCACTCTTCTTGTATTGTCTTCAGTTTGGTCCACTCTAAAATTCCTAGCCATTCCGAAATCAGCTATTTTTGGGTTCATATCAGCATCTAAAAGAATATTACTTGCTTTGATGTCACGGTGTATGATTGTGAGCCTTGAATCTTGATGCAGATAAAGAATCCCTCGCGTAATCCCTCCTATGATGTTGTAACGTCTATTCCAATCTAGCTGACTCTTCTTTGTCGGATCTGTATTAGACTAAGAGTTTAAGAAAAAAATTGCTAAATAAATCATTAAGTAAACCTAGTGTTATATTGATTATTACCAAAGAGGAAATAGTCAAGGCTTTTGTTGGGAACAAACTCGTAGACAAGTATTTGTTCATCTCCTTCCACACAAAACCCAAGAAGCCTTACAAGATTCTTGTGCTGAAGCTTGGCCACAATCACAACCTCGTTCTTGAACTCTTGTGTACCTTGTCCTGAGTTTCTTGATAGGCGCTTAACTGCAATTTCTGTTTCATTTGGTAACATTCCCTACACATACACATATGAATAAGTTTTCATCACAAATAAAGTAGTCATCGATATATAGACTTCATGAGTTTGACCCCAAAAAAAAGAGAAAAAAAGATATAGAGCTCATATATACGTACCTTGTAAACTGCACCAAATCCCCCTTGACCTAGCTTGTTAGTCATCGAAAATCTATCTGTTGCCGCTTCAATTGTCATAAAATCAAATTGCAGAGACTGTGGACTTGTCATGTCATCATCAGCTACAACAACAAATTTATGATTATCATTATTATCCATCAAGCATGTCTCCTATGTTCCAAATAGCAATGGAAAAGTTGTAAAAAACACTTAATATAATAGCTCACTTTGAGGTTTCAATGTTTTGTATGATTTACTTCTCTTCCAAGCAACTAACCCTAAAGCAAGCAGCGCCACAAGAAAAACCGCAGAAACAACAATGCCAGCAATAGCTCCAGTAGAAATCACTTTTCCATCCGAAAGAGGAGGAGGAGGAAGTGGTGTGGGTTGTGATTCTTGAGGAGGTAGAGATGGCGTGTCACCAAAGGCACCAAGATATGGATATCCATCCCACCGGAAAAAGCAGACCGGCTTGCGAACGCTTCCACCTCTGTACCCATTGCAGCAACTCCGGTACTCTCGCACATTTTCTCGAACACAGGTTTCACATTCCTCAGAGGATAAACCCGGAATACACTGCATCAGAGCGTACACCTGATCACCATCATCACCACCTATCCGTGGGGATGTATCGGCAATGTGTCGAGATGGAGATTGTCCGACTCGGATGATCATAAAATCCATGAGAGCTTCCCATACTCTCGTATAACCTGTAATGTTCCCCTGGAACCTTCCAGTATTTGTCTCTGCTTGTGTCGGCTCTAGACTGAGCCGGTCAAAAAACGAGCTGTTGGAGTAACGAACGAAACAGAGCGTCTTGTCTGCTCTCCAGTCCCATGAGTCGGTCTGGTTCGGACAGCTTAGTAACAAACCTTCGGACGCTGGTTGGATACAATCGGAACAGACCTTCGGATCAGTCCCTGGGATACAGAGGCCTAAAGCATATATCTTTCCAGAGCCTTCACCAATTGAGGCGTTGTAGACTCCTCCTTGAGAACTGACGTTGGAAGCAAGAGTTGAGAGAAGGAGACGACGGTTTGTATCGTAAGTACCGTTTGGTGGGAAAAACATAGAGTCTCCACAGCTTGGTTCTGCAGACACGTAGCCGAAGCTAACGGCTAGGAGAAAACAGAGAATTGGCAAGATATTGTTTAGACACATTTTAAGAGATTTAGTTTTCTGAGTTACTTATTTCTGATAGTTATTCAAGAGACAAACTTTGATTTTGCTGTTAAACATTTTTGGAACGTTGATTTTGTCAAAACAGCATGCGTGTTGAGAATTTTCGTTCAGCATAAACACAAAAAGAAAAAAGAAAAAAGTTAATTCGGTAAAGGTTTGGACTTTCGATATAGAGTTTTAATATATTTATAAAATACGTTAGGTGAAGATGATGAATGTACAACCAGCAGCTCTTCTAGGCCAATGGAAACACATTATCCAACATAATGCCACAGGCATTAATCTAATACGACTATTCAAATTGTGACATCTCACCTGCTCACTATACTGTGTCTGAAATACTGTGAAATCCTACGTCTTTGTGCAGACAAATATAAAGGAGAAGCTAGTGGCCAAGTTTAATTTCATTCACCGTAAAATTTTGGGAACCCTAATTTGGTCACATGCAGGTGAGCCAAGCATTATTATTATTATTATTTTGATAAAGAGCCAAGCATTATTATTACACAAAGTCAGCATGATATATTAGTATTACACAGACCCGAATCAGAGCCAAGCATTATTATTACACAAAGTAAGCATGATATATTAGTATTACATAGATCAGAATCAAGTTGATGTACTTTTATTATCACATCACACTCAAAATAGTTGAATCCTTAATTTATTTATACATGACTTTGGAAACTAGAGTTGCTTCTGCCACAAGGAAACCGGAACGTAGTTGTGCTAAACTTGTTGAGGTTATACTTCAGTGTATGATAATAAGAGTTTCAACGAGGAGTAACTGGATCGATCCACTGTCGCTAGAATAAGGAACATAATATTCTTCGTCACGGGTATATGTCTTACATAACACAAGGTTCTTCGTCACGGGAATACATCTTCTCTAATTTATCTCAAATCTCTTTTGATGTCTTGAGATCAATTACATGGTATATTACTTCGTCAGCAAGGCACACAAGAATAATCAAATCTGTCTGTGGCCTGTGGATAATACTACATACATAGTGCGTAAGGAAGAATTTCAACGTGGAGTGACTCTAGTTATCGATTCATTATCAATGGAACAGTTGCTGCTAAATTTTCCGAGCTCGGATCCATAGTTTAAAGGGTCCAAATTAGGTCTGTTCTTGAACAAAAATCCAGGTGATCGAGGTAAAGGTAGAATAATGTAGCTATTGGTAAGCATCTGAAAGATTGTAGACATAGCTGGACGATCTACAGGAGTTTCTTGAACACATAATAGTCCAATATGGATGCATCTAATGACCTCGTCCTTCTCAAAGCTTGCCCTAATCGTGGGGTCGACGAGTTCTAAGGGGGAATCATTGTTCCAAAGCCTCCATACCTGCCAGGAAACTCATATTAAGAATCAAAACCATTGTGATCACAGATAAAAGTGGAGAAGTATTCTGAGATTCCGAGATTTTGGTTTAATTGTTACTCACATATGTCACTAAATTGCCAACAGAATCATCTATCTCATTAAAGCTGCTATTCTTCTTGCCACAAACAATCTCTAGCATCAATACTCCAAAGCTATAGACATCAGATTTGGTAGAGAACTGGCCATGTGTCACATACTCTGGAGGCATGTAACCGCTGTAGGTATTTACACGTGACAATGTTTGTGTTAATCAGAAATAAAAAAAGGGATCATCAGAGAATGTGAGTTTCATCAAAGTTATACTAAATAAATTAGTAGAATTACTAACAAGGTTCCAACCACTCTTCTTGTCCTGTCTTCAGTTTGGTCGACTCTGAAATTTCTAGCCATTCCAAAATCCGCTATTTTAGGGTTCATATCAGCATCTAAAAGAATGTTACTTGCTTTGATGTCACGGTGTATAATTGTTAGCCTTGAGTCTTGATGAAGATAGAGAATCCCTCTCGTAATCCCTCCTATAATGTTGTACCGTCTTTTCCAGTCTAGCTGACTTTTCTTTGTTGGGTCTACATTAAACGAATTGAATATTTTAAGAAAAATGGCTAAGTATAACGGAAATTAAACCTATAGCTGCATGTTGTTTATTACCAAAGAGGAAATAATCAAGGCTCTTGTTGGGAACAAACTCGTAGACAAGTATTTGTTCATCTCCTTCCACGCAAAATCCAAGAATTTTAACAAGATTCTTGTGTTGAAGCTTGGCCACAATCACAACCTCGTTCTTGAACTCTGTTGTGCCCTGTTCTGAACTTCTTGATAACCTCTTTACCGCAATATCTGTCTCATCTGGTAACTTGCCCTACACGTATGCAAAGCTTGTTAGCTTTCATGAAAAATTAAGCAATATCATAGATAGAGCTAATATATATTACCTTGTAAACTGCACCAAATCCCCCTTGACCTAGCTTGTTATACCCCGAAAAGTTATCTGTTGCCGCTTCAATTGTCGTATAATCAAATTGCAAAGACTGTGGACATGTCATGTCATCATCAGCTGCAACAACACATGTATGGTTACTATTCTGCATTCCATAAAGCATTGTGAGAATGATAAACAAGAAAGCTAATAATATAACTTACTTTGAGGTTTTAATGTTTTGTATGATTTACATCTCTTCCAAGCAACTAATCCTAAAGTTAGCAGCACCATGAATATAACAGCAGAAACAACAATAGCAACAATAGATTCAGTAGAAATCTTTTTTCCATCTTCTGGCGTGGGTTGAGATATTTGAGGAGGCAGCGGTAGCGTGTCACCGAAGGCACCAGAATATTCAGAACCATCCCACCGGAAAAAGCAGACCGGCTTACGTACGGTTCCTCCTATGAACCCATTGCAGCAACTCTGGTAATCACGGACACTTCCTCGAAGACAAGTTTCACATTCCTCAGAGGATATCCCTGGAATACATTGCATCACCGAGTATATAAAACTATCGTTACCTGTCCGAGGCGATACATCGGCTAGGTATCGAGTTTGACCGGCTCGGCTGATCATAGAGCTTATGAATGCGTCCCATATGTTGGTATAAGCTGTAATGTTCCCTTGGAACCTACCAGAAGATGTGTAAATTGCTTGTGACGGCTCTAATTCGATCTGATCGAAAAACAACCCGTTAGAGTAACGAACGAAACAAAGCGTCCTGCCGGCTTTCCATTCCCATGAGTCGGTTTGGTCCGGACAGTTTCGTGATAAACTGTCGGATGCAGCTTGGATACAAGCGGAACAGAGATTTGGATCAGTCTCTGGGATACAAAGGCCTAAAGCATAGATCCTTCCAGAGCCTTGTCCTACGGAGACGTTGTAGAAGCCGTTTCGAGAACTGACGTTGGAAGCAAGAGTTGAGAGAACGAGACGACGGTTTACATCGTAAGTACCATTTCGACTGAAAAACACTTTTCCACAACTTTGTGAAGAGACAAAGCCAAAGCTAAGGGCGAGGGCAAAACAGAGGATTGGCAAGAGACTGTTACGAGACATTTTAAGGGATTAATGACTTTGCTCACATACTTGTTGTAGATCTTTTAACTTGAATCATAACAAGAAAATATTTAACGTTTAGGAAGTTTGATTTCGTCAAAAAAGCACGCATATAATTAGAATTTTCGTTAAGTAGCTTATACATAACGTAGATACATGAAGAAAGTAAACATTGACCAATTCTCGGTCCTCCAAGACCTAATACTTTATGGCTTATGTCACTATTGAAGTTAAATGGCTACGTAACATTTCGAATTCTTGGAGTAAAAATACATAGAATACAAAATACTTGTTTCAGAAGTTTGGAGTCTGAAATGTATAGTAGCGTAGATTGGTTTCATTTTCCGTAACATTTTGGGAACATTGATTTGGTCCAAAAAATATAATTGAATATTTCTAATTTAGGTCAACCAAGCATTAATTATTACACAAGTCAACTATTTCTTTTGACACAAGTCAAGAAGTTTCCAAACTAAGAACCAAATTGATAGACTATTATTAATTATTACACATCACCTTCAAACAACTGAGTCTCAATTTCTTTATATAGAGTTTGCCAAACGGTATGGTCCGTATGGACTAGTCGTAACGGATATGTTTTCATGACTATATATTGGCCCCACAAAAGATGCCTCAAATTATTTTTACTTTTTTTAGTAAACCTAATTCACTACCAGATTACAAACGCATGATCGTTAGTAAACCTAATTCACTACCAGATGGCTCAATTTATTTCGTATGTTAGTATGTTACAGTCAAGTATTATGGTGACAGTGGTAAACAAGATATCTTAGCAAAATCTTGAATAAATATAAAACGACAATAGGTGATATTAGCTAATTGAGAAAATTTCAGTATATAATAATTTCCGTTATAGCAAGTACGTACCATTTTCCTTGCACTGAATATTGAAGTTCCTTGTGTCACAAGGAAAATGGCACAGATTTGCTATATAGTATTTACAGAGTGTAGAAACAAGAATTTTAACGAGGAGTTAATACAGAATAAGAAACAGAGTTGCATCTAGAATGCCCCGGCTCAGATCCATAGGTTAAAGGGTCTAAATTTGACCTGTCCCTGAAGAAAAATCCAGGTGGTCGAGGGACAGGTAGAACAATGGACCTATTGGTAAGCATTTGAAAGATTGTAGACATGGCTGGACGATCCGCAGGAGACTCTTGAACACATAACAATCCGATATGGATGCATCTAATGACTTCATCCTTCTCATAGCTTTCCTTAATTGTGGGGTCAATGAGATCTAAGGGTGATTCATTGTTCCAAAGCCTCCAAATCTGCCAAAAGAGAACTTAATAATTCAGAAGATGATCACAAATAAAATGGAGTAAGATTTTGATTTGACTTTTTTGCTCACATGTGTCACCATATTGCCACCAGAATCATCATTCATCTGATAGAAGCTACTGTTCTTCTTGCCACAAACAATCTCCAGAATCAATACTCCAAAGCTATATACATCAGACTTGGTAGAGAAATGGCCACGCGTCACATACTCTGGAGGCATGTAACCGCTGCAATTATACACATGAAAATGCTTAACAATGTTTATCTTAATCAAAAACAGTAAGATTTCATCAAAGAAATTTGATGTTCAACAAACTGTAAGGAGAATAGTAGAATACTAACAATGTTCCAACAATTCTTCCAGTCTCGTCTTCAGTTTGATCCACTCTAAAATTCCTTGCCATTCCGAAATCCGCTATCTTAGGGCTCATATCAGCATCTAAAAGAATGTTACCAGCTTTGATGTCACGGTGTATGATGGTGAGCCTTGAGTCTTGATGAAGATAGAGAAGCCCTCGCGTAATCCCTTCGATGATGTTGTACCGTCTTTTCCAATCCAACTGTCTCTTCTTTGTTGGGTCTGCATTAAACGATAATTTTAAGACACATTTCTTAAACTTACAATACTAAACCTAGTGTTATACTCTCTCTGTTTCCTTTTATTTGTCATTCTAGAGATTTTCACACATATTAAGAAACTCATTAAATTTGCTATTTACCCTTATTTAATACTTAGTTTTCTTTGATAGGAATAATCAATAAGCTAAAATAATGAGGATAAAACTAGAAAATATATAATTAATCTACATTGGAAACACAAAACAACAAGTAACATGAAAAAAAAAATTCTTTCTAGAATGACAAGTAATATGAAACGGAGGGAGTATTGTTTATTACCAAAGAGAAAATAATCAAGGCTCTTGTTTGGAACAAACTCGTAGACAAGTATTTGTTCATCTCTTTCTAAGCAAAACCCAAGAAGCCTAACAAGGTTCTTGTGTTGAAGCTTGGCCACAATCACAACCTCGTTCTTGAACTCTTGTGTGCCTTGTCCTGAATTTCTTGATAGCCGCTTAACCGCAATTTCTGTTCCATTTGGTAACATTCCCTACAAATGTGCATATGAATATTCTAGTTTCTTGTTTCTTAGCTTTCAAGTAAAACAAGCAGTCATATATAAATACCTTATAAACTTCACCGAATCCGCCTTGACCTAGCTTGTTAGTCCTCGAAAATTTATCAGTTGCCACTTCAATTGTTGCAAAATCAAACTGTAGCGATTGTGGACTAGTCATGTCATCATCAGCTGTCATAACATATATGTAAGGTTACTATGATATATGAAATCCAAAATAGCTATTTTTAGAGCAGTTGATTAAAAAAACTCACTTTGAAGTTTTGATGTTCTGTATGATCTTTTCCAAATAACCAAGCCAAACGCAAGAAACACCACAAACATAACCGCCGAAACAACAATCGCCACAATGGCTCTTGTAGCAATCCTTTTTCCATCTCGAGAAGGAGGAGGAGATGGCGGAGGAGGAAGAGGAGGAGGCGGTGAAGGTCGAGATTGCGTGTCGTTGAAGGCATCAAAGGCATCAAGATATGCGTAACCATCCCACCGGAAATAGCAGACTGGCTTGCCAACGCTTCCACCTATAAACCCATTGCAGCATCTCTTGTGTGCACGTAAAGTTCCTTGAAGGCAAGCTTCACAAGCCTCAGTGGATATCCCCGGAACACACTGCATGAGCGCGTAAACGTTATCATCAAGTCTCTCACCTATCCGAGGTGATACATCAGCCAAGTATCGAGATCGAGATTCGCCGACTCGTGTGATCATAGATTCCATGAATGAGTCCCAAACCCTAGTATAAGTTGTGACGTTACCAGTGTACACTCCACTGTCGAACTCTTCTTGTGTCGGCTCTGTATCGTTCCGGTTGAAAAACAAGCTGTTGGAGTAACGAACGAGACAGAGCGTCTCGTCTGCTCTCCAATCCCATGAGTCGGTCTGGTTTGGACAGTTTTTAAGTAAATCGTCGGAAGCTGATTGGATACAATCAGAACATACCTTTGGATCAGTCCCTGGAATACAGAGGCCTAAAGCATAGATCTTTCCAGATCCTTCACCGACGGAGACGTTGTAGTAGCCGTTTCGAGAACTGACGTGGGAGGCAAGAGTTGAGAGAACCAGACGACGGTTTGTGTCGTAAGCACTGTTTGGTCTGAAAAACAGAGAGTCTCCACATCTTTGTGCAGACACAAAGCAGAAGCTAACGGCTTGGACAAAGCAGAGTATTGGGAAGAGATTATTAAAAGACATTTTAAAAGATTGATTTTTGCTAAGATGCTTCATACTTGTTTGAGATCTAAATATGACATTTTACTTTTTTATTCACTATAGTAGCGTTGATTTTTCGTCAAGAGCAGCTTTGCGTGTATAGATTTTGGTCAAGGTCAAAATATGTAAACTTTTGGAATGGATAATTCAATATTTTATTAATTTTATAAACGATTGACAGTGAAAGATGCTTCAATTATCAGTTTTTCAACGACAAGCAGCCCCAAAATTTTATTAACGTATAAATGCTCCAATCATATTTTCTCAACGACCAGCAGCCCCTATTAAAGGAGTTGTTAAAAATGACGTTGGAATGTTCTTACGTAGGGGAGCCAAGCATTATTACTATAAGTCAACTTGATATATATTAAAAAAATCTTAATAATTCAGTGGACTATTATATTGTAACACGTCAAACTCAGCATTCATTGAAAAAAACACTAGAGTTACTATGCTATAAGGAAAATGGTATAGCAAGACTTTCAACGAGGAGTGAGTGTAGTGATCGTTGCGTTGTCGCTAGAACAAGGAACACACTTGCTGCTGGATTGGCCCGGCTCGAATCCAAAGGTTAAAGGGTCTGAATTGGGTCTGTTCCTGAAGAAAAATCCAGGTGGTCTAGGCACAGGTAGAATAATGGAGCTATTGGTAAGCATATGAAAGATTGTAGTCATGGCTGGACGAGCCGCAGGAGTTTCTTGAACACATAATAGTCCGATATGGATGCATCTAAGGACTTCATCCTTCTCGCAGCTATCCCTAACCGTGGGGTCGATGAGATATAAGGGGGAATAATTGTTCCAAAGCCTCCAAACCTGGAGTGCCAAGAAACATATTCAGAATGAAGACCCCTTTAGTTTGGTCAGTCAATAACTTGAAATGTTCTTACGCTTGTGAGCCAAGCATTGTTGTTAGACAAGCCTAACTTTATATATTTTACAAAATTCTTAACAATTTTTGAAAGTGAAGTTCCGTAACTGAAAATCAGTTTGGTAGATTTGTGTTCATTACACATCAGTTTCCAAAATAAATTGGCTCCTCAATTTCTTTTTACTGACTTTAAAAAGAAATTGAAGTTGCTTGTGCAACAAGGATACTGGTAGGTCTGGTGCTAAACTTCTTGTGGTTATACTACAGACTGCAAAAGCAAGAGTTTCAACGAGGAGTTGATATAGATAATTTACATATTTCAAAGTCGGTTTTGGTTTTGGTTTTGATTTAAGTTTTGGTTTTCCTTATTTAGACTATAAGTCGGTGTTGGTTTTATTATTTAAAGGATTGTAAGTTTCATTATCAATACATTCAGAAATTTACAGAACTCGTTCTTTTATTAGCTTTCTTCACAAGTAACTCAACCCTAGCTGAGAATCTTCTCTGCAATTGAGTAAGGAGTTCGCGTTTTAAGAACGTTGATTCCCGTCACTATCCGGTTACTGAGATATCACGAATTAGCTCTACCAAAGGTATCAGACGTCGATCGATTCTCCGGAAAAGATGTCCGACGCACAAACACGCTCTCAAACAGCCTTGAAGGAGTCAATTCTTGGAGAAATTGAATCTGCCCTAGGTCCTCGCCTTGAAGAGATGTACAACCGCCATAATGATCTGGAGGAAAAGATGGACAAACAGCTCCACAAGATAGATAAAGACTTAGCTGGTATGTTCGACGCGATTCGTTCGTTGTCCGATAACGTCGCTTCTTCGTCGCCTAATCCCTCTCCTGACAACAACTCACCATCGTTCTCACCTCCCGGACCTACTACTACTCATGATTCCCACCGTCCTCGCCCTACTCCTTCTACACCTTACTCAGGAATGACACGACTTGCTAAGATAGAGTTCCCAAGGTTTTCTGGTGATCGATTTCAAGAGTGGCTCTTTCAAGCCGAACAATTCTTCTCCATTGACAACACACCGGAAGACTTGAAAGTCAACATCGCTTCAGTTCACTTCGATGGTCTTGCCGCTAATTGGCATCAATCGATTGTGCAATCTGAACTTGGTCAATCGGTTCTCTCTAGCTGGCCCGCTTACAAACTACGACTACACGAACGTTTTGAAGATATTTTGGACGACCCTATTCTAGAGTTAAAGCGTTTACAAGAGACTAACGGCATCGTTGAGTACCATGGCCGGTTTGAACTCTTGCGTACTCGAGTGAACTTCTCTGAAGATTATTTAGTTCGCCATTACTTAGCTGGTCTCCAAACAGAAACGCAGATGCATGTGCGCATGTTCCAACCAACCTCTGTTCGTCAGTGCTTACTTCTTGGGAGGTTGTATGAACAAGCTCATCCCAAGAAACCTCAGTTCTTTCGTCGAAAGGATTCAGAGATGCGACCTACACAAGTGGAGAAAACGCCTGAAAAGGAATACGCTCCTCAGAAGTTTCTTACTAATGCCGAGATGGTTCAACGTCGGAAGGATGGCTTATGTTATTACTGTCCTGAAAAGTATACTCCAGGCCATTTTCTTAAACACAAGAAGACACAACTTTTCATGATTGAAACAGGGGAAGAAGATGACCTTGAAGCTGCTCCAGAGATACAAAACGAGGAAGAAGAAGCCATAGATATCGCTACAATCTCTGTTAATGTTGTTTCAGGAATTTCCGACTACAATACTCTAAGGGTCAAAGGAGAGTGTGGGAAACGCTCCATATTTGTCCTTATTGACTCTGGTTCTACACATAATTTCGTTGATACTCGTACGGCGGAGAAGTTAGGTTGTACGGTACGCACTTCAACGAGATCTCGAGTTACTGTTGCTGATGGTCGTCGAATTGCTATTCAGGGTCATATCGACAATTTCAGGTGGACGTTTCATGGTACCACTTTTGAATCCGATGTTATGGTCATTCCTCTTGGAGGTTGTGACATGGTACTAGGAGTCCAATGGTTACACACCTTAGGCCCTATTACTTTTGATTTTAAGAAACTCGAGATGTCTTTTAAATGGGAAGCAAGGAAGATTCTACTTCACGGAATTAAGCAAGACTCGGTACGTCATGTGAAAGCTGCAAAGTTAAACAAATTACAAGACGAAGATGTGCAGTTGGCCATGCTTTACGTTCAATCAGGGGTAGAAGAAGAACCAATCCAATTTTATTCTCTCGACGCGACAACAACCTCCACCACCGTTTGTCCTGCGATAGATGGATTGCTTACTGAGTTTTTCGATATTTTTGAGGAGCCAACAACTTTGCCTCCATTCCGTGAACATCATAACCATCGTATCCCTCTTTTGGAAGGCTCTAATCCAGTGAATCAACGACCTTACCGCTATGCCATCCACCAGAAGAATGAAATCGATACTATGGTGCAAGAGCTTTTAACCGCAGGTACTATTCAACCTAGCTCTAGTTCTTTTGCATCACCGGTGGTTCTCGTTAAAAAGAAAGATGGAAATTGGCGTCTTTGTGTCGACTACCGTGGCTTGAATGGTCTGACAGTTAAAGACAGATTCCCAATTCCATTGATTGAAGACCTTATGGACGAACTAGGAGGCTCCAAGGTCTACTCTAAAATCGACTTGAGAGCCGGTTATCATCAGGTTCGGATGGATCCTCTTGATGTCCACAAGACAGCGTTTAAAACACATGGAGGACACTTTGAGTATCTAGTAATGCCATTTGGGCTTACTAACGCGCCAGCTACTTTTCAAAGTTTGATGAACTCTATCTTCAAGGAATTTCTTCGGAAATTTGTTCTCATCTTCTTTGATGACATTTTGATATACAGTTCTTCTATGGAACTTCATATCACTCACCTGCGTTGTGTTTTTGAGTTAATGCGCCAGAACAGCTTGTTTGCAAAACAGAGTAAATGTTCGTTTGCAACAGATCGGGTGGAGTATTTGGGGCACTTTATTGAAGAAAAAGGTATTTCAACGGATCCAAGCAAGGTTAAGGCTGTCGCAGACTGGCCTATTCCGGTGAACCTTAAACAACTCCGAGGGTTCTTAGGGTTAGCTGGTTATTACCGACGTTTCGTCAAGAATTTTGGAACAATAGCTCGCCCCTTGACTGCCTTAACGAAGAAGGATAGTTTTGAATGGTCAGAAGAAGCCCTTCACTCGTTTAAAGATTTGAAACGAGCATTGTGTGAAGCTCCGGTGTTGGCCCTACCATTATTTGATACACCTTTTGTGGTCGAGACTGATGCTTGTAGCCAGGGAATAGGAGCTGTACTTATGCAGAATGGCCATCCATTAGCTTACATAAGTCGTCATTTAAAGGGTAAGCAACTTCACCTCTCTATCTATGAGAAAGAATTGTTAGCTGTGGTCTTTGCTGTAACAAAATGGCGCCATTACTTGCTCAATGGTCACTTTGTGATCAAGACGGATCAAAGGAGTCTCAAGTATTTACTTGAGCAGAGACTCAACACTCCGATACAGCAGCAGTGGCTACCTAAATTACTCGAGTTTGATTACGAGATCCAATACAAACAGGGGAAAGAGAATTTGGTTGCTGATGCGTTGTCTAGAGTCGAAGGAGCCGAGGTTTTACACATGGCCATGTCTGTTTTACAATGCGATTTACTACAGCAGATTCAGGCTGGTTACGATACTGATCCAACAGTGAGGGATTTGATAGCAGAGTTACAACAGAAACCATTAGCCAAAAAACATTTTTCTTGGACACAAGGCATCTTACGGAGAAAGAGCAAGATTGTGGTCCCCGATAACGTGCTTCTTCGAAATAAAGTTTTGGAATGGTTACATTGTTCTGGAAGTGGTGGCCACTCAGGGAGAGACGCAACACATCAACGTGTGAAAGGCCTCTTTTATTGGAAAGGGATGTCGAAAGACATTCAATCTTATATCCGTGGATGCAATGTGTGTCAGCAGTGTAAGTATGATCCAGCAGCATCACCAGGGCTGATTCAACCTTTACCAATCCCTGAGACAATCTGGACTGATATCTCTATGGATTTCATTGATGGCTTGCCTTCTTCTTATGGGAAGACGGTTATTTTCGTTGTGGTCGATCGGCTTAGTAAGGCAGCTCATTTTATGGCCCTTTCACATCCTTATACCGCTTCCTCCATCGCTCAAGTCTTCTTGGATAATGTGTTTAAGCTTCATGGCTTTCCACAATCTATTGTTAGTGATCGTGATGCTATCTTTCTTAGTGACTTCTGGCGTGAACTCTTCAGCCTTCAAGGAGTTGCCTTAACCTCTCTAGTGCCTATCATCCTCAAAGTGACGGACAAATGGAGGTGGTCAATAGATGTCTTGAGACATATTTACGGTGTATGTGCAGTGATAGACCTCATCTTTGGAGTAAATGGCTGCCTTTGGCAGAATTTTGGTATAACACGAATTACTATACTGCCATACAACTGACCCCATATGAGGCTGTCTATGGTCAAGCTCCTCCTCAGCATTTACCATACTTACCAGGCGAGTCTAAAGTAGCTGTGGTTGCCAAGTGCTTACAAGAGAGGGAGAATATGATTCTGATTTTGAAATTTCACCTGTTGAGAGCTCAACATAGGATGAAACAGTTCGCTGATCAGCATCACACTGATCGTAGCTTCGGCATTGGCGACTTTGTTTATGTTAAGCTGCAACCGTATCGGCAGAAATCTTTGGTCCTCCGTCACAATCAGAAGTTGTCTCCTAAGTATTTTGGCCCTTACAAGATCGTTGACAAGTGTGGGAAAGTTGCTTACAAGTTACAACTTCCTGCAACATCTCAAATTCACCCTGTTTTTCATGTTTCTCAACTGAAATTACAAGTTGGTGCTACACTTGTTGCCAATCAACTTCCCTCGATCACCCACGATGCTTTTGTCAAAGAACCAGAAAAGATTCTTGAGAGAAAGATGGTACAACATCAAGGCCAGGCAGCTACGATGGTATTGGTCAAATGGACTACTGAAGCAGAGGACGAAGCAACATGGGAGTTCTTGTTCGATCTGCATAAGAAATATCCTTCCTTTCATCCTTGAGGTCAAGGTTTTTCAAATGGGGGAGATTTGATATAGATAATTTACATATTTCAAAGTCGGTTTTGGTTTTGGTTTTGATTTAAGTTTTGGTTTTCCTTATTTAGACTATAAGTCGGTGTTGGTTTTATTATTTAAAGGATTGTAAGTTTCATTATCAATACATTCAGAAATTTACAGAACTCGTTCTTTTATTAGCTTTCTTCACAAGTAACTCAACCCTAGCTGAGAATCTTCTCTGCAATTGAATAAGGAGTTCGCGTTTTAAGAACGTTGATTCCCGTCACTATCCGGTTACTGAGATATCACGAATTAGCTCTACCAGGAGTGACTGCAGTGATCGTTGCATTGTCGATAGAACAAGGAACAGACTTGCTACTGGATTGGCCCGGCTCGGATCCATAGGTTAAAGGATCTAAATTGGGTCTGTTTCTGAAGAAAAATCCAGGCGGTCGAGGCACAGGTAGAATAATGGAGCTATTGGTAAGCATTTGATAGATTGTAGACATCTCTAGACGATCCGCAGGAGTTTCTTGAACACATAATAGTCCGATATGGATGCATCTTATGACTTCATCCTTGTCATAGCTTTCCCTAATCACCGGATCTATAAGTTCCAAGGGTGAATCACTATTCCAAAGCCTCCAAACCTGCCAAGAAACTCATATTCAGATTTCAGAATCATTATCACAGTCAATTTTTGAGAAAGATTTGATTTGTGCTCACATGTGTGACCAAGTTGCAAACTGAACCATTCCTCTGATAGAAGCTGCTATTCTTTTTGCCACTAACAATCTCCAGAATCAACACTCCAAAGCTATATACATCAGACTTGGTAGAGAATTGTCCATGAGTCACATACTCTGGAGACATGTAGCCGCTGCAAATATATGCAGTGCATGACAAATACTTTATACTAATCAAATAACAAAAAGGTTAATCAAGATTCAGTTTAAAGACTTAAGGACTATACTAACAAGGTTCCAACTACTCTGCCTGTATTAGCTTCAGTTTGATGATCTCTGAAATTCCTAGCCATTCCGAAATCAGCTATTTTGGGATTCATATCAGCATCTAAAAGAATGTTACCAGCTTTGATGTCACGGTGTATAATTGTTAGCCTTGAGTCTTGATGGAGATATAGAATCCCTCTCGTAATCCCTCCGATGATGTTGTACCGTCTTGTCCAATCTAGCTGACCTTTCTTTGCTGGATCTACACATCCATCTGCAACTCATTAGACTAACGGTTTCAAGAAAATTGGATTAAGAGGAAAAGTAGCTTATATGTATTGTTTGCTACCAAAGAGGAAATAATCAAGGCTCTTGTTGGGAACAAACTCGTAGACTAGTATCTTTTCTTCTCCCTGCAGCGAGAACCCGAGAAGCCTAACGAGATTTCGATGCTGAAGCTTTGCTACAAGAAGCACCTCGTTCTTGAACTCAATTTCACCTTGATCTGAAGTTCTTGACAGTCTCTTTACTGCAACTTCAGTTCCATTAGAGAACGTACCCTGCCAATCACATATGAATCTAACGAGATCATCTCACTATCTTCATACATAATGTTTCCTACAGAAACAACTAGAGTAGGTGGATAGAAAATGCCTTGTAAACTACGCCAAATCCTCCTTGTCCAATCTTGTTACTCGCCAAGAAGTTACTTGTTGCAGCTTCAAGGATACATCATTACTACGCCAAATCTACTGTTAGAGACTGATACATCATCTCCTGATGATGATGATGATGAAGCTTCATTCACCATTCGAACTACTAATCGCTTCAATAGTACATTGAAAGCTGTTAAGTTTGTCCTGAGATCTCCAACGTTGTAACCAATAGAAGATGGATCCATATCCAACGGTCTAAAAGACGGTTGGTTAGAGTAGCGTGCCATACATAGAGTTTTACCTCAGTTAGCTGTGACCTCAGTTGCAAGAGATGAGAGGATGTGTTGACGGTTCTTGTCAAAAGTACCACCTGGTCTGAAAGTTCCAGAATTGTCCAAGCATAACTGCGCAGAGACAATAAAAACAGTTAAGCTCGTGTAGACAAGCAAGAAGACCAATGAGAAGAGACTCTTTCAACCCATTTTTTCCAAATTTAGATAGAATGAGTTGCTTTCTTGTCGGAACAGCAAGATGAGTGTAGACTAAACTTACATCTATGCAACTATTATATGAATGGAGGATATTAAAAAAGAATAAAGAGTGGCAAGTTGATAGAACGAAAAGAAGAACAAGTTTGAGAAACGGACCACTCAAAGTGCTATCCAAACCAGCTGATGGGAAGATTTGGTGAATAAGATTTAAAAGACTGATGAGAATTGGCCCAGTCAATTGATTTATTTGTCTACTTGTTTGTCACAATGATTATCAACTTCTGCAGGACCATTTATTAGCCTTTTAAAGTGACTCTCTGGCTTGAAGAGCTGATCACAATGCTAAAGAAAGCTTTAATAGGAAAACCATGAACTTAGTGGCAAGATCCGCACTTTAAATATTGGAGAAAGATTGAAGCTTTTGGGCAACCATGAACAATTTCATATGTATTTCGACATTTTGAGTGAAGTAAGTCCACGGAATGGCAGGTGATTAGCAAACATATAATATCCACTATCAGGACAGTTTTAGACAAAACTAAAGGCGATTTTGAAGCGTAAAGGTCAAAATGAAGACATAATCATATTGAACTGAGCAGATAAAGAAAAGTAAGAGGAAACAGATAAGTACCTATAAAGACATAAACATTTGGAGATGAACAGTTTTGATATTTAGTATATGATTTTCATATTGATGTATTATATATAAAAATATACTTAAAATTAGTCTTCTGATTTATTTCCGATTTTCTCAAAAATTGCTAGAAAGGGACGGAATGCCCGAATACCGCCCGCCTAACTAGTTTTAGAACATAGAACGTTTTTGTATGTTCTTTTCCTCTCCTTTTTAATTGAGATAACTTTCCCAAATTACTCTTAAATTTCTCGAATTACTCTTAAATTTCTCAAATTATTCTTAAATTAAACATAGGATAAAAATATTGAAATATTGTTGATGACCATTTGGGTGATATGGTCGAATGTCGAGTAAATAAGATTAAAGTTAGTTTATTCAATTTAATTTATTGGAATTTTTTTTTTTATAATAAATTTACCGCCTGAATTTACCAGTTATAAATCCTCCAATTGCTTGATAAACAACTGGGGAAACTTCTATAATTATCGAAAACCACAAAAGTTATTTTTTTTCTACTTGATATTAGTTATCTGATTAATTTTAAACCATAGATAACATTCTCTAACATAAAACAATAGCTTTAGTTTCCACAGAAAATAAGAATCAATCATTTTATAACTAAACTTACTTCTTTTTAGGTTAATTTATCTTATATAACATGTAGTGGTTAAGAAATAATATATATCACATAGCTAAATTTTAACAGATGTTGAAAGAAAAAAAATAAAGATTAACATTGAAACATTTAATACTGATTTATACATATATTTTCCACAATATGTAGTGTGTGTTTTTTGTGCAACTTTTTTGTGTGTGTGACCAGTTCGTAGGATACGAAATACCTTGACGACTTTTATTAATAGTTTTAATAATGGTACATTGACATGAATGTTAATGGAAAACTTGATAGAATATTCAAAAATAATGGCTATGGCTTAAGATTTTTTAGCGTAGGTGTGAAATATAATAATTGACTTTAGATTAACATGATAAACTTATGCAGAAATGTAACACAAAGCATGAAAACACAGTTATTGACTTGGAATCAATAGTTTTGGATTACAATGTCCGATTTTCAACATATCAAACAAATGAAAATGTGGTTCGCTTCAAAAACACATTATGATTTATGAATCAATCATGATTCCATAAAATTAAAAAGGTGATGAAGTTTAAAAATGAGTTTTGATTGATATGTGTTTTGGGAATAATAATATGCAATCAACCGTAAAGCGTGTTCCACCATTTCCAATCTTCAGTTGTAATTCTTGTTTTAAAAATGTAAAATTTATTTAAAAAAAAAAATAGTTACAATATTTAAGAGTTTTTTCGAAACTATAAATTAGAAAAATTATATCATTACAAGATGAGAGAGCATTCTCATACTTGTTGTAACATTTTTATATGCAAAATGAAATAATAACATAGTTCCTTAAGTTTAATGAAAGTAAAACTTTATACAATTCATCTCCTAAATAATGGATTTCACCAGGTTATATATTATAAGTCCACTAATTCCAAATCCCTATAAAATTATATTTGTCTTTTATCTATTTGGACCAAAATGTTTTAAAGTTGAAAGTTTGGTCAAAAGCAGGTCTTCCCAATTACGATGCGGCCCATTATAGTTAGGAGCTATACTATTAGAGTATAATTAATATCACCTTCAATTTTAAATCCAAAGTACACTCACTACCTATAAATCACACTAATTTTTTTTTAATAAACTCTCTTTCAAAATATATTTTTAAGTTTGAGGTGGAGAGGAGTCGATAGATTTAATTTGGAGATAGGAATCCAATCCCATTCCCACATGAACTTCCCGAGAAACAAGTTAATGATACTTTATTATAGTTTGGTTCACGAACCGATCAAAATTTAATTAATTAATTAAGATTTCTCCTTTAATCTCTCACCGATACATAATCGCAAAATGACGAAATTACCCATTTTATATATTTTAGCGACAATTTCTGACAAGGGGCAAGATTGTCTTACGTCACTCACTTCATTGAAGAGAAAAAACCTTTGTTTGATCAATGAAGTGAAAAAAGAAGCAGACAACAAAAAAGCTAAAAGCAAAAGTACAGAGAGAGAGAGAGAGAGAGAGAGTGTGTGTGATAGTGATTGAAAGAGATTTTTGCACACTTAACAGTGCAACGAAGAAACAAAATGATGCCTTGAGGGAGAAAACAGATTGATTGCTTTTCTTTTTTCCTTCTATCTTTCGGTTTACATTACAAGACACATGATCCGTTTATCTTATTGCCGCCACTGTTTTGTGATCTCTCCTTCTCCTTCTTCTCCATGTCGATGAATGTGACTATGAAGAAATCTCCAAGATTTACAGTCTCTCTTTCTCGTTCTCACTCAGGCATGCTTTGTTTCTTTTTTTTTTTTGTTCAAAGCTTTGTTTCTTAGATCCATTTTTTTTCTCTCTATCTGTGAGAATAAATAAAAATTAACTCTTTTTGCTTCTTTGATAGAGACTAGTTTTGTAGCTATCTGATTGTTTTGTTTGGTGTTCTTCTTTGACCTCTATTTTGGTATTTTTTCTGATTCTAATTGGATTTTAACTCAATCTTGCTCACTTCTTGGATTCTGTTTTATTGTTTTTATTGCTCTATCGACCTAATTGAGATCTACATTTGGTACGCAAAAGATCATTAATTTTGCATGTTTTAGTTTGTGTTTTGGAGCTTAAATTCATCATTCTTGTTAGAGTTCTGTTATTAAGCAGGAGCTTTGAATTGGAAACTGAATCCTTCTGAAACTTATGGCATTGCTATCTTTGGATCTATTGACACTGATTAAGATTCTGTTTTAGCTCCTTCATCAAATTATGTTTTGATGATTACATTCTTGATTTAAGAGGACTAAACTTTTTTTTTTCTTGAATTCTAATGTTTTTTCAGATGTTTTAATGTGGTGATTGAAATGGAAATGGAATTTGGTAAAGGCATTGAAATGGAACAAAGCCCCAATAGTGTTCTTCCTCCTCCACGTCCTTTCAATGAACAAGAAAAGAGGACTAGTACAAGACTGAAACCTCCTCGTAGAGATGAAGTGTTGAGAGTCAAAGAAGGCTTCACTGAGATAAGCTTCAGGCGCTACCGCAGCACGTCCTGCAAGAACTTCCCTTCAAAACCTCTTGCAATGGCGGATAATTCGGAGCAAAGGCGAGGCTCTGTGTATCAAAGCTCCAATGAGCTGTTTAAAGATCCTCAAAGACGTAAAGATTCAAAGGCAAAACTTGAGCTGTCTCGTACTAGTGATGCTTCTTTCTCCTTTAGAGTTGTTGATTCTTCAAGAAAAGGAAGTACAGAGAAAAGACCGGAAAAGAAGTCATCATCATCAGCTGAACCTTGCAACACCTCTAGCAACTTCATTGACATTTGTTTGAAATCAGGTATTAAAGATAGAGCGGGGGTGTTGGATTCAGCTGATGATGATTTAGCCGGTCCAACGAACGAATGTAGTGACCATAAATTTAGATTGCCTAAGCCACATTCATCAGAAAGCTCAAGAGTTAGGAAGATGTTTGATCCGTTTGTTAAGTCAAAGTCTCTGAGAAGTCCTCTTGGGTATATAGGAGAATCAGGGAACAATGAGCGTTGCAAATCTATGTTGAGTGACTATAAAACATCGAATCTTTGTCCTCCTCCAGTTGTGAAAAAGGATTATACTTTGTTGCTGAAAGCTTCTCCGGTTCATCTACATTGCCGTCTCAAGATGGAAAGCAAGAATGGACTGCCTGTTTTTCAGTTTGTGTCAGATTCTCCTGAGGATGTTTACACGGCAAAGACGTGGAAGTCTGACAACGGTTCTAGTTGGATATACACGTTTTCCTCTGGTGGAAGCAGAAAGAGAAGCAGTGCTAGTGTCAGAGGTTTGAATGATGCTAACAAAGACTCTTTGCTGGTTGCTCAGATGCAAGTTTCATGTAAAATGTGCTCAGAAGTAAGACAAAAGGGACAAGATCCAGAAACTTTGATGGTGAATGAGTTTGTTTTGTATGATATTGCACAAGCAAGACGGAGTGTTTCCACTAAAGAAGATCAATCACAATCACTTGATACGGTTAGTAATGCCTCCAAGAACTCATCTAAACCAGACTCGGATTCAAGAACTAGCACAAAGTCCACGGATGCTTCTGATACAATGAAGCAGAGGTCTCAGCTGAAACGTACATCTGCAAGCTATGATCTCGAGGCTTCAAACGGAACAAACCCGTGGTCAGCTGCAGATTTGCATCCTGACCTTGAGATCGCTGCTATAATCATTCAAGACACGATTGAGAAGAGAGAGAGCTTGAAGTACAGAAGAGGTGACAAAAAGTTGATGGAGAAGACGAATCTTCTTGGTCTTTCTCCGATAGAGGAGGAGAAGAAGGAGCTGTTCGGTAACAGAAGCTCAGAGAAGTTGAAGGTTGTAATCCCAAGGGGAAACCACGGTTTACCAACTACCGACAACCCCGGTCCTTCGCCTTTGATTCAGAGATGGAGGTCAGGAGGTGGTTGTGACTGCGGTGGTTGGGACATGGGTTGTCCACTTATGGTTTTTGGGAATCCTCGTATCTCATGTTCTTATGATCAGCCTCTTGTAGACAACCAGCATCCTTTGCAACTATTTGTCCAGGTAAAGATTTCCTCAAGCAAACACAAGTTTTGTCTTCTTGGACTTCTTTTAATCATCTACCACATCTTGCTTTCATATTATAGGGTGCTAAAGAGCAGATACCAGCAGTGTACATGTCGTTCGTTGAAGAGGGGCAATACGATGTTCATTTCCACGCGCAGTTATCGACTCTACAAGCATTCTCAGTCTGTGTTGCCATACTACATAACACGGAGGTCTCGGATAGTTACAGAAATGGCGAGAATGTACAACAGTTCTCACATTGCAGCTCGCTGAAAATGCTGATTGATGATGATGTTCAGTTCTTAGTTGAAGCAGTAACAGAGGAGGAAGAAGAAAGGAAAGTGCCTAAGGCTGTGAAAGAAGCTGTGATTGCTCTTCAGTCCTACATGCCAAACCCTCCTTTCTCGCCAATCTCCAGAGTGTAGTGTCAGTGATGTTGTCATTATTGCAGATGCATTTAAGTTCTTGGATTGGCGAGAAGAAGAGAAGGTTGGTCTCCAAACTTCCTGACAAAGGGCAGCCATGAAAGCAGCAGATTTAGCTGGACAAGCTAGAGCTTAAAGATGGGATGGTCTCTGGTCTCCAAGACTGAGACAGGCGTCCGATTCTTTGTTGTGTCATTTATTCATTCTTCCGAGTAGGGATCTAGGCAAGAAGAAAAAAGCTACACTGTTCATATTGTAAGGTAGCAAATGGGAAGAATTTGGTTAGAGGTCTTATAAGCGTAGATCCATCAGAAAAGTTTTGTAACTTGTAGTGAATAATGGATCTTTCCTTCTTCTCTTTGCAGTCAAAAAGGACTTTGCACGAATGAACTTTCATTAAATCAATAGTTTACATGGCCAAAAAGTTCTATGATTTTCCATTCCTAGCATTACATATGTTGCAGTCTTTAACTATCTATCCTTGTCCTATAATGAGTTAGGGTTATCTCCATCTTTTGTTTTGTGCCAGAGAGCTGATAGATCCGGTTGTGCTGCTTCTAGAGAGAGTACACTCTTGTAAAATTCGTATGAAGCAAAGAATATAGCTCCTTGGGACATGTACATTACCAGTCTTGGGATCAAACCTCTGCAACATACAACAAGAGAAGACTATGTTGGTAAAATGATGAAAGCATGGATATGAAACAAGCACCGGGACTTGCGAGATAAGATTAGTTAAAAGCGAGCAGACCTGTATAGCCCTCTTAGACCCTCTTGTTTGCGTATTGATTGAAGAGTTTGATAGACGCTAGGATGTTGGTTTCTAGATCCAGGAATCTGCAGCCATAAGAAAAGTTAGATGTTTGTGACAACTGTTAACGCGGCTCCTGAAAAAGGTTGGAGAGAGGAACGGACCTGAGTTTGTAATCTTGTTTTGACTACATCAAATGGGGTTGTGAAGAAAGCAGCAGCAGATCCAGCTAGTCCGCCACAGAGGAGCTGTTAAGAGAAAATGTCGGAAAAATCATTTAAGTCATCTTAAAGTGCATGATAATGGAATGAAGCGGAGAAGATACAAACCGTTTGTGATGTGGTGGGTTTAGCCGCTTGATCATGAGGACCGAGGGATGGTAATACCATTCTCTTCATGTTTTCATAAACATAGAACTGTAGTTCCAATAAATTTGGCATCAGAAACTATATTTAAGTTTAAAGGCTCCTACTAGTTGAAGCATTAGGAACACACTACAGTAAGCGGAAAAAGGAACCTTAATGATTGAGTGTGGGATATTCCTACATAGCACTGCACTCCATCCAGCATATAAAGAAAGTAGACCACCTTTCTGGATGATTCCGACTAATGCGGTCCTATATTAACAAGTGATGAAAATTTAAAGAAACCATGTTTTTGAACAGAAGGAAATCTAAAGAAAAGGGAATGGAAAGACATTTCTAATGCGAATTAAGTTCATTAATGTAGGAATCCTTTCTTATGCTAGAGCTAAGTGAACAAGGAAGCATATAATGCAGACAACAAAAGTTAGTCTACAGCTTGAAAATGCTGACCAGCAATTGCGGTAATGAGAACTGACTTGCATCTGCTGTTTTATACGCTCACTTGGCGTGAAAATAAAAGAAGTTGCAACGCTTGCGGAACCGCCAGCTATGCAGTGGGTAAGTGAGCAATATTCCTGAAATTAAGGATTTAGTAATATGAACTTCTTACTCATTCTAATTAACAGGCCAGCATAAGAATGGAGAAACATGCCAGTGAAAAAAAGAAATTAGAGATCGTTCTATTGAAAAGAAAAAGAGACCTTGGGAAAAAGAGGAAGCAGAGATCCTTTAACTGATTCATAAGTGAACGTATAAAGAGCAGATATAGGAGCTGATGAGGCAATGTTGCTAGCAATCCCCCGATAAAGTCCAGAAAAACCTAAATACATATTGGGATATCAATGTGTTAAGCAACAAGGCGCAGTGACAAACTGATACATAGAGCACCTTTTGATGATCATCTCAAGTTAACAGTTTTACCTCTTTCAGATATAATTGTTCTTCCCGTATAGCATAATGACTTCTCCTCCAAGCGGCATGACTGAATCATAGTCTTTACTGTATCAAGTGGATGAAGACAAAGACTGACGCTAATGCCAGCCAACGCACCAGCAAAAGCATGCCGCTGTTTAGCAAAGGCGTAAGTAGGCGCTTCTGTAGAGGGCGAACAAACTTCAGTCTCTTGGTCTTTTCTATCTCTCTCAAGCAACTCCTTATTTTCAACCACAGATAAGCCGTCTTTGTGTGGGTTATTATCTGAAGAAGTACTCTCAGTATGGCAGTCCTTGCTACATTCCGAACTTAATATGTTCATTCTTTTCGCACACCTATCTTTGTAAAGCAAAAAGAGATAGTTTGCATCAGTAGATCTTGATATTCTGGTATCTCCAGACGATCCTGTGATGCTTCCTAATAGAGGACTCCTTGATTCAGTTGAAGTTGAGTTACCCTCTGAACCAGTTGTGACAAAGACACTATCACTACTATTGTCATTCCCTGATGCACATTCTGCTTTACTGCTCTCTGGATTGGAAACACGGTCTTCGAAATCTTCTTTCTTCTCAATCCAGCTATACAATCTCTCTCTCTCCCATTTAGCTTCCAATGGCAAACCATTCTCTTTAGCTCCACTAATCTGATTAAAACAGCTAAAGAAAGATTGGCTATAGTTTTGGTTGTTATAGCACACCTTCTCTGCCACGCTCACTAATTGAACTCTGCTCTGTGGAGCAGCAGGCAACAGTGTTCTATCTTCGTCTCTACTCAAATCATCTAGCTTTTCTTGTTTCTGTGAGCTGATCAAATTACTAGAAGCGAAATCAGAGCGATCCCACATCAAGTCAACTACTGATACCAACGCATCTCTGCTCAGGATTTGGCTCAACCTGGTCTCTCCTCGCTTTCTATTGTGCCTCTGGAAAGCATGATCACTGATCTTTGACAGCTTTCTCTTAGCATCATCGAAGTTGCAGCTATGCTTAATCGAAGGCTGGCCCTTTTTAACAGGGCCTTTCGTAGACGCCATTTTTGCTTTATCTTACAAGTCTGTAGAAATCATTCAAAAGAGAACCAATTATACACATATCAACTTCATAACTAAGTAACCGAGTTCTGATTTTTGGATCGGCCAATTCAAGTGTACCTACATTTGGAAGAGAACTCAATAATCCGATGACCTAGCTGCGTCGACGATCTGTTTCAAACACGCCCCATGTGAAGAAAATTAGAAAATTTCTTAAACATGACAATGTTCGTGAAGCATATATGTATATACCAAACAATAGAGCAAAAAAGCTGCAGAATTTCAACAAATATACTTTGATTGAAGCTTATTTCGTCCATGAAGCAACAGGAAATTTAAGTTTTCAGAATCGAGAGAACGAAGAGGAAATTTAGTTTAGTGTTAGAATGCTAAGAACGAAATTCAAACGGAGAATGAAATTTACAAGTGATTTTGCCACTACTAATTCGGAAATTTGTAAGCTCGGAATGATTCTGTACCTTGGGAAACTGCGACGTTCTTCTCCGGCAGAAGCTCGAGATCCCAAATTCCTCATTTTCTCGGGAAAATCCGGCAGTGAGCGGAAAAAAATTGTTTGGGTTTATGCGCTGCCTGTTCTCTTCAAAGGGTTTTACTTTTTACCTCTTCTCTTTTCCTTTTTTACTTTTTTCAGCTTTTGTTGATTTTTAATAACAAAACCGGTATTAATTTCCAAAGCCAACCCCTTGATTGCTCTTGATGGAATGCTTTTCTTTTGCAACAATGGAAAACTGATAATGTTCTTACCTATTCCAAGTCCAAATTAAAGTTCAAGTTACTCCATAACACAATATCAAAATCTAACGAACATTTTTATGTGTCGTATCCTTAGAGAAAAGCCAAAGAGTGATGAAAGTAAAGAGATATTATTTTTTTCTAGAATGAGAGACCAAAAAAAGAATGAGAGACCAAGAAACTCCTTTTAGTTGCAGAATATGCACACGATATGTTGACCACCAATTCCCTTAAATGCAAACTAGATTTCAGAAAGAAGAAAAACATGGCTGATCTAATAATACATGTTTTTCAATTAAAATCAAAATAATACATGGGTCAAACTTCTCATCATTGTGTTAACATCTTCTAAAAGTTCTCTCGTTGGAAAGCTCTATACATCGTCTTGTAGACATTATATTTTTGTTTGTATTGACGACTTTATCTTGTGTTTCATTTTCACCATGGTAATAAGTCCATACACAATTCAGAAATTCATCAATTAACATGAGCGCTCATGTGCAAAATTATCCATCAGCAATCCTAAGAGGTTTCACCAGAGGTCCAAAAACCTTCAACACAAATATATAAAATCGTTCCAAAATAGTAAAAACTCATTACTGTTGTTAAGAAACTGATTTTCACTATGTAATCTTCGAATGTTTACATTTTTCCCATTCTTCACAGGTGAACATCGTCGTTTTTTTTTATGTTTACTTTCTCCAAACAAGCCTTATAATGTGTAGAATGTTGTAGCAAATCTTATCACTCACGGTTGCACAATTTTATCTTTCTAGTATGATACTTTTATAAGTCGGCGGGAAAAAAAAATTAGGCAATATAAAATGTTAAGTCATGGTGAATTTTGGTTAAAGGGTGTTGTATAATATAAAATGACATTATGTTACATTAACTATGCAGAACCGAACAATGCTAGACAGAAACAAGATGACCTACAAGCGCTTCATGATCTCATAACCTCGAAGAAACTTGAAAGGATAAAGATACTAGAAAAGATCATGTTTAAGCATAACTTGTCAGATCTTTTTGTTGACTTGAAGAACATAAGAAGGGACGGTTTGCTAAGGATGGAGTAATCCAGTAACACATGATTTCTTTCTTAATACTACTCGACTGCTCATGTTTGGCAGCCTGGCAGGTCCATTAGCTTATAGCTAAATTTTGAACTCAAGACGGCCAAAAAATTCAGAACTACACCAAACGTTGGCTCGCAATGTTTGAGATTGGGATTCTGGTTTCAATGATGCTAAAATATGAAGATTGCTCTTCATTCCTTGATAATCCCAATGCAGAAAATATAGTGTCTCGTGACATTTCTATGAACAAACTTTTTCGGCGTCCATGAGAAGTTCCCAAAAAGAAAGCTCCAGCTTAAGATATTTGGATCATCACTTCATTATTTTGTGGACATAAACCGATTTCATTAAAAATTATCAAGTTGCAGCAAATCATCAGAGTTGATAGCTTGATAATCGTCTGAATTTTTGTTTTCAATTCAAGATTTCATAAGTTGCACCAAAAATATATGCAAGATTTCATATTATTAACATTTGATTCTTTTTTTGTTCAAATCATTAATAGAGAAATAACACACGATTTGACACTTCAAAGATACTAAATCTTAAAAGGATTTTTTTAAGACTTGCACAAAAAGGTGAATTTAATCAATCAAATTTTCAACCTCAATTTGAATATCAACAATCAAAATTTAGAAAATAAGTTTAATTTGTGTGGCTATACAGTTAGTCAGTCCAAAAAAAATTTCTTGTACATGATTCTTTAAAATTTCAGTATGTCAATAAAATGAGAGTCAAATCCACAAAACTGTTAGAATATAACACCTATTGTGGAAATCAAAATTGAATAACACTTAATATTCCATCAAATGGGTTTTATAGATACTAAAAAGGAAAAATAGGGTTATTTCGAAAGTTTTGAAAATGTCGGTGTTATTTGCAAATATTGGTAAATATATTTAGAGCGAGGATATTAAACCAGAAACCCTAGTCTCTCTCTGCTACCCTTTTCCCTCACCACTCTCTTTTCACGGCGACCAGGTTAGTGATACCTTTCGAGTTTCTTTCTCCAAGCGATAGTGAATTGGATCTCTCTGCTCTTTGTTTTCTGGATCTTTTCGAATTTCACCTGGTTTGGATTTGCATCATTTTATCGAATCTCTTGTGTTTGTTGATTGGGAGAAGATGAATTTAGGGTTTGGGCGAGATTCTCTGTAGCTAGGATACTCGAAAACGCTTCTTATTCGATTTGAGATGCTTCTCTGTTCTCCGTATTCCTCTGCTCTCTCAAATTCGATTGTATTAATCAGTGTAATCCTTATTGTTTTTCTCAGGCAAATTGAGAGTACCCATTTTCGTGTGCGCTTGTCTTGCCCTGTTCGTCCTGAAACATGGCGAATTTTGCCAAACCGGAGAACGCATTGAAGCGTGCTGATGGTAAATTCTACGAATTGATAAGCCTAACCGGTATGGATTTTGGTTTATGGTGTGTGAAATGACAATTTGGTTGTACATTTGTGCAGAATTGATTAACGTTGGACAGAAACAAGATGCTCTCCAGGCACTTCATGATCTCATTACCTCCAAGAGATACAGAGCTTGGCAGAAACCGCTTGAGAAGATTATGTTTAAGTACCTGGATCTTTGTGTTGAATTGAAGAGGGGTCGTTACGCCAAGGACGGACTTATCCAGTACCGTATCGTTTGCCAACAGGTGAATGTTAGCTCCTTGGAGGAAGTTATCAAGCACTTCCTGCATCTCGCTACCGAGAAAGCTGAGCAGGCTCGCTCTCAGGCTGATGCCCTTGAGGAAGCCCTTGATGTTGATGACCTCGAAGCTGATAGAAAGCCTGAGGATTTGCAGCTGAGTATTGTCAGTGGGGAGAAAGGGAAAGATAGATCTGACCGTGAGCTCGTCACCCCTTGGTTCAAGTTTCTGTGGGAGACTTACAGAACTGTGCTTGAGATATTGAGAAACAACTCAAAGTTGGAAGCTCTCTATGCGGTTAGTATTCGCTTAGGATAAGCTTATTCGTCATTTTCTCTGGTTTATTTGGTTGATTAAGATGTAATACTTGTGCATTTATTATCTTGTAGATGACAGCACATAAGGCCTTCCAGTTCTGTAAGCAGTACAAGCGAACAACAGAGTTCCGTAGGCTTTGTGAAATCATTAGGAACCATTTGGCGAACCTGAACAAATACAGAGACCAAAGGGACCGTCCTGACTTATCAGCCCCTGAGAGTTTGCAACTCTATCTGGATACAAGATTTGATCAGTTGAAAGTTGCTACTGAGCTTGGACTCTGGCAGGTGTGTTTTGTGTCTCTGTGTATTTTATCAGTTGAAAGTTGCTACTGAGCTGGAAAGAACTTTGAATGGTCTTTGATGTATGTTTTGTTTTCCAGGAAGCTTTTCGCTCTGTTGAAGATATTTATGGATTGATGTGCATGGTCAAGAAAACGCCCAAGTCATCTTTGTTGATGGTCTATTATTCCAAATTGACCGAGATCTTCTGGATTTCTTCTAGCCATCTTTACCATGCTTATGCATGGTTCAAGCTTTTTAGTCTGCAGAAGAATTTCAACAAGAACTTGAGCCAAAAGGATTTGCAACTCATAGCATCATCTGTTGTCTTGGCGGCATTATCTATTCCACCCTTTGATCGGGCACAGAGTGCATCCCATATGGAACTTGAAAATGAGAAGGAACGCAATTTGAGGATGGCCAACCTCATTGGATTCAATCTCGAACCTAAATTTGAGGGCAGAGATATGGTAACATCGGTTCTTATTTTGCTTTATTGTTATATTCCACCGTATTGTTCTGATTTGTTATTTCTAACTCAATTCATTCCTTTTCCAGCTTTCCCGATCTGCTCTTCTGTCAGAGCTGGTGAGTCTCTAGCAGCCACGTTACTTAGTTGATACTCTTTACCTATGGTTTAGAACATGTATTGCCTTGCAGGCATCTGATTTTGAGGCTTATTTATGTACTCTTAGGTTTCAAAAGGTGTTTTGAGCTGTGCATCTCAGGAAGTCAAAGATCTTTTCCATGTTTTGGAGCATGAGTTCCACCCACTTGATCTTGGCTCCAAGATTCAGCCTTTGCTTGAAAAAATTTCCAAATCTGGTGGAAAGCTGTCTTCCGCTCCTTCTTTACCAGAAGTACAGCTCTCTCAGTATGTTCCGTCTTTGGAGAAGCTTGCTACTCTGAGACTCCTTCAGCAGGTAAAGAGTGCTCCTTGTTCTCTACTTTGTGGTGCAGTATTCATTCGACAATTTTGGATTTGTCTGGTGGCTTATCCCATTTGTTCCTACGTACTCAAAATTCTATGTTGCCATTTTTGTTTTTTTCAGGTGTCTAAGATTTATCAAACCATAAGAATTGAGAGTTTATCTCAGTTGGTTCCCTTCTTCGAATTCTCAGTGGTAGAAAAGATATCTGTTGATGCTGTGAAGAACAGTTTTGTTGCCATGAAAGTTGACCACATGAAGGGTGTTGTAATTTTTGGAAATTTGGTAAGCCTCAGTTGATGCTTTAGTCACACACTGCTTATATCCTGACTATTATTGAGTAGATATTAATGTATTCAGTCAACTGTTTGTCTATTAGGGTATTGAGTCTGATGGACTGAAGGATCATCTGGCTGTTTTTGCTGAGTCTTTGAGCAAAGTAAGAGCAATGCTGTTCCCTGTCCCAAGTAAAGCATCAAAACTAGGTGGCATAGTACCAAATCTAGCGGATACTGTTGAGAAGGAGCACAAAAGACTACTTGCTCGGAAATCAATCATTGAAAAGAGGAAGGAGGATCAAGAGCGTCAGCAATTAGAAATGGTAGTGTGTTTCTCCATGGTGGTTTTCATACTTTGATTAACGTTGTCTCGGTTGATGACAATTCCTTAATTTGATGTTTGCTTTTGAAGGAACGTGAGGAGGAGCAGAAACGGCTCAAGCTTCAGAAGCTAACTGAGGAGGCTGAACAAAAGAGACTCGCAGCAGAGCTTGAGGAGAGAAAGAGGCAAAGAATCCGTAGAGAGATAGAGGAGAGGGAACATGCGGAAGCTCAGGCGTTGCTGGAGGACACAGAGAAACGCATGAAAAAGGGAAAGAAGAAGACGACGCTTGTCGATGGAGTAAGTTTATTAATACAATGTGTTAGCTATTATAGTCTACTGATTTGTGTATTACTAATATTGTTTGGCTAAACTAATTGTAGGACAAGATGACAAAGCAAGAAGTCATTGATAGGGCGTTACATGAGCAGGTCAGGGAAAGGCAAGAATTGGAGAAGAAACTCCAAAAGCTTGCCAAAACTATGGATTATTTGGAACGGGCAAAGAGATTAAATGCTGCTCCGTTGATTGAAGCTGCATATCAGCGAAGACTGGTAGAGGAAAGAGAGTTTTATGAACGCGAGCAACAGGTATAAAGCCTTGCTATTACAGTAGTTTTTTCTTTTCTTACAATTATTTTCTGAGTTGGAAGTATATGAGGTCCTTAAACGCTCTTCTCCTTTTCAGCGGGAAGTTGAACTCAGCAAAGAGCGTCACGAGAGCGACTTGAAGGAGAAGAACAGGCTGTCCAGAATGTTGGAACATAAGGTCAGTTTTGACATGTGATGTATTTTATCTGAAATCTTAATGTTTCATCTCGACGTGTCTCTTTTCCATTTATTGAATTCTCTTGTTTCTTTTCATTCATGTTACTTTTTTTTCCAAGATATTTATAATCGAATCTCTCTTGTGTCCAGGAAATATTCCAAGCGGAAGTGATAAGTCGTCGACAAGCAGAGTTTGACAGAATAAGGGCAGAGAAAGAGGAGCGTATCAGCCAAATAATTCGAGCCAGGAAGCAAGAAAGGGATATCAAGAGGAAGCAGATCTATTATTTGACATGTGAAGAAGAAAGAATAGCAAAGTTGCAGGAAGAAGAGGAAGCACGCAAGCGTGAAGGTGGGATCTGTTTCCATAAATTCCACATAATTTAATCATACTGATGTGTCAGAATTTTCTAATATGATAATAACCTCTTGTTCCTGTTTATTTTCGGAATGTAGAAACTGAGAGGCGCAAGAAGGCAGAAGCCGAACACAAAGCTAAGCTGGATGCAATTGAAGAAAAGAAAAGGCAGAGAGAGAGAGAGATGGAAGAGAAGATGCAGAGAGAGAAAGATGCCCTGTTTAAGGGAACTGATGCATCAGCTTCTCGTCCCGCAGAGCCAGCAGCAATAGCCGCAGCACCACCTGCCGTAGCAGCCGCAGCGGCACCAGCAGCAGCAGCACCAGGAGGTTCTGGTAAATATGTTCCAAAGTGGAAGCGTCAGGCCGCTGAGGTCTCAGGCCCAGCAGCACCAACGCCAACATCACCAGCTGCAGAATCTGACAGCTGGTCCAGCCGTAGACAGCCTCCAGCAGCAGACCGTTGGGGTGCTGGTCCTAGAGGCAGTGACCGCCCAACTGGTAGTGATACCTGGGGAAATGAAGAACGCCGGCCTACGTTTGGAAGCTCCAAGCCCAGGCCACCACCTCGTTGAGTAGTAACTTTTTTTTGGTCTCAGGCTCTCCATGGAATGAAAGTGATCTCTGGATTTTCACATCACAGGCTCTTGCTTTCCTCTCTTTAGTTAAATCTCTGTTCTTTTGAGGATTTAAATCAAAACTTTCTCATCTTCATCTCTGAGAATTTCAAAAACCTGTATGACTCTTTTTTGCTCTACACATCAAGAGTTTTTCATTTCCATATTCGGTTAGTTTTACCATTGGATTTTTGTTTGTTTTGAATTGTTCTGTTTACTTTTTGCTGTATAAACCTTAGAACAGCTTCGTTGGGTGCAATTTCTTGTATCATCGTTTAATCGTTGAACGTTTTTCATCATGAAATTGAACAAAACCAACCTTACTTTCTTGCAACGTCATTTATCTCCCTCAATTTAGTAGATTAATAGAAAATCTTTATTATGTACCTTGGATTAAGGAAGGTAAAGTTTAACGTGAATTAAGAATTTCATACTAAATTAAGGGATACAAATGAAATAAATTACTTTTCTACAAAGTTCATCAGTGACGACGAGTGACGACTACTTGCCTTGATCTGAGAACAGAGTATAAGAGAAGAAACTGAATCCATTGTTAGTTGATACATAGGAGTGTGTGTTCATCAGCTAGGGTTTTAGTTTGGGATTTTTCAGTTCTGGGAAGAAGATTGAAGGAAGAGAGAAAAAAAAAATGTGGCCATTTTGGTGGAAAGGAGCATCTGGGTTCTCAGCTCGTTCCACAGCTGAAGAAGTCACTCATGGAATCGATGGTACTGGTCTCACCGCCATCGTCACAGGTCAACTTCTTCTTCCTGATGTTTCTCAACTATTTGATGATCTGGGTTTGTTTCAATTTATACCTTTTCAACAGTTTCAGTTCTTGGTTTTGAATTTGATTCCGCCCTTCAACTGATTCGGCAATAAAGTATTTGTTGTATCTACTGATTGACGAAAAGGATCAAATTTTTTTGGGAATGTGCTCAAAGTTTGGGAATTTTGATCAGGCTTGTAAGAGAAGAGAAGAGAAGAATTTGCTGATTCTTTAACGCATACATTCGTTTAAATTACAGGAGCATCAAGTGGTATTGGAGAAGAGACTGCGCGTGTGCTTGCTCTTCGTGGTGTCCATGTAGTAATGGCTGTGAGGAACACAGATTCTGGTAATCAAGTCAGAGAAAAGATACTCAAGGAAACACCTGGAGCTAAGATTGATGTAATGAAGTTAGATCTTAGCTCATTGGCTTCAGTCAGGAGCTTTGCATCAGAATACAAGTCCTTGGACCTTCCCTTAAACCTTCTCATGTAAAATCCCTATTTTTTTCTGTTAAATCACTTTCTTCTTTCTTAAAGTTCTAGGATTAATCTGCGTTCTTGTTTTTGAAGCAATAATGCAGGAATCATGGCATGTCCCTTCATGCTTTCTAGCGACAACATCGAATTACAGTTTGCAACCAATCATTTGGGTATGTTTAGTCTAAGAAGAACATATGATGATCCTCCATTTTTGCTTCTTTGTAGAATTGTATAAAACATGTGACGAGGAACATTTTCTGTGTGTTTTATACAATTTGTCAGGTCACTTTTTGTTGACGAACCTTCTTCTGGACACAATGAAGAAGACAGCTAATGAAAGCAAAAGAGAAGGAAGAATTGTTATTGTCTCATCAGAAGGTCATCGATATGCTTACAGGGAAGGGATTCAGTTTGACAAATTAAACGACGAAGCTAGGTGATTGTTATGTGATATAGTATTGTTCATTACTTTTGATTTCAATTGAAATACTACTCTTATTGTGCTCACTGTTACAATACTTTGCAAGCATGTTATGTGATATAGTATTGTTCATTACTTTTGATTTCAATTGAAATACTGACAACGTACTCTTATTGCTCTCACTGTTTTTCTTTTGCAGTTACAATACTTTGCAAGCATATGGTCAATCAAAGCTCTGTAACATATTGCACGCTGCTGAGCTCGCTAGGCGGTTCAAGGTGAAATAGTATTTCTAATGTGACTTGTTTACATTTTATTCAACTCCTAAGGCCACTGTGAAAGCTAAATGAGTAAAGTTTTGTTGATCTTTGGTTTTGTTTAAAACAGGAGCAAGGTGTGAATATAACTGCCAATTCACTTCATCCCGGATCCATTATGACCAATCTCTTGCGCTACCACAGCTTCATAAATAGTAAATTACTTTGCTCATCATACTTTACCTCTTGGTTTTCTTTGTCCTCTTATACCGTATATTGAGTTGACACTGGATAAACTGTAAGCAACAATCCTAAAAAATACGTCATCTTGTAAGAATTTATATTTTTGAGCCTGCCCTGTGAGTCTGTGCTTCATAGCATAGTGGATGTTTGATCCTGTATAGCTATATAAGGTGTACTGTGTCTTAACCTATGCCATTGCGCAATGTTGTACCGCATTAAGTTTGTCAATGAATGTTTATGATCTAACAATGGATTGGATGCATTAGAGAACCAACCTGTAAACTGTGGAGTGATCAAACTCATAACAAGATTTGCTTTCTCCTGTTCAATGCAGCAATTGGTTGTGCTGTGGGGAAGTTTGTGCTGAAGAGTATCCCACAGGTAGTTGGATTTTGATTTCTCCATATCTGATTTACTTCCAAATTCATCACCGTTCTCAAGATTTGATCGTTTTGTCTCAACTTACACACATACATTCATGTGTTTTCTGATACGTTTGTGCAGGGAGCAGCAACTACATGTTACGCAGCGTTACATCCTCAGGCAATAGGAGTGAGTGGGGAGTACTTGATGGACAACAACATATCTAACCCTAATTCTCAGGGTAAAGACAATGACTTGGCCAAGAAGCTATGGGAGTTTAGCTTGAGCGTAACTGGTGAAGAAGAATCATAGTGATGCTTTTGCAAATAACAGTCTTACAGATAAGAGATCAAGTTTCATTGTGGGACTAATCTAGAAAAACATGTTTGGTCAGTTTAAATGATAAGAGGCGATATCTTTTGTTTGGTGAACCTGTCTTCTTCAAGAAAAAGCCTCTCCGATGTAGCTAGAAACCCTTGCGACGCAGTTATCCTGAGATGCTTCGAGTCTACACAGCTCAAACTCCCACTCATTGATGCATTTCCCGCGCAGGAAGGAGCCGAATACTTTGAGTGCCAGCGGAACGCGACAGGTGACTAAGACGGCACGAACAGAGAGCCTGTAGAAACATCTTGGAACGTGTTCTTGCTTGAATGCGAACAGAGAAAAGAGTTGAAGAGCTTCGTCATGTCTCATAGGCTCGACTTCGTAGATGCTTGCGACTCCACACCGGCGTAGCAATCCCTTGTACTCGCTGATAAAGATCAGTCTACTCCCTGGACCAAACCAAGAGGAAACCTTCAAGATAGTTTCGATTTGGCGAATGAGATTCAGCTCATCGTTGAGCTCACCATCAACGATAAGCAAAACCTTTCGGTGTCCGAGCTTCGCCTTCACAACTTCATAGAGACTCTCTGAGTCTAAGTCTGAATCTGATGAGGATGACAGTAGAGCAGATCTTGTTATCTCCTCTAGTAAACATGTTGGATGGTTTTCGCTATTCACCATGAAGTAGTGATGATCTTGAAACTGTGGCGAGATCTCTTCATAAACACATCTAGCAACTGTGGTTTTGCCAACTCCTCCCACACCACAAATGCCGATTCCTTCAACTGTGCCATTCGTTTGCACATCGAGCAATGCGGTTACTGCTCTCGTGTGCCGATCCATCCCAACAATGCTACTGAAACCGGGATCAGACCGAACAAACCGGGACAAATCGTTGCCAGGAACATACTTGTCATCATCTTTGTGCAAGCTCCATGCAGGCCTAGGTTTGACACTAGTAATACGCTTTTGTCCATTCATGAATCTCCCAGCCATCCTCCAGAGAGCAGCTCTAACAAACCCAATCCCCATGGTGACAATTCCAATAGGAATCAGCAGGAGACGGCTATACGTTTTGAAGTCGGAACACGCTTCACTTGGTGCAGCTGATGGTGGTGAAGTCTCACCTGACTTAAATAAAGCTCTTTGTCTCATCTGATAAACGTAGCTCATAACTCTGTCGATAATGTACGAGTATGAGTCTTCATCATCGTTATTCCTATGCTTCCCAAGAAACAAAAGTAAAAAATTGAAATCAAGATTCAAGAACGCTCCAAAAACAAATCAAGATTCAAGAACGCAACAAGAACGCTAGTTTTTATAAGAGTTAGTACCATTACCAGGACGAGTAATCTTGCTGGTAAATCTTAATAGCTTTTGCAAGTGCATCTTTCCACTTCTTCACCTTCTCCAAGTTGTTGTTGTCGTCTCCATCGCCAAGATCCTCTGCTTGTCTTAAAACATCTGAAGGATCCACTTCGTATAAGACTGGTATTACCAACAACTTGCACTCGATAATCATCGCGAGCTCGTCTAAGCAAGAGATGGAAGCAGCGTAGTTCTTCGATATGACTACAATCGCGATTTTGGAGCTTTGAATTGCCTCAAGTGCTTGAGAGGAAGCTGGTTGATTCCATGGTATCTCTTCTTCTTGTTTGAAACTTGTAAACTGCCCTTTAAACAGTGAAAGCAAAAGATGGCTCACGAAAGTTCTTCGTGTGTCGATTCCTCTGAAACTGACGAAAACTTTATACTTCATCACTTCAGATCTTCAGATTTTGTAGACAACTGAGACAATTTGTGTTTACAGTTCTTGTTTTTTTTCTCTCTCTCAAATCGAAAACCAAAATGTTAAAGACAATAAACGCAGTTTGTGTTTATTATTAAACGATTTAATTAGCCGACAGAGAAATAAAAGAAACCATGTGATTACAAATGTGAAATTTTGAGAGATGAAAAGTTCGGGGTGGTTCATAGATAAAATCTATAACTTTGAGGGTTTAGCAATAATAAACCAAAGTTGAGGGACTGTATCGAAAGTCAACCTTAGTTTGAAGATCCTCACTCACTCACCGTATTTGAACTTGTTCGTTTATCATCATCATCTAAGAGAAAGATCCAAATTCAAAACCAAAACCAAATGGCTCGATCCGATTCACATCGACGGCGGAGGATACACGATGTCTTCATCAGCTTCCGAGGAGAAGACACCCGCAAAACCTTCGTCAGCCACTTGGACAAAGCGCTTTGCACAAGGGGAATCGCTACCTTCAAAGACAATCGGAAGCTCGAAGTCGGAGATTCCATCCCCGAAGAGCTTCGCGGAGCCATCCGGACTTCCAGGTTCGCCGTCGTGGTTATCTCCGAGAAATACGCTACTTCGAGTTGGTGCCTGGACGAGCTCCAGCTGATCATGGAGGAAGAAATCGAAGTCCTCCCGATTTTCTACGGCGTAAAACCATCCCAGGTCAGATCTCAGCTCGGAGATTTCTCTTTAGAGAGGTACCGAGATTCAGATCTGGCGAACAAAGTCCCCGGTTGGAGAAAAGCGCTTACCGGAATCGGAAACCGAAAGGGCAAGGAATCAACACAATGGTAGATTCCAAAATTGAGAACTTTCTATGTAGAAGTTTCGGTGAGTTTATCAGACTTCTCTTCTCTTTAATTTCAGCGTGGACGATGCGACAATGATTGAAGAAATCGTGCAAAGAATTTCAAGCAGGTTGTTATCAATGTTGCCAATAGATTTCGCTGACATTGTTGGGATGGAAGCTCACATGGAAGCTCTGAGCCCTCTCTTGGACATGGTGGAGTCCAAGGATGATGGGGATGCTCGTATCATAGGAATCTCGGGAACTGGAGGGATTGGCAAAACCACCATAGCTAAATATCTCTATGAACATCTCAAGCTTAGATTTTCACCACACCATTGCTTTGTGGAAAACGTTGCAAAGCTCTCTGGAGAGCATGGTCTCATACACCTACAGCAACAGCTTCTTTCAGATATTTTCCATGAAGAGAATGTGAAGCTGGAAAGCGTTGAACACGGAAGGCAACAGCTTGAGTTCAGGGCTAGAGACGTTAAAGTTTTCCTCGTCCTTGATGATGTGGATGATGTTAAACAGCTCTGTGCCTTGGCAAAAGATGTTAGATGGTTTGGAGCAGGGAGCCGAGTCGTTATAACCACGCGGGACAAGAGCTTGCTAAGCTCATGTGGCGGTGGAGTGTATGATGTTAAGTGCTTGGATGATGATAAAGCTCTCCAGCTCTTTCAGCGGATTGCTTTTGAAGGAGACCAACCTCCTTCTAGTGACTGCTACAAAGATCTCTCACGTCGTGTTACTAGGCTTGCTCAAGGTCTTCCTTTGGCCATTCAAGCTTTCGGCTTTTATCTCCAGAGAATGCCCCTAGTGAAGTGGGAAGATGCTTTGAAATCGTTTGAGATGGCTCCTTACAGTAGTATTAGGAGGATCTTGGATATTAGCTGTGATAGCTTAGACGAAGTTAGTAAATCTGCTTTGCTTCACGTCACATGCCTAGGCCCTGTCTGGTGTCTCAAGGCACCTCTTGACCGTGTTGAAGTTGGATTAAAGGTTTTAGCGGAAAAGTCTCTCATCAACATATCTACTGATGGTTTTATATCTTTGCATTGCTTGTTAGAGCTAAAGGGAAGAGTAATTGTGTATGAAGAATCAGGCAACCAACGAAAAATCTTATGCCATGGAAACATCTATCAAGTACTTGCAGACAAAACGGTATGCCCTCCTCAAGAATGTCATTATCATGATTCATCTTCTTGATAAGTGTGGCATATACATTTACTACTACATTATATATATCAGGGTACAACCAGAATTGAAGGCGTTGTGCTAGATGTTTCTAAGATGCCTTATGATGTTAATATCGAGTGGGAGCTTTTCAAGTCGATGGAGAATCTCGATTTTCTGAAGATCTGCAACTACAAGCGTTGTAAAGGCTTAGATGATTCGAGGAGTGACTGCAACCTAAAGGGAATTTCGCTTCCTTGTAACCTTAGGGTACTACATTGGGATGCATATCCTTTTACAGCCTTGCCTTCCATTGTCCATGAAGATTGTCTTGTGGAACTAAATCTGTGTTACAGCAAGCTCACAACACTTTGGAGTGGAAACCCTCCGGTATGTTTCCTCACAAAACTAATCCTACAAATTTTACTCTCCTCATATATCCTTAATAGAAAATGCTTTTTTTTTTTTTTTCATTATTCATAGAGACTTTCGCATCTGAAAAGGCTTCATCTTACGGGATCTAAGGATCTAAAAGAACTTCCAGATCTTCAGGATGCAGTGTCTCTCGAGGAGTTGATGCTGGAAGGTTGTGTTTCCCTCACACGGATTCCAGAATCCATTTTTAGCCTGCCTAGACTGCAGAAGGTTGATCTGTCCAACTGTGATGGGCTTAAGAATCTAAGGTTCATCATAGAGGAATCTGAAGCTACTTTCTTTCTAGGTAGAAGCCTGCGCGTTAAATCAGTCCTTGTGGATTTTCTTGGTGCAGAACCGTTGGCGAAAGAGTCTCCGGGCATTTCTCTTATGAATCTTTCAATCAAGGGCAACTTAGAAATCAAGCTGAAGCTTCTTGCAGGATTTGCAGAGCATCTATGCTTTGTTACTGAGCAACAGATCCCTCATCGACTGATGATGTTGGAACAGCAAACACCTTCCTACGGTTTTAAATCACTCGACATCGTGCGGTTTAACTACAGCAACAAAGAGAATGGCTCTTTCAAGTGCTGTAGCTTTTTGGATTTTCCGTGGTTGACAGAGTTAAATCTTATCAACTTAAACATCGGAGAAATCCCAGAAGACATTCACCAGATGCGAGTGCTAGAGAAACTGGACCTGAGTGGGAATGATTTCAGTAGTTTACCTTCATCGATGAAACTTCTTTCCAAGTTGAAACACGTGACGCTTTGTAACTGCCGCAGTCTCGAAGCCTTGCCGGAACTATATCAACTGGAGACACTCGCACTTTCTGACTGTACCAACCTCCGAAGATTGGTGAACCTTCCTCAAGCAGAACAAGATCAGGCAAGCTACAGTTTGGTTGAGCTTCTGCTTGACAACTGCAGTAGTGTGGAGTCTTTATCAGATGAGCTTAGTCATTTCACTAAGTTGACGTACTTGGATATCAGCAGACACGGTTTTGAAACAGTGCCTACAAGCATCATGGACCTCTCCTCGCTTGTAACCCTCTGCCTCAATTATTGCAAGAAGCTGAAATCACTGACAGAGCTTCCATTGAGCGTCAAGTATCTATATGCACATGGCTGCAAGTCCTTAGAAAAATTTTCCTTTTCGATCGACCGTTCTGTTCATCACCTTGATCTCAGCCCTTGCTTTCATTGGAATCAGGCTTATAGTCAATTCACGCGTTTCCCTGTTGGAAGACATTGTGAAGAGGTTAAAGAGAAATCTTCTACTGTAGTCCTTATTCTCTCAGTCTCAATCTGCAGTAGCTAAATTTCTTTCTGTTCACTTTAATAGGTGCCTGTATGTGCTTGCTTCCAGAAAAGTAATCAAGGGACGAGGAGGAGCCTCAGATCAATCCCGATGCGGCGTTTTGATTTCAATGCCTTGAAATTAATGGCTTTGGCTGTGTGTACGGGTGTGTTCATTAGCTGTAGACAACGGGCAATAGCTACAAAATGATGGTCGTCACTGGTTTCGTTGTCCCTTTGATGCCTTTATGCTTTTGAAGGGAATCGTCCAAGTCACCAACAGTGCTTCTTCTCATAAGGTTCCTCTGTATTTGTGGAAGAGAGAAACACAAAAATGTGGAATCGATGCTTTTACTGTTCTTCTACTTCCTACAGATGCTTTCAGTTTTCTATGATCTGTGTTTGTTTCAGTTCTGTGTTTTGATTTGCCCTTGAACTGATTCAGCAATAGGCAAAAGGATCAAATTTCTGGAAAGGCTTGGAAGTAAGAACATATCCTGAAACGAAAGAGAAGATTTTGATTGATTCAACTGCAGGAGCATCAAGTGGTATTGTGGAAGAGACGGCACGTGCTTGCTCTTCATGGTGTCCATGTACCGCTGTAAGGAACGGAGATCCTTGTATTTAAGGAAACGCCTTGTTTAGAGTCTTATATTTTAGCGATATGGTTTAAATGTGGACCTGTAAAAAAAATATGTTGGTTCAGTTTTATTCACAAAATTTTAACTCAAGATTTCTCATCCTCAATCGACCTTGTGAAAAAGAAAATTTTGGTTCAGCTCCCGAAACAGAGGAACACAAAAGTCTCTTCTGGCTGCAAATTGAGTCAATCCAGAGAGGAATATATGGTTATCATCACCGGTTCTTCCTTGAACATTGACCGGTCCGATCGGATAGGTATTGCGAAAACAGAGCTCCTCTGTTATTGCCTTGATGGCTCTGTTTTGTAAAACATCAAAAAAGGATTCACAAGGATGGATCCCTGAATACTTGGAGAGCTGTTTGCAAAACATTATCCATGGGAAAAAAAAAACAAAAGCAAAAGTAACAAAATTAACTTAATTATTAGAAATGAAATAATTGATTACTTTTCTGTTTCTTAATTAAGCACAAACACATAGCTAAGTCATGCAAACGTACTTACTGGGTTGTTGTCATTAGTCAATAGTTCAATACACGTTTTCCTCTGTTTTTTTGTTTTGTTTTCTTCTGAACTAATGTAGAAATAACAACGAACCTTCCAGACAATTTTCACTCTCCACTAGTCCACTTGCTTTATTATATTATCTCTGGAGTTCGTTGCTTCGATCATTTGACTCAGCTTTTTGTGTTTTTCAGCGTCAACGCCTTATCATCTATTTCATGGAAAATCTACAATTTTCGTTCTAAAATTCTAAAGACAACAACTCTTTGTTTCTGATCTTGAGAGAAAATGAAGCTCAAGACTTCATTTTTACTAATCTTCTCTTCTTTCCTCATATCCTTTGATGCTGTCTCTGCACAAATCTGCTCAAATCAATACTTCAAACCCAATACCACTTACGACTTAAACCGTCGTCTGATCCTCTCTTCTCTTACTTCCAACGTCACAACACACAACGGGTTCTTCAACTCCTCGTTTGGTCAAGATCCCAACCAAATCTTCATCATTGGCATGTGCATCCCAGGAACTAAACCAGACACTTGTTCAGATTGCATCAGAGACGCATCAGACAGCTTGTTACAGAGCTGTCCCAACCAAACAGAAGCTTACACATGGCCAGATACTTGCATGGTACGTTATACCAACAGTTACTTCTCTGGAGAGCTAGTTACAGAGCCATCTGAAGTTACTGTCAACAACAACACCGGAGGAGATATCATCAACTATAATATAACTGTATTTGATATAATCGGAGAGGACCTGATGTCACGTACGGTAACACCAGCTCCGGGTCGTGGACATAAGTACTATGCAGCTGATGTTGCTTCCTTGGCAGATTTACAAACTATGTACGCCATGATGCAGTGTACACCTGATGTTCGTCCAGGGTTTTGTGGGCTTTGTCTGAGAGATAATCTTGATGATTATAAGTCATGTTGTCGTGATAAACCAGGTGGTTCTATCGTAAGACCGACTTGCTTTATCCGTTGGGATTTGCGTCCTTTTGCTGGAGCTTTTGAGAATATTACATTGCCCCCGCCACCGCCACCGCCTTCTTTGACTCCCCCGGTTAGAGAGAGTGCAAATACAACCGGAAAAGGTAAAACTCTTTCTTGTAATGATTTGTAACAAGAATGTGTTTGAAACCTGAAACTGAAATCAATCACTCATTTTGCAGATGGAAAGAAAATTTCAATAGGGATTATTATAGCAATTGTTGTCCCTATCGTCGTTATCTTGGTACTTCTTGTTGTAGGAGTTTTGGTTTGGAGGAGAAAGAAATTACACCAAGAAGTAGTCCAAGGTTGGTTAATTTTGTTTTGCAGCTACTTGAAGTAACAAATTCTGAATGTTGAGGAAGATGTTTTCAAATTTCTATGTGCAGTTAATGATAAGATCACATCAGTAGACTCACTGCAATTTGAATTTAAGACTATTGAAGCTGCAACTGATAAGTTTTCAGAGAGTAACATGATCGGTCGAGGTGGATTTGGTGAAGTTTACAGGGTATATAAGCTCTCATTTATCTGTGTAGTTTGCTACTTTTTACTTGAATGAAAACAGAGTTTGATTCATCTTTACTTTTGAAGGGAATGCTTACAAGTGGAACTGAAGTAGCGGTGAAGAGACTGTCGAAAACATCGGGACAAGGCGCGGAAGAGTTCAAGAACGAGGCTGTTCTTGTTACAAAGCTTCAACATAGGAATCTTGTTAGACTTCTTGGCTTTTGTTTGGAAGGAGAAGAAAAGATACTCGTATACGAGTTTGTACCTAACAAGAGCCTCGACTATTTCCTCTTTGGTATGATTAAGATTAAGTAATAGTTAATTATAACTTCTTAATGTAGTTACTGAATTGTGTATATACAATATACAGACCCTACGAAGCAAAGGGAACTAGACTGGACAAGACGGTACAACATTATCAAAGGAATAGCTCGAGGACTTCTATATCTGCATCAAGATTCACGGCTTACAATCATACACCGTGATCTCAAAGCGAGTAACATTCTCTTAGATGCAGACATGAGTCCCAAGATCGCTGATTTTGGCATGGCGAGGCGTTTTGAAGTTGATCAGTCTCATGCCAACACAAGAAGAATCGTTGGAACATAGTAAAACTTTCTGTCTTAAACTGGACTATGAAAAACTCTGTTTTGGTGGTTGCTTGTAGTCTAAGAAAGCGTTTTTCTTTATGTTGCAGTGGTTATATGTCTCCAGAATATGCAATGCGTGGCCATTTCTCTACTAAATCTGATGTGTATAGCTTTGGAGTAATGATTCTTGAGATTATAAGTGGCAAAAACAATAGCAGCTTCTACCACATTGATGATGATGCTACTAGCAATCTGGTCACACATGTAAGTATATCATCTTTCAAGTTATATGAGTGAATGATTAAGGAAATGTTTTAATACAATTTTTATCATTGGTGTTAGGCTTGGAGGCTTTGGAGAAATGGGTCACGATTAGAGCTTGTGGATCCGACGATAGAAGAGAGTTATGATCGTGATGAGGCTACTAGATGCATCCATATCGCACTTTTATGTGTTCAAGAAAATCCAGCAGATCGTCCAACGTTGTCGGCGATCATCTTGATGCTCACTAGTATCGCAACCTTTTTACCTGTTCCTCGAGCTCCCGGATTTTGCCTCTCAAACGTGAGTGATGTAACAAGCAGGACTATTACGGGTTCTATCAATGATGTGACGATTTCTGGTCTAGATCCTCGTTGAAGAATGGGGATTTCTTGATGTTGGATCTGTAATTAAACTATGGAAAGTATCAACAGCTTTTCTTGTTTCTTTTCACTGTTCTACTTTATGAGACATTTGAACAAACAAAACACCTGTTGAATCTTTTTTCAGTAATAAGGATTGGTTCAAAGCATATCACCATAGTAATTTCATAAATATACTTTTATTTGACACTTGTTATTCTACAAAAAGAGTTTATAATTAATGCCGTGCGGATCCAGATTAGAGATGGGAACAATGCCTAGCCAACATGGTAATTCACTCATTATTTCATTAACAAAAACCTTAAACCCTTTATCAAGAATGATCATTTTTGAATTTAGGTTTTTTTCGGTATTACTTGGAGCATAAGTTATCCTATTTGCTTTGCAGGTTTCCGCAGTTCTCTGATTAATGCGATTGGGGAATTTCATCAGAACGAAAACGATGGAGTTGTTGCTTTGATCAATCTTACCAGCTTTTAGGGTTTGACGAAGTCAAGAAGGTCTCTAACATAGAAAACCAACCCACACGGTATTTGAATTTTTGCCTTATAACTTCTTCCATCTTAAGAGTGGTTCCTGATCTTCTGGATATTCCTCATATATTACATATCCATACATTCTACAACAATTGACACATTTTGAATTTTTTTTTCATTAACAAGAATTAGTCCAAGCAAAAGGTAACATCATCAATATTGGAGATTCTTCAACGAGGACATAAATTGGCCATAGATCATAGTCTCATAGTCATAGAAATGATCATTCGAATGGGCATTAATATTACAAGACATTACCATACATATCATCATGCTAACATCATAAGCGCCACACCAAGTCTTCAACAAAATAAAACTAAACATCATAACGACATAGACAAATTTCTTGGGACGATTTTACAGGAAACGGAATGATTAGAGCTTCAAATCTGCACAAGGAGGAATGAAGAATCATAGTCTTATAAGTTTAGTAGCCAGCTGTATTAGAATAGAACTCTGTAATTCAAGAAAAGATTATTATACTTCGACTAGCACAAGAATGCTGCTAAAACCATTGATATGAGAAATGAAAACAGGATGATATTTTAATGACTTACCTAAGAGAGCACTGATCTCGAGAGACTATGGATCTTCAACTCTTCTCACATCAGAAACCGGGAGCTTGTTAGCCACTACAGGCAGCTGTTGTTGCCTGTTATTATTAGGCCTTGCCTGTTGCCTCTCGCGTGCATCATTGTGAGTCCTTGCAGGTTGCAGCAGCAGCTTCTTCCAAGTACTGCTCAACTTGAGCTATTTGTTTAATATCGTACCAATAATTGTTTTGTTTCTTGTTGTAGTGATGAAATTCATCGGATATATTGTAAACAAAATTATAGTGGGCCTTTTCTTACACCTTTGTCGTTCTGCTTTGGCCCATGGTCATTGATTCACGACATCTCTAAAACCAAAATGAGTCCCACATCGAAAGCTTGCTTCTTGATTTACGTTCGATAGGAGTTACAAAAGAAGATGTAGGTTCGACCTGGAAAGATACTTACCTGGACGGGGTCAACGGTCGATCAAGAAGAATTGTGGCCTAGGCTAGTGACTTCCATTGCACGTTTTGGAAGTGTGCTTTAGCCTAAGGTCTCCCAAAGTGGGAGAGCATGCGTCGTTATTTGTTACTGTGGGGGCTTGCGTTCGCGCAGCCCCTCCCAATACTCTACTCGAATCTTTAATCTCCTTAGGCTAACTTGATAAATGTCATGCTTGAATGCTTGAGAAGAACGCATGAAACTTACGATTTTGGTTTCTTGTACTCAAACTTCTCAATTCTTGTGCTTCTAAACGCTGTTGTTGTTGTTGTGCTGCAAAATAGCGTAAACGGACGGATCCACTTGTGCATGTAGTAGGACTGTAGGAGTAACAAAAAAAAGCAAAAAATAGTAAAAAAATGCCCACACGCAGGATCGAACTACGGACCTTCAGTTTACAAGACTGACGCTCTACCACTGAGCTATACGGGCTACTTGTCAACATTTTATACATAGTCATATATATTATTTATGGCGTTGGCACATTATACATTTGTTGAATAATTTGGATGTTTGCTAAGGTGTCGTGACGTACTATTCAGTATATATAGTTTGTGGATTTATTCTGTAACTTAAAAGTTGTATCGTTCTTCTTCCCGAACCCAAGTTAGGTTATGATATTCGACAAAATGTAAAAATAAACGAATAACTCTTTATCCCATGCATGAACAATTGAAAATGAGCATTTCTAAGAAGGAAGTATATAACACGAAGACATAGGATGATAAAAGACAGTGGCAGCCTTTCGAGGTTTTCAAATATTCAAAGATTCAAGCGTGAAATGAATATTCATGAACAAAACAATATTTCATATTGCAACTTGTTAAACCTCATTACACATATTCATAGTCATGATCAAACCAGAGAACTAGCATGATAAAGATCTTATTATTATAATAATTCATATTATAAAATCTTATTATCCCGACAATTAGTGACCGCAATCACTACGACTCGGACCAGAAACTAACTTACGACCGGAGAAAAAAACTTCCTTTGGCACTCTCTTCTCGTACTTTCCCAATCCTATCACGTCACAACCACGATAAGGTACCATCGCCATTGAACACGCCAAGTTAACGAACATGAAGAACATTACTTTGAGAAGCTTCTTCATCTCCAAATACTCTAAAACATAGATCAGTCACTATTTCTTGGCTCAGTACTTTCAACTCTTAACCATGCATCTTTATATGGTTTTTGTTTTTGTTTTCGTTTTCTATGCGGCTTAATCATTAATGCATATTTAATGAATTGGGTTAATTCCATTGACTGAATACAACCTTGGAAATTTGGAGTAGAATGGGTTTTTATTCGTTGTTCTTAAATGCCTGCTTCATTTAATCATCTGAGTTTGGCTCTCTAACTTAATTTAAAGCATATACGTGTACTTATTTTCAGGTACGTCGATTATGAACCATTCTAAGAAAATATAGTCAGTCTGATAGTGTTGATCTCGAGAAATCATTAAATTGTTACATAAGAAGATAGCATTAAGATAAAGTTAGATTCGATATACTACCAAATAAATAAATATATTTTTCATTTTCTCTTTCTGTTTAGAAAACTTAAATTTTCATGGTAAAAAGACAGAAGAAAACTTTCAAACGAGTTTGAAGTAAATAGTTTTGTTTGTAGAGGAAGAATGCACACAAAAAAATCAAAATTTACAAACAGTTTATTATGAAGGAGATTTTTTTGGGAAAATATATGGGAGAGATATTAAATTAGAAAAATTCAGAATGTATGTGACTCTTTGGTAATCGGATTATGTATTTATATCAAAGCTAAATAAATTTAGACCTTTTAACAACAACAACAACAAAAAAAAAACTAAAACAAAACTCTTTGAAAAACCAAGAGTCGATTTTGTTCCAAAAGATTACTACTTTTGCCAGTCATTGGCTTTAAAAGTAAAAAAAAAAAAAAAAAAAAAAAAAAAGCTACAAACTCCTATGCGAAGAGAAATTTATGAGTCTTAACACATTAGCCAAAACATAAAAAGTTAAAAACCTTTTGAAAAGTTCCAATCTTTTTGCTTCCTTCAGTCAAAGTCATCACTCTGACTGTTCTCAGAGCATGTCATAATATCTGAACCACACGAAGGAACAGCAGCACGACCAAAACTGCTTCCCACAGCACCAAAAGGTCCTTCATCATCACTGTCTATATGTCTCGGAGTAACACGGTTCTGATACCGTCTCCTATTAATCAAGAACACATTGAAGTAGTAACTCACCAATTGTTCTCTCGTCTTCCCCCTGAAATTCTTTGCAGCATTTTCCCAAAACCTCTCAGGATCCGAAACCATCAGCTCCTTAAACCTCTTCTCTTCTCTCTCTGTCCATCTCAACGCCACTTCTTCTCCCATTTGATTGAATCTCCAATGGAAGAACGCATCTCCGAGTTCACGTTTCAGTTCCATTCTCTTCTCTGCAATGTGCAACCTGATGCATTCAACAGAACCAGCGATGAGGGGATCACAGCTGCAACTATCTGGCCTTCCTTTTCCAACCGTATCATCTAAATCTTCTTCGTTTTCCAATGGCGATACACAAGTTCCTAACCATTTTGAATCGCTATTTAAACCGGATACTGACCCTTCATCGACTCGAGCTTGAGCTTGCGAATGACGCCCTAAGGACACATAGCTTCTTTGCATCTCTGATTCGTCTGGCTTTGTGATTGCATTTGTGTACACTTGTAAGTCCATGGCTCCAGATGTTCCAGCAAGAAGGTCTCTTCTCTCAGGAGGTGTGGAATCACAAGAAGTGACCAAAGCTCTGCAACTGTTAGATCTTGACTCGGATAGAGAGACCAAACTTCCATTGCAAGAAGAGGAAAAAGAATGTGGTTTGGACACATGTAAGTCCATGGCTGCAGATGTTCCTGCGAGAAGGTCTCTTCTCTCAGAAGCTGTGGAATTACAAGAAGTGACCAAAGCTCTGCAACTGTTAGATCTTGATTCAGATAGAGAGACCAAACTTCCATTGCAAGAAGAGGAGGAAGAATGTGGTTTGGACAACTGTGGACGCCTAATGCTGTATCTTAACCTCCCTGTCGACCTACGATCGTCTTCATACATTGAAGGATGCATAGTTTGGTGACCCTGCAAAGACCAATCATTAGAAACAGATTTGATAACAGACGAATTTAGAAGGCAAGAAAGAGTAAGAAGATAAAAGATTTTCTCAAGAAAGTACCATAAGATTGTCTCTTTGAACAAGTAAAGCTTTCTTTGCTCTAGTCACTTGGATCCAATGTGGTGTTACTCCAATGGAAGGGTTGTGAGGACATCTCGCAACCGAAGCAAGCCACTTCAACATTCCCTGTAAAGTCTCTTCCTTTTCCGAATCTTCTTCCTCTGATTCATCACTAATAACAACACAAGAGAGTCCTAGTTCTTCTTCATCATCATCATCATCTTCAAGATCACTCTCTGTAATTCTCTTCTTAGGCCTATGAGACTCAGAACAAGACGCTTCAACATGCTCACAATCGAAAACCGTAGCTCTGTTTCGTTTTCGACACTCTCCATTTCCCAACAAACCCTTGAATCCATCCTCTAACTCATGCAGCAAACCTTCATAGCACTCTTTCTCCATCCGGTCCAGATACTGAGCAATCAAAACCTAATTGCTCAGCCACTGAATCCCACAACCCTTTCCTAGACACAGAATCAAACCCTTCTCTCTCCCTCCCTGTTATTACCCTCTTCCTCAAGGAAAATGAACAGAGCTTGATCAAACAGTATCTTTAACCTCTCCTCACATTCATCAAACAGCTCAATCTCAACATTTGTGTATGAACCTGAACTATTACTGCAATTTGACCATCCTGCCGTTAAACCCTTGGCCTCAATTTCCAATCTTTCATTCCTCTAATTCAAAAAGGTCTCTCCTTTTGAATTGACCTAAACAAATTAATACAATAGATCTATCAATTGAGCATTTCTGCAGCTAGTTTCCAGAGATGGGTCAAACAGAGAAACATGGGTTTTCCCCAAATGTTGGGTTTTTAAACAGATTTTTGCCTATCTAAGTTTTCTGAATTTTCGAAATGTTTGTTGAATTTGGATTAAGGTTTACCTGGAGATTTCAGCTGGAGTGGGCTTAGAATGGGTGAAATTCTAAATAATCCGCCTCATGGGGTTTAGCTCCGCCATTGTTATTACAGAAGTGACAACAGATACTGACAAACGGTACAAAATTTGAGTTCATGTAAAAGACATGCAAGCACTTAAACAAGAGATCTTTGTCTGTTTTTCATTTTTCTTTTCATTTGTAACAAATCTGGGTTTACAATTAAAACTCGTTTATAGAGTTTAAAGAGAGAACTAAATCTGAAAATGTATAAAACGGATTTCAATGTTTTTTTTTTCTTATATAGAGGTTCTGTGGTGGTGATTGATATCTTCAATCTAGGGCTTCTAAAGGTTAATAATGTTAGGTTTCGGTATTGGGAATTCGGTTCGGTTCCGGGATGAAACAGATTAGTTTCAGATCTTTCGGTTTGCAGGATTTTATACCTAATTAGGGGATTTACTTATGTTTCATTTTGGTTTCGATTCGGTTCCGGATCGATTTGATGTAAATATAGAATTTCGGATGCGACGGTCTAATATGATGGATTGGTCATAACTCGTAAGGTTTTCAATTTGGTTCAGATTTTATCTGTTTAGGGTCGATTCAGGTCTTAATTTTCAAATCCAAGAAAAATCCGAATAATTTTGGTTATAGTTTGGATTTAGGTATTTATTACTTGAAAATATGTAATATACTCCAAAACCCGAAAAAATATTCCAAACATCCGGAGAACTATTAAAACATATCCAAAATACGGAAATTATATCCAAAAACCCAAAAAAAAACTAAGGATTTCGGTTCTGGTTTTTAATCTCATACCTAGTTTCAAATTCAAAGTCATTGAAACTACACACAAAGGATAAAGAAGAGTACCAATGCATACATTTCCGAGAGAAGAACGTACAAATGAGACATGTCATTTGAGTCCATCACTTCATGTAAAATGGTAAGGCTTTGAGCCTTTGACAAATACAATAGACAACATACATCATCAATAGGGAGCATATCAAGTTTCATTTGGTCTTTGTGTTCTCCTTATAACCAGAAAATGGTAAATGACTCAGAAACTCTGAGACATGAGAGATTAATGAATATAACATATATGGAGTGAACACTAAAAACTAAACCCACAAAAATTACAGAATCTTATAGTGTGTGGCTATTTTAAGTTCATGAGATTCTCCAATAATTAAGTTTAAATCTTAACCTTATTCAGTAAAGTACTGTTCAGTCAAATATAAGGATTAGAAGCAAAGAGTGAGCGGAACTAACACAAACAGAAAGATTTATTTACATACACTAAAGTACTAAGCTCAGTTAAGAAAATAACAAAAGGAAATTAAAGAAATAACAAAAAAAATCTGAAAACATTGGTAACAACAATGTTAATCAATCAAGCCTTGAAGAGAGAAGCTCGACGGCTTCGAAGAAGAGAGGAGCGATCTCTGGAGTGGGAGTATTCACCGCGCACTTGAGACCTGGTTGGCCCACCATTGCAGTGAGCTCGATCAAGAACGGTACATCATCTCTCGGAACCTTTGCTGATAAAATATATCACGTCCTGGTTCCCGTTCTTGCGCTTTGCTATGAAGAATATGTTGAATTAAGTCTGTATTTGAGGAAACGACACAACTGTATCATATAGTACTATTTTCTCCCCTCTTTCCACGATATTAGGAAACCAATTCAACTAAACAGAAATAAACACGAGAGATGGTATAATGTGAGATATTTGAAAACCTTATACTGGGAATTAAGCTCTTCCTTGAGCTCAGGGATCTCTCCCTTCTTAGTCGAGAGAGAGAGAGAGAGAGAGAGAGAGAGAGAGAGAGAGAGAGAGAGAGAGAGAGAGAGAGAGATAGAGAGAGAGAGAGAGAGAGAGATGCTTGGAGACGGGAAGACTCCGGTGGCTGCTTTTCTGAACTAATGGGCCGATTGTTTAATGGGCCTCTGATAAACTCAGCCTACTATGGAAATTGACAAGGTTCGTTTTGATCATGATGTGAATTAACTCTTAGGTATAATTTGAGCCAAGTGATCTCTCCTTCATCGCAATATTCGACCAAATTTGTATGGTAATCTCTAAGAATATGACTAACCTAATCCACCAACGTGAAGAAAATACAAGTTCATTACCTTTTTCATTCTAAAAAAAGTATTGAAAAAAGTTTAAACTTGTTAAAGCTTTGAGTTGATGATCAAAAATCCAAAGCATGCTTGAACGGCCGTATGTTCATAAAAAACAAAAATATCATTATTTTTATTCAGGAAGAATCATTACATTTTTATAGTGGATAACAAACACATACAAAGATCATGAAGATAAGACCATGCCTCACGGACCAGACACAATCACATGGATATACATACTAAAGATAGATTGTACATAGTCAAATCTGCTTAAGTCCATAAAACTTCATTCATACCAATCTATTATTGCATCTGAACAAAATAATATAGATAATCTTATAAACTTCTTCAAGCAAATTTGAAACTTAGCAAACAACCAAAGATCAAGCATCGATCTTTTGTGGATTTTGTAATAGAGTTAGTATCTTGTTTCTGACAGTAATTGTTTAGCTAGTTTGAGGATATGGATAAAGGATTGGCCTCAGAACTTACCATAGGAGGATGGAAAACACGGTGAACACAATATTTCTTACGTGCATAATTAAATGAAGTCTCGATTGGAATATTTATGCAAATTGGGTATACTTTTGCCTATGATCTTTTTCAAATTATAGCTTGTTTACATCAGTAAGATTGCCTTTGTTAAAAGTTGTTTAATGGTATCATATGGTTTAAATAGTAGAGGTTATCTCTTAGTTAAAATGTTTTATCAATAGTGTGAATCATTTTCTAAGTTATTATGTATGACTATGGTATACATGCTTGACCAGCTCAATAATTACTCCAATAGTTTCAGTGAATCTGTGACAACGTCCGGGCAGATGTATTTGCCATGGCCAAAGCAGTTGGGCCATGTCTCAAGGATCAAGATACGTCATTTTTCATCTCGTCAACATTCTTTATTTCTTTGTCCTTGTTGTCTGTAGACGCAAGGTCTTGTCGTCTAATTTTCTTAGATTGATTTCATGCTTGATTATACATTTCATTTTTATTTCCAATGATTACAATTTACATTTTACTTTCATTTTTTGTACATATATTGCTCTATCATTTAAAATATCAACCCTTTTTCTTGATGGGCGTGATTGGGTCTCTTCCACTCTGCTAATCGGAGGTTCCCAACAGCTTCCGGGAATTCTTCATATGAAGAGTTGTCGCCAAAACCATCAGCTGATTTTTCCTTTGTAATTATACATTCATTTTTCTATAATACATCGGTTTCATCATCATCTACCTAATTAGTATATCGCGTGCACTTTCCTAATAAATCATAGTATTATAGTATCGAAAAATCAAAGTTATTTTAGTCAATATTCATTGGTAAAATGAGAAAAATTCAAAAGCTTTATACTTTCAACGGTAGACGATATTCCAATTATTCAAATACTTCAGATAGATTCAATCAGTTAGGAATTTAATATTTTGTACACTAGCTAGGAATTCGGTTGACTATTAGTTAACTATATCACCTTTAAATTAAATTGATATAAATAGAAGGACATAACGAATTATTTTTTAGAGATCCGTTTCGTTTGAGCATGCACTTCGATTATATTAAAAGAAAGGATATTGTTAAGGGCCCATTACCTTGATCCAAGATTGAAGTCCAGGCCCACTCAAGCCCAGCAAGAAGACCTCGAGCCCACCAAGCGACTCCCTCGTAAGCCAGTTAACTGCCATCCGAGCTATTCCGGTCGACGTAAAGACGAGCTCCAGCTCGATCAAGGACCAGGTCGGCACTGCGAAGAAAGACGAAGTCAAAGAAGATCTCCTTCAAATCCGGTCTGGTCCGAGATCACCGGGATCGTTAGCTGCACGTGGCGAGATACGCGGAGGTGGATCGTAGCTGATTCTGGAGCTATAAAAGGAGCTTGACAGCAGTCGGATAGGGACAGACATCTTCTTCCGATCACTTTAGACCTAATTACTATCATACTTTCCTTGTATTCACCTTTGAGCTTAGTTCTTTCTCTCTTCTGAGAATTCATTGTAACCAAATTCATTCGTTTAATACAATTCCGTTTAGCCAAATCCTTGCTTACGATTCATTCGACTTACATCAAAATCTAGCCCTAAATCTCCCTAAGTTTCTTCCTTGCAAAACCTATAAATTTCGAGTGTGGTTTTCATAGCCCACATTTTGGCGCCGACTGTGGGGAGGAAACATAGATTTTCTTACACAAGGGTCGAACCTAAGCCAGGTAAGAGCGAAAATGGATACTATCCGGTCGCAAACCCAGGGATCTAACTCCCAAAACTCGATCCCATCGGATCAGATCACCTCGAACATCAGTAGCAGCCAAACTGCTGATGCATCGAGAGATCAGATCGCGTCGAATGTTGGTAGCCGCCAAACTGCCAACACTTCGAACACGCCGATCACATCTGCTACCGCCTCCACTGGAGTGCAGCTTAGCACTCCACCTCGCGTGGAACCAGTGGTGATCAATCTCGCCACGCCGGTAGCAACCCCGAGCCCGATTCTACCGAATCTGGGTTCGCACACCATCGAGAGACCTCTCTCTCGAGTTTGGGTCAGATCGGAAGATCCCCCAACAACTGTGACTCCACAGAGTCGGACTATTCCTGTTCGACCTGCATCTGCGACGCAAACTCCTCCGCGAGCTAGTCCAGATGATCTGGCACAGATCAAACAGCTTCTCACCAACCTGGTAAACGGTCAGCGCGACCACGAAACTAGGCTGGAGAGACATGAGAGACGCCTCGCTGAATCTCGAAACATCACTAGCCCGCCTCCGCGGACTCAGCTCGATTTTTCGACGATCTACGCATCTGGCGTACCTCAGGCGCAATTCGTTACGCCTTCGCGACCTCAAGTCTCTCAGACTTTCGGTCCACCGCCGAGCTCGCCACCAGTTGGCATAAATAATACGAGCTCGCACCCAAGCGAGACGAGAGCTCAACCGAACGTTCCGCTCTCATCTCCACCCCCAGGGCCACCTGGTACCGATCCAGCTAGGCCTAGGTGGTTTGGCGCTTCAGCTTTTGCCTCGAGCTCGCAGGCAATGCCTCAGTTTGAGAATCAGCTAGGCGCGACATACGGTTCACAGCCCTCCGCAACAGCGCGAGAGCACGTGAACGGGAATTATCAACAATTCCCTAGCTCGAACGGTCAGCCCAATCGAGCTCAAGTTCCAAGGAGCTAACGATTCCATGAATCAAGCTCCATTCTTATCCGATTCCAGCTAATCGGAATCCAGCTGATCCACGTAACCTCGTCGACAGCGAATCTTTCGAAAGATTCCAAGATCGCACAGACCTCGCGTTTCAGCATATGAGCTCAATGTTTCATCAAGCAACGAGCTCAGCTCCTGATATCGACAGAGTGATTAAAGAGTCTAGACGAACTCCTTTTTCACTCAGGATCAAAAGTACCTATATCCGAGATACCAGCAAGCTGCGTATCCCAGAATACTCTGGTAACAGCGATCCGAGAGCTTACATGCGAGCTTTTAACCTCGTCGTATCTCGAGTTCCTTTCTCTCCAGAAGAGATAGAAGCAGCCTACTGCAGGCTCTTCGCTGAGAACCTGATCGGACCAGCTCAAGAATGGTTCTCAACGCTGGACGAAAACTCAATCGATAATTTCGACCAGCTCCAATCAGCCTTCCTAAAACAGTATTCGATCTTCATCGAATCTAAAATTACGGAAGCAGACCTTTGGAGACTTTCTCAAGGTCCAAAGGAATCACTTCGATCTTACATTGACAGATTCAAATCAGTCAAAGCTAAGATCACAAACCCTAATGAGGCAGTAGCTCTACTTGCCCTCAAAAACAACTTGTGGTACGAATCGAAATTTAGAGAAGAACTAACTGTTCGACCTACAATTTCACTAGATGACGCATTACATCGCGCATCAGCATTCGCAACTCTCGAGGAAGACACAGCTCTCCTCAGAGAAAAGTACCTCAAAGGGGAGCTCGCATATGCTCCACCAGGTGCTAAGAAAACTGCACCAGCTAAACCACCTTCGCAGAGTAAAGGACAACATTCCTACTCTATCGAAACTTCAGCTCCCATAAAGAGCTCGGAGGAAGAAGAGAAACACTGCGATATTCACAATACAAACGGCCATTCCACAGAGGAATGCCGTGCTAAAGGCAAAAAGTCTAGCAAAAAGAAGGGAAAAAGCAAAACAGCTGAAACCGCGGTTAAGGCCGAAAAGCCAAAACCCAAACCAGCTAAAGACTCCGACAACGCACCTCAGAAAAGAGAACGCGAAGTCGAGGTCGAAGCCCCCGATTCCCCTCCTTCTAACAGGAAAAGAATCGACCTAATCTTCGGAGAGCTCAGCCTTTGCGGCGGCTCAACGAGATCCGTGGTCACCCCCCCACCCGCTCCTAGAAAGGCTACGAGCTCTAGCTCACACAGACCTCCTAGACTTGTCGGGGGGATAGAGCATTCTTACAGAAGCTCGCCTGTTACATCACCTACCTCCAGACCCGATACTAAGAGCATTGCGATCTCTTGCTTACGCAGACTTCACAAGCTCTCGGGGGGAGTAGAGCCACCTACCCCTAAACGAATTGACTTCATTTGCGGTGGCTCGAAGATGTGCAAAGACTCGATTAACTCGATCAAAGCACATCAGCGACGGGTCGAGTCATCTGGACAACCACGTCCTCTAGACGGACCTGATCACGAAATCAAATTTCGAGAAAGCGAAACACTCGCACTCGATAAACCTCATGACGATGCACTCGTAATCGAGCTCGCCGTAGCCGGATTCGAGCTGACCAGAGTCATGATAGACACAGGAAGCTCTGTAGACGTGCTGTTCTACGATGCTTTCAAGCGAATGGGATTCGAAAACTCCGCACTCATAGGAGGCCGTACGCCCCTAACTGGGTTCGCAGGAGAAACGACCTATTCCATGGGAACTATCCAGCTCCCAATCAAAGCAGGTGGTATAACGAAAACAGTTGACTTTGTGGTCGTAGATCGCCCCGCGCCATTCAATGCCATTCTCGGCAGGCCGTGGCTCTACACCATGAAAGCAGTTGCATCCACTTACCACCAATGCGTCAAGTTCCCTACACCTTGGGGAACAAAAACAATTCGCGGTTGCCAACGAGCTTCCCGAGATTGCTATATGGGCAGCTACTTGCGAGCCGAAAAATCGCCAGTATAGCAATTACAGAAAGAAGAGGAGCTCGCGATTCGGCAGATCAAACATGGCAAAGATCCGACCGTCCGCGAACCTCGAAAAGACTTGGTCACTCAGGTTTGCATCGACGAAACCGACCCCGAAAGGCGCGTTGGTATCGGAATCGATCTCGCAAAACCTATCCGTGACGAGCTGATCGCCTTCCTAAAGGAAAACATCAGCACATTCGCATGGTCCACCGCGGACATGCCCGGGATTGACACTAGGATCACGTCTCACGAGCTGAACGTAGATCCCACGTTCAAACCCATGAAACAAAAACGTCGAAAACTCGGCCCAGATCGGGCTAAAGCAGTAAACGACGAAGTAGACCGACTACTCAAGGTAGGCTCGATCAGAGAGGTGAAATACCTTATATATGCCCTCTTAATATGCCTTCTCCAGAAAATACTAGAGAAGTACAACGGTTAACCGGTCGAATAGCAGCCCTTAATAGGTTCATTTCCCGGTCAACCGACAAGTGTCTTCCATTTTACCAGCTCCTCCGAGGAAATAAAAAATTCCTCTGGGACGAAAAATGCGAAGAAGCTTTCAAACAGCTCAAAACTTACCTCAGCGAACCTCCTATACTGGCAAAACCAGTAGAAGGAGAACCGCTATACCTTTACATCGCGGTCTCGCCTGCAGCGGTCAGCGGGGTCTTAGTTCGTGAAGAGCTAAACGAACAAAGACCAATCTTTTACGTAAGTAAATCCCTGATTGATGCCGAGACTAGATACCCAGCTATGGAAAAACTTGCCTTAGCAATAGTAATGTCCGCTCGCAAGCTGCGACCTTACTTTCAATCACACACAATCGTGGTGATGACCTCGCAACCATTGCGAACTATGCTACATAGTCCAAGTCAATCTGGACGACTAGCTAAATGGGCTATCGAGCTCAGCGAATACGACATCGAATATCGAACTAGAACCTGTGCTAAAGCCCAGGTACTAGCTGATTTCATGATCGAGCTGGCACCGGAAGCCAATAACGATACCACCCTCTCTAAAGTTTGGACACTCTTCGTAGATGGAGCCTCGTCCAAACAAGGAGCTGGCGTCGGAATCAAACTCACATCTCCAACCGGAGAAGTGATCGAACAATCGTTCAGACTCGGATTCGTCGCCTCTAACAATGAGGCCGAATACGAGGCACTCATAGCCGGACTCCGACTCGCAATCGGGATCGGCGTGAATGAGATCAACGCATTCAGCGACTCCCAGCTCGTTACTAGCCAATACAGCGGCGAGTACGAAGCAAAAGAGGAGCGCATGGAAGCTTATCTCAAAGTAGTTCGAGATTTAGCTGGACAATTCAGTAAATTCGAACTAACTAGGGTGCCTAGGGGAGAGAACACTTCGGCTGACGCCTTAGCTGCTCTCGCCTCCACTTCGGACCCAACTGTAAGACGTGTGATCCCAGTCGAAGGCATAGATAAACCTAGCATCGACATCGCACTCAAGTCTGACAGTATAAACGCAATTACCTCGCGCCCGTCTACTCGTTCTCAAACTAGACAGTCCCAAGATCCGGGACCATCTAACCCGGAACCTGATTCCGAGGAAGAAGAACCTGACCAAGATAGGCAAAAAACAAGGTATATCGATTCGGACTCTTCGCAAAATACGCAAGAGTCCACGATCCATACCGTCCCATCTGCTATGGCGAACGAACTCACCTTAAAGGAAGAGTTCGCGCGAGACCCGACTGGAGAACTCCTATAATCGAGTATATCCAGCTCGGAGCCGTCCCTAACGAAAAATGGGCATCTCGCAAGCTAAAAGCCCAAAGCGCACATTATTGCATGATGGAAGATAAGCTCTACAAGCGAAGCCTTATCGAACCATATCTAACATGCATCCATGGCGAAGAAGCTTACACCGTAATGCACGAGACTCATCAAGGACCTTGCGGAAGTCATTCCGCAGGCCGAGCTCTCGTCATACGGATTAAAAAGCTAGGCTACTTCTGGCCGACGATGATCAGAGACTGCGAACAGTACTCCAGGCGATGTGACAAATGCCAAAGGCACGCCCCAAGCATTCACGTCCCAGCTGAAACACTCTCATCGATCTCTTCACCTTATCCTTTTATGAGGTGGTCTATGGACATAATAGGACCTATGGTCTCTTCGGGACCAAAGCAATTCCAATACCTATTAGTCCTTACTGACTACTTCACTAAATGGATCGAGGCCAAACCATACCAACAAACGACCGAACTCGAGGTCCGGAAATTTATCTGGAAAGACATCATTTGTCGACACGGGCTCCCTTTCGAGATCGTGACAGATAACGGATCTCAGTTCATAGCTCGAACATTCAAAGACTTCTGCAAGAAGTGGAACATACGCATAACGTATTCCACACCTCGTTACCCTCAAGGGAACGGGCAAGCTGAAGCAACAAACAAAACCCTCTTGAGTAACCTCAAGAAACGACTCGACGCCCGTAAACATAGGTGGTCCGAAGAGCTCGCAGCAGTTCTTTGGGCTTGCCGAACTACACCTCACAAAGCTACTCATGAGACCCCGTTCTCATTAGCTTACGGGCTAGAGGCCGTCATCCCAACTGAAACTTCCGTTCCAAGTCTTCGCAGGATGCAATGTCCAGCGAACGTCGAGCTGAACGAAGAAATGTTGAGAGATCACCTTGACCTTATCGACGAACGTCGAGATCAAGCTCTGATCCGGATACAAAACTATCAACAGGCCGCAGCTCGCTATTACAACTCCAAGGTTAAACACCGGAGCTTTCGTATAGGCGACATGGTTCTGAGAAAAGTACAAGACTATACCAAAGAGCGTAATGCAGGGAAACTTGGGACCAACTGGGAAGGTCCCTACCTCATTACCGAAGTAGTTCGCGATGGCGTCTACAAGCTCACAAAAGTCAGAAACGGAATACCTGAACTAAGACCTTGGAATGCGATGAACCTGAAAAGGTACTATCACTGAAAAGGATCTAATCTGAGTATCTCCACCCCTCGAACTACGTTTAGGCTTGATCCTCCTTCCCTGGGGGTACGTAGGCAGCTCAACCACGAGTCCAGCCCCAATCCGAATTTACTTCGTTTTATTTGAGACGACCTCATTGGCCGGCCCTAAAACGGGCTCGATTTGTATCATCTCGAATATTATACTTAAATAAAATGTTTTCTATGTTTATCACTACGAATTGCTCGAATCGACTCAGCAAGTCCTTAAGAAATTCCGAATTACTTAAGCGTATCAATTTACGTCGAAAACGCCTGATCTTGCGTGACCTGAAAAGAAATCGAGCTCTTTCTCTCGTCTCAAAACAGATCGGAAGATCGAGATCACCTCGATATTCCCCTTTCGAACGAAGTGAGGTTCAGAGTCCACCTCTTTACCTTCAATTTCTTACTTCGCAAAAAACCAAGCATCCAGCGTAGTGTTCTAGCAATCGTAGAACCGAAGACCCAGAGACAGCCCGAAATCTAACACGAAGCCGAGCCATCCAGACGGACCTGAAGTTCACGATTAGCTCGGAACACTATCGGCGAAGCGACAAAACCAAGACGAACTTCGAAAGGTAATAAATTCCATCTCCAAAAGCCGAATAAGAAACACCTCGATCGAAAGACGGGAAAACAACTCCGCAAAGCGCGAGCTACATCAGTTCGCCAAAGAGCTCGAAAAAGAATAAGCACCACGTTTAGCTCGATCCGTGCGATCGACGAAAATCAGGTAAAATTCGCCTAAGTGTTGAATCGATCTAATCGTCCCGATTGGACTCGATTCGACCTAAAACTACGTTTAGCTCGACACGATCGGCCAAAACTAGTAAAAATATTCTAAGTGTTGAATCAACCTAAACGGATCGATTCGACCTCCGACTAAAGTACATCTTGGCCCTGGTCTCTCGACCGGCCAAAACACTTAGTCAAAAAGCCTCAAAACATTTTGGCAAGTAAAACGCGAGCTAAAATGAAAGTTGCAAAACAATTTGAGCAAAATGCGCCTAAGGCAAAACGCCTAAGGCCAAAACATTAAAAGCCCCCGCGGGCAAACGAGTTTGTGGATAAAAGCCTTCCCAGGCACCAAATCCGAAACATAAAGCGTAAAAACCCCGCCGGGCAACCAAGTCTTAAAATAAATTGAAAAAGGAGTAGAGATAGAAAGAGGTCGACCAAGAGCTCAGTCCTCGACGGTCATCTCTTCATCTTCCTTCTCTTCCTCCTCGTTGCTTCCCTTCTCTTCGGCATTCGTCCCGAACGGGTTCAAGCCAACCGGGATGCTCGTCGATGGGTCGATCTCCATGCGCGCGACCGAGTCCTCCGAAACCACGGGAAGGAACTTCCCGATCGAGAAATCGGAGACTTGGGCCGCCTTGGCTGCTTCGGCCACCTCATCCTCGAGCCCCTTCAACCTGGCGAGCTCTTCCTCCTGGTTGATCGCACCGGAGATCAGCGACGTAAGGAGATCGATGTTGGATTGGAGTTCGATCTGATCGCCCTCCTTCTCACCTTCCACCCTCTTCTCCTCGAACTTTGCCTTAGCCGATTCAAGCACTTCCCGATGCTTCGCGACCATCTCCCTCCGACCTGCGCGGTTGGCACGGCGAGCTATTGTCCTTCTCGGCGACGAGTACCTGGTTCTCCCGGCTAAGGCGAAGCGACTGCGTCAGCGCACTCGAGCTCTCCTTCTGCAAAGCCGCCATCTGCTCCTGATTCTGGGACAGCTGGCGCAAGAGATCGGCCTCCCTGGTCTCGAGCTCTTTCACACGACCCTCCTGCGAGGTGTGTTTCTTCAAGAGCTCACCCTGACGAGCTACCCGCTCGTTCGCCGCAGAGAGATCGGAGGTCAACTTGGCAACGAGCTCCTTCACCTGATCGAGCTCTTTCTGCTGAGGCGCATCTCTGATCCTCGACTCCAGGCGGGACACCAACATGTTACGAGCTGCCACAGCCTAACAAAAACAAAAAATTCAACCAAGGCCAAAACAACAACAAAGACTCTCGTCTAAAGTTTTGACTAGGGAAACAGTTCTTACCCTCCCGCTCGCAGCGCACGTCGCGATGTAGAGCTCCTTCTCAGACATCTGGTTCAGGGACGGGAGCCGGCATCCGACGGGCTTGAATGCGAGCTGAACGGGGAAGCCTCTGGAATTCTCGTACTGCCAGTAAAACGGCGGCTTTCCCCCGCTCCCGTTCGAGGCAGTCGGGCCGCCCTCGCGAGAACGAGTCTCTCCATCGTCACTCCGAGCTCGCTTCGGCGCCTGCCTCGAGTGACCTTGATCCGAACTCCGAGTCCGATCGGAGCTCACATGAACCGTACTCGGGAGAGGAACGATCTCTCCTTCAGCGGTCGCGTCGACCTGGTCAACCACCTGGTCGGCAAGGGCAGAAGACCCCGCCGTGGGCTTCGAAGCCATAGCCTCCTCCACCGCCGTTACGAACTCGCCGGCACGAACTCGACTTCCACCCGAGGAAGCGCCTTGGCACCCTTTGCGGTCCGGGATCTGAGAGGCTGACGACGAGGCATTTTCGATCTGCGTGAGAGAGGAGGAACAGAAGAAGCGGAGCTAGAATCTTGCGCCGATCTAACCGGAAGATCAGCTGGAAAATTTATGTAAACAGCTCGTTACAAAGAGTTCGTAAAATGAATTTCTAGCTGGTCAAGGGAGATTATTACCTGGAGGAGGAGCAGGAGGAGAGCTGAGAACTCGACGGATCCGTTCCGGAGTAAAAGTACTCCAGTTCACCTTTTCCCTTCCGAGTCGCTCGACGAGGTAATCAATCCCCGGGTTGTTCGGTACTGGATCTACAACTGCAAAAGACAAAAAAAATCATCAATAAACGAGGTATTCCATAAGTCAAGCGAGGTATCTATCCTAAACGGAAATCGGCCTAAGCTAACCAACGCTAGTCGCCCACTCCGTTCGGATTCGACCAAAGTCGAAGTCGCCCATCGTGGCCTCGCTGACCCGGAAGAAGAACATCTCGTCACTCCACCCGCTATCCCTCTGCGGGGTGTTCGTGAATATTCGCCGATTCGGCCTCGGCGAGGAGTAAAACGACCCGGGTAGCCTGGTGTTGTTCTTCACCGAGAAAAGCTTTCTCAAGATCTCGAACACCGAACGAGACGCCCTCTTCCCGAGCTCGAACCGCACATCCTATCACGTGGCGGACGAAGCTCGGGTGCATCTGTGGAAACGCCATCTTGTAATGAGCGAGCGCTTCCATCAGAAAACGAGGGACCGGGAAAATCATCCCGGCGCTCCGCCAATACGACGTGTAGGCGCAGCAAAACCCCGGACGAACATGTTCCGGGTCCTCGCCCTCAGCCGGCAGACGAGCTCGATCTCGTCCGGGATCCCGAAATCCTGACGGAAGGTGTCTAGGCTTTCGGCGTCGAGCGCCGTCTCGGCGTGCGGCGTAAACTTCCCGTCGCCACCGGAGGTCGACGGCCTTTCCCTTCTCTTGCTTGACGATTCTTCGGAGGCATTGTAATCGGAGGAGGAGACGGAGGAAAAAGAGGTTGAAGGAGGTTTTGGAGAAATTCGAAATCGAAACAACCTAAAACGCTCGAAATTTTGCAAAGGTTCGATAATTTTCAAGAACTTGGAGTTATCTAATCTAAAATTGAGAGCAAATAAATAAGTAAAAGAGAGAGGAGAAGTTACCTTTTCAAAAACGTGGGCACGGTTAAAGAGAAGAGTAGTGGGTCGAGTTTATATTCAGCATTAACTGCTGAAGAGATCGCAAAGAATCCGATTTTTCTGCGTGAATCTCGACCGTACAACTCACAGATCTTAACCGCTTGCATGCGACGAGCTGATGATGTGACGCGCTGTGGGTCCCAACAGATCTCAGCCGCACGGGCTCTTCGCTCTCCTCAATCTGAACCGTCCGATTCGAAAACATAATCATTTCGAATCTCGGTAACACGCGATATCCGTTCTCGAGGAGCTCGGGTAGCGAGATTGCAGCGAGTTGACAAGATTCGTTCGCGATCTCGACCGTTCATCTCGTTTCAACGGCCAGATCTTATCTTCACCTCGAAGAAAAGAAAAATAATGCCTAAGGCAATTTCCAACGACGAGATCCCCGCGATCTTTTACCCCGTTCAAACCATTGCGGATAAGCTCGAATATACCCCGAATCGAGGAATTCGAATTAGCCCGGCAAAAGTTTGAATTTTTGAAATAAAAACAAACCGCCCGTTTTAAGTTCGAAACTCACTTAAAAGGGCTGGGGGGCAATTGTTGGACCCAGATTCCACACCTGGAATCTAGCCCGTAAGGGCCCATTACCTTGATCCAAGATTGAAGTCCAGGCCCACTCAAGCCCAGCAAGAAGACCTCGAGCCCACCAAGCGACTCCCTCGTAAGCCAGTTAACTGCCATCCGAGCTATTCCGGTCGACGTAAAGACGAGCTCCAGCTCGATCAAGGACCAGGTCGGCACTGCGAAGAAAGACGAAGTCAAAGAAGATCTCCTTCAAATCCGGTCTGGTCCGAGATCACCGGGATCGTTAGCTGCACGTGGCGAGATACGCGGAGGTGGATCGTAGCTGATTCTGGAGCTATAAAAGGAGCTTGACAGCAGTCGGATCAAGGGACAGACATCTTCTTCCGATCATTTAGACCTAATTACTATCATACTTTCCTTGTATTCACCTTTGAGCTTAGTTCTTTCTCTCTTCTGAGAATTCATTGTAACCAAATTCATTCGTTTAATACAATTCCGTTTAGCCAAATCCTTGCTTACGATTCATTCGACTTACATCAAAATCTAGCCCTAAATCTCCCTAAGTTTCTTCCTTGCAAAACCTATAAATTTCGAGTGTGGTTTTCATAACCCACAGATATTTGGAATGTTTAAACAAAATACATGATAAAATGTTTCTATAGATATGTTCAAAGTGGAGTATAAAGTTTCTATTTACCACTCACAAAAACAAAATAAAATGGATTACAAAACTCGGGATCTACATTGTTATGGTGGAATTATATACAGTTACTGCCGACATGAAAAAGGTCAAAAACTAATAGCATCCATTAGTTGATAATTTCCAATTACCAAACCGAACCATAACCGGAACCGGAATCATTCTGCGCATAAATTTCAGCCGGTAAGAACCGGTCCCGACAAATCGGACACGTCATATTGCGACAGTCGACGATCCAAGGGTCCAAGCAACGATGGTGAAACACGTGTCGACAGTTGGGTAACTGCCTAACCTTATCAGCGGATTTAAAATCGGAGAGACACACCGTGCAGCAGTCTTCAAGATCGATACGGAGAACCGAGAAACGAACCACCGGAGAAATCTTGTCGACAAGACTCGCTGGTGTAGAGAGAGCTCGTCGGGTCGGGTCGGGTCGATAATGCTCGTGGTCTAGAAAACGTGGTAGGCCAATGTAAGGACAAAGAGCATCGACGATGTCTCTGAAGAAACCGATGACGTAAAGCGCCTTGAGAACGTATCCTGGAATCTGGAGATCCTTAAAACTCCTCGGAAGACCCATGAGAAGAGAGAGAGAGAGATGAGGCTTGAGATGTGATATTGTTAGTACAAGTGCAATTGTATTTATATGATTGTGTTTAAAGCAAAATAATTGAAAATGGCGGCTAGAGATAGATATTCCCAATTTGATCAACAAAGGTGGCCCGTCTAGTGTGACTGTATTATTATAAGGATGTTTTATTATTAATTAAAAGTCAAGATTTTACCACTATATGATACCATACAATATTACAATTAATCGAGGAACATTATTGTAATCTTCACATGAGAATCACTGATAGCTCTAGGCTCTAGCTCTATGAGAAAACAGTAAATACGATAGCTTGTTCGAATATGAGAAAACAGTAAATAGATAACGTTTTAGATATATTTAGTTTAGTATCATTCGAAACAACAAATGGGGATGTAGCTCAGATGGTAGAGCGCTCGCTTAGCATGCGAGAGGTACGGGGATCGATACCCCGCATCTCCACTTTTTATTCTTTTTTTTTTACTCAAACATCAACTTTTTAGCGAGCATATGGTTGATATCTTGATCAATTGCACTGAAAATAGGCATCGATGCTCAAGTGACGGGTATGGGGTTTCCTCTTTTGATTTTCCACCTCTACTCTCTTTATCCAATCTTCCATGTCTTCTTCTCTAGCTTTCTCCACCGTATCCAAAGCACTAAAATCTACTCCCTCTAAGATGATATCATTCCGATTCTTCCATAATCTCCACATCAGCCAAGGGCCAAGTTTATCCTTTATTTTGTCATCTTCTGTTTATCTGATCCATTTGTTAAACTCACTAAGATAAAATGGGCATTTGGCTAAGAGACGTCGAGAGTCGAGACCCCATGATTTAGACGCTCTTGTACTTATTCTCTCACATGTCATGTATCTGTCCACTATTGTGTCTACTTCACTGTGAACTGGTGTTTAATCATCTTATTCTCTCATGACTTAGACGCTCTCGATCAGTCTCTCAACTACAACCCAATATTATTATTGTTTTCTCTTTTTATTTAGTAATTTAGTTTGTCTTGTGAATCTTGTCAAGTTTGTATTATAAACCATCCAGTTGTATAGTTTTTACCAATTAGTGAGAATGAAATAATTGTCTTTTTGTTAGGTGAAATTTGGTCATACATTAAGAATGTTGGGTTTTCAAAAATTAGTTGACAAAACAATGATATTACCTCCATTATATTGGAGTTTTTTTTTTACCTTATAATTACAGACTTTTGTAGTAATATATATATAGACATATCAGAGAAAATCAAATATAATCTTCTTCTTGTTTTTGACTGCGCAAAGTAGATGTAACGAAAATACTACTATGTAAAAATCACTATATTTCAAAATTAATCTGGTAGTAAAAAGGGGGAAAAGTGGGAGTGAAATGTGAACGAGAATTTCATCAAATATCACTTTCGGTAAAACTCTAACATTTGCTAAATTAGTGTCATGGCTCACCAAAAAATGTAATATAACAAGAAAATGCTATAGTTTTCTCATAAAACCTTTAACGTAATTTCCTATATATTTTCTTCTCAGTATGCCGACATAAAAAAAAAAAAAAAAAAAAAAAAACATGATCCATGTTTTGGAACTCAATAAACGAAATAAAAGATACGAGGTAATATTTTGAAAAAATTACCATAGCTATAGGGTCAAAAAGCCTAACTAACGCCTCTCTTTTTTCTCTTTCAAATTTTTATTTTTTTGTAACAAGAATAGAACTACTTAACTTCAGTAACTTCACCTGCTCTACATACACCAACATTGATCCAAAATGTATTATTCCTCTTTGTTTGTAATACTCTGCAACAATTCCTTCTTGGTGACTGCCCAAAAAAATACAATAACCACTAAAGCCTTAACATATTTTTTTTTATAAAAAAAGGTAAATAAGCATTAGCATATTAGTAACTTATAAAGTATGAAAAATTTAGTATGTTAAAGAAGATAATATATCCACTTACCCTATCCCATAGATGAGGGTCCGGTTTTTTGTAGACGACTATAGTGTTGATCTCCTCCGGGTTAGCCATATCCCACTTGCAAGCCGGATGTGGAACACGATGCCTCGTGTACACGCTAACAGTCGTGTTCAGTTTCAGGTCGAACTTCACATTCGACATGTGAAAAACAAACGGTTTTTGGCACGGGTTGCGACTCACGGGCCTTGTGTTGAATGCGTAGGCGGTGTAATCATCTTTCTTGTACCAATTATAGAAAGTTCTTGAAGGCATTTCCATCTCCCGGGGAGAGAACGATCCGCGGAACACTTGGACCGCGTATCCCCACGAGACGGAGATCGTCCAGCTTTTGTGCTTGTCGTAGCATATTGATTGCTGGAGTAGCCCGGCCGAGTCGAGCTTCATTGGAATGGTTAGTTTCTTGATGGCACGAACTCGGGTCATGTTCGGGAAGATCGGTTCCACCACATCGAGATGGTGCATTGATACAAACGGTGTTACCGGATGAGCAGCAAGGAGACCGAATAAGTTCCCATAAACGTCATACTTCAAAAAGAAAACAAAAAAAAATTGAACTCAATTAGCAAATATAAAGATTTTGTTACATAAGCATAAATAAAAATGTGAAAGGACAAGCGTAGCTTTCACGCACCATACTGCGCGTAGAGAAAAAAAAGAGAAAGTTTATAATAATAAATCTTTATTAGGACATTTTAAGGTGAAACTGACAAACGGGTCTTATTCCGACATCTAGGAATCTAACTATGGACAACGACTGGCGCCGCTGGTCAAACGCCACGTGTTCGTATTCTGCTTTAATTTCTTTTTAAAAATCTCCAAATAAACTAGCGAAAACCAGACAAAGCTTACAACAATTCACGTTTTCTCATAAAACTTGTTGTTTCCAATGATTTTAACTTTTGGTCGGCTGTTATAAAATGATTTTAAGTAGCAAAAAAGTGATGACTCACAAAGACACAAACTAACTAATAATGTCAACTATAAATAAAGTTAATAAACGTGAATGCAATAAAATTCACCCAACTACCAAAAACTTGCTGAAACTAAATCGAACAAAACGAATTTGAAACCAATCAAACAATGTAAGATGTGACCAGAAAAGCAGAAAGTTATAAACCAAGACTTAAATCTGTTAAACTCTTAAGCATTATCTCCAAGCTCTATAAAGCTTCTGATCTCATTATTTGTTTAATCCAAGCCCTAGTCTTTGAGCCAATATATCAAACAAATTTCTTGAACTATACCCATCCCACAGAAAAATAATCAAGTTGAAATCAGTAAACCATGAATGCCAATAACCATCAAAGTAGTTGGCATTAACCAAGCAAAAGACATCCAATTCCCATTGAACTCAAGATCATCAATCTTGCCTAATTTACTAATCATCCAAAGTAGTTTGACTTTAACCAAGCAAAAGACATCCAATTTCCATTGAACTCAAGATCATCAATCTTGCCTAATTCACTAATCATCAAAGTAGTTTGACTTTAACCAAGCAAAAGCAAAATGCCCATTTCGAAAATCAATTAAATCAATTAAAAAAAAAAAAAAAAATCTTACTTGATGAAAACCTGTCTCCTTAGTCAAAGGAACTCCAAGCTCCGCCATACAAGCTTGCATACGATCATCGGAACCGTACAAAGCTGGATACCTCTGTATACACCGATCCTGAATCTTACTCAAAGCCACAGCCAACGGATAACTAATCGCGAAACCTCCTCCACCGTAAGCCATTCCATAAGAAAAGAAAATGTTCTGCAAATGAGATTCCGACAAGCTCCCAATGTAATACATCTGTTCATGGTCGTATTTCCTCAAAACCCTAATCAGATTGTCGGTTATGAACACAGTGTCGTCGTCACCCATCACGAACCACCTCACGCTCTTCTTCTCATCAGCATCCATATGCATCAGCGTCTCCGAAACGATACGAGAGATCCGAATCGCTGACCTGTGTCCTTGCTTGTTCGTGTAAGGAAACGACGCCGTGTCGCCGGAGATTCTTACCGGCGGGAGGTTTTCTTGATCTCCCTCGTCGTCGGATTTGATCTTTACCTCCTTATCTAACCACACGTAGCCTCTCATCTTTTTCGGTTTGTACCAAATCTTGATATACTCTTTCCTCTGTTTCCACAGCTTCGACGACGCCGCTACACCGAAAACCACGTTGTTTAAATCGGTCGCCTCGTGCTCCGCCGCTTCCGACGCCTCCGATGCAGCCACAACCGCCTTTTTCTCCGGTTTCTGTAGGAGAATTGTCTCGGAGGATGGATCTTCGCAAGGTTGTGAAGTGGAGACGATTTTGAGAGTGTAGATGATGTAAGTGACGGAGATGAAGAGGATGATCCAGATCATTAGTTTTCCAGCGGGTCGGGTCATGGATACACCTGAAGAGCTCCGATCCCATTTCTCCGACGAGTCTTTTTGGTTTCCTTTCATTCGATTTTTTATTTTTATTTTCCAGTGGAGAAAGAAAAATCAGAATTTGTGAAAAAGAAAATGTAGTTTCTAAAACTGGGATTGTCTGAAAGTCAGAAAAAGAGACTTTTGAGGAGAAGAAATAGACAAAATTGGTTGTTATTTTTTCACATAAGTACAAAATAAAATCAATGGGAATATATTAGATTTGTCGATGTACACGAAAAAATGAAGGAAAATTTATGAGTTTTTGTCTTTCTTTCTGTCTCTCTGGGTAGAGAGAGCAATGGAAGACAGATGAAGGTGAAAGAGTTTTGCTTATTACTCTCTCATTAGAAAGTAGAAAATCCAGAAAGAAATGAAAATGGGGGTTAGTGATGTTTGTCTTTGTGTGTGTAATTTTTATGATTTTGTTGTTGTTAAAAGGTTTTCTATTTAAAGCAGAATTACTAATCTATTCCTAAACTTCCGTCGTGGATCACACCTGAACAATGTACGTGTCATGTTTTGTTCTGGTTACGCAATTGCCAAACGATACTTTTGATTAGATAATATGTTAATCGGTTGTTTTAAAGGCGTTTGTTATCTCCACTTGGTAAAATGTAGAATCATGAAATATCAGAAAATAAAAATAGTTGATAATTGAAATGGATGAATTTTGGTTTGACAAATATTCCTTTCAATGCGTCAAACTTTGCTACTTCTCTAGTGGGGTTTTCTCAAAAATGATAAAAATTACGTCAAGAAATTAATTTTTCTATAAAAAAACAAAAATTGTCGGGTTTTTCTAAAGTTTGAGAAATATACTTTTTCAAGAACTTGAGTGGATAAGAAATAGTTTTTTTTTTCAGAAAAAAAAACTAAAAACCATTCTAAAATGTAGAAACAAATCAGGTCTAAAATTTTAGAAAATAATTTCTAAGTTTGTGTAGATGAATTAGTAAATTGATGCATACAAATTGACAAAAAGAAAAATAGAAATGCAGGATATCCAAATGCACAAAAGACACAAGTAAATTACTATGATGTACCAGATAAGCACAATTGCCACGCGGCCCACACCAACCATTTTTGTTTTTTTGTTAAAGAACGCCAACTAAATGTTACAATGGTAAAAAATACTTAATTCCTCCACCTTAGAGGTTATTTCGCGATCAGAAATGTTATAGGTGGAAATGTATACTCTCCTCAAAGTGTGGCATTTATGACACAATTCTCAAACTAAAAAAAAAATATTTGGAGATCAGGTTATATGGTTTACAAGACTAGTAAAACCATATGTCAAAGTATTGTTTTCTACACGCGGGTATCTTTAATTCTTACATATATGGATTGTAAAGTCAAAGTTGTAATTCAATTATTCCATTGTTTGCAAATACGTTTAGTTATAAAGATAATAATAATAATACATTCTTCTGAAATTTTTCTTCTCTTATTTCAATTTTCCTGCAATTTTTTCCAGTCGAATATCATCTTACCAGACAGGCTATCGGAAGACTTATCTTTTTGTTTTGCCACCATATAATCCAAGTGACTGACTGATGATGAGAAGTCACCATCACGAATTACTACCAGAACGCACTCTTTACCAAGAAGTGCCAATTCGAACATTAGCAATGTTGCGTAGGTATCAGCAATATCACTTGTTCGCATCAGGAGTACTGCGAAGAAAACAAAACAAAATAAGCTACCACAAAAAAGAAAAAAAAAAACAAATATTTACCTTCGTCATATCCGGTTACAATATCGTCATTGCATGTTGCACACCTATTCGGAAGATTTGGGGTTTTGATTAACTTGAAATCAGCACATGCCTCAAGTAGTCTGGACTCTCTGTTTTCGGGCCCAACCGCAAAGATGCTCTTAACCTCAAAATTATTTCCCTGACGCTTGAGAGAACACTGGATCCTTTGTTTTGTTTGAGTGTACTAACGTCAACTCCTTCTTTGACCCAGGAATTTTCAAAATCCCAAATTATATGAAGTTCTTTGACTTTGGAACTGCTCTCCGTTATTTGCAAAAAATCCATTTCAGACGGTACTTAACGTTAACACCACTATTTCATGGAAAAATGGATCGCCGGATAATATAGAGATTGAACTATTTGATACTCGGATAAACGGATACAAATTACGATTACAGATAGTTCAATCGCTATATTATCCGGCGATCCATTTTTCCATGAAATAATGGTGTAGTGGCGTTAAGGTACCACAGCATAGCCGCTTTCTCCATCTTACCAGAAGGAATTGCCAGAAAACCCATGACATTAAGGATGAGAGTCGGGAGGGAAAGAGTATACACTCAGACATCCTTGAGTGGTTTAGAGGAGGTTAGTTTGAGCTTCTTATTTTTAAAAGTTTCAGTCTATCACTTTACATTATATATAATCGTTTGAGATGGATTTTTTGCAGATAATGAAGAGCAGCTCCAAAGTCAAAGAACTTCATATAATTTTGGATTTAACGAAGGAGTTGATGTTAGTACACTTCAACAAAGGATTCAGCGTTCTTTCAAGCGTCAGGAAAATAATTTTGAGATTAAGATCATCTTTGCGGTTGGGCCCGAAAACAGAGAGTCTAGACTACTTGAGGCCTGTGCTGATTTCAAGTTAATCAAAACCCCAAATCTTTCAAAGAGGTGTGCAATGTGCAATGACGATATTGTAACCGGATATGACAAAGGTAAATATTTGTTTTTTTTTTTGTGGTAATTTATTTTTGAAGAGATTGAACTATCTGATACTCAGATAAACGGATATGACGCAGCATATTCTGACTGAGCAACAGTTGGCGGATATCTTTACGAAATCCTTGCCAAAAAAGTCATTCACATAGCTGAGACGCAAACTTGGTGTAGCTGAACCACCTACACTAAGTTTGAAGGGGAATATAAATGAGAGCTCAAGTATTGAAGTCCATAAGGTTAAAAGTCCAGCACCAAAGCCCAGTCATGCAAAAATGAAGAAAACAAAACCTGAAAAGAAGATCACGGAAAAGAAAGAAAAGATGCCCGCTTTAACAGATTTGAATTGTTGTCTTGTTTGACCAAGGACTAGATTGTGACAGCTGTGTATAACTGATAAGATTATCCATTTTAGATCAGTTTTATGCTCATTGTTCAAGTACCTTCTTGTAGAGCTTATAAATAACTCTTCTGTATTGTCACTTTTAATCTCATTAAATACAAGAGTCTCATTCAGTAAAGTCTTGTTGTTTCTTGTTCTCTGCAATGCGAAGCACTCAAAATGGCATAAATTAATAAATTATAAGAAGATGATCATATGATCCAACGGTCATCATCATGTGAAACAAAGAAAAACATGACACAGAAGAGGATATTTTAATCTCTAAACATAACACACACAAGATGGCAAGATGATGGTGGTGAATTGCCGATGCTGATCATCATCATCTAGACCTAGACAAAACCGAAATAATAGAGTGCAAAGCGGTTGCAGCAATCCGCGATTTGATCTGCCCGCGTCTTGGAAGCTTTCTGAGTTCTCCAGAATGATCTCCGTGTCTTCTTATCTTCCCGGCAACACCAAAACCTTCCCTGGCTAGTTCTCTGTTCATTGTGTATAATAATAAGAATCAGTTTCTTTCTCAGCACGTAACCTATTGAAGCTTGGAGATTTTACTTAATCTAAATGCCCTTTCAATATTTCTGTTTATATAGAAGCGGTAGAGAGACAAGTTCTGCTGTGGTGTTGCTAGTGGAAGATGTTTGGTTTCATGAGTCGCTGACAGGTTAAGTAGTTTGCACACATGCCAACTTGCAATATTGGTTATAGCTAGGACAAAAATAAATCAATTAGTAATTTATTTATTTATTATTCTTCTACTGATGTTTGATGGTATTGGACCGTTTGTGCGGTCGGATGTTATCTTTTCAATGTTTTTCCCGACAGAGTACTGAGTACAGGCAACAGACGAGACAGACAATGACCAAAGATCGATGTGTTTAACCTTAATTACCAGTGCAACTAATATTGATATCCAGCTCATGTAACAAATAACAAAGGTGATTACCAAAAAAAAATATATATATGAAAGGTTGATATATACGTTACGCACATATTCAATGTGATTAATTCGATGGGCAAATATTTTTTAGGAGAAGTTAAATTGTTGCTTGAGTTTTCACTGATCAAATTTGCTGAAGAAGTCCGCTGGAAACAAGTAATTAAATTGGTTAGAAGTTTAATTTTTACATTATTAGTTTGATAATTTAAAATTCGCTTTAGATTATAAAAAGCCAAAGTATATCGAATACCAACAATTCGTTTCAAATTAGGATTATATACCCTATAAATACCAACAAATTGAGGTTTTTTTGTGTGTGTTTGTGCAAACTGTAAAAAAAAAATTATTAACTAAAACTTTGAGGATACATCGATTAATACGACAAGATTTGCAACAATCAATCGACAATGAATCCAAGAAAAGACCCGGATGCTCGGCATCAGAATATCAGATTCACGGCAAAGAAGAGAAGTAGTAACTTGTCACCTTCATTTGTATCGTGTTTTGTATTGCTATGAATAAAGGGGAATGAATAAAAGATGAAGATAAGGAAAAGCTTTAGCCGAAAACTCACTCAACGCTACAACTTCTCAAACAAGGTCAAAACTTCAACGGATTTAATTTTAGAAAGATTTGTGGTTCTTTTTTTTATCTTTTGATAATTGACTAGCAAAGAATTAGTATTATATTTCCTCTGTTTCAAATTAGTTGTCGTTTTGGAAAAATGTATCTACAATTATTTGGATGTATTTAAATGTGTTTTGTGTTTAATATATCCAAATAATTACAAATACATTTTTCAAAAAAGATAAATAATTTGAAACGATGGAAAAATTGTTTATTAAAATCGGAGCTAAAGAGGTAGAGAGAGTTTGCCAATAGAATGGAAATCTGATTTAGTATTCTCAATTACAGATGAATCTCTTATATATGAGATGTATGGTTAATAGTAAACCGGAATAAGTAATACTAAACCATACAATTGAATCAACACAATTGATACTCTAGTATCGTTGGTATGTAAATTGTGTTGTCCATTACCAGTCAGGGTATACCAACAAGAAAGATATGGTCAAAGTTAAAACACCTATATAAAGGGTTTCCAATTAATAAACTAATTCAGTTTCCCTGATATATCATAAACATATTTGACTATTGGGAGATTAATAAAAGTAAGAGGATATGTGTATAAAAACGAATTATGCACTATAACCGGATATCAGGATAGATTTTATAAGTTATTTCAAGTGTTAGAAAACCGAGCTTTTCCTTGGTTTTTTTTTTTTATGTTTTTACTTTTTAGTAATGTCAGATTGTTCTCAAGAAAACATATAGAAAACAGAATTTTGAATATTAAAAAGTAAAAACTGATTACAAATTAGAATATTCAGTGTTACAACGTAACTTATAAAGAAAGACTTGGGCAAAGAACATTTTCACATAAAACAATACTCAGTTTCACTATTATGTAGGCATATAAACCTAATTAACCAGATTATTTTTAGTAAATTCTCATCTTCTATGAGGTGAATTCAGGTAACGTGTGATACAAGATAACTTATGGATAGAGGAATATAAGTGCACGCTTTGGTCACTTTTAACTAGCTTTTATGTTCACACCAAATTTCATTTATTGTTTCGAGCACAATCTTTTTGCATTTGTGTTTTCATTTACGTATGATCACAAACCAAACACCATTTATATGTCATTTCAAACATAATCCTGGGATACAATCTTTATATAACATAACCTTGTGTTACAAGATAGGTTTTTTTTTCTTTGTTTCCAATGAAAAATATGAAACAACGAACAACATGAGATGATGCAGAAACAGAGCTTAAACGCTATATATGAAGCAACCTTATAACAATAATGAACATAACAACAATAAAATTGTTCAATCTCAGAATTATAGTATTATGAATACACACACCATCTTAAACGGTCGGATGAGGATTGAACTTCACAGATTCTAGCCACACAAGCTCCTTAATCTCTTCTTCAGTGGAAGAAGGGTTCTCGAAATCGAAACTGAAATGGTTGGAACAAACTGGCTCGTCATTAAGGTCATGCAGAGCTGACAAGAAAGGATGACACAATGCTTCCTCAACTGCAAAACAAAAGAGCACATTCCATAACCAACAATCACTCACGCTTATGCCAAATCACAGTATACACTCAGTTCTCTAAATCATACCTGTGATGCGTTTTTGTGGATCAAACACTAGCATCTTCTCAAGAAGATCGATAGCTGTAGAGTTCATGCTAGGAAATCGAACAGAAAAGTTCTGCCTCGGGAACTTTGGCAGTTCTTTAACGTATTTTCTTGCGTTCTCGCTTCTGAGAAACTCGAGGCTCGTTCCATCAGGTGATCCTATCAACTGAAAACATAAAAACGCATGGCTTACTGATTAAAACATTCCAACAAATTGTATACTAAATCCTTCTGATTCAAGTCTCAAGACATTACCTCGGTGATAAGTTTAAGCTGATGAACATAGTCTTTCCCTGGAAAAAGAGGTTCTCTCGTCATGATCTCAGCAAATATGCAACCAACAGACCATACATCAATCGCAGAAGTGTACTCAGAGCTGTTCAGAAGCAGCTCTGGTGCTCTGTACCATCTTGTTACAACATACTCCGTCATGAAATCTGTCTCAGACGTCGTTCTTGCAAGTCCAAAATCCGCAATCTTTAGGTCACAGTTTGCATTCAGAAGCAAGTTACTCGGCTTTAGGTCACGATGCAAGACATTCGCTGAATGTATGTACTTGAGTCCTCGTAGAATCTGATACAAGAAGTACTGCAAAGACAGAGGAAGTGTAAAACACTTATAGTAACAAAATTAGCTAATGACGTAAACAAGAAGTTATGAATGTTTAAAACCTGACAATGATCATCAGTCAATGATTGGTCTGACCGAATGATCTGGTGAAGATCAGTGTCCATTAACTCGTAAACTATGTAAACGTCGACGAAGTTCTCTTTCTTTGGAGGTCTGATGATATCTTTTATGATTACAACCTACACAAGTCAAGACTCAAGACCACTTTTAGCTAGAAATTCTCTACTCGTTTGAAGAATTTCTGCGAAAATTTGAGTAAGGAAGCTTACGTTTTCATGTTCTAAGTGACGAAGTAGCTTAATCTCTCTCAATGTTCTTTTGGCATCGACTTTGTTGTCAAAGGCTTTACCTATCTTCTTGATTGCAATCTCCTCGTGTGTCTCTGAATCAACTGCAGCACTAATACAATTACAGGTAATCTCATGAATCATTTGCTTTTCACTTTCTACAGAACAAAAATGTACCAAAGCAACTCAAGAAGATGATAACAAATATTTGTGTAAAATGTATAAATTTCCATCAGATTGTAAATTCATAAGCATTACACTACCAAAAAAAATTATCAATTTCACTCAATTCATTATAAATTTGATGTCAGAGACTCAGATTCTTCCTTAATTAAACAAAAAAACAAATCTTTTCAAGCAGCTTTGATTCAAGTACTCATGATCCTTCAGATGAATAATAAGCCTTGATCCTCGAATCATTTTCAACACTAGCTTTGTGACCAATTAAGGTTTCAAATACTAAATAGAAATCCCCAAATTATCAAACAATCCCAGAAATACCACAAAATTACAAAATTGGTAAAAACTACAAATTCGTACCAGACAAAACCGTAAGCTCCTCTGCCAATAGGTCGAATCGGAGGAACATATTTATTCGAGACTTCAAACAAGTTTCCGTAGACATTGTACTGGAAATATCTTCCTCCATGAACAAGAACTCCTTTGATGTTAGTTTCGCCTAGATCCGTCGCTGGTTCACTTCTTACAGTAGCCATTTTTCGAATTGCAGATACACAAATTGAAGATGAAATCGATCGTTTCGGCAGATTTCTAAGATAAACAAAGAAATTCCAAAATTAAAGATTAAAATAATAGAGAGGTGATGTTGAAGCTTGGGAAATGGAAAATCTCAGGTTGGAGAGAAAACGACTCTTTTTTGTCATTAGTTTTTTTCAAAGTTTGAATTTTGTTTGAATGAATAGGTCAAAGGGATCGTTACACTTCCGTACGCCACGTGCCGCTCGTAATAAATGATACTAAGCTGCCACCAAATTACAGATGAGAAAACTCTCGGGCCTGGCCCAACTATTTAATAGCGTGATGTTATATTATGAGGCCCACATAGTTATTGAGATTTATGTGTAAATAAATAAATGAAAAATATCACTACAATATGAACATTTTTACACTGGTTTTATATTTTACCCTAATTAAGAACCATGTCGATTGCATCGCCAGGGAAGAACATTCTGCTTCAGCTGCATTTTATATATCTTCTTCATGATGTGATGCATCATCATCATAGTTGCATTTTAACTATACAGTATCTTGGTGGTCTCTCGACCATTGTTGCTTGCAGTTTGATTGTTGCAATTTGAGTTGAACTAAAGGGTAAGAAGATTTATGGATATATTATTTTGTACGAGAATTAAATACTAACTTTTTAATACAAAATAGACTGCATATGGATCATACTAAACCATGCCTACCTAAATAACAAATATATTAGTGTGCAACAGTAGTGATGATGAACTTAATTAGTGACACTATATTTCATTATTCATAATATAGTCGAATCCTTTTGTAATAATTAAACGGATACACAATCTATGGTAAAATCATCAAACATGATTTCACAATCCTATCTGTATAATACTTTCGATTATTGAAAGACAATGTATTATTATGAGAACTTATATCACCCGCGACATTAAAATTCATGATTTATTTTACAATTTATCCATCCAGCGCATAACGAAGGTCCATCTCTTGTATCCTAATAATTCAACCAACCCACATATGGACAAGTAATTGGTGACAATCTCCGACAACAATATCAACTACTATCACCGAAATGATTTTATATTTTGGCCAATCAAGCTAAAGTTCTACCCGATATACTTTTGTTACTGATCTTCTCCACTGCTTAGCTTTAGTCGATGTGGTAATCAGTCGTCAGAGCTTAGATCTCCAATAGTATTCATGCATATAACATGTGATTCACGTTACTTGTTTTTTTTTTTTTTTTTTGGTTTCTCAAGGTTTTTTTTTTTTACTTACATGATATATATATTAGATATCCTAAATCGAAATAAGAAAAGGCATCATGTTTCGGATAGATTTCCGGTAACACAGAAGCTTCGAAAAGCAGTTTGTTTTGCATGCTTCATTAGTGTGAACCAACTCTGCAGAGCAAACAATACTAACACACCACTATTAATCTACATGCTGCTGTCAATATTTTTAATGAATTTGCTTCCTCATATGTTTATTACTTAAACTAAAGGGTTTATGCGTAATTCGTGACGACAGTGTATCCTTATCAAAGTTTGTCAGCGCTGATTCCTATCTACAGTTTTGAGAAACCGGACGATCAGATATTAAAAACAAAAAAAAAAAATTGTCACGTGAAACACGTATCCATGAAAATGTCCCATATTTTCAATAGGTTAAACTTTTGAAAATTGTAAAACCTTGAAGAAAAAAATATTAGTAAATCGACATGGCCGATCCAAATATATATATATATATATATATATATATATATATATCAGATAAACAAAATGACGAGTCAATCTCAAACCAATTCTCAAAACTTGTTAAAACAAACAAATACTCTTCTCATTTAAAACATTTATAATGAGTGACCATTTTTTTACCACATGAAGAACTCAAAATTTGACCTAAATTTACATGGCGAATTCAGTATTTCGTTTAGTTATTTCAATACTACTCTAGTCACTACAAGTTCTGACAAACATATACAAATTTATAAATGAACGAAAAGTAAACTAGAGAAAACCATCTTGCATATAAGAGTTTTATAAAATTCTACAAAAACATAAATATTGAAATTGTATTTTTGTTGGTTCACTAAAATATTTCAAAGTTGTGGATTGTGACGAACACCAGCAACCAGCAACGTATCCAATACAAAAATACACGTGGAAAACATAAAGACAATTTGAAGGGAATGCTTTAAATCTCGAGAGACAATTTAAATGGAAGGACATTTTAAACATTTTTTGTTTGGTAAACAAATATTTGTGCACGAAACTGGGAATCCAAAATGTATTTCAAAATTATCATAGGCTCATAGCAATCAGACTGATAATGACAAGAATATTTTACAAGGAATATTTTCATTTTTAAAATGCAATTGTGGGATAAAATGTTTTTATAGTGGTAGTGGTTCAATAAACATTCCCTCTGAATCTCTGATATATAGATTTCATTTTCTTCACAAAAAAATCTCCAGGTAGAACCAATAAAGATTTCATGTCTCAATAATTGTTCATTTACATTATAATTAGAGCTTTAGTTAAGTTTCGAACGTTATAAATGCTTCTTACATCTCCATCATTACGTATGTACGTAATTTATATGTATGTTTATGAAGTTGGACATGTGACTTCATATCAAACAAATGGGGGTGTACTACGAACTATTATTCTTGGATGATCATGTGTCTCTATAATAATTTGTTTTTTTGTTTTTTTTTTTGTTGTTGTTGCTGTTATCAAACAAATGTTATCTGGGTCTACCAGAAACACCTGTTTGTCCATGTATTCATATTTTTGTCTCCCTAGAAGATAATTGCCATTTGCCAACGACGGGTGATAGCATTTGCGTTTATGGTCCGGCACGACGACATATCACGGCTGCAGGAATAAGCCAAGGCCAGAAGTTATATACTATACAGGCTTTGACTGATACCATTTCTTAATTTTTTTACCTTTTTTTTTGTCTTGTAAACAAATTTAATACCATTGAAATAGAAAATTCACTTTGTAAGAACTAAGAAGAAAAAAGGAACTAAATAAAACTAAAACTAACTAGGGATTAAAGCCCCGCGCAAGCGCGGGGTTGTTTGCGATAATTTTTCTGTTTGATTTTATTTATATTCATTGATTTGAAATTTTGAATTATGATGGTTATATGTTAACTTCCATGTTTTGGTTATATTTTGAGTTAACCCAACAATTAACACTAACAATATGATCAATTTTTTTTATTAAGATATTAACACCTTACTTCATCTCGAGTTTTCTATTTCTAAAATTTAATATGCATTTGACTCAACGTTAAAATTTGTAAACATGGTGTAGAATCGCAATTGCACTCAAAATATGATGAAAAACAAAAACATGTATAACTTCTTACATATATGCTTTGTTGTGGTAGCATATGACAATTGATTATTTTCTATTATGTTAGTTTTGTAAATATAAATTGTATTTTTGAAACAAACATGTCACCATTCTTAAAATTTTCATACTTTTCGTTGCAATGAAATTTAAATAATAACTCGACTTCTATTTTTTAATAAAACAAACTCTAACTCTAATTTTTTATTAGCTTTTTACTATGTTAAATAATTTATATGTACCTTTTTTACTTGTAAGCACATTATAACATTTTTAAATAGGATAAATCCTTTGAGTTAAAACCTAACTATATACTATTTCAAGTTAAATATTTCTTTATTTCATCTCCATTTTATATTACAACTTTCTTTTAACTTTTAACATCAAGATATCACATACTTTATATTAATCAATTAAATTGTTTGTGTATTTTTCTTAGTTTTGTTTATGTGTAAAATAGGAATATATATAAAGAAATATTAATACACATATATTAAATATCTTAAATACAATTAATGATTTTTTTGCTGATGTGGATAGCCTAGGAGGAGAGAGCAACTCTCCTATTATATATAAGATTCACAAGAAAAACGGCTTTATTAAATATGTGCATTTTAATCTTTTAATAGAAAAGTGGAAAATGAAAATACCCGAAAAGTTACCTAAGCGTAAGTGACTTAAACTACCGAAGTGTCTTAAACGGAAGTTTCAACTGTTACGGAAGTTTAACTACGCCTTAATTAATCACAATTGTCTCTCACTCTCTCTCGTTCTCCAAGCACATTCACCATTATTTTCTTGGGAAAAATATTGACAATCTGGTATTTTTCAAAATCACAAAATATTCGTCACCAACCCAACTGAAATAAACCAGAAATATTACAAACTCCAAACATTGACCGCATACAAGTCCAAAATATATTACAAACAAAACCAGTCGACTACATTATTTTTCCTTCAAAGTCGAATAGGAAGTTGGCACACTCGGTCCCTTGTACAACACACATTTAGTTCATATCAAACGATAGGGCTTTTATCAGTAGAAAAGGAGTTCTTGAGAGGGTATGAAGCTCGCATTGCGATGCCACATAAACCTCTTGGGTTGGCAATGTTACGAGCCATCTTCATGTAGCCAGCTTCTCCCCATGTGTTGCCCCACGAGTTTCTCACAATCCAATAGTCACGCCCTTTCTCTGTTCCATACCCGACCACAACAACTCCATGGTTTAGGTTTGTTCCGCATGTTCCATCAAACACACCCTACGAGGTAAAACATAAAAGAAAAAAATTATTGCATAAGAACTAAACTTTAAAGAACAATTTTTAAACGAAACTAATTTTTTCTTTTACCGATTCATAAAGCTGAAATTCCCGGCTGCTCGAATCGATAACGGCTGTTACAGGCTGGTGAGCAACCGCTTTCCTTAGAGCAAGTTCGTTGTTTGCAGGCAAATTCTCATACCCATCAATCATAATTACATTCTTGTTGTTTTCCTAAACAAATAATTTTGAAAATAAAATATTTCATTTTGCTTTTTGTTAGAGATTTCATATTTTCTATAGATTTGATCGTAACTATACCAACCTTGAGGTGGCCGTCGCAAACTCCATTAACAGCTTTGTAAGGATAATCGTTACTGGTACCAAGACCACCATTGTTAACTAGGTACTCATAGGCAGTCTCGACTTTGCCTCCTCCGCAACCATTATTTTCTTTGTTACAATTAATCAAATCTTGCTCAGACAATGTGACTAACTCTCCTGTCACTATCTTGTTTAAGCCTTCCACTGCCCCCACAGTTGAGAACGCCCAACAACTCCCTTCACACAAGAACAAAAACATGCATGAAGTGTTGTAGATTTTTGGACTATATAAAACGTCAAAAACATAAATTAGTGGTTACTAGTAAGTGTCAATTCTTGATTTCAACCAACACTGAAGTCTTCAAATTTGGCATGGGACTTCATGACTTTATTAAGATAAATATTTGTTCTAAACATTGTTTTCAATTAAAAGGATTCAAATAATGTTTTATTCTTCATTATCTAAGGATTCTTTTAGGTCTTTTTATCTATAATCCTGTTATTAATATACGATAGATAATACCACTTACTGCAATGGCCTTGATCTTTGACTTCAGTCACTGCGCCTTCGTTCCTCCAGTCAACGGACTTAGGCAGCACATCACCATTACTAGTCTTGTATCGGTCGGTACTAGTCATGAAGACGTGGTTCTTAGGTGGTCTTGGATCAGCCCCGTGGCAAATTTCTCCGTACTCATGGAGAGATAAATCCGCAAACCGGGTCAAACCGAGCCGATAGCCGAGATTCTCAGCGTTTCGGTTAGTGATGAATCGGAGGTTGTCCTCGAAAATAGTTAAACGCCGTTCCTTTTCAGCAACAGAGTTGTACACTTTCTCATGTTTAAGCATCCATGACTCAAAGATCAACGCTGCCTCAGCGTCAAAAACGCTCTGGCGGCGGCCAGGACCAGCGGTCACGTGGTGGTTGTCGTCGAAGGAAATGACGGACATGTCCATGGCCATCGCACAAGATGCGATGGCCGTTGCTAGTAAGAGGATCAGCATTGCTGATTTAGCACTACCCATTTCTTTTTCTTTTTGGGCTTAAAACTATTAAAACTTTGATTTGTGTTTGTTTCTATAAGTTTAAAAGAGAAGTGAAGAGATTGTGTTGTATATTTTTGGGCTATCATATGACAGTATTTATAGTACTCAGAGCGCAGACAGATAACGATTAATGTTAATTGGAAAAATAATTGTGTAAGATGTCCATTGGAGTGAACCAGTGGGCAGACCCTACTAGTTGCAACTTGCAACATTTTTTATTTAAACACATGATGAAATGACATCCAGAAAATTACTAGTCTATCTGCTCATAGGCTCAAAGCTGATAGCTATCTTACTAAACTTAAGAGATTAGTTGATCAAACAAACTGTATTAAACTGTATTTTTACAGTGGGTAATTATGATTAAAATCACACCAAGAATACTCGTACCAAAGTCTCTCAAGTCTCAACATTCAAAATAAATTATATATATTCAACCACTATACCACAATAAACTGATTTATATATTTGAATTATTTCTTACATAGATTCAATTTTATTTTAAGAAATGTTCATTTGATCACAAACACTCGTACAATGTACATTACTAAAAAGGATACTTACTTATAATGCAAATCTGGTTTATATGAAGAAAACAAAAAAAGCAGACCAAAAAGCATAAAAACATATGTAGATTCAACATAAGACCCAAACGAAATATTAGTACATATTTTACAGACTCCAAACATTAACGACATATAAGTTCAAACTATACTACAAAGACAAACCCATCGACTACATTATTTTTACTTCAAAGTCGAATACGTCCTCGGTCACTTGCATAACATACATTTAGTTCATATTATTAGGCCATGGAGCTTATATCGGTGGAAAACGAGTTCTTGATAGGGTATGAAGCTCGCATTGCTATGCCACATAAGCCTCTTGGATTGGCAATGTTGCGTGCCATCTTCACGTAGCCAGCTTCTCCCCAAATTTTGCCCCACGAGTTTCTCACAATCCAGTAGTCACGACCGTTCTCGGTTCCATACCCGACCACAACAACTCCATGGTTTAGATTTGTTCCACAAATTCCATCAAAAACACCCTTTTGAGGTACAAAAAAGGGAAAAAAAAACAACCATTATATTGCATAAGAACAAAACACTAATAACATTTTTATAGCGAATATTTTAAGAAATCTTTTTATTTTTACCGATTCGTAAAGTTGAAATTCCCGGCTACTTGAATCGATAACAGCAGTTATAGGCTGGTGAGCAACCGCTTTCCTCAGAGAAAGTTCGTCGTTTGAAGGCAAATTCTCATAACCATCGATCATAACATTCTTGTTGTTTTCCTACACAAATATATGTAAAAATAAGATATCATTGTACGTATTATCATTTTTAATTTTGTTAGAAAGACCATTTCTTAATGTACGATTGTAACTATACCGACCTTGATGTGGCCGTCGCAAACTCCATTAACAGCTTCGTAAGGATAATCGTTGTTGGTACCAAGTCCACCATTGTTAACTATGAACTCATAGGCAGTCTCGACTTTGCCTCCTCCGCAACCATTATTGTCTTTGTTACAATTAATCAAATCTTGCTCAGACAAAGTGACTAACTCTCCTGTCACGATCTTGTTTAACCCTTCCACTGCTCCCACAGTCGAGAACGCCCAACAGCTCCCTTCACAAGAGAACAAAACATGCATGATTGCATGAAGCTTGTATACTTTTTGACAAAAATATCGGTAATGTTATAATGGTTCCTAGCAAGTGTCGCTTTTTGGCTTTAACTAACATGCACTAACGTTTTCAAATCCGGCGTGGCCCAACCGGTGAGAGCGAGACTAATACATTTTTTTTTTTTTTTGAGAAAAAAAAGCGAGACTAATACATAAGTTCATAACTAGAATCCAAAAAAAAACATAAGAAATGTAATAACATAGAAGATAAACGTGTTTCAATATATCAGCTTCAACAATCATATTCAATATAAACGAATTTTATGTTATAATAACCAAATATAATCCCTATATACAAAAATAAAATAAAATAAAGACTTGTAAGCCATGCAAAGCTGATGTGTAAGAAACATGCAGTTCTAATAAGCCATGCAAATTGAAATGTGTCAACACCCATCATCAATATATTTTCTTTACCATGTGAAGCCTAATTTTATTTACCAATATGACCTAAAACTAGCATTTTAAGTGGAGTGTTAATTGTACATGCCGACTCTATATACTTGCTTCTTATCACATGTCATTTGATCCTCAAAAACTTTAATATAGACATATCAAATAAATTCCCCTATAAGACAACCCTTTATCAAAAAAAAAAAAAAAAATCCCCTATAAATACCAGTACCACGACCACACACCATTGTCAACATTCTACTTTTAAATTTTTAATAATTCTTTTATTATAAAAACAAAAAATGTCAAAATAGTTATGCCAAACGAATCGATTTATAATAAGTTAATCACTACACTTACTGCAATTGCCTTGATCTTTGACTTCAGTCATACCACCTTCATTCCTCCAGTCAACGGACTTAGGAAGCACATCACCAGCACTAGTCTTGTATCGGTCGCTACTAGTCATGAAGACGTGGTGCTTAGGTGGTCCTGGATCAGCCCCATGACAGATGTCATTGTACTCATGGAGTGACAAATCAGCAAACCGGGTCAAACCCAGTCGATAACCGATATTCTCAGCGTTCCGGTTATTGATGAAACGGAGGTTGTCCTTGAAAATCGTCAAACGCCGTTCCTTCTCGGCAACGGAGTCGTACACTTTCGCATGTTTGATCATCCATGACTCGAAGATCAACACGGCGTCAGCGTCGAAACCGCTCTGGCGGAGGCCGGAACCAGCGGTCAAGTGGTGGTTGTCATCGTAGGAAACGACGGACATGTCAATGACCGTGGCACAAGATGCGATGACCATTGCTAGTAAGAGGATCATCATTACTGATTTGGCACTACCCATTTTCTTTTTCGGTCTTAAAACTAATGAATTTTTGATTCGTGTTTGTTATAAGTTTGTTATTCGTTTTTGTGTTATTTAATTTTGCCTAAGACACGACATACTTATAGTACTCCATTTTTAACATTCTTGTATAACATGTACATTGGAGTGAACAAGTGTACAAACCTACTCTTCCACGTGTGGGCGTGAGTGTCCCAGCAATGAAACTAGTACTGCATATTCTGTATTTCCGCTTGGTATTCAAATTTGATGTGTTTGTTAACATATACTCCGTATTTCTTATGATAAAGAATTTATTATAGCATCTTCATCAACGGTTGGTTTTGAAAGGATCTCCATGACTCCATAAGCCAAAAAGCATAATAATAATAACAAAAAGAACGAAAGATAATGAAATGAGAAATGCTTGAGGCAGTTGTCTTTCAATTCTTTGTTATAACTTTACATTGTTAATGGCTATTATTTGGTCCATGTTATTATTTTGTAATTGTATAACTTTAAATTTAATTATACAACTAAATTATAATTAAAATTTAAAATTATACTAATGATATAATTTTTTTAATTTCTCACCTTAAAATCAGTGGTACGATATCCTTTTTACCCCACTTCAATTATTTCTCACTCAGGCCAATTTCTTGATCATAAAAGTTTACAGGTTAAAAACGTTCCCATGCATAATTCTAATGCACAGTGCACCCCACACGAGTCTCGTATATTTCCCATCAATAAATAATGCACAATAAACTATATAGTTTTTGGCCCAATAAACTCCATTATTTATCGTCACAGGTTGGCTGGGGGGACCTTAGCCTGGCGCCAATGTCACAATGAATCACAAAAGCTTTAGATTTATTTGCATGAATCTGAAGTGGGACATGTAACGCGCGTAGCTGTTTTGTATTTTTGAGGATTATAATTTGATTATTTATCATTCATGACCAAACTTTTAGTGTTTGCACATCTTTGATTATGTTGGTTTATTATTTTATATATAAACAGATCACAGATGTGATTCTACCACCAACTCTAGTTTGTTTAGTACTAGTATTCAAAGATAAACAAACAATTTACTTCCAGTTGTGTGTGGCAAACACTTTTATGTGTAGTAGTAGTACTGTATAATCGAAAATCGAAATATATGGGCCAAGATAAAGTCACTGTTGTGCAGGCCCATTCTATTCAGAGTTTTGAGTTAGATACGAGAGCTGATTATTGGGCTAAGTCGATTTGTTACTGGCCCAAACGTCACGAGAAGAAGTTGTAAGTTGCAACGAAAATTTCATTCTTTTTCCTTGACCTTCTTTGACCTCCATTGTTGTAAAGCTTTCTAATCTCAATCTCTGTAAACTCAGAAGTTTATAGTGAATTACCACGTGTAAATCCTGAAAAAAACGAAGTATCCGGTTGGAGGAGAACTCTATATGTGCTTGCACTGTTCTTTTTTTATCACTTAATTTTTATTCTTACAATTGTAATCAAACACTATGGTTTAGACTTTATTCCAAGTTTTGTCCTATGTGTCAAATCCAGAGAAGAAATGTTGTGAATAACTGAATATACTATCAGATTTCTAAAAATAATAGATAGGAAAAATTCCAAAGAAAACGCGTTTAATTCTCTTTCTTTCGAATTATATTTGTGGCTGTCATTATGACGGCAAACCATAGAGAACTCTCAAATTTATTAATTCTTCCTCGCTTATGTTAATAAATTGCTTTTCCGACAATGATACTTTATTGAAGATCAGTGAATTATGGTCTTTCTAAGATATAACAATAATAATTTTTTCTATATACGCGATTATTTGGAAAATTGTAAGAAAAGTTAACAAATAAAAAATAACTAGTGGGTACAGTTTAGTCATATGTTTTCTTTGTCTAATCTGAGTGAAGCTACTTTAACTATATGTCTCTCACTTATTAAAGTAAATCAAAGGAATATATATGAAGTGGACCGGACCATAGAATGATTCAACCGTTTTCAGTATACTTTTCTAACAGTCATCAACTGTAAACTATGGTTTATTTGTAAACTC